TTTATTTTTAATTAATATACGAAAAATATATTCCAAAATATTATACCAAATACGGAAGTAGTATAAGTATTAACCGCAAATAAAGGTTAATATTAAGTTTTTACCAATAAAAACTTAAAATATTGTAATAACTTAAATATTAATTACGTTAGCAAAATTAATATATATTTTAAAAATAATTTACTTATTAAATTATTAAAAACTATAATAGTTAATATTTTGTTTGGTAAGGTAAATTTTTATGTAATAAAAATAAATATTTTGTTTTTTTTTTTTATTAAAGATATAGACTATTTAGAAATGTATTTTAATAATATTACTAACCAATTAATTAGTAAAAACGGTATAATAGTTAAAATTATATAAAAATAAGAATATTTATGGTTTTAGTTTAATAATATTATTTATTTTATAAAGGTAAAATTGTGTTATTTGTATATACGTTTTGGCTATTTATCTATTAATAAATTTTATAATCTATTTAATAAAGTAGGATATAAGGTAAGTATTAAAAACCTTAAAAAAATTAATAAATTCTACCACTATTATTAGGTTAAAAATAAAATACTTTAACGTTTTAAATTTAGCCTTAAAAACCTTAATATAGATTTTAATTATAAAATAATTACTAACATTATATACCTAAACAAGAAACCGATTTTTTACATAATCAACATAATAATAAAGTTTTAAACAGCTTGATTTATAAAGAGCATTTCCACCAAAAAAACCTAAAAAATATTTAAGTAATGTTAGATCAATATATATCTAGAATTATTAGATATTTTTAACTATAATATAAGTATCAATTTTAATAGTATTAAATTTTGTAATAAGGTTTACTTTATAAAAATTATTTATAATTAAATATCTATCAAAATATATTAGTTAATTAATAAGATAGAAAAATATCACAACCCAATTCAAAAAATATATAAAATTATTTTTGAAGAAGTATAAAAATTAAAAAAAACTTATTTATAAATGACAATTAAGGCTGTAAATAATATAATAAACCTAAACAATTTTGTCTTTATTTTATTAGTTTTTAGTGCTTATTTAAAAATTAACATAAACTCTTCCCCTATATAATTATAATTGGAAAAGGTTTAAACAATATAAAAGGCTATAATCAAAATTAAAAAGGTTAAAACGTAAAAAACCATCCATAACGCCATAAATATAAGAAATAAACTAAACATCCTAAAAACATTACCCATATTATTACCTATTAATAATAGTATATTAATCTACCGTAAAAAAGGCGGATAGAAAAAATTATATAAAATTATTACCATTACAGATAAAGACGTAATTATTATATTAAATACGTTAAAAGGCATTTCGATTTTCTAAAATATATATGTTAAGTTATATAAATAATTAAAAGAAAATTTTAAAATTTATTTACTGCTACCGCTATTTTAATTTAATCTTAATAAATATAAGGTTATACTTAATAAGAATTTAAATATATTTATTATAAATATAATATATATTAATATAAAAGAAAAAAATAATTATGCCTTTATTTTAAAATTATAATTAAACAAAAAAATAATTGCGTTAAAAAAGTTGTATAAGGCTTTTAATATAAAGGAATTTAATATTTTTTTTACAAATAGTATCTTATAATCTAAAATATATAATAAAGTATTTTACCAAAATATAATTATATTTAAATTTTGTATAATTTGTAAAATTAAAGGAAAAAATATGTTAGTATTATATAAAAAATTATAATTTATAGTATAAGACTATAAAAACCCTAAAAAAAACTTTATTATAACATATATTCCAATAATTTAATATATTAGTTAATACTTAATATTAACTCTAGTATCTATATTATAATAGTAAGATATAAAGGTAATAATCTAAAATATTATTATAGTATATATATAATTTAAAATTTTTATGTAAAGGATAATATATATATACCTATCCTTAAAATTAAAAAATAAATACCCTAAAAAAATGCTATTATAAATAATCAAATTTTTATACGGATTTGCGAAATTAAATATGTATTAATTTAAAATTTATTTTAAGTATTATTAAAAAAAATTAAATATAATCTTGTTAATATTTAACCTGTATTTATTAATTATAAAGTTAAATTGATTATTTGGAATTATAGGTTTATAAATAAATAATATATTAAATATTGGTATAATGGAGTTTTTGGCCGAAAAAGATAAGATTTTTGTAAGAATAAATATTAAAGTAAAATTTTAAAAAGTTTTAGAATTAGGCGTAATTAAAGATTTTAATAAATTATAAATTATAATTTATAAAAAAATAATTTTTACTATTTAGAAGAGATAAATGGAAAGGTTGGAAGAATTAAATTTAAAAATACCCGATATAATTAAGAAATTTATAGAATAACGTATAAAAGATATTTATATTGTATTTATTTGCTAATTTGAAGTAGCTTTTAACTATTTTATAGCAATGTAATATATAAAACTTAAACTAAAAAAAATTAAAGCCTTTAACGTAAAAATTAAATAGTAGGTAGATTATAAAGATTAAAGCTTTAGGTATGTAAAATTGAATCCTTAAGACCTATGCCTATACGTTTTTGTAAACAGCTTATTTATCAATAATAAAAATATAAACTTTTAAATTAATTATATTATAATATTTGATAATAAAAGACCTATAAATTATAATAACGAAATATAATTTATTAATAATATTATTTATTAGTTATTTATTAAATATAAACATATTATACATAATATATTTACTAATAAAATTTATAAAATAATATAGGGCTTTAATATGGATTATGTTATTTATAATATTATTAATACTATTTTAAACCAACTAAACTTCTTAATAATCTTTTTTGTTTTATGTATAAACTTTTTCTTGTTATATTAATACTTTATTTAAATAGGTAATATTAATAAAAAAAGATTAATAATTAATTTTATAGCTTTAAAATAATTGTATAAAAATAGGGAAATTAATAATATCTAATAAATATATAATAATTACAATCCAATGAATACAATAATAAAAACGTCCCCAAATAAAGCTATAAAAATATTAATAAAAAATAACTAAATTAATTTATGTTTAGAAGGGTAAGTAAAATGTAGGAAAATTAAAAATAATATTAAATTAACGCAATAATAGATTATTAAAACCAATTATTAATATTAACTTAAACGTAAGTTATTATAAGAAATAAAAAAGAATATATTAAGAATAAAATAATATGATATATATTGGCGCAATTTTATTTATAAAATAATTCTTAATTTAAATTATTACGGTTTTATTCTTTAATTATCATAAATATATATAATTATAAATGTATAAAACCATAAATGTATAATAACATATATCCAAATTAACATAAATATACGTTAATATAAATTTTAAAATTTTATTTATTTAAGTTATATTTTGTAATTAATTAATTGCAAAAAAAAAATAAAGTAAGTAATAATTGTATAATATTAATATAAAAATACCTTATTAATAATAAAATATCTTTATTATAAATAAAGAAAGAAAAGATAAAATACCCGATTTTATTGGATAAAAGGGTTGGGTATCTACTATTATTGGAATATAAGAATATGTTATACTTAATTAGTTTTAAATAGATTCTTCCTTCCTTAAATATTTATTATATATTAGTTTTAATATTATTATTTATTATTACCTTATTTATTGTTTTTATTATACGTACGTACCTATCAACATTTCTCAACATCTACAGGGCTATGTGTAATCGAGTTACATCCAGACGATAGCAAACTCATGATATTATTCATTCTGAATGGAACCTTTTGTCGTCCAACCACAAAACCGTTCTTTCAGCTTACAAAGTATTAAAGTATTGATGTACATATCTTTATACATCATATGGATAGCTGACCCCAAACTTTTGTATCAAGGTAGATTGCGGGGTTGGTACGACGCCAAAGCATTTAGCGTTGTCACCGGCGTCTTATGTTATCGTCGGCTTATAATTGGCTACTTGACCTTTCTATTGCTTAATTCCATCTAGTACACAGTACGTAAGTATTCAGGGCGAGCAAGGTCTGCAATTGGACCCCTCCAACTCTATTTTTGGATGAGGAATTTTCAACTTTACAGTATTAATCCCTCACCGTTTGTTCTTGACATTTTAGATCACCTGAAAATTTCGAGATGTCTTTTTATTCCACCCTCGTATTGAATGTTCTTTGCCCCGGCTGGTTTACCCCTTTTTACCACAGTTAGATCTCTTACCAGATGTCTTTCTCCCTTACGCAAAGTAATCAAATACAATATGGTGGCTTCAATCATCTGTTTCATTCTCCAATTCTTGCTTAGGAGTTGACGCGTCTAAATAATGATACATCAAGACATGAATTTACCTACCACCTTACCTACCAGGTAGGTATTACATATACGATTCTCGATAATTGTAGCATCACGACGACCTCTTCGACTACCTACTTATCTTAGCATTCTGACCGCAAAATGCAAGTGGTAAACCTCGAAATCACCATACCATATTATATGATGGGGTTTGCCTCGATAAGTCTTTTATTTTTCCCTGTGACTAAAGAGATCACGGGTCTGGGCAGTTGCACAAGTACCTAATCGCCTATTGTGAGGTATTATGTACCTATGTACGTGGCACGAGGAAGGAAGGCACCTGCAGGTAGGTTAAATCGTGGGTACGTGCTCTACTATTCTACTGTTCCCGAAAGGAAAGAGTAGTCAAATCTAGAATTGGTAGGTGCCAGCTTGGAAATATGGCAGGAAATATGGTAGGAACGGTAGATGCATGCTCCCTCTATTTTACGGCAGGCAACTTGCTTCAATTTTCGGAATACATGTGCACTCAATCATCAATCATCAGCCTACAGGGAGGTGATATACCGCGTTATTATCAATTTCCCTACATCTATTTTAATATTTCCATGTCGTCGTCTAGATATATTTTAAGAACTATAGTTATGTTCAAGCTTCTAACCAGCTAAGTTATGAATTGGACTGAAGGGAATCTCTCCCGCCATTCTAGGGGCAGGCAACGCAATGAATTACTCACGCGACAAAAGCAACATTTCGCCAAGGTTCGCAATAATCTACTAAAAAGCGACGTAAAACGGAGTCCCGTATCCATATCCTTCCTCGGAACTCAATACTCGCGAGACCTGAAGCGCCGCGATGATTCAAGTAGTGCAGCATACAAGCTACCTTCAAGCCCCCTTTTAGCAGAGAAGCGCAAGCGGGCTCGTAGCTCCCTTGATAATCCAGATCATCAAACCTCCACGCGGGAGAAGAGAAAAAGGCTACTGGAAAGGGCAGACTGGGTCGGATTAAACTTACAGCAACCTATTGATATTACTTTCCCAGGGCAACTCCAGGCATCCATTGGTTCAAGATGGAGCAAAGTAGAACGCTCTCGAGTTCGCATGATTCGGAAGCACCGTGAAGACTCACATACATCTCGACCGGGGGGCTCTCCTAATTCACACGATCCATCCCTGAAGATTCAAATCGGGAGCCAGCAGATCCTCTCAAACACCACTATATCACCGCAGTCAAAAATAAAAAGATACAGTCTTGTACCACAGCCCACAACCGGCTTACCACGGAGAAAATCGAATCTAACTTCAAGTCCGGAGCCTAGCCAAACCCGGCGCCCTTACGTAGTATCCAGGAACAGCCAGCTCTCACAGGTGCCAAAGGATGAACGTCATGGGATAGCAGGGGAGCATCAGGGCGGTGCGTACCCTGAAGCGGTCAAGAAATCCTTGTTTCCAGAGGATCCAACTCATGTTGTATATTCCTCTTCGATAATTCATGAACCAACCCCTCTCCGAGCCAATTGTTTTACAGTACTTCGATGGACTCCCCCCGGTTCCGATGATCAGGGAAGCATGCAGGTAGAGATTGGCCGCCCCTTAAGACCGGTCACATTATCTCAAGGGATAGACGAGGAGATTTGGAAGAACTGGGTGTCTACTTCCTCGATGATCCAGCCAGTTAGTGCCTCGGCTAACTCCCCGATTGCAATATCGTCTGTCAGTTCAAGAGCCGACGGCTTGCCCTCTCACCTACAGAAACGGCTACCAAGCTACGAGATCTCAAGCGAGGCAGGAATAAGCACAAATTATCCGTCTCACGAGCCCAGCATAGATGACCAAAAGCCTCAAGCTACAATCCATGGAAATCACCATCAATCGCCTAAGAGGAAATCAGGCCATAGCAAAATCAAAACGCAACTGCCAGACGATAATGCCGTTTGGATGAAGTTTGCTTTAAGCGACAACAGCGATGAGTTAGAAGCAAGAGTGTTTGCAGAGGCTGCATATCAAGCTGCAGCAGAATTACGTCCTTCTGATACGTCTACGAGCTTTAATGATATAGCTGGAACAATTGCGACTTATGGAACTAATCCGACTAGCAGTGGGAACCAAGATGAGAGCATTTCCTCTGGATACTCGGATGAAAGTCATATGGCAACAAATGGCACCGTGGTCTCGGAATCGGTACTCAGCAATATAGCTACAGTCGGCTCAACAAGTCAAGTGGAATCAGAACCTCGATTTCGCTTTGCGCAGCCGAGAACATTCGTAGGGAAATTCGCCAATTCAAATGCCACTACGACAGAAGGATCATATGTTCTATCTCATAGTAAGAAACGGAGAGGTAGACCTAAGAAACGGGCCGCGGATGGGAGGGCGAATATCCGACGACTTCCGGATTTTGATGGAGATCCCATAGAAGAATTTGAAGATGACTAAAATACCTCGTATACTCGCTAAATTCTCAGCTACAAGAGGTAACCAATTACTCGAATTTATAATGAATAGCTACCACGATGTCCACAATATTAGGCATCAATTGACATTAGTAGAACTTGTGTAAAACTACCTAAGCAACTTGCTTGTCATAAATCATACCCTAAGATAGCCTACTGCCTGCCTACCTAGGTACCTACCTAAGGCACACCGGGGTTTTCGGCGGTTCGGGTTAGGACTTATTAAGACAACAATTAAGACAACAATAGGGCGCAAGCATAAAAACTCTCCGGAACATATAGTCAACATACAATATCCTTCACCCTATTTTTCTTTCCTGCGTAACTCACTGGTTAGGTTACTTACTAGCTTACTAGTAGTCAGCATTCCTACAGCCAAAGTCGTTACGTCTTTTAAATTCTGTGCTTCACACAAGTTATCGTCAATCCGGCCGATTATGGCGCCCGCGTCGGAGGTTAATTTGTTTGCGCCCTTCGAGCGGGATGTCATACTCGAAATCCGGACGAGTAAAATGGAAATCATGCCAGGACTGAAGATCGAGACGGGCATAAACAAGAAGATTCGTACCGGTCGCATCCCCGTGACCTTCGGCGGACTTGATGCGGATGAACACGATCTTGTATTCCACGGGGGCCTGGATAAAGCAATTCACGGGTGTAAGTCCGTGCGCCCCTAATTTGCAACTTGCCATGAATCATCTACAACGATTCTAATATACTCTATTCCGTATAGACTGCTGTTCTCACTATCCCACATGGCAGAAAGAATTCCCCGAAGCTGCTACGCGCTTTAGGCCTGGCGGATTTGGGGAAAACTTCGTGACGGAGCGCAGTGCGTATTTTTATCGTTGTTTAATTGTCCCCCTATTCAAGGATTCCGTCTTACCCCTCATGTCTAGTGAATGAGCGTAATGTATGCATAGGCGACGTAGTATCCGTCGGTGACGACGGCGTGTTGCTTCAAGTCAGCCTACCGCGACAGCCGTGCTTCAAGCTGAATCATCGGTTCCAACTGAGAAACTTCGCTCCCAATACATACAAAACCAGCCGTACGGGTTGGTATTACAGGGTGCTACACGAGGGCACGGTACAGGCTGGTGATGAGATCCGGCTTGTGGAGCGCAAATGGCCTGGATGGACTATCGAGCGCGTCCAAGAATATCTTCACCGAACGCAGGATAACGCCACCATGAACGAAGAGCTTGCTGCTATTTCCGATATGGGTGACGAGAGTAGGAAGGCATTTGAGCGACGCGTCGAGAAGCTTAAGGCTAAGCAGAGGCGCGCTGCCGCCGCACTCAACGGGGATGGAGACGAAGTAAAGGAGAAATGGCGCGACTTCAGAATCGTGGAGAAGAAGATTGAGACGCCGCGTATCTCATCGTTCATCTTAGAAGCGTTACATCCTGACCCCGAAGCAGGGGAGATGCAACTTGGCGCGCATGCCCGTCTCAAATTACCTAACGGACTTCAGCGGTCCTACTCCATCGTCTCAGGTACGTCCAATCGCTTCGAACTAGGCATCGCCCTCGAGGAGCCTAGCCGCGGCGGGTCCTCGTATCTGCACAACACAGCGCAGGCAGGCGATATCGTGCAGGTTGGGCGTGTGACAACGGACGTCAAGCCCGCGAGCGCAGCCAGCAACCACGTCTTCATCGTGGGCGGCATCGGCATCACGGCCTTCCTCAGCATGCTCGAGATGTATCGCAACATCCACTGGGAATCGGCGCTGCACTACGGCGTGCGCGACGCATCTTCAGACGTGCCGTTCCGGGCGCGGCTCGAGGCGCTCGGCGACTCGGTGAAGATGTACGATCGCGCGAAGGGCCAACGGATGGATATCGCGGCGATTTTCAGCGGCTTGCCGTGGAATTCGCACGTGTATGTGTGTGGGCCACGGCGCATGATGGATGAGGCGATACGGGAGGCGAAGGCGCATGGGCTTGGCGAGGACGAGGTTCATTTTGAGGCTTTTGGGGCGGATACGAGCGGTGACCCGTTCGAGGTAGAGGTGACGTCGATTCGGGAGAAGAGCACCAGGGTTTTGAATGTGGGTGCGGAGGAGACGTTACTGGAGGTGTTGAAGAGGCATTTTGGGGACGAGGATGTGCCGTCTAGTTGTGAGGTAGGTAACTGCGGGACGTGTAAAGTGGTGCTGAGGAGTGGACGTGTTGATCATAGGGGTACGTCGCTTATGGAGGAGGAGAAGAAGGATGCTATGCTGAGTTGTGTTAGTAGGGGTGTTGGGAAGATTGCTATTGAGATATGAGATGGTATGAAGTTAGGGTTAGAGAATACAATTCGTACCGCGAGTAATTACGGTAATTATGGGTTTTCTGCTCCGTAGTCTCGTCCATTATATCATTTCCAACCAGGACCTTTCCTCTTGAAGTGACTACTAGGTGAGAAGGTTTGTTTTTCTACGAAATAGTTACTGAATAATGAGGTTTGACGCTACGAGACCAGGTCCGTATCAGCAACTCCAGTGGCCCCGAGTTGCTAGCAGTATTAAGTAAATTTTCTTTTTCAACATGATAGTAGAAATATGTATGTAGCATAAGTGCGACCTCTTGTACCGGCTGATAGGTGATGAGTTCAAGTGATAATTTGAACACTCCAATCCATATCTTCTAATAGCCATATTAACCCACAACTCCCCTTCCTATAGTCCATGCCACAGTATTCGTGAAACAATTTAATGGTACCTTTATTCCCGGATATGAGGACTAAATCAAACAGTGTGTTACCATCATCGTCTGGAGCATTGGCATCTATTTCCGTATTGTCCAGAAGTAATTTCACGATTTCTTCATCGTTTTCCCAAATAAATGCTTCGAATATTGACTCGCCATGTTCATTTGGAGCGTGAACGTCAAATTTTTTAGTATCAAGAAGTAATTTAACCATGTCTCTGCTGCTGTATTCAATAGCTATCTGTGATGGTGTTTTTCCATTTTCAGATTTAGCGTTGACATCTACTTCCTTAATACCAAGGAGTAATTTGACGATATCAACCCTGTTGAGTTCAATACCCATTGCTAACGGTGTTCTGCCGAACATATGAATACCATTGATATCTATTTCTTTCGTATCTAGTAGCAATTTGGTGATGTATTCATTATCTTCCATTAGGGCTGCTCCGAACATTGTTAGGCCATCATCTCTTACAACGTTGACATCGAATTCGCCAGTTTCTAGGAGTAATTCAACAACACTTTCGTGGCCTCCAGCTATAGCCTGAGCGAGTGGTCCCTCCGAGTATGAAGACAAGTAATTAAAACTATTGAAATTGATCTTTCCGGTATCGAGGAGTAATTTGACGATACCTTCATTTCCCTTGGTTGCAGCCACTGTAAGCGGTTCTGGCGGATGATAGAAATCGGGTTCAACATTAACATCGATATTCGCTATACCCAGAAGCACTTTGACAGTAGCCTCGTGTCCTCTCTCGACGGCATATGACAACGCAGTTCTTCCGTCACTACTTGTCTTATTGATAGGAATTTTCTCGCCTAGTATTCGTATGGCATCATCGAGGCCAAACCAAGCCGCCAAATGTAATCCATTATCAGGGTGACTCGGCCACCACTTCAAGGAAGGTTTTACTAATACCTGACCAGCTGACTCGGCCTTTTTATCAGATTCGAGGAAGCTGATGACAGCTTGGCTTATATGTGAAGCTTCCCGAGCATGTTCACCCCAGTGAAGGGCGGAATATTCAAAAAATGGGTTTGAATTCACCCGCTCCTGGATATCCTCATCACTTTGACAAGAGCCATTCTCAAAGACGTCGAACGACAAATAGGTAACACAAGCATCCGTAATCTTAGCTTCCGCCTTAGGAAACCAGTAATCTCTGGTTTTGTCGAAATATTGCTTTGTCGTATAATGCACTAATCGAATGATGCCGCTTTGTATGTCGATCGTAACAAGCCCAGCACATACTGAAAGCAGGATGTCAGTATGTGGCAACGCCTCTTTTTCAAGTTTCGTTGTTCCTAACTCTATAGCGAGGGCATGCTGAAGCTCAACCACGGTGAGCAACCTCTTTGAGTAAGTAATCCAAGATAAAACCCGTTTAGCAAGGTCCTGGTGGCCGGCTGCTTGTTTTTCAATTCGGATCATTGCCTCTTTATATGTAATGTCGTATACATCCGACCCATTTGGTAGCTTTTTAAGAGCACTGCGGACTTCCTTTTCCGAGATCTTGTCAACAAGAGAGTTGAGATGAAGCCGCGCAAGAAGGAACCTAAGAATATCAGTATGCTTGCTTTAGAAACTCCTAAAGGCGTTTACTCACATCCCCCTTGCCGAGTTGCATATGATATTTATGACGTCCGCTTGAAGGCTTGGGTCGTCACGGATAGGAGGTGGCAATTCTGACATCGTATCCTCTACTCGACGTTTGAGATATTCCCGCACATCTGCATCCTTAGCATGGATTTCTAGTACGAGGCTGTCTTTAAATAACTCCATGATATTTGACATAGGTCTTGATGTTGCAAAAGCGTTGATTCCGCACTCGGCTTGAAGACTGAAGATTTTCTCCAGAAATTTCCCCCGGGTCCCCCCAAATGTCTGACACTCATCTACAGCATCAATAAGAACAAAGACTTTTGAATAAAGTTTGGCTGTAGACTGGATGTTATCCGAGATTTCCTCTAGTGATGGTCGCGACTGCTTGGTTTTATGTTTGTCGTAGAGCGATTTCAGGTTCTCTGGGAATATGGGCAGACTTTCAGCTAGTTGTTTAAGAAGGCTGGCTAAGAGTTTATCGGCTGTTTGCTCATGTTGTCGTCCAAATTCGCAGAAGACATACGAAATTCCAACATCGTTTTGATCCAGAAAGGCACTTTCTAAATTGTCAATTATAATCGACGTAAGAATGGACTTTCCAGCGCCTGGAATGCCTGGACAGAACAGAGTTTTGCCATGTGTGTCACGCCAAGTTTGGAACTGTTCTGTATCAAGGAACCATTTACCGGTTCCTGGCTGTCGACGTTCGAGATAATCACTTTGCCGGGGGCCGTAATTGACTGGGGTCAGCCAATTCAAGATATCTCTATGTTCTTGGGTCTGTTGATGATGGATTACTGTGTCAGACTTCTTAGATATAGCTGAAAGTTCTTTTCGTAACTCTGCCGTAACTATAGCCTATTAGCTGTTGAAGCACCATAGCCGTACACTAATAAGGATTAAGATAGGACGACAAGTCCAACTTAAATGGGAAGGTGATCTCATCTAGGGGAAATTTAGTGTAATAGAACCGCATACTACTTTCTAATCTTCCCGCCCAAGATGGCAGGACTGCTACCTTTGTAGGCTTTAGAACATGAAGGAGTTCCCTTGCGTATGCGGCCGCTGTGAGTGCTGCATATTTGTGCCACTCGTCGTTTTTGTGCGAATCGGAATAATCGCAGATTCCTCGGATCACCAAGCAGGGAAAGTTGTTCGTCAAGCCAGCGGCTTCCATTTCAAAGCATAAGACTTTGAGTTCCGGATCTTGGGCAAGCTGGTCTCTTGCTTCGGCGCTCTTCATAACCGAGTTAGCAGATGCGATGGTACCGTAATGGACATTGACAGCTCGTTTAGCTACTCTGGGCAGTCTCCGCTCGAGCCCATCTGCCAGACACTTTTCGCATGTGATTCCACCCTGGTGCTCGTAATCTGCGCGGTATAGTCGATCTTCATTAGGGCGTCGATATTCAAGCATATCATCCATCAGCTTGATATGTTCTGCTAGCTTATCTGGCTTCCTGGGGTCATTGTGTTGACGCTGCATCTCGGGGATCGCCCCTAATAGCACCGCTGGAGGAGAGTTCATTTGGCCAGTTTGTTGGAACTGACCTCCTGATAACCTCTTCCCGAAGTCATACTGTATGACACCCCCTAATCTACCTTGTGGTACACTGACAACCACATCCCCAAGGCGTATGTCTCTCTCTGGTGTTGGAGCGCCCCCGCCAATGCCCACCATCAAGGCGAATTTTAAAGAAGGAAAAGATCGAATCATGTCCTTGGCAACGATAGCAGCAGAACTAATACCGTATCGACCATATGGGAGACACCCAATTACCACATTATGTTCGTGGATGCGACCAAGAACGTAGGTATTGTTGTCATTTTCGTTGGCTTCATCAATACCTTCGAACTCGTCGTCAAGCATGCGACATGCGACTTCATACTCTTCCTGCAAGGCGCAAATCCAGCCGATAGTGTAGTCATCGGGGTTAGCCATAGCCGGCAGTTAGTGACTCGTAAAGATATTATGTTGAAAGCTCGGCGTAACTACGCTACTGGACTAAAAATGAGTTCAGCCATCGATGTGGTCTTATTTCATGATTTGATGATATGTTTGAATGGTCATTTTTGGGGGGAAGTTTGAGAAGAATAAACGCCTTAGGAGGTAGGTAACTAAACGGGCAGTGCTAGGGGTTATAAGCGGGCATAATAATAGGTTGCGTGGTAGAATTGTATTGTATCAAAAATGACCTATCAAATATAGCCGACGTGGCTACTGTAAGGCATTCTTTTTGATACTATTCTGCCTCGTAATACCTATGTAGGTAGGTATTTAGATACTCAGCTACAAGTACTTAAATAATAATTGAAGATTGGAGTGAAGTAGGTGTATATATTTAGTATTCGTTACATGGATCATAAATACCTCTACCATGATAGGCGATTAACTTGCAGTCTCTTCCTGTTGACTTGTGTCTGTGCTCTCAGGCATCTTTGCACCTTTCCCGCCAAGCCAGAAATAAGCCACTACTGCCGCTGATGCTGCCCAGATAGCAAAACTCCAAGTCAGGGTTCCCCATCCTGCCGACTCTACAACGTAACCAGCCCATAACGGCCCTACAACTCCTCCAAGAGAAAACGCTACGTTAAAAAGCCCGTAACCGAGTCCGTAAACACCTTTCTCTCCAAATATTCCCGGTTGCCTGGCGACTTTCGCCTCGATAACGTAGGTAATCTCGGCCATGAGAGGAACATTTGCGAATGCTAGTGCAATGCCCAGCGGGGCAAGTAAGAAGCAGAGAAGTATCTTATGCTGTATGCTATTCTGCGTGACGAAACGGAGACACACAAGTAACGGTATTAAACCGCAGAACCCAAAGAAACACGGCCATCTAGCACCGTACTTATCCGCGAGCCAGCCAACCAACGGGGAGATGAAGCCCGGGACAAATATTGCTAGAAACAGAATTCCGGCAGCGGTGGAATTCCAACCAAAGGTGCGCTGGACGAATAAAGCTAAGGTAGCATCAAATCCCATCCTATCCTACGTTAGCCCAGATTGTGACTACTATTTAAAACCATAAGTATGATTGCTTCAACTTACATGATGCCGGACTCGACGAGAAGACAATATAGTGCGGCAAATAACCTCGTAGATTTCAAAAGGCTTTTAGAAGTACACCATATGCTAATAGTTTCTGGGGGGACAACCGAGCCTTGGTTTGGTATATCCGCAGGTTCGATCCGTTTTTCTTCATTATTATTATTATCTTGAAGCTGGCTCTTATCCCTTGGACCCGGCCCTGCAAGATTGTGTGTTCCTTTTGCTTTAATGGAATCCGTGCGATCTTGGAGACTTGGCGTGATGGGCGAGTTGCCCGTCTCTATGTCGACCTGATCTGTCCCTTCTTCTGAAGGACCAGGTGTCTCATCCTCTTTTATCCATTGTATAGCAACCTTTTTCTCGATCATTAGCAGTCGTAGTAGTACATCTACCACGACGACGCCAAAGGCGATGTAGTAAACAGCATAGTAGCCTGCTGCAGCGTAGACCGAACCGCCGATCACGGGAGCAATAAGCAGTCCGACACTCATCGCTACGCCGACGTACCCCATAGCAACCCCTACCGCGCTTTTCATGGTGTCGACGAGCAACGCACATCCTACACTCCAGACGATCGACGCACTAAACCCTTGGAGAACTCGGCCCAAGGCCAGGAGACCTATCGAGTTACCAAAACACAGCAACAGAGTCGACGCAGCAAGTGCGATTAGTCCGATCAGCAAAGGCCATCGTCGCGACGACGTGTGGTCGGCATATATTCCAGCAATGGGACTGCCGATGAGTAAGGCTACACTATAGCAGGCTATAAGAATCGATGTCCAGTGTTGGACTTGATCCTCGGCGATTCCAACTTGAACGGTAAGCGAAAAGGGGATGACCGGAACGATCAACGCATAGTAGAAGATATCGGTGAAGATAGCCAAGCTCACTTTTCATCATCTGTCAGCAGGTCTAGGTCTAGATTGAATATAATGTTATAGGATTCGTTGAAGCAGCTGTCTGTTTAAATTTATTTTTTATTTTTGTGGATCTTAGGTATACGAACCGGTGAGTATTATCAGAGTCGTCGAGGATCGGATAGAAAGGAGAAAAGGGGGCTTGGATTTTGAATCCTTCTTCGTCCCCGAGAGGAACTGCCAGGCATTGGTGAACAATCTCATATTGAATCCTACCTATAACCGCCCATCTATAGTTGGCGTTTATCGGAAGAGGGAATCTATTATATAGAAATCTATCAAGGGTAAGAAGAAGAAAAGCTATATTTGCTGGAGGTAAAGGACTTGTGTTACTGTCTAATACCGTTTAAGAAAATCAAGTGACATCAATATGAGAGACAGAATTCTTGGCCAAGAGGCTGAAGTAGATATACAAAGAGACAAGCTAGGATTCCGCGGGGTCCGTCCGGAAACCGGGGTGGTTGACTACATACGACGGTAGCATTGATTACATACTTCGGATCGCCGAGTAGCAGAAGGCATCTCTCTGGGTTGTATTTATTTCATGGTGAAAGTATTCATACTAGAAGATAGAAATAAATGAATTAGGGCTGCGATGGTAATTAATATTAAGCTAAATATATAAAGTAAAGAGTTCTCAAATTAACTAACTAACCAGAAGAATCTCATGAATTGAAGTATTTGTATATGAAAGTCAGGCCAGCTGTTAATATTGAATACAGATCTGCAGGCTCTAACTAAAGAGGAATGGCTTGTTATTGAAATATAAGCCCTCTCTATGAACAGAATAGGTATGAAAGAGATTAACACGGTGTAGAGGTAAGATTTATGAAAATTGGAAAAAGAATGAATTTTGTTTTTATTTTAATCTATCTAAAAAGTTGGTGAAAAATGCGCTAATGCCGTTACATCCCTTGTATGCATATTATAGTTTAATAGATATTATCACTACCTTTAGACGCATGTCCAGTTGCCAATCATTATCTGTTTACTTTGACCCACTAAAACTTTTCTCTGTTTTCTTCCCGTCAACAATTAATGATCGATCCATTATCATCACGCAAGGCTGATACTCCTCAACCCAAGTTCGCAGTTTTGCGACGATTTACAGCTAAAATGCTTCGAACATCTACCGTGACCGAAGAATTTACCGAACTTCCCATTTCTATTCCTCCGCTTCCATCATTTCCGATCGAGGCAATACATTCTACCTATCTTCGCCGAAATACCCCTAAAATACCAACTCCAAATGATTCCCGAAGCCTCTTTATCGCCAACGTTCCTTGCGATAGTACTGTAGAGCATTTTCGAGCTTTATTTGCCAGCCTAGTCGGACCAGGTAAATTTGAGACCATCGCCTTTGAACATGATAAGCAACCCCTATGGCCTGCCCATGAGCCTGCCCAGGCCACAAGATTAGCTGCGCACGGGAAGAGGAAAAGAGAAGAGGAAGATATGCAACACATTGAAATCAAAGTTCGAGCTGCCTTACCTCCAACATGGTCGCGAAAAGTATATCCCAGTGGTAGTTCTGCCGTCGCTTTGTTCGCCGACGAGAAGAGCGCCGGCTTGGTCCTAAAAGCTGCCAAAAAGCTGAAAAAGCCAAAACATTATCCTGTTTGGGGAAAAGGTGTTAGGAATAGCGATAACGCGCCTCTGGGTTCGCAATGGCTAGTAAATCACAACATTCTGGCCTTCCCAGATAAAGATGAAGTCCAGGCCTCGACGGATGCTTACTTTACTCTTTTTAACAAGATGGAGAAAGAAGCGCGTCAACTTGCCAAGAGGCTCCGTAACGAACCAGACGAAGATGGTTTTGTAACCGTCACACGAGGCGGTCGTGCTGCGCCTGCTAGAAGGGACGAGGCCGAAGAGGCCAAGCAGAAGATGATCGAAAGAGAGAAGAAGAAGAGGGATGAAATGACAAATTTCTACAGGTTCCAGATGCGTGAGAAGAGGAAATCTGAGCAGACCGACATGCTACAGAGATTCGAAGAGGATAAGAAGAAAGTACAAGCTATGAAAGAGAAGCGAGGGAGGTTCAGGCCCGAGACCTAAGATAATGTCACTATCAAGAGTAAACTTATGTCCTGAGTTGACCTTATGGGTTACCTCCGTGTCCAGCCCTTGCGCTGTCTGGAGTTGTTTTCGCCAGTTCTTATCCAGACCTACCCCAGGTAAGCCCCTTTTCAATTACCCCTATCCCTCCTAAATGATGACGAGCACGGGGCCAGCGAAGTGCTGTCAAGTCTGGGAATCCAGATCGTCGATGGTGCATGCCGAAAAAAACCGTGTTATTATTATATCTTCTCAAACTTGTCTGAAAGGGATTTTTACTATTGGTCTTATATTTATCATCACACATGGCAGGTTACTGATACAGTCTCTAGGTCTTCCAGTTGGACATATAAGAGAGGGAAGATAGCTGAACGCTGTTACACAGACGAGGCAATCAAGGCAGGATGTCTTGTTAGTAGCCTTAATAACTGTTGTTGCTGCTAAGACTTGGATCCGGCGATTCTGCGATGCAACGCTATTAATACGGCGTTTATATTGGGTGCTATATCCTATTCGTTGCTAGATAATCCATAAGCGCACTAGAAATAGTGTCTATCGGATGTAACCATTGGGATGTAACCGGAGGTAGTGCAGAGTAGTTTAATCCAATGCAGCTAAACTTCTCTAATATTCATAAGGGATATCTCACGGCTATGTTCCCCGTACCCGTCTTACTCTTGCGTGCGTACGTATGTGTGTGTGTGTGTGTGTGTATTCAACGCCGCGGTTAGCCTCCCTAGGGGTATACGGCCTATAAGGCTACTGATCTACTGATCTCGCTATATTACATCTAACCTCAAGAGGCATACATGATCATTCAAGCCCTTCCAATTTTGATCCCCACATGGGGGTCTTCCAGGTCCCCTAGTCGAAAAGGTCTTACTCTTATATGAGAATCTTCAAGAAATTTTACAGCTGCTAGCACTTAATTTCCCACCTATAACATCTAAATAGCGATATGAACTTGATTATACGATTATATTAACTACCTCCTGGCCTACTTTAAGTGTATACTTTGATCGACCAGCACTGCCTTAATTTAAGACGCCAAGATAGCCTACTAGCCAACACATATATGTACGTTTAAATTATAGTCTTACCAACATTGTCGCTCCTTTCCAGTCTAACCAATAGGGAACCTCCAAAATCGCGGGACTGACATGTACATATATGTTTTTGAGGCGGCTTGGGGGCCAAAAGTCTTGTATAAACACTTTTGCGGCAATGATGAGCAGCGACCTGATACCAATGATGTATGACATATTCCTGCACGAATATGCAAGATGATCCTGTTAATCCTAGCCCGGTTTATGGCGCGTAAGTTGCATCCCGTTATATCATCTCCCTGACTTTATCTGCACGCCGTACACGGCGGCCTTTAACACCCGCTCTTCCCCACGCCGTAGCCCCCAAAACGATACCAACTTGACTCCCTCGTCCATATCGATACCCGTCGCTGATACTCGATGAACGAGACAAGTTCAAGCTCACGGGAGCGTCAAAGATGGACAGTCTCAACTTTTGGGGCGATCGCAGGAGCGGCTCCAGCGGCTGGAAGCAGGCTGCTAAGGTCAATTGCATTACTCTTACTTGCATGTCGGTGTTCCTGATCGGTTGCTTGATATCTGCCATAGCCAGGAGTGGCGGTCTTGGAAAGGCATTGTTCTTTTACGATGGTAACTGCGATGGAGGCAACGTGTCCCAAGTTAACATGACGCTTCATTTGCTTATAAATGTCGTATCAACACTTGTGGTAAGTTCTCTTGGTATGCTGGTAGGTAGGTATTTATCGCTTCGAATAGTTAATGCTAATTTAGACCTATATAGTAAGTTGGCTTCCCATGTTATATTTTATTGTCAAATCACGTATCATATTACGAGACGGGTCGAAGCCAATTGTTACCCATATCATCCTTCCACGGTGTTATGCACGACTGTTTCCATAACGGCTCAGCTCATGCTTTTTCAAAGGTAGCCAGGAGTGGTTTGATTTCCTCAGGTACCTACTTAAGTTAATTCTGGTTTATTAGGTTAGCTTCAAGCAACTTCTTCATGCAAGTTTTAAATTCTCCGTCGAGAGAAGAAGTAAATGCAGTGCACTTCCGAGGCTCCTGGCTGGGAATCGGCATACCGTCCATCCGAAATGCCTTCAGAGTCTCCAAGTTCAAGACTACATGTTGGATTTGCCTATTTATTAGCTCGATTCCTATTCATCTTCTATTTAACTCAACGATATTTGAGACGGACTGTAAGCAATGTTCATCGACCTCTTCTCTACCTTTCTACTATACGATTAGTAATATAGAGGCGTTTTGTGCGGTTCGGTATTACTTTTATAATCGAGAGGTTACTAATGATCTGCTCTACAGATAGAGGATCTGACTTCCACCTAACGATAGCTACTGAGGAGTTTCTAAATGGGGGGAGTTTCTACCCCCCTGGAGGAAGTTTAGTCCAAGCCGGCTTCTCGTCGTGGTATGACGAGACCGGTCCATATAAGGGGTATCCATACATCGTTACGGAATCCACTAGTATTAACTTCAATCCATGGTCCTTTTATTATGATGGATATGGCTCGCCAGTTAACCTAACCGAATACGCTAATAAGGATTCTGATGCCATGAAAAACATATCGACTACAGCGACGAGTGCCGGACAGTGGAAGAGACTTGAAATAAGCGAGTGCAAGCAAGAGTATATTAACTGTAGTGGGCTTAAACGTCATCGCAACCTGGTCCTCGTCATCGACAGGCCAGGTGGCTGGATAAGAGACGAGATATGGCATCTGATGGACAATCAAACTGAACTATGGGATCGTTACGTCCCTGCGGATCAGCCCAACCACTTATTCTACGATGCACAATGTTTTATGCTCGCGTCACGTAACGCAATGAAAGTAACAGAATGCGTGAATAGCTGCATCGGAGCCTTTGGCACGGGCGGGAATAATACGGTGATAACCGCATATGCTAGTATCCCGGATTGGCAATACTCTTTCTTCGATGTATGTGGCAATGAGTCGGTCAACGGAACAACTATTTTAGGGACCTCAGAATTGTATGAGGGTGATAAAATGGGCAGTACATTGACATCTGGTCTACAGCCGGGAGCGACCAATTTATCGGTACAATACTGTCTTGCGGATGACCTCGACAGAGTCTGCCATATTGGCTTGTCACCAATTCTACTACTAACAGTAACATTATGCGTTATATTCAAAACTTTTACGGCTATAGTTGTTACGGTAGTTCTGAGCCGCCAGAACCAGGCACCGTTAGTGACCCTAGGAGATGCCATGGAGTCTTTCATCGAGAAGCCAGACCCTGTTACCGCCGGTATGTGCACTATTGGGCAAACGGAAATCCGAAGGTCTATGAGATCCTATAGATCCTTATTATTACCAGTGCCAAGGCAATGGAACCCGTTGCAGAGACGTCGATGGGCAGTTGTCCCTTTATTAGTATGGATATCAAGCTATCTACTATTTGGTATAGGCATTACTACTTGTGCTTGCTTCTTCGCGGATATAAAACGCCACGACAACCTGTGAGTACTCCTAAAATATGCATAACACCAAAGAACCCCCCTGACTTGAATGACAGTGTCGGCTCATTCTACGAGAGCGAAATGAATTCATTCATCGACTCCCCTTTCACCTTCACGCAAGGTGTCCTGATCGCTAATAGCCCTCAGCTACTCCTTTCATTCTGCTATCTTGCGTATAATAATTTATTTACTCGACTTCAGATGGCCAGAGAATGGTCCTTGTTTAGTGAAGGTTACGAGCCACTACGAGTTACTAGCCCTAAGGTGTGTTAAAATAAAACATCAGTGCCTGAACGGCAATGCTAATTACCCTCTAGGGCGACCAATACTCTACCTATCGACTTCAACTACCCTATAAATATAGCCTCCCTCTTATAGCTACTAGTATATTCCTTCATTGGCTGCTCTCGAACACCATTTATCTCTTCATATCAATCGGAGGTAAGTATCTCTCTAACACACTTACCTTCCATACATTTCAATGGGGCTTATTGAACTTACCAGTTTTCAGGTTACTTCAGTACCGATGCATTCCTTAGCGGAATCGAAGCCGACCCGAGTCTACCACCTAACACCGCTATCGCCTTGGGGTATTCGGGCTATTCCCTTCTGGTTATGCTTGTGGTCTCGTGCTTCTTGATCTTGTTGCCTGCAATTCTGAGCATCAAGAAGCTCCCGTCGAACATGGTGATAGTTGGGAGCAACTCACTCGCGCTGTCTGCTGCGTGCCACGTCTCGAGCTTGTCACACGCGGTCTGTTCCCGCGCAACGTCATTATTTGCCGATTTTCCAGCACCGTCGCAAGTTGATCTTCCACCGGCTCTAAAGTCGTCGAAGCGATCGTACACTCCTCTCACAGACGATACCTATACCGATGAGGGTAACAGGAGCGACAGCATTGAGATGCAGAATCTCACGCCGATGCTTACTACCACAAGCCGCCACCCATTATGGAAATCAGTGTCAAAGAAGCCACTGCTTGAGCGTAGCGAAGAGGATTTCTCTGACGCGGGAGATGAACAGCAGAACAGCCAGTTCACGAAACTTGCCAGGAGCAAGATCCGTTGGGGTGTCGTGGAGATGCCACCTGAATGGCACGCCGAGTATGATAACGACGACGCTACCGTCGGGCACCTCAGCTTCGGTGTTGAGGAAGACGGCGTCACGCCCCCGGAGCCGGGATGTCTGTATGCGTAACCAAAGTTAGAAAGTCAGGGAGACTTAGAAAATACGCATTTTCTATCTCAGGGGCTCTCATTATAGAAGAAGAGGAAGAGTGAATATACCTCGACGTCACATACGATCTGCTCGACCGTTCACAATGGTGTACAGCCCCGTCCCCATCCACTCAAGGTGTCAAAATGTCGCCTTAGCTTATAACGCCTCGGACTCATTGAGACGGATATCTGCTTAACACCATATCTGGCTCCCACGTCCCACGTGCTCCGGGCTGTTTGGTATCTCATCTTCTGCCATGAAGAGAGTGGAGGCGCGTGCTCTGGATTTATATACTTACGTCCAGCATTCACTGTTTGAAGTGTACACTCAACCCTGCTGTCCGTAAAAACCTGCCGCGAACACTACCAAGTCAGTCCAGAGGTTAGATGGTATTCACACTCTATTCTGGTCGCCAGTTAATACCCTTAATACTCAAGCTGCTATTGTATTAGTGAGTGTATCGTGAATACCCACTTAGACCACGAACCGGATGCTTAAGGACTGCCCTAGAGGAGGATATTAAGCCATGTTTGTATTTATAAGCATTTGGTGGATACCATTGGATTCAACTAGAGTCGTTGCGCATGTTATACGATTGTGTTAGTTGCTGGGTACCTACTATGTAGTATATGAGGTAGTCATGACATACTACATGCATGTTAGGTAGGTACCTATACTTCAAGAAGATATATGCTCTACAAACGTACCTAACGTTCAACTAAGCTTTTCGGGATAAGTTTAGAAAACCAATACAGGTAATCATAATGTCATTATGTGACAAAGTGAACAAAGAAGCAACAAATGTATAAGAATCATGCTAACTACCTAAACAATACTGACATCATGAAATCCCACTTAAAAAAGGCCGGAGGCATAAAAATGAGTGGAATGAAATTTAACGGATAGATTGATTATGCTATACATCTGCTAGGATTTGAGATGGGCTCTACTAAAGAAGGTATCGTGGGCTTCAAATATTGTACCAAAGCGGATAAGCAACATTATTTTATTATTATTTACCAATGACCGTCTTGCCGTCTCACCAGTCTCACCGAGGAAAGAGAAATGAGAAAGTCCGGACTAACCCCCCAGGCTTGGCCCAAACTGGTCGAATTAGTGGGCGGTGGGTGGTAACGCCAGTACCGGACAAGGGGGTAACTGCCCAGCGGAATCGATTGGTGGGTCGATCTGGTCTAGATCATGCAATAGCCCGCATGGGCTTACGGGGATTAAACCCCGACTTGGTTTAACCCCAACTAGAGATCCGTTCCAAAGTTTCGTAGTACTTCGTACATACCTAGTGCTTCGTAGGTAGTGCTTCGCCGTTGCCGATTTTTCTTTTTTTCCCACTTCGCGCATATCTCACCCCGCGAGTCCAATCGAGCATGAAGAACAGCAGGTTTGGTGTTGCTGCATGCCCCGTACAGTACAATTTAGCACTTGTGCAACCTTATTCTATACATAGATGTACGGATCCTGTACCTAATGCATGTAGTAGATCCCATAGGGTGCAATAGTATACATATAAGTACATGTCAAGGAAGAAAAGAAGCCATGCTTTCTCTTTTCCTAAGTTGCTACCTACATTTTAAAAAACTATCAACTATCATTTCGTTCAGTTACTTTAATATTTCAATCTCGTTTCATTTTCTTCTTCTTCTTCTTCTTCCTTTTTCTCCTTGGCAACGCTTGGCAGGCTTACATGTAATATCTCATTTATGTAATGGATGTCGTATAAAATTGCTTTTCTCTCACTGAAACCTCCTGTTTTATACAGTATACATACAGTATATACTGTGTCCTTACGGTGGGGTCTAGAAGCTCACCCAGTTGTCAATCTGTTGCCGTTTTTATCATCATCTAAGATCTTGCGAATACACATGGCATAACATGATCAACGTTTTTCTTGTCGATCAGCAGGACAGAAATTTAACTGGCAACTTCAACATACACAATATGTACCTAGGAATGCATTTATATAAAAGTCCAAGACAACGGAGCGTTCGTTACTAAATACCAATTACCCAAGCGGATGTAATGGGTCGATAAGGATACGGGTCTAACTAGAAATGGGCTGAGCTGGAGCTTTAAGTTGGCTTTTAAGTACATGCATGCATAATAAAACGAAGGAATGAACGACTGCCACTGTCTTTGTGTGTGGTACAGGTCGTGTGGTAGCACCGCGTTCTATTACTCAAGTCCTTGCTAGGCAATACCCAAGCAATACATACCCATGCATGTAGCGTGGCAGAATACTAACCTAGGCAGTAGGCAGAATAGTCTATTCGCCGTTGCACTTGCACTTGCACCCAAATTCAGCTCCTCCTTCCAATTGATTTTCGCTATTGCCATTTTTGCATTTTTGTACTCTCTACCTTGCATGGACCTACCCGGCCAAAGACAAGGGTACCCTACCGAACCTACCGAAGTTTCCTGTAAGCTGCGAACGGCGACGTTCCTCTCCGAAGTTCCTCTCCTTCCAGTTCCACTACCTACTATGTAATCTATCTACCATCTGTACTTTTCACCTTCTTCCCCTCGTTGCACTAACACGGCATTCTTGATACGGCAGGGTGGATGACAGTTGTATAATATCATATTACCTACATAGGTATATTTGTATAATCATATTGTCATTCTTACCTTTGTCAGACCTGCCTATACTTCGGTGTGTGGTGTTGTTGTGTCTTGAACGAAGTAGAACTCGTCAAGAGATTTGATAGCTCCTCGTCTTTCAACACCGCATCGCCTTTTCACCCCACCCGGCCTGCGATCGAGCTCGATTAAACCGCGACGTTCAGAGGATGCATAGGCTACGGTATTCACTAGATTTCTCGTTATAGGCTGGAATAATGAGAGTTGCGATCCGGGAGCAGTTAGCAGCCCTCGTGCTGCTTGCTGTGCTCGTCGCGCTCGCCATCGTCTCTATACCTACTTGGATATTCGTCAACCGGTTCGTTATTGGAGTAGAGACTAATGGCCTCTCCTTAACCGCTTCTCTCAAAGCTGCCCGCGTTGCCTCCGAAATCGAATTGATCCAGACGACATGCAACCACATATCAACGAGACTACTTATTCAAAACGCTCTTGCATCCTTTTATCGCGGTAACGAATCTGATGATCTTTGGGACTCCGCCTCTGCCGATGTCATCAGCGCCTTAATCACTCCTCCGGGCGTTTCTACGAATCTCCTACAAGCAAGAATCTATTCGCGAAACGCGACTGGCGCAGATCGACCTGGTGGACTTCTCAGTGTAACCGGTAGTAACATTCCTAAGATTAGACTACCTTATAAGGCATCTGATGGGTCACAAGCTATCTTTGGTGATAACCCTTCCGGTTATCCGCCGTCACTGTATCCAAACATTACATATTACAGTTCAACAGATCCCGACCCAGGCTATCCTAACCATACTGCTGTCGTAGCTAGGCCGTTTCCAGATATACGAATCGACTCGAGCGTTGATGGCATGGTGTTAGGACCGCTCGTAGTCAATGAGACATACGCCCTTATCTCATTGACTATCCCGATCCGCAGCAATGAGAACAATGAAGTGATACTTGGATATATGACTACGATCGCCGATGCTACCTCGCTCATTAACATCGCTGCGTCTAAAGAGGGAATAGGAGATACTGGCACAGTTTTACTCATCGGTCCCTCAACAGGTTGGAATCGATTCAGCAAGTATAACTTACCTGCGAATTCGAGCCACGAAGCGGCGACTAATTTCTCGAATGTCGACGTCAATTTTGTCTTACCGCCGCGGGTGATGCCTGGCCAATCAGATAGGCATACGCTGCATAATTATGCCTCTGGAAATTTCGATCAGCCTTTCAAAGTCACAGGATACAATGCAGCATATAGAGCCTTTACTAGTCGAAACCCTTCGATCAACAATGCTAGCAGCATACTTTCCACCACAAATGAACAGGGAGTTGAAGTTGCCGTCGGATATGCTCGACCGCAGACCTCGCTGGTTAATTGGACGCTTATCGTCGAACAGGACAAGTCCGAGGCTTATATTCCTATCGATACACTTCGACGTATACTGTTAGGTTGCGTGTTCGGAACTGCTGGACTCACCTTGCTCTTAGTTATACCTTGTGCTCATATGAGCGTTTTGCCTATTCGCAGATTAAAGGCTGCCACGGAAAAATCGATTGCTCCTCCCGGCTACGCCGAAGCGTATATAGATGACCTAGACTACGGCGAAGACGAGGACCATGAAGGATCAGGCAGCGGGAGCCGAAAATCTGCCCACGGGGTTGTAATTCGATTGAAAAGATTGATTCGGAGATCTACGCGATCAAGGATTGCGCCATCGACCCACGAAAGCGAGTCGCGAAGACGGATTTTCATGATTCCGGGCAAAGTCAACGATCGCAAGCACTACGTGACCGACGAGCTTACGGAGTTAACTACGACTTTTAACGAAATGAGCGAAGAATTATTGAGGCAATACACTTCCTTAGAAGAGAAAGTTGCGGAGCGAACACGCGAACTCGAGATCAGTAAGAAGGCAGCTGAGGCCGCCAATGAGAGCAAGACTTTATTCATTGCGAACATCTCTCACGAGCTCAAGACTCCCCTAAATGGTATCTTAGGCATGTGTGCTGTCTGTATGGAAGAAGACGACTTGCCCCGGATCAAGCAGTCTCTGAAGACTCTTTATAAATCTGGAGATCTGCTCCTACATCTCCTCGAAGATTTATTAAGCTTTTCGAAAAACCAGATTGGTCAGCAATTAAGCCTAGAGGAGAGAGAATTCCGACTAGGTGACATTCGGTCGCAAGTAGCAACCATTTTTGACAAACAAGTTCGTGAAGGCTCGATCGATTTCTCAGTCGAATTCTTAGGCACCGAACCAGATATGAACGCCAGTCCCGAACGAGCTCAAGTGGATAGAAGACTCCCGGCTATCGGTCCTCTAGGGACTGGTAGGTTGAAAGACATGTGCTTGTGGGGTGACCAGCATCGAATTCTGCAGGTGCTCATCAACCTTGTGAGCAACAGTCTTAAGTTTACGCCGGCCGGAGGAAAGGTATCTGTGAGGATAAGATGTTTACGTGAAATTGAAGCCTCTTTCGACGTAAGCAGAACTTCATCCTTATCGAAAACTGGATCCGGTCGCCTAGGTAGGACAAGGCATAGAATGGGGTCGGGTTCGAACAAGTCGAAGAGCTCAAATGAAATTCCAACTCCCCAGTCCCAATATAAGGGAGGAGGTACAGCATTGTCGATTAATCCTTTGGATCCCAAAGCAACACCCTATGTACGCATACGTGAGAGGTCACCAACACCACCTCCGCCAAGCGCGAAGTCATTCTTGTTCGAATTTGAAGTGGAGGATACCGGTCCCGGAATTCCGGATCACATGCAGCAGAGAGTTTTCGAACCTTTCGTCCAGGGTGATCTAGGCCTTAGCAAGAAATTCGGAGGAACTGGCCTAGGGTTGAGCATTTGCCAGCAGTTGGCAAATCTGATGGGTGGAAGCATTTCATTGAGAAGTACTGTCGGTGTTGGCACTACTTTCACTATGCTAATACCATTGAAGTTCACCAAGGATAGGTAAGGTGAAAAGATCTAGACGCCCAGGTCGCCGGCTAACAGTTTATATTCTAGGACCTCCAGTACAGCTTCCAGTAGTATCAAGTCACGCCCGACTAGCATTAGTTCGATGGACGGGGATGCCAGAAAAAATTCCCTAACGTTAACACAAACCACAGCGGGTGCCAAAGCTAATGTGCTTGATCGAAAACCGCGCCTTGTTGGACTTAGCCAGCCTTTCTTTGCAACTACCCCCAGTGCTAAGGCACAACCGACCCCGACTCCCGATGATCGAATGAAGGCCATAGAGATGGCTAAGGCAAGTAAAGGTGACGGGAAGCTACGAGTTCTCGTTGCCGAAGACAACCCCACCAACATTGAGGTTGTTAGTAGGATGTTAAAACTAGAGGACGTGTACGATGTGACTATCGCAAAAGACGGCCAGGAAGCGTACGAACTTGTAAAGGCGAACATGGAAAATGATCTCTATTTCGACTTAATTTTCATGGACATTCAAATGCCTAACCTCGACGGCTTACAGAGCACTCGCCTCATTCGGAAGATGGGATACTCAGCACCAATTGTGGCACTGACAGCCTTCTCGGAAGAGAGTAACATTAAAGATTGCATGGAATCCGGGATGAACGAATTCCTAAGCAAGCCTATCCGTCGACCCGCACTCAAGCAAGTTCTGAAGAAGTTCGCAACAATTCCCGAGGAGCCAGAAACAGCATCCCAATTAACTAGGAAGAGCACCCCTGAAAAGGGCGACCGATCCGCCACGGTCCGGCCACTAAACGGAGAAGCCTCAACGCCCCCAAATTTAACCCCTACCCCCAAAGCATGTCCCATTATGAATGGCATACATCCAACTACGAATTGAGAAATATGATCTTACCAATAGTCATCACAATGTTTATTTAAATCTATATTTACTTCACATGCCACGTTACACGACATCTCTAAGATTTCTCTATAACCCATCTTTGACTCCAGCTTTAATAACTGCCAACTCCATTGTCATACTATTCTTATATTATATATGCCATGTCGGCGCATCACGGCATTATTCTACCGCATTCTTGCAGCAGTTATATTCCGAAAGGGTATTCATACGGAAAGGCCTAAGAAAACGGCGAACCGGGAGCAGGGGCACAAAAGCATCTGGTGAATCTGATTAAAAGGATGGCGAAGGCGTTACGGCTATTATTATTTATTTTTGGTTACGGGACCGAATCTTTCGTATGGAAGTTGCGGGATACGACGAGGATGTTTCGGCTTCTTTGACCTCGCTGTAGGTCTAATACACGTTCCCAACATGCAAACGGGGGGATATTTTACATCATTTTAGGGGGGGAAGCAACAACTAAGTTTTTGGAAGAGTCACCACTTAGGTTAGGTAAACGACTTTCAGGCCAGAACTTAAACAGTCACAATTTAGCGATCAATAAAAAGGCCAATGACCATCGAGAGATAGAGCCGATCTGATTCAATGTACATATTTATCATATAGGTACAATACCTAAGTATATTTACTGATTATTGATTACTGATTACTGATTACATTGTAAATGTGTACCAACTTGTCATATATCGCAAGACTTCAATTTACTTGCTCTGCGATGATTTTTTGGAGATTTATATTACCTAGTTGCAGTTGCAGTAGAGGTACCGATTAACTTGCCGAACTAGCGAAGTACCTAGCCAAGGCAAAGGAACTATGATTGGCGCTCCCGATCTCGATCTCGATGTAGCACGCGGTCCGATGTTCGGGATGCGGAGAGGGTTGCAGGTTGATTATACCCGAGGATGTTATTATCGGAGATGAACGTGACACATATAGCTTCAAAGGCAGTCGGTCCTAAGAGTTTTCATTTAACTTTTTTTACATGGTATAATTGATACGTCGTATCTCGACTCTACGTATTATTTGTTTGTCATATACATTTATATTATTCACATATTTATACGACCATTTCATCGCGCACACCCACACACACACACACATATATATATATATACATACATACATACATACACATACATACACATATACATACCTCCTATCTATCTATCTACCTATCTACCTACCCAGCAGCAATGCGCATCCCGTACGTGCCCAACCCGCCGCAGCCGGCGTCGGAAGACGAAGCGGCGATCGTAGCGCGGATCGCGGCGCGGCGGGCGCCGCGGCCGCTGCAGGCGCTGGACCTGGCGCTGCTGCATTCGCCGGCGGTGGCGGACGGGTGGAACAGCTTTCTGGGGGCGGTGCGCACCCGGACGTCGCTGGACGACCGGGCGCGCGAGATCGCCATCTGTCGGGTCGCGGTGTGCAACGGGGCGTGGTACGAGTGGGGGCACCATGCGCCGCTTGCTCGGGCGGCGGGGGTTAGCGAGGAGGGGATGGGGGTTGTGGGGAGGGATGTGCTGGTGGTTGAGGAGGGAGGAGATGGGGATGGGGATGGGGATGGGGATTTGGGGGCAAGGGAGGAGAGGAGTAGGAAGGAGGCTGAGAGGGCGGGGCTGGGGGAGAGGGAGTGGGCGGTGTTGAGGTATGCGGATGAGATGACGAGGAATGTGAAGGTGTCGGATGAGGTGTTTGGGGCGCTGAGGAGGGTGTGTAGCGAGAGGGAGGTTGTGGAGGTTACTGCTACGGTGAGTTGAGTTCGTTGCGTGTTGGGGTTATGAAATAATGGATATTTCGTTCCGGGGGGGGGGATATAGAGCTGATGAGATCTATATAGGTTGCGGCGTATAACTGCGTCAGCCGGTTTCTGGTCGCGTTGGACGGTAAGTTCCCCTTTCTTTTGCATAGCATATCTTTTAGCTACTATACTATGTCCCTACCTACCTTACAAAGGAGCAAGTTGAACGAGACGGTTCTGGCTAACTGTTGCGGTCTAGTTGGCGAGAAAAACGGCACTGGGCCCGATGCTGGACATTAAGAGGAATTACGGCTGCCCCTTACTTAGAGCTGACAGGCAGGATATTAAAATTGGATGCTTCTTGTTATATACGAGGTGATGATAGTGAATGCATAAATAGGTACCTAGGTACCTAGGTAGGTAGTATGAATATATATTAGTATCGAATTGCTTGGATTAACTGCTAGCTTAGCTAGTTAGATATATTATCGACGTTATAAGTCGATTTCCTTTCCTTAATAACCAACCACCCAACCAAGTTCTTGTACATCCACCTAACCCTACACCGAATCCATCCAATACATATGACATTCCCGGAGGATAATAACCAATCCGTATAATGCGGGCATGAGATGTGGTATCTATCTAAATATCCCGATATGCGAAGATATAAAAAAGAGAGGGGCAAGTAAAAATATACCCTTGGAATGTCCCGGGGAATGTAAAGTAGTAGTAATAGTAGTATGTAGCAAAGAGGTAGAATAGATAAATAAATAAATCAATATAAAATGGGGTATCTCGTTAAGTGACCAGAACTCCGCGTGGAATGGAATAATATGTATAGCCGTAAATGCTCATAAGTAAGCTCACCAGCATCTCGAACGATCGTGAAGGGTGTCGTTATACATTATTGTCATCGTCGTCATCGTCATGGTGTATGCGACGTATGTCCGTGTTCGTGTTCATGCTCCTATTTGTACTGTATTCGTCAGGAAGTCGTCTCAATCGCTCAGTTTTCAACTCAAGTCTTGTTCTTTTGTCTTTGGTTTTATTTTATCTGTATTTTTATCTTTATCTTCGGGAATAGAGTCTATCGCGCCGCGAAATCGTCCGTTGTCCATCGCCGGTGTTAACGATATAGGGCTACCTAAGGGCGATATGGGCGGCGGCGATCGCATGGCTAGTTCAATCGAGGCGTGCCGCTTTTGCATCCGTGGGGATCGCTGGAGTTCCTGCACGACACCCATCCAGTTCATCTGCTGCGGTGGTTTTTGCGACGTTCTGTGCGGCGTCTGGTGGGACGCTTGGTGGGACGTTTGATGCGAGGTCTCATTCTTCTCATGATGTCCTGTCGTCGCCTGTGTTGTCAACCTTCTTAACGGTGGTTTCTGCCTGATGCTTTCGGTCAGCCCCTTCGGAAGACACGGTCTAGTAGGTATCTGGTGTTGGAAATGTAGAGCTGCTTTCTCCGGATCTTTCGACGTTGTCCTCTCAGCCTGCTTTGCACGGTCCCCCGCCATCGTCGCAACAATGCCCATATATACCACTAAGAATCGCATGCGCAACATGTCGAGCCGTCGTACCCTCTCTTCTAATTGTTTCCTATGACTCGCCCAAAGGAATCGCGCGCTGGTACGCAAGGTTCGACCGCCCTCGGCTAGGACGAGGCGATTCAGCTCCTCCCGCAGATCATCTCCGCTCTTCTGGATCTCGCGCAGCAATCGACCCAACCGCAGCTTATCCGCCAGCCTCGGCACCTTCTCGACGTCTCCATCGAATCCCTCATTCTCCTGTATAGAAGAGTCTACGGCTTCGAGAAAGGTAGTTATCTCGTGGGGAGCGGCTAGGTAGGCGGTCGCGTAGGAAGTAAAGATGTGGGCAGCGACCAGAAGGGCAAGACAAAGGGCGGTGACAAGGAGGAGAAGGGTCCACAGCAGCAGTGAAGAGGGGTCAAGCATGGTGAGTTGTTGCTGCGTGGCAGATGGAGACGGGGGATGGGGAACGGGACCGGGACCATAGAGGAGAAGGGAATTTTTGACTATAAATTCATGGTTCGTGGGGTTTGATGCGAGATGAAAGGTGAATAGCGAATTAGACGAATCTAAAAGATTTCTTAACGGAGGGTAGAAAGTGGTGACGTCCGTCTAAGTCCCTTTGGTTATTTGTGGTTGGTGGACGGTTGCGCGTGGGAGGTCCGGAATAAGAGAAACAACTAATAACCACCTAAGAAAACCACCCAAGAATTGTTGAGGGGGCGTTTCTACTTCGAGAAGCTACTTCGAGAGACCTGCTGCCGCCTGCCGCTGCCCGCGCGAACTGCAAAAACTCCTGCATATGTATTAATTACATATGTACAAATCCGTGCCCAGAGGCTAGGGTTGCAGTCTATTGAGTCTATTGTCCAATAGCGGAGGCCACGGGATCGGTGGCGCAGTGGTACCTACAGTAGACCCAACCCCCCTAAGGGTTAGGGGAGGGAAGAAATGCATATGTATGGTTATCTTATCATACGACGCCTCATTATACATAGGACGAGTTCTCGGGAAGCTTTATTCTAGTGAGCTGAGGATGGGGTTTATTGTTCTATAGGGCTTGATCTGCTGCTACTATATATCATATGTTATCGTCTGACATGCTAGGTTAGGGGTTGTACCTATACTATAGCAGGACAATATTAAGTATACACATATTAGTATTCCTCAAGTCTTTATTGAAATGTATAAGTCTTATGATTAAGTATTACTCGCTTACTGCTATATTCTAAGAGCCAATAATTTTGTTAGTGTATGGTAATTGTATAAGTGCGACATCGAAGAGAATCTCAAATTTAGAACGTTTATAGCAAGCCCTAAACAAGAATCTTTAACTAACGACTCCTATATCGGACTTTGGTTTGTTGAAATACTAACTACCATCCAACCTTAGCTTTATGATAGCCCCCTGTACTGATATACTAGCTTAACTTATAGCATATTATCACATAACAGGAGAGGCTTAAGCATGCTACTTAGATTCTGGAGATAAGGAATCATTAACTACGAAGATATCACGGCTTCTTTCGAAAAAAAAAAAACATTTGTTACCCCTTCTTAAACATGTTTAACTAGTGAGACTATCTTCTAACTTTTTTGAAAAGAGTATATTAAAGTTTACTTGGTCTACTATTAAATATTTCTCATTAGCTTAACTACTACTTTATACTTGGCAGGTAGAAAGTTTTCTTTGGGTAAACATACTGTATATGATTTAATCTTTCCGGAAAAGTTTCGTGTATCTCATATTAGTTAGGTACCTAGACTATAAGGTGAATCAATCTTAAATCAGATACAGACTACACATCTTCTTGGCCTTAGAAATTAGTATCATATAGAAAAGCTGTGAGACTTTCACATTCACCGCCGGATAATAATGCGCTGGGAATAAGTCATCATCTTCCTTTCCCACCTCTTTGTCAACCATCTATAACAGAATAACTAGCCTTACGCCTTCACTTTTGGAAATTATATATTGACTTGGTTTATTAAGTATCTACTATAAGTTAAAATGAGAACCAGGTTAAAATTGGTTTGTTTAATAAAGTTTCTAACCTAACCTAGGTAATTGTCTAGCTCAAGTATAAGAGCTAGATGAGCTGAAAAAGAGTAGGCACCTAGGTGGACCAGCGTACCGGCTAAGCGTTTCGTCGGATGGCGTTGTGCTTCGCAGATATCTTTGCGATGGAACAGTAGAATGAAAATCAAGATAGAAACAGAATCATGCTTATTTTAGAATCTGCTCTAGGTGCATGAGCCTTGCTGCTTCCCAATCTCTCGGGTTCTTCCTGGCGAAGTGGGACTTAACATTGAAGCTAATGAATGAGGTGCAGCCGCAGCTGCTGCCACTGGCGGGCGCATATCAATCGCGGGGCACTTTGTGTTACATAGTATTGTACATAGTACATGGCGATAAGCAACTCTATTAACAAAATAGAAACTCAATAACTTGACCCAACACAATACAGTTTCAAACCTAACCAGCTTATAATCCCAATTTCAGAACCGTTTAAAATACAGCCAGCACAATGGCGGCAGACACACCACCAGCCTTGCCATCCGCACAACAACAACAACAACAACAGCAGCAACAAGACGACAAAACCAATCAATTCCCCCTCCCCACCATCCTCACGTACCCCTCCTCCACCCCGCCAACCCTCATCGCCCAAGGCGCCGAAGCACGCCTCTACAAAACAACCTACCTCGTGCCATCGCTCCCCTCAGCGCTCAAATACCGCCCGCCCAAGCCATGGCGCCACCCCGCCCTCGACGCGCGCCTGACGCGCCACCGCATCCTCGCCGAAGCCCGCGTGCTAGCGCGGTGCCGACGCGCCGGCGTCCCCGTCCCCGCCGTATACGCCGTCGACGAGGCGGCCGGGTGGCTAGCCATGGAGTGGGTGGCGGGCCCGCCCGCCCGTGCCGCGATCAACGAGTGGTTGCGGCGGAGGAAGGATGCTGAGAAGGCGACGGCGGGCGAGGGGGGCGCGGTTCCGGTTACGGGGGAGAAGGAGGGAGATGCGGACTTGGTGGCGCTGATGCGGCGGATTGGAAGCGCGGTGGGACGGATGCATGGCGTGGGTGTTGTGCATGGTGATTTGACGACTAGTAATATGATGTTGCGGCCGTGGGAGAAGGGTCGGGAGCCGGCGAACGGGCACGCGGGAGGCGGTGGTAGTGATGGGTTGCTGGATGGGGATATCGTGATTATCGATTTCGGTCTTGCGAGCCAGAGTACGTCCGACGAAGACCGCGCTGTGGACTTGTATGTTCTGGAGAGAGCGTTCGCTAGCACACACTCTCGCGCAGAAAAGTTATTTACGGCTATGCTGGAGAGCTCGTATAGGGACGCTTTCAAACAAGCGCCCGTGGTCTTGAAAAAGCTCGAGGAGGTTAGGATGAGAGGGCGTAAGAGAAGTATGATAGGGTAAAGCCACAAAAATTAATTATATTCGACGAGTAATTCGATGCCATAAAATGATATTAGGGAGATCAAATTAGGTGTGCTCGCTCTGAAGATAGATGCATAATTACTACGCACTCTAAACCCGTGCAGTTCTGTGCTCATGATCTAATGCTGGTAAATCCCTAACCACCAGATGCTATCGTTACCGAAATATGCCCAAGGAACGCCTCATGCCTTCTCTACCGTTTCCGCGCTCGCAAAGTAGCCTTTATTCTCAATGACTCCCCGGTCCTTGACAAACGCCGTATACTTGACAACCCACTCGGGGGTGATCTCCCCTTTGAGCCCGCTACTATTGGGCTCGCCGTCCGCCAGGACGCCAGCGCCCTGCGGTCCTTGGCCAAGAAGCTCCCGCAAGGTGCCGCTAGGTAGGATATCTGTAGAATCGTGATGTGTGTACAGTTCGATACCTTCGTCCTTGGCAAGCTTTGTCAGAGGCGGAGGTACGTTGCAGCAATTCCTGATATTGATCTGGTTAACAGTAGGTCGAACTTTGACCTTGTCTAGAAACCTCTTTAGCTTGTCGGTGCCGAATTCAGCAATCCCAAGTTGTTTGATCTGGCCCTGGTTATACAATTTTTCTAGCAAACTCCACGTATTCACCTCTTCTTCGACGTTGCCCATTGTCGCATTCTTTCTATCGGCTTCCCATTCGCAATCTCCCTCAAATGTCAAGCCAGGGTATGAGGCTATGAGGAGGTCGACGTCGCTTACGCCTAGCTCTTTCTTAACCAATCGTAATGCTTCTTTAATATAATCAATTCTCTTCTCGGGAGGTGCCGTCGGTAGAAAGAACAACTTCACGGTAATCTCGTATTGCGAGCGATCCTCTTGTAGCCCAGCTGACTCCCAGTCGATGCGGGGCACGTACAAAGTAGAATCTTCCCTTTCCGTCCACACCTCTGGCGCTGGTCGGCTGCTGTATCCATTTTGTCCAGAACGAGAGGCGTGACCATTGCCATTATGAAGTATAGAGGCATATTCTTTTTGCGCGGCCGAGAAGTTACTTCGGAGTGAATTTGTAAGCTCGAGATTGGACCGATAAGTGCCTGGTTTCCGAATGATAGAGGGGCCGTCCAGGATGACGTTGCCGGTAGATAAGATTATTCTCGTCATGGTGATAGAGAGGAATATGTTGGATATGAAGGACTGGACAGTAACCTCGGTTTAAATAAGAAGAGAGGATAGTTATAATATAGGCAATAAAAGTAATAATATGAATGAATATTCAAGATGGGTAGGTAGGTAGGTAGGTAGGTACCATAGGTCTATATTACCAATCGTATTTCATGCGATGCATGTGCAATGAAGGAGTGGGGTGGGTAGAAAAACTGAAGCTTTATAAATCGAAGTGGGGTTTTGATTAAATTCTAGTAATATTTCCATTCAAATCCGGAGATAGTGAAAAAGGTACTAGGTTAACCTAGCCTTTTTTACTTCTCTTGGGGTGTTGAATTTGACCTGCTTAGACCTAAGAATGGATGGTAGCAACCCGACAAAACCCTTGTTGTCGTCAAGGTTCGAATATGAAGAAGGTTACAAGAGTGTTTGGTAGTAAAAGCGTGTAAACCAATACTGATGAGATGAGATGAGATGGGATGTGATCAGGAACGCCGACTACGGCTTAATGCAGTGGTATTGCCACTACCTGTAGGTATAACAAGTGAATTGCGGGATCTGATCGCATGTGGTGGTGATACGACTAGCGAATGGTCCCCTAGATCATAGCGTACCTAGGTAGGTAGGTTGTAAATATGTAGGTAGACAACCCATGAAGTAACTTGTGGGCGTGTTGTTCGAAATCAAACTGTCATGGATAGGTCACTCACCCCAACTCACCCCGACTCACCTGCTCAAGATGTGCCAAAAATGGAAAATCCGTACTAAAGACAATAGTGTAAGGATTTACCCTTCGGTCATACATAGTAGAATCATGTGGGGTGTTACAATCAACGTTACCGCCAAGGCTTCAGGACTGAGATTTACTCGGTGGATTGATAAGTCTTATTTTTTTCTAATGTTCGGTTCTAGAAGCTGAAAAGATTACGAAATATTGCAGGTCGAAGTTTATAAGTGCTGCAGTCCCCTGCTGGCAGGTGTTGGCTAATACCGTGGGGGTGGTACCTATGTAGAAGTGAGTCGGACCGGCAAATATTATGTCGGCTGGTTGCAATTTGCATAGGTACCTAACCTAGGTAGGTACCCCCTTACCTGAATGCGGTCGCATAATTCAAAATTGACAAGCTCGTGCCCAACCCCACTACTAGCTACTAAGAAATTGCTTCTGCTTCTGCTTCTGCTGTTCCATTCCATCAGCCATTTTACTACTACCAACATACTAATAACGGCAAAACGCACCCAATCCCGACAAAACTTCTCTTTTCTCATTCTTCCATGCTAATGTGAGAAGCGTGGAAATGGCTATCAAGTATGCCATCAAAATCTATCGCCATTAGCATTAAAACACAACTAACCGTTAATATGACAGCTACTTGATCCTGCTGTCTCGGCAGGGCAAGGTGGTATGTTAATATAATTCTTCTTTAGAGCCCTGTTTGATTAAAACTGATCGCATATCAGCGCCTAGCCAAATGGTTTACCACCTTGTCTCCCAAGGACAAAGCGAAGATCGTCAAGGACGTCTCTCAACTAGTCCTTGCTAGACGAACTCGCATGTGCAACTTTCTCGAATATAAAGGTCCGCCCCCTATTAACTACCTACTAATATCAGGCAAGACTGCTTGCTCACCAACCGACCAGATACCAAAATCGTCTACCGCCGTTACGCCTCTCTATTTTTTATTGCCGGCTGCTCTTCCGACGACAACGAGTTGATTACGCTCGAGATCATTCACCGATACGTCGAACAGATGGACAAATACTACGGCAACGTCTGCGAGCTCGACATCATCTTCTCTTTCACAAAGGCATACTATATATTGGATGAGATATTACTAGCAGGAGAACTACAAGAGAGTAGTAAGAAGAATGTACTCCGCTGTATAGGGCAGCAGGATTCTCTCGAAGATATGGAGGTAAGTTGCCTACTTAGGTTTTTATTCATACTACTCGTCCTCGCTCCAAGTTACCGTTTCGGCAACCTATGCAAACTTCAAACTCTTCCCTGACGTCCCTATCGTCCCTATCGGTCCTTAATCCCACTGACATGGCTTTTTTTTCGGTTCAGGTCGAGGACGAGGTTACGAAAATCATGTAACATGTTACAATGTATTATTTTCCGAGCGGATTGCAGTCCAAGAATGATTCTTTCAGGGCACGGCGCAACGGGGTTCAAATCATAGTATCATACGCTCTGCATTTACAAACATGCTTACCTATATTCAATTATTTTCACAGGTCTCCAAAGATATCGAGAATGCGCTAAAGGAGGCTGGATTCATGTGATCCCAGAGTTGCAATGTCGTCCGCGCCAGACGAGCCGTGTTGCATTTGTTAAACGTATGACGGTCGTTTTGAAGTGACGCAATCTCAGTGCCGTATCTCTTTCCAACCTATCGCCCAGCATCCCTTACGAATCATTTATGCTACGAGCTTATCAGCAAATTTAGGATATCTTCCGGCACATGTTTGCGCAGTTTGTTCAACCAGGCCAAGACGATGCATATTATAAGCGAATGGGATTCAGCTACGTGAGAATTATCTGAATGCTAATTAAGCGTCCATCAGTGACGGAGGCTATTGCATGGTGAATATGCTAGGTATGTTCTAGGTATGTTAGTTCAAAGCGCGCCGTTGACGCTCGTGGGATCTTGACGTTATCCTATTCGCTTAGTCTCCAGCTGGGTCATTAATCGCTACCTATTGGTGTTATTGGGTGCTATTGGTTTAGGTATAGTCGATGGCTGCCAACTCCTTAGCTAGCTAGTATCAAGCCAGTTATCAAGCCACACCCCTCCAAACTCCGATAAGTTTCCCCCCCCCTGCGCCCTGCGACCCGCGTTACTGCGAACTTGCGACCGGATTCGAGAAGACAAGGAAACGGCACACGGCAAACACCCGGCTTCCTTGGGGGGGTCTTGGTTCCTTGTCAGCCATGTCAGACAAGCACCACACCTGATCAATCACTGCAACACGTTATCTCCCCCCCTGGCCCTCCAATCCGAGAAACCGTCGCAACTCACCTCTTCCACCTTCAAAGGTTTCAATTATACATTCGACAACCATAATAATCATTATATTCCAATTTCGATTATTCTTTCTACTACGTAATGTCCTGCGCTCCTTGCGTCTACTAGGCGATACATCGTCTAGTTTATTCTATTTGAATCAATATTGCAGGGATTGAAGTGCGCATTCGTTGTCTTTCTTTATCAGCTTGCGGGCTGCTGCTGCGTCAACTACGCACACATCGTCAGGACGATAATTATCTTTTAACCAGCAACTCACTATTCCAGACCAGGTGTCACCCGTTTACTGATTAACTCCGGGCTTCTTAACGATCCTTCGAGGCCATACACAGTTATTTTCCATCGCCATCGGCTCCGAGCTTTCGTTTCACTTCGTGGTTAGCATCTACATTAACCATACCCGACTATTACCCCCTCGCATCATATGATATATTCATTTATGCCATTGCGAAATTATCACCGACGCAAAGATGAAGGTTAGTGCACTCGCTATATAGGTTTAGAACGTGTTTGGAGATTTATGTTTGGAAGCATCACAGGTCTTAGCTAACCCCTATCCTCCATGTAGTTTCTCCCGCTTCGCGATTTCGACGTCATCACCTCGGCGCTAAACTTCAGCACAGCTGAGTGTCGTGTCAAAGGCGGATGCGATCTGTACACGACAAAAGCGGCTGGTTCTGACAAGAAACTATACAAATCAATTGAAACATCTCTCGAAGCTCAACATGCGGCGCTCATCAAATTTGGTGCGTCGCTCTCACCGCCACAACGCAAGGAGATGGCTGCATCTCTTAATCTATCCCGTTCCAGCCCATTTGGCAATATGAGCGAGATTTCGAGCCGCCGCACCTTTGCCTATCTCATCGCGACATTGAACGCGAGCCATCCCGATTATGACTTCTCCCACGTCCTGCGCCCGACGGACTTCCGCCGCGAGCGCAACCTACAACATGTAATGGCAAACATTGATAACACGTTGAATAGTGTGCGACCGTTGGGTTCATCACTCCTTTCGCCCGATTCCAACTCTTCGTATCGTTCTTACGGTGGTTCTCCTGCGCAGAATCTAGCTTCAGGAGGCGATGCGATTAGTCCTACATGGAGTCCACACATGTGGACCATGATCGATAAAGAGATGACACTGAAGGACTGCACGGTATTTTCGTATCAACCTCTCGAGGACCCTTTTGATGGTGACGAGTCCGCTATCTGGCGTCTTCATTATTTTTTCTTCAATAAAAATAAGAAACGTGTTGCATATCTATATGTTAGGGGTTTACCGAACTTAGTCAACTCGCCCGCGCTTGCGCCCCATAGGCGCGGGAGTAATGGACTGTCCAAACGCCACGCGACACCCCTACCTGGTAGCTTGGGTGCGAACAAACGCGCTAGGTTCTGGCTAGGAGATCAACTTGCGAGTCGTATTATTATCGACAATGATTATGATGATGAGTACGACGATGACGATATGATCCAGTATGACCCAGACGAGGATATTGAGATCGATCCGTTGCACGATCCCTCTTCCGATGAGGAGAGCGATCAGTATGATGAAGATGACGAGGAAAGCGAATACGAACATGTTGCGCATTCTATTAGGGGCATGAGTGAAGACATCGCGGCGAGGATGGAAATGTAAAAAACCGGTATGATATTATCCCCACGGTCGGATTCGGCTCCCTTTCCATTATTCCATTTCTTTTTGGCGTTCAAGGATGGAATGAGGACGGGGGCATCAGGATCCAGGGGGTAATGACGGGTATCAAACCAATAGATGGCCTGTGTTCTAAGGCCAACAAGTCAGGTTCACGATGTCTTCAACAAGACAGCACAAATGGGTGTATGAGTTTTTGGCGTTTTGGACATGAAGGCATGCGGTTGCGGTTGCGGTTGGAGAGCGTGATTCGACGCTCGATACCCCATGATCAAATGTTTCCCCGTTTTATTTTCTTTTGTGATAACCAGCAGGCTGGCTAGTGGGCGAATTGGCAAGCGCTCGGATGCCGGCGTGTAATGATTTAAGCGTAGTTCTGATGATAGTACATGCCTTCGTTTAGTGTAGGGTTTGGTTTGGTCCAGTTCGTGCGATAGCATGAGAACTCTTCAGATTTACGAATTTAAAATACGAATTCCCAAGCTACCTACGCAGTATTATACAGAAAATATGGTGATTAGGTTGTTCCAATAGAGCAAGTATACATCAAGTACTCCAATTAATATTCTATGGAAGGTTTGTAAAGTAACGTACGCTCACCAGGATCGAAACCGAATCCATTATGCAATTGCTTTTTAGGAATATGATAGGTTCATGAGATCCTATATGGGTAAACTAATGGTAGTACGCGAGCAAGAGTGCGCTTTTATGTTATACGTCTTAAATTCTCGTTGTCAATTTGCGTTAACTGGGTTATAAGAATTACTAAAATCTTTCGTTCTTATCAATAGTCCCATTAGTATTATTCCCCGTCAGTGTTACTATCCGGCACCATGTTGAGATATTACTTTTTGAAACTACCTGTTTCCATGAATCTCCATACCTTCGATGACAGCATGTTGCATCCTATTAAGGATTCTAGTTGCCGCCTCCAGGATATCTAATGTGAATATGTTACTAGAAGGCTTCCTCATATAAGTGGCATATTATTTTCTAGGTTAGCTGCATTCAAGGTTAGCTCAAAGGATGGACAGCCTCATGATATTAATGTTTATACTCACTCACATTCCTACTATTGCTACCTCAACCGTGTGACATAATATGTCTGTAAACCAGGGGTTATTATATCACAACCCAAAGAAGTCTGGCATATAGGCTGTATCCTTATGTGGGTAATACAAGGTTAAGCAACTACGTTGTAGTATGAAAGTTAAAAGTCCAACTATGTTAAACTACTAACCTAGTATATATATCTACAGATGATCAGACACTCCATTCAACAGTTTTCTTAGGATCATTTGTAACAAACTGTTATAGTTAAATAAATAGCATGAGGAACTTTTATTAAAGACACCTCTTAAGGAAGATTACAAAAAAGGTATGGTATTCCAGCGGTGAATGTGGTGTTTGCTTTTATATTATACATAGAAGGTACGAATAAATCTGAAGGCATATGAGTCCCGTATCCCAAAATTATATGACATGTGTACTTAGTTGGAGGGACCGTTAACTTACTGGAATCGTTAGGAACTTGATATTCTTTTATAGAAAGAAAATCTCATTCCCCTGGGGGGTTAACATTTATAAATATCCCACTATCTTCTTGATCTCCCCTATTCCATACCACAAATATCTTCAACCTCATCATCCTCATCACATTACACCTTAGCAATTTCCCAATTCATCTATTATCTCCGTATCAATATGAGCTCGTCTGGATCATCGTGGACACGAGATGGCAAGAGAGACGACGGAAGTGCTGGAGACCGTTCTGAACATAGAACTGGGTCCGATTACAGCAAAGACAACAACGACGATAGTTCGAGCGTGGAGAGTGAGGGCAAGGAAAGTGAGAGTGAGGAGACCGGAAACGAGGACCCTTCAGACGGGGGCGACTCAAGCGACGATGAATCAAGCCATGGTTCAGACGACGGTGACTCAGATGATGATAATTCAGATGGCTCACGCACTTATGTGAACTCGACTACCAGTGGGATCAGCCCTGATAGTAGATTCAGCTCATCTACTACTCTCGTATGGGACTCTGAGGACGACGATGAGGACTCTGAAGAGCAAGACTGTTCTTATTTTCTTTCTCGTCGATTTAACTAGGTGGTTAATGGGGCACGCTAAGAACTGGAAAACTGTGGTTAGACCGAACTACATTGATTGATAGTGGTCTATGAATTTACTATGAATATATACCTGAAGCTTTGAAAGTGATAGAGGGCTGAAGATGTAGTATTGCAATATTATGGTATCTCGAAGTATGTGAGTTAACCCCCTTTTAACCTATCCCTAAGACAGGGATGTAGCAATCATTACTGATTCTGTAGTAGGTTTAAGGGGTATACACATTGCGTTAACTTATGCGAGAAGGCTGAAGTTGTCAGGACAGTCACGGACTCGAGCTTGGCTAACAAGTCGTGTACGAGGATGCACTACCGTCAAGGTTGGTACAACACTATTTAGTACGTAGGGGACGAGTCCTTGGATACGACGTGAGAAATCACATCTCCGCTTTGCGCAACATGTGTGCTGTTTCATCTCTGTAAGTTCGCATTGTGACACTATCTCCAAATCATCAGCAATTTACCATATCCTCGCCTTATAAAACCCAGGCCGTCCCCCCTGGTGCTCAACTTTCACTTCTGAATCCTAATTTGATAAATCTCGTTTAGGATACCGTCAATTCTGACAACTACATGCCACTTTTGGAGAAACACGCTTCGTCGTTGCTATTCTTTACTGCAACCCGATAAATACGTTCTTCTTCTGGTTTTGACCGAAAATGAGTTCTAGCTCATCCTCCAGATCGTCGGGCAACACCGATAATAGCGGAAGTAATCAAGACTCTTCGTCTTCCTCTGGAGACCAGTCGGGCCCTGGTAGCGGCAGTACTGATGGGGGAAGTGATAACGGCGGGCCAGACGATGGCTTCATGTTACCTCCCTCGATTGAAGATCCGGACGATAGCGGCTATAGTACCGACCACGGGCGTTAATATGTCAGGACTGTGAGAAGAAGCCATGGTCTCGCATATTATAGGTAGCGTTCTTTGGTAGTTTCGATAACATGGGGGAAGCGTATATCATTTATCCCCCCAGCTTTATTTTCCCTGCTTCCTATTCGTTGTATCATGCACCTATACTCGAAAGTGACATACCCAAAGCCTTTAACCTAGTTTGAACTCATGGGACTAAACATTTATTTTTCTCAAGCTTAACTTCATAAATCATAGATACTTGGTAGCTATCTGGAGAAACGTCTTTGCCTATCGTATTAAAACGTTTATACATGAACATTGAATAATGGCAGTCTGGTGCGATACATAATACGTGTGAAGTTGGGAATTGGTAGAAAGAGGGACCTATGTAATTGGTCTCCCCCCGTTGCCCCTTTACTCTCCATTTGTAGCGATTACCTAATCCAATTCTTCTCAAAAAATCATATAAGGCACTTGCACTTATGCACCTACCCGGTAGGTCTTCAGAAGAAGGTGTGGATTAGATAAGCAACCCAAAGGCTACGGTTGCCTAGGGTACGTACCTATAAATCCATTAAACCGCGTCGCGAATTAAAGTGGAGACGCTCTCCAAGCTCGCGTCACCTTACATCCCAATTTTTTGGGGCAGAGTTTGATACGTTCACCTTCAGCCTTCTTTCATCCCTCTTTTTTTTTCTTATAGTTTTTCATTTTACCGTCCATCAATCAACTCTTCTATCTGTCATCTCTTCGCCAACGACTTTCGGGTCATCTACGAAGATGGCAGACATCAAGATCGATGGGAAGCTCTTCCAGGAGCGCATTAATCATTTCATTAATGCTTGGAAGGCTGATAAACGCGCTGGAGATACTGTCTTCGGCGGTGTATCCTCCATTCTTATCATGATGGGTAAAGTCGAGGAGAACCCAGAATTCCAGAAGAACAATGCTATGCACGTATGTAATATCTGCAATATTCACGTCCTTACGAATCGGGCGACATTCTGTTTGACGAGACTGACTTTTATTTAGTTCTGGTTGTTAGGCTACGAATTCCCAACTACGCTCATGCTCATTACTACCGACACTCTCTACATACTTACGACGGCGAAGAAAGGTAGCGATTACCCGAACTTTCTATTATTGCGCGACTGGGTGACTGACTTTTTTGTAGCGAAACACTTGGAACAATTGAAGGGTGGTCGATTTCCGATTGAGGTTTTGGTTAGGGGTAAAGATGCGGCCGCAAACGAGAAGCAATTCATCAAGATTGCCGATACCATCAATTCTGCAGGAGTGAGTCATACACCCCCTTTACTATATATTGTTTTTCTCAGCTGACATGATTTGGTAATTAGAAAAAAGTCGGCCTTCTCACCAAGGATAGGTCGAATGGTCCTTTTGTCGACGAATGGAAAAAGATCTTCGGTGATAAGTGCAAAGATGCCGAAGAGGTTGACATATCCGGTGCCTTATCGACCGCTGCCTTCTCCGTCAAAGATGAAACAGAATTGCGCTCCATGCGAGCAGCGTCCAAAGCCTGTGTCGCGCTGATGACACCATTCTTTCTGGACCAGATGTCGGACGTCTTGGACCAGGAGAAAAAGGTGAAGCACAGTGCGCTTGCAGATAAGGTTGATAGAAAACTCGATGACGAGAAGTGGTGGAAGACGGTTGAGCTGCCTAACAAACAGAGATTACCTTCGGATTTCGATCCCGCGTCGTTGGATTGGTACTTGGGTCCTGCAGTCCAGAGTGGTGGTAAATATGACCTAAAGCTTCAAACAGAGCCTACTGGCGATAACCTTCATCCCGGCGTTATTATCGCTGGCATGGGTCTCCGATACAAGTCGTACTGCTCTTCCATTGCGCGAACGTACCTCGTTGACCCGAATAAGACGCAAGAAAGTACCTACAAATTCCTCTATTCTGTCCATAACCTGGTTTTGAAGGAGATCAAAGATGGCGTAGTTGCCAAGGACGTTTATAACAAAGCCTTGAGTTACATCAAGTCTAAAAAGCCCGAGTTAGAGAAGCATTTCCTCAAGAATGTCGGAGCAGGTATCGGCATCGAGAGCAAAGATCCTACACTAGTGCTCAGCGGTAAAAACTCACGAACTTTGAAGGACGGAATGACTTTATGCATAACGACCGGCTTCACTGATGTCGAGAATCCTTCCCCGAAGGATAAGCTTAGCAAGACGTACTCCCTAGTTCTTACCGATACCATCCGAGTAACGAATAGCGATCCGGTTGTATTTACTGGCGATGCTCCTACCGATCTCGATGCGACCTCGTTTTTCTTCAAAGATGACGAGGAGATGCAACCAACACCTAAGAAAGAGAAGAAGGACTCTCGTGTGGGTGCTGTGGCTACTAAGAACATTACGAGCACCCGTCTCCGGTCCGAGCGAACTACTCAAGTGGATGAGGACCAAGAGAAGAGGCGACGTGAACATCAGAAAGAACTCTCTCAAAAGAAACAGAAGGAGGGTATGGCTAGGTTTGCCGAGTCGACAGGTGGTCCAGATGGCGCGGAGGTGAAGAAGTTCAAGAAATTTGAATCGTACAAGAGAGACAATCAGATGCCACTAAAAGTCAAGAATCTCGAGATCTTGGTTGACCAAAAGAACCACACCCTTGTGCTTCCTGTCATGGGAAGGCCCGTTCCTTTCCACATTCACACCATCAAGAACGTCAGCAAGAACGACGAAGGAGAGTGGTCCTATTTGCGTATTAACTTTCTTTCTCCGGGTCAGGGAGTCGGTAGGAAAGATGATCAGCCATTTGAGGACGCCTCGGCACAGTTCGTCAGGAGCCTGACGTTCCGTTCTCGGGATGGCGATCGATACGAAGAGATTACAGCGCAGATTTCTGCTATGAAGAAAGAGGCTACTAAGAAAGAGCAGGAGAAGAAGGACATGGAAGATGTTGTTGAACAGGAAAAGCTAGTCGAAATAAGGAGTAAGTGGATATATATACATGCTTTTCACGATATCTCTATACTAACTAGTAGCTAGATCGACGCCCCCCTGTTATGGACAACGTGTTCATACGTCCTGCGATGGAAGGGAAGCGAGTTCCTGGCAAGGTTGAGATCCATCAGAATGGTATCCGGTACCAGTCACCGCTTAATCCGCAGCAGAGAGTCGACGTGCTTTTCTCCAACATTCGCCACCTGTTCTTCCAACCTTGCGCCCACGAGCTCATTGTAATCATTCACCTGCATCTTAAAGACCCTATCATTATTGGCAACAAGAAAAAGACAAAGGATGTGCAATTCTACCGAGAAGCAACAGATATTCAGTTTGACGAAACTGGTAATCGAAAACGAAAATACCGCCACGGCGACGAGGACGAGTTCGAGCAAGAACAAGAAGATCGTCGACACAGGGCTGATCTTGATCGCCAATTCAAGAGTTTTGCTGATAAAATTGCGGAGGCTGGCAAGAACGAAGGCGTTGAAGTTGACATGCCGCTTAGAGAGCTTGGATTCAGCGGCGTCCCGTTCCGAAGCAATGTTACGATCCAGCCGACAACAGATTGTCTTATTCAGATCACAGAGCCGCCCTTCCTAGTTGTTACGCTAGATGATATCGAAGTTGCTCATCTGGAGCGTGTGCAATTCGGGTTGAAGAACTTCGATCTAGTGTTTGTGTTTAAGGACTTCACTAGGCCACCCGTTCACATCAACACAATTCCTGTAGAGTCGCTGGAGGATGTGAAGGAATGGCTCGATAGCAGCGACATCGCATTTAGCGAAGGTCCTTTGAACCTGAACTGGCCCACGATCATGAAGACGGTCACAGCTGATACCCATCAATTCTTTGTCGACGGGGGATGGTCGTTCTTACAGAATGAGAGCGATGACGACGACGACCAAGAAGAGGAAGAGGAGTCCAACTTTGAGATAGACGAATCCGAGCTCGAGGAAGCCAGCGAGTCTAGTGAAGACGATTCGGAGTACGATAGTAACGCATCCGAAGACGCTAGCGATGAAGGCTCAGAAGAAGACGAGGAAGACGAGGAAGGCGAAGACTGGGATGAACTAGAGAAGAAGGCGAAGCGAAAGGATCGAGAGAGCGGTCTTGAAGAGGAAGACCGTAGCCGTAATAAGAAGCGACGCCACTAGACTCCTCGCCTAAAATACGCAGATCCTCATCGGGGGGGATGTTTATTTGAATCGTCGAGATACTAGTCCTATAGGTGCGATTTCGCAAGGCGAAGGGACCGCCCATTTGGAGCTGAGGTTGTACGAAATGCTTATTATTCAGCACATTTATTGCGTCGAGCTGCTAGTCGCAGGTTTTGCAATTTGTTTTAATTCCGCTGCTTCGGGACGAGGCTATGATAAGCTGAAGGCGAAACTGCGTTTGCTTTTAGTTAATTCTCGGTGGTTGGCTCTTCGCAGAGCATATGTAGGCTGTATCGTACCGTAATGCAAAATGGACCCCTTGGGTATCGTTGACTTAATTCATATTATATGTGCTATTAGGTGCGACTTGCTTATTCGTTTTAATTGCCAGGTATCGCACTATGAACCATTCGAATATGTTGGTATAGCATTATTTCTTTCTATAGGAGGTACCAAGCACCGCTGATATGTAAGTAATTCTCAATTTTCTATGACAGCACTTTGGTATATTAATATACTATATTGTCTACCTAGGTACATAACCTATATACTGACGAATGCCCACCGCTATAGCTAGACAGCTATCTTAAAGGTCTCTACATAACACGCGACTATCCCACTCAGCAACTTATAACATCTCAGCCTTGCCAAACGGCCGGACCGGGAGCAGTATAGGTAGTCGGAACGGGGTAGTAAGACCAGATCAGACCGGGATCGCTAGCCTTGTAGGCGCCGGGGAAAGTGACGAGCGGACCGGGAGTCCCGCTGCCGCCACCTGTCACCTTGACTTGCGCGCACGAGAGGTACCTGATTTTTTGTGTTAGTCCCCTTTATATTAAAATATCCTTTAGTACTATGAGCAGAAGAGAAGATTCTTTCATACATTTGAGCGCCGCCGATGGACTGTGCCTGGTGGAGGGCTATGGACTCGACGCGCACGAGGTAGTTCCCGCTCGGGACGTTCTTGGGGATCGTTACGTTGACGGCTTTCTTGTCTGGGAGGGCGTTAGTCTGCGGAATAGGGAAATAGGAACAAGAGACACCGACTGTAAGCGGGCCAAGTAGCCTCGCTAGACCCCAGCGGCGGGACGGCGGTGATGCTGCCGATCTTGAACCACACGTTGCCCGCGGGCTCCCAGGTGTTGATGTCGGCGCTGTCGGGGACCTTGGCCATGTAGAACTGGACGGGGCCGAAGTGGGTGACGGCGGCGTTGGCGGCGAAGCCTAGGACTTGGCCGGCGGCTATGGTGGCGGTGGCGGTGCCCGGGCTTGCTTGGTAGCATCGCATGTCGGGGCTGTCGACGCTGGTGACGCCGCTGTTGGTCTGGTAGTTCTTGGTCTTCCGGACGGAGGTCCACTCTGCGGCTTCTTGCTCGCCGTTGATGATTAGCTTGGAGAAGCGGTCTGTTGCGGTGTTAGTTAGCTGCCTCGTCGGGTACGCTGTCTACCGCGGCGTGGCGCAAGGGGGCGTTGTACTTACAGTGGGCTTGGGCAGTAGCTGCCAGCGCCAGGAACGTGATTAGCTTCATCTTTGCTGTAGATGTTGAGGCGAGACTTGGGTGAGTTGTCGTTTTCCGGTAGGAGAGGCACAGGCTGTGAGAGATAGGGAAGACGGGCGCGCTAATGTGCCCGGCGAGGCCGCTGTGATATACCACGGGGAACACATTTCAAATACCGGGGAGCAGGTCATCGCCAAGACGAAGCGCTATCGACTGAACCAATTACTGCGTTTATGTTGCTTCCCCAGATATGAACCCCGTGGGCTAGTCTAATGTTGGGGGTAATTTGTTGTGGTTAAAATATCCGGTTGTAAAGGAGAAGGGCAGCCCGGCAGGGGGAGTTGGCCAATGGAATGGTTGTGATATTATCCGGGGATGGCGTATTAATACTTTCTTTGCTGGCTTTATGATATATGAAGAATCTCGTAGTAGGTAATGCTTACAACTGGAGATATATATAACCTAGATATATCTTCATTTGGTATACAAGACGCCCGTTTGTCCGGCATGGGCCTCGTAACGCTCAGTTACCTGGCCCGTTGAGTCGGCTTAGGTCGGATGTGTGGTACTTGATAGCTCGACGTCTACAAGCTTAATCAACTGGTGAGATATAGATGTTAATAATGCGGTTAAGATGATTTACAATTGTATTAGGATGTAGCTTGCTCTAAGTTCTAATTTTGCTATTACCAACAGAAGTCCGCTTCTACTGAACTTGGGAATGTCAACCTTGCGCCATGCCTTGTCTGTAACCATCATAGCAACGAGTTGGCTACGATCGACCTTATGCCTCCATAAATAAGGAACTTAATTATACACCAGTTCAATGGGAACGAATCCATTTAGATCTTCGCCTTGATCTTCCGTAAGAATTCCCCGTCGTCCTCAAAGGGCTTAGCACCTAGCCTATGCCAGGCCCCCGCAGCCATGAGAGCCTCGTTTTTCTCCTTTCCGGGAAATAGGAACTCAGCCTTCTCATCACCGACGTTGGCAACTGATTTATCCTGCGACAAGTCCGTCATTAGTATTACTGTACATACGGAGGGTGTGACATAAAGTAAACTTCACTTACGAGTCCCAAAGTCAACTTGATTCCACCGTCAGTCCAATGCGGCACATACTTGTCCTTGGGCTTCTTGCCTTCTGTAGCAGATACCACATTGAAAGCAACAATCGTAGCCTGGCGCATTGCAGACCTCGAGTTTGGATGTGAGGTGTTGGTCTCAGAGACATCTCCACAAACATATACGTTAGGTAGGGATTCATCCTGAAGCTGCAGAGTAGGCTTGGTAAGGATATGGCCTGATTCAGATATAGATGTCGGGCTCAGCTCCGAAATCAGCTTGGAGTCGGGCCTTTGACCTGCGCAGTTGACCTATGGAACTTGTTAGCTCGGACAATAAAGGGGAGGCGGTAGGATGACATACCAGGTAATCGCATGCAATCTCTTTTCCACTCTTTAAGATGGCAATGCCCTTCTCTTTGTCCTCGCTAACCAATCTATCCCCAGTAATAAGCTCGATTCCCAGGTCCTTAATACCATTTGTCGCGGCGGCTTGCAACTTCGGCCCAAACCGGTGCATCACAGAATCTCTTGAATGTACTAAGGTGACATGCTTCTCTGGGTACTTTGACTTCGCATCCGTAGCTAGCTCAACGCCTGCAGCACCTCCACCCACGACGACTAGATTCTTCGACTCGCGGATTTGCCTCTGCATCTCTCTCATGAGCTTCATTCCTTCCTCCTTATCATAGGTTCCAACACGACTAGGTAGAGTATCGGTAGCACCTGCGCCAGTAGCTACGACCAGGAACTCGTATGGAATCTCCTCGCCGGTCTCAGCCAAACGCACGCTGTGTCGCGAGATGCTAGCGACACGGTCTTTGATCCACGACACCTTGCCTCCATCGGCATCCAAGGATCCGGGGGGCAGAAGTCCGCCATAAGGGATGAATGCCTTGTGCTCGTGGCCCTCGGCGACGCAGAATCTGGGAAGTACCCAAGTGAAATGGAAGTGGTCTCGGGGTTCGATGACGATGATACGGTATTCCGAGTTTGGAAGCAAATATCGCGCGATATTACTGGCAGCGAAGTAGCCTGCGATAGAGGCGCCTATGATAATTATATTACGGGGTTTCTCTGGGTCTGCGGAGGACGAAGAGGAAGAAAACATGGCATGACGTAAAAGTTTGAGGCGGAAAGCTAGGTTGTGACGGAGGTTTGTGAGGATCGTTGACACAGCGAAGCCGGCGCCATTGATTATTAGAATTGGTTTCTCTAACATCTTTGATGCGGGCTGGACGACGATGCCTCAAGGTCTAGCTCAAGCCGGAGACGGAGAATCTAATAGGCTGTTTGGCTATTGTAAGCCCGGAACATGAGGGTTCGAAGAAACAGGTGGGATTTTATAATTATTCGTATTAATAGAGATGCGTCTCAATAAGCATGGAAAAGGAGAGAGGAAAGAAAACAAATAAATTAGACAAGGGAGAACTTAAGAAGTAAGTATATAAGTAAAATACGATTCCCCGAGGAATCTAGAAGTCCGATGACTTATATCCTTCCCTCTCGAATCTGATAAGATTAGATCGTCTTCAGCTCGACCACGCTAATTGGTCTCGCTATTTCCTATTGGGGCAATGTGGGCTTTAGACCGAGCCCGAGTTCGGCTCGGAGCTCGGATTCGGGGGCTACGGAAATAGAGTTTTCGGCACCGACGCGTAATGTAAGTCGCGATATTTAAGGGTAGGGCGAGACCGTGGCTTGTACATAATCTCGCTTCTTGCAGAAATACGCACGGTGAGACACGTGTACCCATTCCTTTCCCGTTTCCTTTGTCTGGTCGATGGTAAGTTGATGTATTATTGGACACTAGGAATACAGAAACTCCGTGTCCTTGACGAGTGTTAATAAGTCTGTTGCACTGTGCAAGCAACTTATACATAGTAAAAGTGGCTTTTCTAAATTATATTTAACCTAGTAGTTATAGCTAAACTCTTAAATAAATATTGATTCATTTAAAACGCCGTTTAATTGCAACATCCATCAATTATATAGTGAATCGACTGTAAATTAGTTGTAACAATTTACTAACCTGGGTTAGCTGCTTGTATGCTAAAGGTTAACCGTCATCCTGTGAGTCAACCCGGATGCAATTGATACTAGTCTGTTTAACTTACAGGCGATGGAATATATGCGACTATCTACCGGCCTTAGGCATTGCCCAAATGTGCCGTTCTCATGGGGGTCAATAACACAGGTGGAACAATCCTCTAAGCGTTGTGGTGAGTACAATCGCCGTAGTGACTCTAACATACAACCGCGTCAAGACCATATACGATGTTATCGTAGGTCTTCGTGATGCTCCAAAAATAATCAAGGAATTTTCACAATAGTGTGGATTATATTGACCCATCTTCTCCATTAAACACTCAAATATTAGGGCGTCTTGGCATAAATTCAGAAGGTAATACCGTCATTTATGCATGTATTGGTTTAAAGAGGAAATATACTAAGCTACCTATTTGACAACTATCTCTTCAAGGTGTAGGTTGGCATTATTTATCTAGGTAACAGGTACCTCCCTAGATAATGGCCAATCGAGTTCAAACCATTAATGTTCGCAGAAAAGTAGTGGTTCTATTGAGATCAGTATTGCATATTCTTTCGCACAGAATAAAGTCTAATAAACGTACCTCGCTCATTTTCTCTTCCCATTTATCATTTGTCCAGCTACGTTCATCCATGAGGACTTCCCGTACCTCCTCAGCTCGCTCCCAGCTCATGGGGAAGTCCTCCACAAAGTCTATAATCATGTCGAAGATCTCAACTGGGATTTTCGAAAAGGGAGAGATTTTACGAACTTCGGGTGCCCACCAATCTCGTCGCTGTGGTGGAACGACCCCGGTAGACAGTACACGGATGTTAGGATCGACGAGAAACATGGCAAGGATTTTCCTGAGGCCTGGCTTGGTTGGGTCTTCCAGTCGAAATGGTTGCACTTGGTGCTGAAACACATTAGGGAAGGCAAGTAGGCGCCCAGGCTGCGTGAGTACACTTCCGAGCTCCTGGAAGGGCGGATCATCGTGGTCGTCCACAATCCCCATCCAACGCATTAGAGATTGGAACTCATACTGAGGTGGTGTCTCGCGCACTTTTTCGGCATCGACAGCCTGCTTGAATGCGAGCCGGCTTTCGCTAATGTTCTCGGCGTCGTAATAATAGAGTGCGGTAGCGACGATTCTTTCATTGAGTGCTCCTTCGATATGCCACTTGAATGATGGAAGTTAGCATTTTATTATTTGAAGGAAATATCCAGATTTGATACGGTAATTCTGGCTTTAGGGGAGGCTCGAAGAAGGGGGAAAGAAAAACCGAACGCTACATACGCTGCCGCCATCATACTCGGGATCCTCGGGGGTCAAGTGGATATTTGCAAGCTTGAATATAACCTGAAGACCAGAAGGGAAATCCTTTTTCAGGTCTGGCTTGCCTGGGGAGTCTCTTTCGCGAGGAGTGTAATCTTTAGGTTCGGGCCATCGAAGAACCTTATGCCCCTCGTACCACTCCTCAAACTCTTCAACATATCTATCATATCTGTCAAGTTCGTATCTGTCACGTGCGTTTCTTGGCTCATTTTCAAGATTCTGGAGCAACCGATCTGGGACGGTAACACCTTCAGGCAAGTAGTAGTCTTTCGGACCTTCGGGCTCGCATATGATGCGTGGTTTTAGTGCTGATTCGCGGAACAAACACTCTTCCCAAAGGGGAACGGCCGCAGAAATGAACTTTTCGAAGACTTCGTACAAGTCCTTGTGGTCCACGGGATGTAGGTTGTTGATGTAGCTTGAAATCCTGGGACCAGTCTTTGTCCATGCAATATCGCTAGGTAACCATTGGGTGCTCCCCCAGAGCGAGGGCTCGTTGGCTGCCTTTTTCCCAACCAATCTCGTAGTCTCCCCTTCGCCAATAATTGAAGCACAGTCTTCAAGTGGAACTTTACCATAGGGTAAAACACGTGTGGTGCCGTAGACAAGTGGGAATAGAGATGGATGTAAGAGGTCGAGGACTTGTTCACCAGACCCAGGATGCCAATCTTTGTCCTTGTCAGGCACATCTTCCAAGGATTTAATACCGAGCCTAAGATCATCAACTAGTGAAGACGGGACGATTGTGTCAGACTTGGCAACGGCTAACTCGGCGTCTAACACATTGACGATGCCAGTCTTTTTCACCTGCTTCGCCTTATCGCGGAGTTCCTTGATACACTAAATTGTGTTAGCCCGGGCTTTCGTCTTTGATGTATTTGATAGTAATTAAGATGCCTAAGGTACGGGTAGAACCTACGTTTTCAAACATCTTGTCAGACAAATAGACATCGCCGTCGAAGTTTTGATGCGAAGCCATCTTTGCTTCCTCTTTCCATTTGGCAACAATTGTCTCGTCGAAAACCTTTTCTTCCCAATTCGGTTTGTCTGAAATCTGGTTGATGAAACCCATCACTAGTTTTCATCTTGTTACTAACAACCTTCATTTACGAGTTTAAGGAGCGGGGATAAAGGAGGCCTAGCACGAATAAACTATTTCAACTAGTCCTAAATAAAAAAGGAACTAGATGCGACTTACTGCGAATTTCACGCAACGTGAGGCCAACACTCTTGAAATACTTTTTATCCCAGAGGGCATGAAGGAAGCATGAGGTGGACTTGTCGTGATCTGGCTCGTAGTCAATAGGCAAGCCGAAGCCAGGAAGGTTAAGCCTCCCAGATGAATTCTGGGGAGGCATATTGAAGTGAATGCCTGATTTGAGCCAAATAGAAGACAGTATGAATGCGATGGGTTATAATACCTAAATTTAAATACGTGAAATAATAGAAATGACGAGAGAGTAAAATGTTAAAAAAAAAAAATCAAGACCACTCGTCGAGCTAAATGTTCCGATCCTCCTTATCAGGCACCCGGCCGCTGCCTACGAATGTTGGTAGTAACCTTGAATAAATCTGTGGAGAATGAATAAATTTGCCAGAAACTATAGGACTGTTGGTTAGGTACAACTGAGATGTACTAACTGAATTTCATTATTGTGAATATAAATAAGCAGTAACGTCTGCGCCGTTCCCAACTACATAAAACCCCAGTTCTTCGGCATTACACCAACGGGCCTTGGCGCTTAGCCGCCCGCTGCTGCTCCGTCTTAGTTCCGGTGCTCCAGAATCAAGTTTGACTGGCTTTATAAACACTCGTTAATATGTGCGTAGTCATCTAACAAGATATCTGACAGCATATTTCGTTCTACCAGAGCTGAGGATGACTTTATCAACGGAATTGCTTGCTAGCACTATATGTAGCATTGAATGGCAAGCCTTGTTCAGACGTGGAATCAATGCTGATGAGAAGCGGCGGTGTGTTGTGAATTAAGTTGGGGAGAAGCGTGAGGGTCAGATGTAGCGGAAATAAAGTGTTAAGGCTGACGTTTTCAATGGTTATATCTTCAGCTTCATCCTTCAGCGGCACGAAGTTCGGACTAAACGGATTTCCCCCGGCGTTGCTAATGAGAACAGTGAGGTTCAGACCATCAAGCATTCTCTTGATCGCCGTAAGGTCTAGTGCTAAGTAAAGTAGTCGAAGAAGTGAAGGGTTTTGAGATATCAGCCATTTTTTATCACGCCGAGTTAAGTACCCCCCTGACTGTCCGAATGTATATATTAAATATTAGATATATGTAGCTTGTGTTTATTAAACTCTGTCTCTTGCCTAAGAGGTACCTCAGACAAGGTAAAACGGTGCTTTTAATGAGTCGCCAAGTGAATCGTAATCGTTAAAGGTGCATTTTACAGATTATCCAACTTCTTACCAATGCTATCAACATCTCCGCTTCCAGTAGATAACTCTTTGGATTCCAGGGTGTGAAGCCTTTTTTCCGCAATGCTTGATATTAATCCATTCCATAGCACAAGAGACAGGGACAACCATACAAATGCCTGCAAGCCCCAAAATAATTGTACGACGCACTGCTTCGACGTATGCGGCGCGTAGAGCTTCAAGCACCGTAGGAGAAGTAGCTACAATTTGTAGCCCTGTTGCACCGGCTTCAATCACTGCGGCCGGGGTCACAGCGTTAGTGTACCGTGGTACAGCAACGTTGAGTCCATCGATCAAGAGTGCCTGTCCGATTGCAGTTCCCACGGCGCTTTTTCAAGTTAGTTGATGATAAGATACATTGATTTCCCAAGTATGACCTGGTATAACCACTGGGAAGAACCACTAGGAAGCGAAGCTTGGGTTAAAGGAAAAGTTAGAAAATACATACCCTGCGAGGTGAAATGAGAATACATTGATAGCTGTTTAAGAGTAAGGTTTTCTATATTTCAATTACCATAGAGGCTGAAGTCGACGTACCATTTCCTGTTGCTACATCGTCGGGTCTAGGAGGAGCCAACTGTTAGTTTCTTTATAATGATGAACTAGGATGCTAAGAAGTACATACTCAAGAACAACCTACACTGCTGTATATGGCAATTGACCCGCCATACCAAGGCCGATCCCAGTTAACACCAAGTACGTAGCCCATTTCGCAGTAGAGGTAGAGAGATTAACGGTCGTAAGGAGACCAGCTCCAACACTACAAACCACGCCTCCGGCTATCATGTAAGGTACCTTGGAGACGCCCTGTCAGCCAAAATTCAAAGCTTATAGAGAGGCATGATGAGAACTACTTACATAGTACCCCCATTTGGACACTATTCCCCCAGTAATAATCAAAGCAACTATCTGGGGGCCAACAAGTGCAATGTATCTGAGTCCACTTTCGGTGGTGGACGCTCCCTGTGCGGATTGGAATAGAATCGGGAGATAGTACCCATACTACAATTGTTAGTCAGTAGTCAGAAAACCCATTATTTAAACAGGCATTCCTAAATATACCTAGGTAACACTTACGACAACGGAAATTATGCCAAAACCCATTAGGGTGATTGCTCCCACATATACTGAGCTTCTTCAGGACTCGAATTGGAATGAGGGCATGATCCCCTTGTCTCACGAGCCAGTAACAGAAGCAGAGCATCAAGACCCCAAAACCGACGAAGAGGCCAATGATCCTCTGGTCACTCCAAGGATATGCACCCCCACCCCAGGTCAGTGCGAGTAAGATGCATGTTATTGCACCGAGGAAAAGGATAAGCCCCGACGCGTCCATGTGTCGAAGCTTCTCACGTACCGGTAGAGCTTGGTTAGCTTCTTTCGATACCTGACCGAGGTGCACAAACAGTAATACGATGATAATAACACACGCACCGGCCGGGAGGTTACTGCTATGGTGATCAGAAGAAATATATTAATCCGTATTCGCGGGGCTTGAGGTAGTCTCACATCCAAAAACACCAACCTGTTCATAGGTTAGCGATAGACGTAGTTATCCATAGACCAGTTGATACATACGCCAGTTCACATATTGTGTTAGAGCACCACCTATTACCGGCCCGCAGCAGACAGCCACAGCCATAGAGCCGACCACAATACCTTGATACAGAGGCACTTTGTCAATGGTAACAGTGTGGCTAATGATAGCAAGAGCTCCTTGAAGCAGACCCGCGCCTCCTAGGCCAAACCATGCTTGTCCGAAAATGAGCACAGCGGACGTTGGAGCGGCGGCGCAGATAGCAGAGCCCACTGGATGATAATGTGGTGAGTTAGCTCCCATTTAGACGTGAATGAGGAGCCCGTAATAAAAAGGCATTTGGATCGCATACCTTCGAAAATAACCAGCGACGTTACATATACCACTTTAGCATTGAAGAATTTGTAGAGATTTCCAAATAAAGGCTAAAATGCCGTCAATGTAAGCATATATGCCGACCCATACCAAGCTACGTCCGGTAACGATCGAAACTGGGTCGTGATGCGAGGAATGGCAACGGCGACAATGTTGACGTCGAGCCCAAATAAAAATACCCCAAGGCACAGGCTACCTATAACGGTTACGAGGCGCCATGAGGTTAATTGACTTGAGCCTGTCTGGGAACTTTGGGCTCCGGCGTTCGAGTCGTCTTCGGCCATAGGTGCTTGAAAAAGAGGCAAAATGAGTATAGGGACAACGAAATAGAATAAAAGCAAGCGGCGGGCTAGAAATGTTAGGTACCTCGTAAACCCACGAGATTATACAATAAATGTGAAAAATGAGAACATAGGAAAAGCCATGTATATAGTGTTGGTGTAGTAAAAGATAAAGGCTGGCTGCAAACCAAGCATAAACACGCAAGGGAGGCTTAAAGGATTTATTAATTATTCGTTTTTGAAATTCGGTTGGTTGCACCAGTGTATTGAGGTTTCAATGGCGTGTGTTTACTAATTATATAGCGTTCTGTATTATATTATATTACACGGCATTTTGAGACGTATCGTTTCGTTGGTTACACATAACACGGCCTCCATGGGGTTCCCCCTGGCTACCTACATGTATGTACTGACCAGTTAATTTTAGGTATATTTTTCAAATTTGCAAACTCGGATCGGATAATGAACTAGGACAAAAAAAACCCCAACGCTTCTGTAATACAAATGACTCGTGGGTATAGTCTCGTATCTCCTGTAGTCAGTGCTTCTCTGCAATTTCAACGATAACATCCATGTCTTTCATAGGGCCATTAAGGCCGAAAGATGGCGTCGTAGAATTCAAACGCGGGAAGGTAATTGGCGTTCCCTCTGAATCCTTAGATATATCTATGTGAAAGCGATGGAAGAGAATTGCAACGAATCCGAAGATCTCCTGTCTGGCTAGTGTCTGTCCCGGACACAAAATAGCTCTTCCGCCAAATGGTCTGAAAGAGGGAGAACGAGCCAAGGACTTCTTCTTAAGGAACTTCATTGAAGATGGAATCAAGATTTGGGATACTCGATGAAAGGAATTTGATATCTAGCTGGCCATCTCGCCAAGCAGCCTCAGTCTCTTGTTTTACCAATTTCATGAGAGAATCCTCATATTATGAAACATGGGCTAGAAGCCAGAAACAGCTATTGTATTCAGTAGACACCGCCCTAAAGTTATCGTTAGAACTAAAACTAGATTAGTTTATTGAAAAGCTAATTAGAGACTATACTTACGCCTAGAAGATCATGACTATCATGGAAACCTCAGACTTCAAGTCCATTCCGACAATGTCCATGCCATTAAGAATATTGGTAATCGCCCAGGACGCCTTGGTTCGTTGATTCTTGGGTAGTTGAATAATCTTCTCACTGCGTCCATGAGGTTAGTCCGATGCTCATTCACGGGCAAACTGAAAACTTTAGGACAACGAAACAAAGATCATCCATACAAGAGGGCGTGTATGTATGTATGTATGTATTCGATAACGAAGAATATCACACTAAAGCCAGGTCCAACGCCAAAGCAAAAGGCAAGCAATCCGTCCGTCGCCATCTAATCTCTATAGCCCACTATCATCGTCATAATGCACTTCCAGCAGGCCGTACCAAACGAGCTCCGAAGTCTTGCGTTTAAGCTGGAGGATAAACAGCCGATTATCGAGCAGAAATCGCAGTCTCGTTCCCTTAGAATTGCAGCCGTCTTGCTCTCATTATTAGCTTTTCCCACCATACAAGTACTGGGCGAGTCATGCGTCTTGCGTCTGATACCGGCTTCATCACCTTGCTTGCCCCAGTCTCTATCAATTCAAAGTCAAACTTCGCAAGGAGCATCGTGAGACTAAAAATCATCTGATGCGTTGCGTAATGACGTCCTGGACAGATGAGATCCCCCTCCATAGGGATACCAAAGCCCCAAAAGTCCCTCTACAGAGAATCTTTTTCTAGGCGAAGGTGAGTTTGAATCCTTCGCTGATGTGTTTCCGGATTTGCGGAATCCAGCCAGTGAATGATGTAACCATTCTGAATGCACGAGAAACCGCTCGGCATCGAACTCCCCAAGCGACTTATTGAGTATCCTACCGGCCCGTTCCTAGGCCGAATAATCAAGTGCAGAGCTTCTATTGTACATAACCACATAGCTGTCTTTAGGAATAGAGTAGCCAGCAATATTTATATCACCATACTCTGCAAATCTAATAGCCACGATCGCAATATAGAGGCGTAGCACTTCGGCATAAGCTGATTGTAGCGAAGGTTGGATTGTGAGCTTCTTGATTTCAAGGTTAATACCGTCACCGGAGGATCACTCGCCAATTTCTTCTTTTAATCGTGATAACAGTTCCGGATCTCTAAGCACCTCATACACAAACCAAAACATGGAAGTCACCATGTTAGTGGTGGCCCTAACATATTATTAGGCGCGCATTTTGAATGAAGTGAGATGGGGGTGTGAGTGACTCGCGCAAATATTAAGCCAAAATCCTCTGTAGCTCGAACATCAGGAGTCATCTCCTTTGTGTGTAGTGAGTAGTTTTCCCTCGCTCTAATGAGCTTAAAATCAAAATATGTTATAAGATACTTGATACAATTCTCTGGTGCTACATTGCTCTCTTTCCGTGGACTCTTTCCCACGCCCGAGTCATCGTCCAAATATAATTGGACGGCGCTTTTGGGAAGGTCAAGAAGATTATGGATCGCAAATAGTGTGGCGGATTTATTTGTTATTCTCTTAGCAGCTCTGAAAGCAGCCTTGATGTTATTGATATTTCTAAAAAAGAAGAGTCTGATAGGACCTGCTCTCAACTGAAGTGGTGCATCCGATTTAAAGGCTCCCCTTGACGATATGAACCATTAGTTCTTATTACTGGAATAGAAACAACAACTAGGGGGAGATCAAACACTCTTACTGCAGCTTGAGGAGATATTCAGCAGGATTTAGGAAAGCAAAAGCATGGAATAACCCGGGGATCCAATAAGGTACAATAGGTGCTTCTCGTATCGTGTCATTGTTATTACTATTCCTTTTTATTTCCGTTCGAAACTGAACGCAGGACATGCAGTAAGTGAACAATAAGGACAGGAGTCCCAGAATAGGCCACTTTACCCAAGTCTCGACAAGAGAGTCAGGGTTAAGGGAACGCAGAATTTCGATTCCTTGGGCCTACTACCTCACCAGACTAACGGACAGGATTGTAAATTAGCAGTTAAGAATAGTATAGCTTACCGATACACCTCGAAACTTCGGTCCATAGATGAAGTTAGCCAAACTATCTGAGCTCGTAAGGCTACCATGTGAACCCGCAAAGGAAGTCATCCACATGGTGAACGATTATCGCTGGTAATTCATGAGAAGAATGATAGTAAGAGAGAATACTTTCATAGATAAGAAACTGGTTTTAGTCGAAAGGCTACATATCTAAGGATGGCCATGATTTAATAAGACGGTGTTGAGTCTGGGTACCTAAGGATTTGATTTGACTATTCATCATCCCAGGGTCAACTTAGTAGATTCTCGTTAGGCCAATCATCCACATATCTTACAATCTATGCGTCCCTGAGTCACTGTTGGCGATAGGATAGACCACTATAACTGTGATCTTACACAGGTACCTAGAAGGTCAACCTAGGTACTTGTAGGTACTTTTCGGGCTCGGGCTTGGCTGTTGGAGCTCGAATTCTGTTGGAGATCGCTCAGCTCGAGATACCTCTATACATTAAATGAGCTTTTTAATCAAGGCCCCCGGTTCTGGCGAATCGCGATAGATCTAACCTTGGTATGTAAGCAATGCCAATACATACCTAACCTACCTACCTAGGTACACATCATCCCTTACTTAGCTCCTAGGTAAACATGAGATATAGAGGTCTTTATAAGCATTGTACACGTAAATTTCCCAAACGAAACGAAATCCGTGAGGTGTCACCTCATCCCTTTATCCTTGTTAGGGCTGTTGGGCCATTCAAGTTGGCCCCCAATACGCTCTCCACTCCCGCCTATCTCCCTTTTCCTATTCAGCGGCGGTCATTCTCACAATTTACTGCATCCGACTCTTTATTAGATTTCTTGTTGATAAATTAACAACGTGAGACGCATCCTCTTGGTGGGTACCTAAATGCCATTGCACGGCTTGTTCAGTCTTATCTATCTACACCAATGGCTTGGCTTGTAATGCTACTAACCGTCGCTCTTTTGCTGATAGGTGCTACGTTAGTTAGCACTGGCGTTTGCCTCCTACAGAACTATCGGGCTGCTCGATCCATTGGTATCCCCATACGCATCATTCCTATTAGCCCCCTCAACCCATTCTAGGTCTTGCTAGACCGAAAGGTCCTCTCCTTCTTCCGCCGTCTGCCTTTCGGTGACAACAGCTTCACTCGGTATAACTGGCGAGGATGGGAGGTCGAAGATAGATATCGATCCCATTCCGAAATGGGGGATATTTGGGTCTTAGTAACACCTTTCAAGAACTGGATCTATGTCAACGACCCTCAAGCTTTAATGTCACTATTTCGGAGAGGAACTGACTTTCCACGTCCCGTCTTCGTTAATGGTATGTGCGAGATTAGCCCAAGCTACCCATTTTAAGTATATGTGACGTGATGCTAACAACAATCAAATATTAGAGATCTTAAATGTATTCGGGCCTAACATATCGACTGTAAGTCAACGTCCTCACTCACGTACTAAGGATATGCTAATAGAAGCTTGTGTTTTATAGGCTGAAGGGGACAGATGGAAAACGCAGCGGAAAATAGCTACTCATTGTTTCAATGAACATAACAATGAAATCGTATGGTCAGAAGCTATTAGCTTAGCCAACGACATGCTTCACTATTGGATTGCCAAGGTATCAGTCAAATCAACTGCCGACGATCTGCGCACGCTGTCTCTACACGTGCTCTCTCGCGCAGGCTTTGGAAAGTCCTTCAAATTTGTAGGCCATGACGATAAGAAATCCTCTTCGAGTCCAGCCAACAGCTACAAGGAGTCTTTGCAGACAGTCTTGGAAAACCTCGTCCTCATTCTTGGATTAGGGACCAAGTTCCTCTCCAACCCTTGGCTTCCACAAAAGTTCCGAACCGTCCACGAGGCCTGCGTCTCGTTTCAGGCATACATGACCAGCCTATACGAGGAAGGAAAAAAGGGCATTTGCCGAGGGAGAGGTGAGGGATCATAACCTCATGACATCACTAGTCCGTGCTTCCCAGGATGAAGCAAAGACTTCAGGTGGCCTCACCGAGAGTGAGATCTACGGCAATATGTTCGCCTTCAATTTCGCCGGCCATGATACAACGGCGCATATCTTCACCTTTGCGCTGTACTTTCTAGCAGCCCACCCAGATGTCCAAGACTGGCTATCACAAGAAATACGCCATGTTCTGGGTGACCGGCCCTCATCTGAGTGGGATTATCGAGCTGATTTCCCACGCCTCAAGCGCTGCCTTTCTGTAATGTACGAAACAATACGTCTCTATACAGTCGTACCGCCAATCAAGTGGACTGGTAGCCAAGCACAATCGCTCACTGTTGGTGAGAAGACAGTTGTTCTCCCTCCTCACAGCATGATCGCGCCGAGTTACGGCTCTGTACAGACAGATCCAAGATTCTGGGGTCCTGATTCTCTGAGCTGGAAGCCTTCGCGCTGGATTAAGCCCGCCGGCTCTAACGCCGATATTCCGTCAGAGCCAGGAGAAGAGGATTTCAACATGCCCGTGCGCGGGGCTTTCATAGGCTGGTCTGATGGCACTCGTGACTGTACAGGAAGGAAGTTCTCGCAGGTTGAGTTTGTAGCAACCATGGCGGTGCTGTTCTTGGACTGGCGAGTAGATCCAGTAGTAGCCAAAGGTGAGACCCTTGACGCCGCGAGGCAACGAGTTGAGAATCTTATCAAACAGGACTCCGGGTCTGTCTTGCTGCTGCAAATGTTACATCCCGAGCGTGCACCCCTAACCTGGAAGAAGCGATAAGGGGACCCAGCGACTAACATTTACTGTTGCCTTATAAAAGGCCAGGTGATGGAAATAGAAAAACTTCATGGTTGAAGTTATTGAGGAAAAAGATAAGCTGTCATGGGTCTAGGTTAGACTGTTAAGGCTTACCCGCCTTGGTAGTGCATAGACCATATCTAGGGATGGTGATAAGCCGAAGTCCTTTATGGTCTGAGCTCTTTCAATTCACGAGGTAACAACCCTCACTTCTCTTCTCGAGGGAGCATATTTTAAGTTTTGGAATATTGACAATATAATGAGTGCTATCCATATCCAAAGATGTTCGTTTCTTGTGTTAACTAATAGCAATATCTTGAATGGTTGATTGCACTCAAGCCTCTCTGTATAAGATGATGTACGAGAAGCGAACATCACCCATCGAGCTTCCAAACCACCCCCGTGAGAAGGGCTTATAAGGTATATTTATAATACAGGAAAGCTATTACGCAACGAGCTAGGTTAGGAATATCAAGATCAAGGCCTTGCTAGATATTCGCGCATGGCTAGGCTGACAGAAGACGCGTAACTTGTATCCTGCCACTGTAGCCACCTAACTGCCGGGGTAACTAGGAAGTGAAAGAGCCTATTCATATAATTAAGGGTTTCGGATAGACTCAGTTAAGCTAGAGTAATATCTATCGTACCACTATATTCATAAAGATTCAAGGCGAGCTTCCAGAAAAAGTTTCCTTTATTATGTACCTGGTAGTTTAGGTCCATTATCATGACTAACACCATTCATCATGCAATAGAGCCGCTATGTCCACAGTAAATCTCGGTGCCAAACGCGTGTGATGGGTATAAGTAGAAAGAACAAGTAATTAAGTATGAAGGGTATAAATATGTCAACCAATAAGTCCGCCAAAGTTTAGGTGTGTTCCCTTGTACTTCGTAATTGCTAACATTCGCTCTCATTAGTCGGAAAATCAAGATTTGTCTGATGTTTTCGCTTTCGCTTTCGCTTTCGCTTTCGCTTCGTTCATTTGATTTTTATCGTAATTCATCGAATTCGTCGATTTCATTGTTAAGCTTGATGGCTTTTGGTCGATCGGAGCCTGTGCTGTTGTGGCAGGATCATTTAATCTGATTTACCACCATCGCCTCCGACGTACCGGGGCGCCATATCCCCCGGGGGCGTCCTTGGCGCCAAAACGGGTATCTCGGCGTCTGTGCATCCTGGCGCTGCAGCACGTAAAGAAGACTATAAACGTAGCGAGGAAGCTGCAGATGGCGGAGACGAGGATAGTCCAAGACGCAGCACCCCACTCGGCCTGGCTACCGTTACCAGAGTTGTTGACTTCGGACCGGATAATACTGAACGATACGAAGTCGCAAACAAGTGCGACAAGGGTGACGATGAAGTTGAGCAACGAGAACAGCGATGCGAGTAGGCTACCGACGATCCCAGCACCGAGCGCTAATAGGAATGAGATGAATGCCAGTCCCGTCGCGATCGGGTGCAAGATCATAACGCGCGTCAAGCCTTTAGACGTGTCCGCCGCATAGTCTGAGAAGTCCACATTCTGTACATTGTTCTGGACGATGGTGGCTGGGTCATAACCGACATGCGACCGGCTGCAGAAGTCCTGGCCGGAACTAAGTAGCACTCACTGTTAGCAGCGGAAATACATGATAGGGTTACTAGAAGTTGAGTAGATATCGACTTACGCCGTAGTGTCCTTCACGCAGTAGCCGAAAGTACCGAAGGTAACAGCTGGGCGACGGTCTGTTGATGTATTACTGTCATCGAGGTTGACTCTCAACATCGAAATGCTGTTCACTACAGGGGCTGAGATATCGGTGATAATCAGCAGCACCGTAGCCGCAAATAGCAGAAACGAGCCGATGTGATGGAAGAACCCTGTCTGCCGCATTTTGACCGAGGACTGCTATGCTTATACACTTGTTTGGGAAGTGGTATAGGTGAAGTATACAGTAGGTTTGAATTTGCCGATATGAATACAAAAGACTTATAACGGCCAAATAAAGAAAGATAATATTAGAAAATGGAGGGCACAGAGCTGGAACAACCGTAAGTTATATGCAAAATATTTTGGGCAAGCAATCAAGTTCATGCTATATTCAAGAAATACCCTGGCATCGCTCACATCCCAGTCTCCTTGATAATGTTCAAGCTAGGTATGAGTCGTGGCGACCTGGTGCTGGTCACACCCATGAGAACTGGCTTTCGTGGATACCTGACATCGCGACGTCATGTGGGAAACTGGTGACCCCCGTAATCAATGGGAATCAGCAACGGATAATCGGCAAGAATGTGCGAACGGAGAGAAAAGTCCTTTCTGGGCTGTGCCCTCTCTCGAGGTGTGACCTATTAACACAGCCATACGTGCAGAGCTGGAGACGATACCAATCAAGCTGTGACGTCGTGGCTTTGCAAGTCGCAAGGTAGTGCCCAGTTATGCCAAGTAATTTACAGAAGCTGGGGAAGGTATTCGTAGAATCGTACCTATGTAGGATTCTTAGTGGGGTACGGCCAGGGTTCTAGACCTTCTAAATGCCTGGCCTCTGTGCTCTCTGTGCTCTCTGTGCTCTCTGTGCCCTCTGTGCCTTGTTTTGGCTTAAAATGATGACGGCAGCCTGCAGCCAAGATGTATCAACGGCCCCGGCCGAGCCAAAGCCAACGACGCGTCATTAACTGCAGTTGGTATATGTATGTCGTACAGATATACATATGCTGGATGGTTCCAGTAAATTTAAACCGAAGTTGGAATTCGATATGAGGTCGAGATTGTAGGTCTCACGATATGCGCGTAATGATCTTTTTCGAACCGTGAAAGTCTAACGACTACTTTGCAGTTGTCTAAGTTTAACTAGATTCAAGATGCCTAAGGTAGGTCAAGTTGAAATATATGCTTCTTGCAAATCGTGTCTCAGTTGACTTTATCTTCACTGACAAATGGATTCTCTTGGTCTGAGGGAACATCACCGGGTGATTCACCGAGCAAGGAGTCGGCATTCGTTCTAAGGTTGGAATTAGTTAATAGGTCACCCCACTTCCTAGACGGATTGACCGTGTTAGAAGATGGATCGTGAGCATTCCCATTCGCAAATGCAGCTAGACTCTTCATGATGTCCGGTACCCCCTTTGCATTCCGCCGTGCTCTGATACGATCCAGGAAAAATACCTCCTTTGAAGATGGACGTTTTTTCCCGAGAAGGACAGATGCTGCTCCCTCAGCACCCTCATCTGCAAAACTGACTGAATCGCGCGATAATTGATTGGCAGTGTGCCAGTCCCGCAACGCTGGAGCCATGGGACCTGAGGGTATAGACCGATGCAAGGCGGCTGACACAAAGGTTTCTCTAGCATTATGGAATGGCCATGGCCCGTGGAGAGGGTTCTTCCTAATTGCCTCCTTATGATTGTACGTTTTGTTCGCAGCGAACATATGTAGGGTAAAGACTTTATACGAGACGCCCAGATCAGACAAGGCCGGTGTTGCCCTTGTTAATAACTTAGAGGGCGCATGAGGATTAACTGGAGTAGTTATTGTTCCCCGTATGTCGTATTCGGCCCCCCACGAAGAGGACGAGGAGGAAGACGAAGAGGCAGCGTTCGGATCTTGGTCAATGATGACACGCACGAAGGGGGAATCGTTAACGAGGGCAGTGGCAGTGCCTGGTTTGCTGGTGACGACGACGAACGAAGAATTATCCTAATTATGAAATGATAGTTAGATGATATACGACTCTGTAATAATTAAGCCTTAGAAAGAAGCCTTAGAAAGAAGCCTTGGAAAGAAGGTATAATGCCTACTTCGAGCTTCTTGAATGTCTCGACAGTTTCGTGTGTAATTTTTTGGACGGCGCGCAAAACACCGCGACGCTCCAAGAAGTTGACCGGGACTGGGATACATTTAAGATAAATTGTCCGAGAGCTTAAAGATGACTGTAAAAGATCCGCGAATGCCGAGGTCTTGCTTGACATCTTGGGCCTGCTAGTGATTCCGCAGTCTGAATATCCTAATTGTTGTCCTAATTGATGTTCTAATTGATAAGAGCTCGCCTGAGCCTGAGCCTGAGCCCGAGCCCGCGATTCGATTTTTGGTGAATTGGAGAGTCCAATGATTATCGATAAGCTTGTGCTGACAGTTGGCAGCCAGCTGGCCCTTGCTCTGATTAGCGTTGAATCTAATTGGCTCACACATACATTTCCGGTATTGCCGTTCGGTCGGATGTGGGGCAAAATGTCCCGAACTGCGGTTTCTTCGGGATACCTTGTTGTGTACATCATTTTCGTCAGTCATTGAGAATGACATATAATAAACTTTAGATCTGAATTAGTGAGTACATACACGTAGTTATTACATTCATCTGTGGAACTGTAGTATTCTCTTTCCTATTGTGGATTGTTATGATTTGATATTTCAACGTCATAGACTGCTGAGTTAGGATGAGTTTACTTTCAACTTGACTAACACTTGTATTGCCATAGTTCATCTATAGATGCGTTAGCATCTAGCAAGTGTGGTAAGCTATGTACTAAAACTACATTTGGCCTATTCTCGGGCTTAGAGTTAGCCTATGCTTTATATTTCCTATAGAGCTTATTTGTCGCCTAGTCAAAGGGGCCTCTAACAAATACATAGTATATTTTCTTCAAAGCTATGCGGTTTTCCTAGTCTGCAAGAACCGATCCGGACAAGAACCTGGCTGTTGCTTCTAAAATCCGAGCATTATTTAAAAGAACAGGTGCCAAGATACCCAGCTGTAGATAATACGCCTCTCTGGGTATCTAGTGAAATCCTACCCAAGTTAACATTACATAGGTAACCAGATATAAATGGTTAAACTGCTGTAGGCATAAAAATCCTAGCTCGTGTAAGAAAGCAAATCATTGACTGAGAGAGTTCCAGAATTTGTGAAATGGCGCAACATGCCTGCTTACTACTGAGAATGACGGATGCAATACCGAGAGAGGAGTATGATGTTGTATTATTGGGATATTTTACGCCTACACTAGTTAGACGTTGATATTTGAACAACGATAAGCATTGATTGGCTCCTGTATAGGTACCTAATCAAAGGCGATCGTCCCGAACCACTGGCTCGGGAACAAGGGGGTGCACATTCCTTATATAGTTAGTGTAAACGAACATATACATATAACAACTGATGATGATCCTGGATCTGATGTAAGAATTATCAATCCATGGAATCCAGGCCGCACATTTTGTCCTTCTCACGATGAAATCAATTAACAGGCTATCAGATATGCTTGAGACGATAGGTTATGTGTTATATATTTGTGTTATATATTTGATGAATCCTGAAACAATCAACGCATGGGCTTAACCCCTAGGAGCTCGGGCCATGGCGATCAATTAGAGCCAAGACAGCTTCATTAAGCAACGTGATGCGCCACTGTCGTAGTTGTGCATGTGTCATATGTACTATGTAGGTAGTAAGCTGCAGCCACTGCCGCCCGATATGTGTGCCTTGAAACAGCGGCTTGCAACTCATTACGGCTGAATACTACAGACGGTTGTGGGGCTAGCCTGATCCTGATTATGGGCGTTTACGTGTTTGAATGGTTGAGAGAAGGGAGCTGATTACATACACTGGTCATCCATGACCCAGAACACCGGGACGCATGTCTATTTTGGTACTAACCACTCATGTAATTTATCCTTGTCTTGTGTATCTGTGACACGCCTCCACGCTTGTATGCATGTTGGCGTAAGGGAATAACATAACCTAAAATAGTGGGGAATGTCTGTTACCAGTCATTGAAGATATTCGTTTCTTTTGTTTACTTATGTAGGTAGGTAACTATTGAATTGATATCATATTTAGGTAGGTAGGTACCTTTTGGGTTTTGTTGCGTTGGCTGGGTTGATTTATAAGGGCGATATGACTTTTTTTTTTTTTTTAACTTCGTTATGTTAACATGACGACTTAATGACTTTTGTCTTGCTTTGGTATTTGCGTGATAAGGTAAGGATTGCAGATTGCGGATATAGTAAACAACTGTTTATTATTAGATCAATTACTCGGATAATAGAAATGTTATTATTATTATACTGATCTACTGACCAAATCATTATTTTATACTTTTCATATTATATCTTAAAAGGCATCTCGTAAGATAATCAAAGGTTTATGTTATTGGCTAAGCGCCTTTTGCACCAGCCTAATAAAATGCATACCTCTTAACCTAATGCATGCAAATGTAGGCGTTGTTTCTCCGGACCAACTCGGAGAGCTGGATCCGTCAAGTTATAAGTGACATCAACTATATTACCTCCACCACAGGCTGCAGTTGAAGTCTCATGACATAGCGCCAATTTTTTTAATGTCTCTTGTTTTGATTATAGAGGCTCAAAATCAGTTCATGGCTTAAAGTGAAGGAGTAGGAAAACATAAATTGATACGTCGGATATAGTATATCGCCATCCGGAATCCTCCTGATCAAAACATGAGGCTTCACAGTTATCGTCGATCCGAGACTGGGATAAAAGCTCGGATCTTGTCTAGATCCACACGGCAGTTCTTCCATTTCGCCCAGCTCGCACTCCCTTTCTATGCGCCCCCCGCCTTCGTTCCAGCAGGGTGTTCCAGCAGGGAGGGGAAAACGCTGCATCATATGTTTTTGTAGCTATATTTTAATTGGTCTAGAGTTATGTCTAGAGTATGTATCAATGCCCCAAAGAACTGGGTACTCTCTTGGTTCGCCCATCTTGCGATCTGTAGTCGTAGGCATGCCATTACCCGAGTGCAACTAACGTGCTTTAAACTCGTATAGGCAATTTTACCAACCCCCAGGTCTCATTTTGTCCCAAGGATCCGTTTTCTACCTATGTTAAGCTGCCTAAAGTGTGCTAGACTAATTTATTCATACCGGCCAAGTGGGATTAGGCAAGTTACGCCATCCCTACTATCTTTACTGTCCCGACTTAGGCTTGGGTTCGGTCGACTATCCTAATTGAAGATAGTATATAGGATATAGCTTGCTAGTGCATCTCTAACAAGCCTAATTATCTAGGTACTTGGACACTAGGCCCGGTCAAGCGGTTTCTCAAGGCCACCCGGTATGAGGAAGGGTTGCACGTGTATCAACCAAACGGCAATGATCCCGCGCAGATCGCCAGCCACATGTACAATACCGTGCACATACATACTACCTAACCTAGATATGCACCCAGAATCCCAAGGGTGTGGTTCATTTCCTTGCCGGCTTAAGCTGTTGTACGCCCCCGGCTTTCGCCACCCCTCCGCTGCTACCTACCTACCTCATACATACTTTTAATGTATGCGTTTCGATCAATCTTTTTGCATCTGGGCACCACCGACGCCATATTCGTCATACCCAGTCTCTCGGAACAAAGTCTATACTTTGTTTTGACTGACTACATACCTAATTATCCATGAATGTATTTACTCCACCAGTGTTAGTCCTATACTACGTTATACATACCATCGGATAAAAAGGGAAAAAAAGGATCCTACATGTAGGTAGGCATTCGGCCACGAGCTAGACACGCAAACACATCGTGGCGTTTGCCTTAGGTCTTACATTAGCGCAGGATCCGGCTTCTTGGTAAATCAAGCTTCGTCAATCGGTCGAGTCGTGCTTGGGTATCATTTACTAAATCCCAGCGACCCTTTCGCTGGAAACAGGGTCCTACGTCTCTCCATCTCTGTCCGCTTTTCTACTCTCCAGATGTTTCGCCCATCGAAACATGTCCGAGTCTTTCGCTTCCAACCAGAAGATGGACTCCGACATCCCACTAGATGACGATGACCCGTCACCGTCTCCGGAAAGCAAATTATTCCAAAATTCTTCGCCTACGATGTCAATGTCGGCAGCGAGTCCAGCCCGTTCGGACGGCGATCGCATAGAATGTCTTGTTCGAAGGATGAGCAAACAAACGTTGGTGCGAGAATCGCTACTTGCATCAGCAATGGAGTCGCAAGGCTGTCTGGCCAATTCCAGCTTGCCAATAAACCCAGAGCCAATGCAAATAGAAATACAAACGTTGCCACACATATCTGAGCCTTTGAACGAGTTGGGTTATAGTTATGTTACCGAAACTCCGAGCGATCAGTACATATCACAATCAAGACCATCCCAACACTACGAGAGCATGGAAAATCTACCTGGCGATCCCATTATGGATGGGAACTTCACTTCTAGTATTGGTACGCAAGATAAACAGGAACAGCCGGAGATGAGCCTTCAGAGTCGGTTTCCAAACCTTCGTAGGCTAGACTTAATGGCGAACATGATCGAGAACGAAGAACAATGCAATGTACATATACCGAGACCGGTTACTTTAATTCCAACACCTCGACTGCCCTCTTCAGCCGACCTAGCGCCGTCCGCCGGTCCCGCCAGTCGCAGGGGTTTGCCACTACCATACGATAACAACGCGGTACTAGAGGTGGACGAAGGAATTTGCACTCAGCCTGACGAACAGGCTTCCAGTGAGATTCTAGGTTTAAGGGATGCTAGCGGTCCAGAAAGCATTAGAAAACTTGGGCATCTCAAATACAGAACATCGCTAGAGACGGCTATGCGGTGCAAGAATATGAGGAAGAGCGCGCCGAGGATGCGGAGGAGACCCAAGACACAGCCAAAGGAGACACAACAGACGGATTCAACGATAAATCCGGCATCGACGACTCCGACGACCCCGACGACCCCGACGAACTCAATGGCAGCATGATTTCGGTTTACTCTATTTTCTTTTGTGGTTTTTGGTTCATTTTCATCCTATTACATATACCCCAAGGCAGGAGGAGGTAGGCGTTGTTAGCGGTTGGGTCACGGCAGAAATAGGGAATTGCATCGCATCGGTCCATTGGTTTGTGGAAAGGTTGGGCCCGGTATACAGGAGCGTGGTTAGCATTCAACTTGGCATTTAGGGTATGCGGTTGCAGGCTGTTCAAAGACTGCGTACGTTTACGTCAACTGCATGAACCATTTATCCCTGATTTAATTACAGAAAGGGGGTTGGGAGCAAGACGGTTTGGGATACCGTTGTATATTTACACACGATATTGTTTTACATGTATATATGGCATGATGATAGTGTGTCCGCGGTTTACATTAGGTACCTAGGTAGGTAGGTACCTAACACTTCTAAGTTGATCTCAACTTGGGTCGAGGCAAGGGTTTCTAACAGAACCAATCTTACAAAACTCAACCCCAATATCAGTCGGGCAAGTTACTGCAAGTAAACCTGTGTCGATATGATTTGCATAATAAGTACCTAACCTTAGGTACTCATGTCAATTTTTAATTCTACTCTTGTTAGGTATGTTTGCCGCGTAGAACAGTGTATATTAGCTACCTTATATACTAGTGTATAAAATTTAAGTACAATTTGAATAAATATACGATGGCATTTTAATGAATTTTGGCAAACATATATCTAGGTATATAATATAAAGTTTCCATTGTATAAGTCGGTAGGTTTAAAATACCATATCAAATTCTATACAGTTTTAGCTTAAAGTGCATTCTACTGTGATTGAATACAGTCAACTTATACTTATTCTCAATGGCATGCTGAGAAGCACCAGTCTCACAGTTGTAAAGGAGAAGAATATTTAAAGTCAAAACGAATATTCATAAAAGATTCGTAATAGTTATACAGCTACATGATCCTAAACGGCCCTATGCACATACTCCATCGTAATATTTTCGTACATTCCTTTCGTAAAACCCCCCAATAACTAACTTATATATACCTACCCTTGACGCTACAATTTTCCACCTGATTGGTTCCCTTAGCCTTCTAATAGTCGCTGCTTTAGGCCCTGGGCCGCAAGCTTACCGAAGTTCTCCAACGCACCCAGGGACATAATTTCCAGCACGCTAATGGTCGTGCCGAACATTTGGGTCCAGAGACGTCGCAGTTCAACGGCCATGAGCGAGTCAAGTCCGACATCGACCAGACTAACGGAAACATCAACTTCTTCAATAGGCTTAAGCATGAATGAGTAGACGCGCTTGCCAATTTCTAGAGCGAGGAATTCGGCGCTCTCGGGCTTGTCGAGCTCGCTGGGGTTGGCGGTGACGGTGGCAAGGAACTCGCGGAAACCATCGCCTTCACCCGAGCCGCTGTCGGAATTGTCCTCCTTGGGAATGTTGTGGTAAAGACCCATGCGGCGGTCCTTCTTCCAAGCCACGTGGTTGCCAGAGTCCTCCAAGTGGGTATCGGAGTGAAGACCCATGATGATGGGTGAGGGGCCGCGGTGCAGAATGCCGAGGTGAATGTACTCAAGGACTTCACGCTCAGTAAGGAACTGAAGACCGTTAGAGCGGAGGTTGCGACGAGCCTTGTCGTTACCAACGACGACACCAATATCGTCGATAGGGCTGACAGCAATGGCAGATGCGGCAAGACCCTGACCGTTTCGGTACTGGGTGAAAGCTTCCAAGAAAGTGTTGGCGGCATTGTAGTTAGCCTGGCCGGGGACGTTGATTGTTGCGACGATGGAACTGGTGACAACGAAGAAGTCTAGCGATGCATCCTTCAGAGCGTTGTGAAGGTTCCAGGCACCATCGACTTTAGGCGAGAGACCCTCAGTCCACTCTTGGTGTGTCATCTCAGGGAAAAGAGCGTCCCGAAGAACCATGGCCAAGTGAATAACACCCTTGACAGGCTTAGGCGACTGCGCAACGGCAGACTTGACGAGCTCGAAATCTTGGATAGGTCCAGCAACCGGAGTGAGGACACATCCCTGGCTCTTCAGCTCAGCAATAAATGCCTTGTCCTCTGCGGAGCGACCAGCAGACCTGGAGATCGCGGTGATATAGCGAGCACCCCGTTCAGCCATCCACGAGGAAATAGCCTTTCCGAGACCACCGAGACCACCAGTGATAATATAAGAAGCTTCAGGGTCGAAGCTCAGTTCGCCAGTAGCGCCCTATCAAATGATTAGTAGTCTGTTTCGGTCTTGAGCATGGTTTAGACTTACACTTTGCGCCTTTCTGGACACCTCGGAAGAGATGGAGAAAGGTAAGTATCGGCCAACATTAATTGTGCCATTCTCGACCAAGAACTCCCTGTCAGGGAGCAAGGACTGGGAGAGGTCCTCTTCAACAACCTTGTTGAAGACATTGGCGACGTAGCTAGCTAGGTCGGACTCGGCCGGGTCGACCTCCAAAGTGGTCAGAGACAGGTCAAGCTCTGCACGGATGGATCGTAAAAGACCAATCGACAGACCAGACTTGGGGTTCTTGGTGTTCTTCTGCGCAGGGGGGAGTAGCCAGAGCAGCTTTCGTGACGAGATCGATTCGGCATTCTTGAGCAGATTCTTGAAGGTGGTCCAGTTCTCGGAAGAAATATCCTCAAAGAATGGTCGCTCTAGGTCAAGAGCGAAGATAACATGGTGCTCATTGGCAATGTCCTCCGATAGACCCTTCTTGACAACATCAATGCCGTACTTGGACAATCCGTCAGCCAGCTCGGAGGTTAGCTTGCTCTCCCTGTTCTCCGTGACCAAGACGACAGGCGCGTTCTTCTCGCTCGAAGCGGCCTTGGGCTGCGTGATGATGGTCGACCAGTATCGGAATGGTAAAGGTGCGTCGTATACAACATCGTCTGCACCAGTGAATCCAGCAGACTTGAGGTCTTCGTCCCAACGGGCGTTGGAAACGAAGGGTTCCCACTCACGGCCATCAGCCTCACCAGACCACCACGATGAGAAGGTTCCGAAGATGAAGTTGGGCGAGCTTCCGATGGTCGCAGGCTCAGAGAGCAGAAGTCGGCCATCCGGCTTCAGCACCGCGTTGATGTTCTTCAAGGTCTCCTTGAGGAAAGGAGTTGCGTGGACAACATAGGGTGCTAGGATAAGGTCGTATGAGTGAGCCTCGAGACCTTGAGCAAGAGGGTCCTTGCTAACATCAAAGACCTTGTACTCCAGGTTGGGTGCATTGGCGAAACGCTCACGGGCTTGAGGGAAGAAGCCAGGCGAAACGTCACTGTATGTGTACACCGAGTAGGGAGGGAGCTTGCCTTCCTGGACGACCTGGGACAGGATGGTTTCGGTAGTACCACCTGCTCCGGCACCGATCTCAAGGATTCGAAGAGCGGGCCGGGAGTTTGACAATGCGCTGACGTATCCCGCATAGTCGAAGTTGATAGCAGTGTAAACATTGGAGAGTATGTCATTCTCCATCAGGAGCTGTGCAGCATCCACGGATCCAGTGTACAGTCCTTCAATGTTGTCACGGATTTGCCCGATCGCGACGGCATAAGGAGCCCTTGAGGGGATCTTGCTCAGTTGAGCATACTTGTCAGCAATTAGGCTGGCCCTCTCGCTGCTAGACAGGGAGAGGAAGTTGGAGATGTCTCCAAGAACTGGCGACTTGCCGCTAGCGGCAGCGTCAGCCTTAAGAGAGATCCACTTCCCGTACTTCTCGAAGTGGCCGTTGGTGGCCGTCTTGCCCTTAATACGCTCAGCGGAATCCAGGATAGACAGGAGAGTGTACTCTTCCAAAAGGCGGGTGGCAGCCTCATCAGATGGGGGCTTCACAAGAGTGGAAGCTTCATCTATGAAGTCGAAGTCAGGGCGCCATTCAAGATAGGCACCGTCGGTGTGGTGCTTAGGACCAGCATCCTCGTCAGGCAGAAGCGTGAAGCGGAGACCACGGATGCGCAGCAGAGCTTTTCCATCCGCCACACAATCAACATTCATAGCTGAGCCATCGGCTGTGCTCTGGGCCACAGCTCGCATCGATGATGCTCCACGGTATACCTCTAGCTCTTCAATCTCAGTAGGCACCTTAAGCTCGGTGTAGTTGCGCGGCAGACCCTTTGACCCAGCAATGATGGAAAGCTGCAAGCAAGCATCCATAGTAGTGGGGTGGAAGAGGAATGGTCCCTTCATGATCTCCTCAGTTGTGTTGACCGATGCAGCTGCAGCGTCAGTGGTTGTAGAGGCAGACAAGTCGCTTAGAAGCTGGAACTTGGGGCCATAATTAAAGCCGACCTTGGCAAAGGTGTCGAACCATCTGGTCGCATCAGCTGTTCGAGGAAGCTTGGGTGGTTGCTCAGCTGCTGGTGCTTCACTGTCAATAGCCTTAACCAAACCTTCACAGTGAGTAATCCAGGTCGTTCCATTGTGAGATGCGATGATGAACTCAAAGTAGTCAGATCCTGAGATTGGTCGGAGTGAGGTGTAGATCTCCTTTGGTGTCTCCCCTAGAACTAACGCTGTGGTAACTCGGGCGTTCTTGATGCCGTATCCTGTCTGAACACCGGTGAATTGCCGGATAGCTTCACCTGCGATGCCCACGTAACCAGCAAAAGGAACAACGGTGTCTTCACGAACCTTGTGGTCGGTGATCCATGGGACGTGGTCAGGGACAAGTATCAATCTCCAAGAAGGGTTAAGCGTGGTGCTTTCAGCAACCTTGCGGCCGAGAAGTTCGTGGTGACCATACGGACGAAGACGCCACTCCTTGGATATTCTTGGCTCATACCAGTATGTCTCCTTCAAAGACCAGGGGTATTTGGGAAGGCTGGTAATAACCTGGCCAGTTGGGTACAGAGAGGCGAAGTCGACGCTGACGTCTTGCTGGTAAAGCTGTCCTACTGCAGAGAGGAAAGACTGTGTGGAGTTCTTGTTTCTCAGCATAGTCGGGACATATTCAAACTTCGCGTTGCGGCTGGCGCAAATTTCACGAATGGGTCCCTGAAGGGTGGAGTGAGGACCGATTTCAAGGAAAAGAGGGTTCTTAACTTCCTCCGTGATGATTTGAACAGCAGAGTTGAAAAGGACAGGAGATGTCAAGTTGTCGACCCAGTATTGTGGTCCAAATTCTTTGGCGTCGGTGATCTTCCTCGCCCTCAGACTGGAGAAGAGAGGTACTTCAAGTGTCTCTCGGTCCTGAGCGAAGTTGGTGAACTCGTCGTTCAAGCATGACTTGTACGCGTCCGACAAGGCTACCATGTGGTGGGAGTGGTAAGCCATCTCCACCTTGAGAGCGCGGGCGAAAGCATCGGGCAGAGCAGCCTTGATGTTAAACAATGCCGTCTGTAGCTGATCAACGTCACCTGAGATGGTTGTGCTGGAAGGACTGTTTTCACAAGCGACGACAACTCGCTCAGGGAGGAGCTTTCGTGTCTCTTCAGCACCCAACCCGATGGCAGCCATTCCACCGGGCGTAGTGGACTGCTTTGAAACGTGGCCACGATACCAAGCTGAAGTAACAGCTTCACGTAGTGTAAGTGCCTCCGCAGCATAGGCCGCAGCAATTTCACCACTGGAGTGTCCCACCACAGCCTGCGGGCGGACACCAAGGCGCCTCAGCGCATTAACAATACCAATTTGAACAACTGTGGATAGAGGCTGGGCCAGCTCAGCACGACCCAGCTGACTCTCACCAGCGGGCTTGCTCAGCTCCTCAATGGCCCTCCATGTGGGCTTGCGATCGCCTAAGCTCTGTAAGATGTCATCCATTGCAATCACATCTTCCTTGAATCCGGGGTACGAGTTGATCAGGTCGTAACCCATCTGTGGCCATTGCGCACCTTGTCCGCTGAATACCATGACAACAGTAGGCTTCTTAGCGGGCTTGTTGGTAGGGGGAGCAAAAGTGGCCGCGTCCGCATCAGAGATAACCGAGAACGATCTCCACTTGAAATGCTCCCTGCGTCGAGCAAGGGTATATCCAATATCAGGCAGACGATCGGAGTTGTTTGAAACGTATTGCTTGAGGTTCTCAATTCCAGTCTTCAGGGAATCCTGAGAGTTAGCGGAAATAACAGCAAGCTCGGCTCCGAACCGAGACTTGGTGAAATCCTTGAGGTATTGCTCTGCGGATTCGACGATAACCTAGATATTTGTGAGTATAAGTGGAGTTGTATTAGGGGGGTAAACTTACGTGGGCATTGGTACCGCCGATACCAAAGGAGTTAACACTGATTCTGTACGCCTTTCCTTTAGGCCAAGGCATAGGCTTCACAGGAATGGAAATCTTCTTTTCCTCGAAGGGAACTATGAATATGTTAGAGTAAGTCTTCAGTGATAGCGTAGAGGGGAAGGCTCACTTCTGGGGTTAGGAACCTCGAACTTGATATTAGGAGGGATAATCTTGTGTTCTAAGGCCAAGACAGCCTTCATCAAGCTCGAGATACCCGCCGAGGCCTCCGAGTGACCAAGGTTAGGCTTGACAGACCCAATATAGATACCGTTGGGTTGGCCAAAGACATTTCCAACCGATATCGCTTCTACGGGGTCTCCTACTGGGGTTCCGGTTCCGTGACACTAGGCAAAGAGACATGTTAGTCAGATCACTATAAAGTAAAGTAGTATTAAGTAATAAATAGCAGATTCTTACCTCAACCATAGCAGTCTCAGCCGGGTCCAGACCCGCGTCGACATATGCCTTCCTCATCAGTGCCTCTTGAGCCACAATACTGGTAGCGAATAGACCAGTACTTTGGCCATCCTGGTTGACACCAGTGTTCCGGATGACTGCCCTGATTGGGTTACCGTCTCGGATAGCATCAGATAGCGGCTTAATATAGATAGCATTCACTGCTTCACCACGTCCATACCCATCAGCACGTGCGTCGAAAGTCTTGCACGAACCTTCAGGGGACATAATTCCTTCCTGTGTCATGGAAGCGGTGGTTATGGGTGTCATGTTCAGGTTGGATCCAGACACAATTGCGGCATTGCAGTCACGGTTCTGAACAGATCGAACCGCATTATGAAGCGCAATCATGGAGGAGGAACATGCTGTCTTGATGACAAAGCTTTATAATATTGTTAGCAACTGGCCGGTCTATCTTGGGTAAATGGTCGACTTACGCAGGGCCACGAAGATCATACTCGAAGGCAACCCGATTTGCTAGCATCGGGTCGAGATGGCCTGTAAGAACATACCCAGTAGGGTGCATTTCTTCTTTGGATTGTGTCTGTAACCAATCCTCTGAAAATGTGCCAACGAAGAAGCCTGTAAGACTGCCCCGGTAGTCAGTGACACCCGCACTCTCCAGACACTCACGAACAACGAGCAGGAGTAGCCGTTGTTGCGGGTCAGCCTTTTCTAGTTCGTTCCTAGTCATTGTGAATAGACCAGCGTCAAAGGCAGCTAGGTCATCTTCCAGGAAGTAGGCATGATCTTGATAGACGGTATTCGTCTTGCCCATATCGCTGTTGAATCCCTTAATGTTGTAACGGGAGATGGGTACCGGGGATCTTTGGTCCTTGCCATGGTACAATACATCCCAATAGTCTTCGGGAGTCTTAACACCGCCTGGAAGGCGCATGGCCATTCCGCAGATGGCCACGGGCTCAATGTAGCGTCCTGTTGGTTGACTCATTGCGCCGGTGCTGTCAGTTTGAACGATAACTCGACAAGTTGTGTGTTAGAAGTGAATGAAGACAGTGATTCAAAGCAAGGCGTGAGATATATCAGTCCGCTCGTCCTGTTCTATAGGGCGGATTCTGTTGGAAAGTTAATGAAGACAATGAATCAAAAACTAGAAAACCTGAGTATAATTAGCCCCCTCGACCTTTTTATAATCAAGACAGACCGAGACTCGTCTGCCTATATGCCTTCCTTCTTGCGATATCGCATTGTGTTGCGAGGCTGAAGGTGATAACATTTGCACGGACAACTACCTCATAGGTCCATCCCTCGTGCAGATCGGCAGGGGAACGCAACACTTTTGGGAAACTTAAGCTGCAACAATAAGGCCTAGAAGACTTGCATGATCCTATCCTTTTAACAAGTCATTATGGTTGAGCTAGTCTTGGACGTGATGTCAGAATCAGCAACAAAATATCCCATCGTCCCGATGCTTGGCTGCGGCTGCAGGTGCTTTTGTCATCAAGTCTAATTGGTTGAGCTTATAGTTACATTCCTGAAAGAGTATAAACTAAGTCTCAGTTAAGTCTTGATGTGCTAATATAAACGGGTTACGCATCTTACAGGCATTACCTAGTGGGCACTTCGGAAAGATTATCTACAGCAGCTTCCATATCCCCGTGTGATTCGAAACTCGGAATCGGCTGCTTATAGCTTATTAAGAAACCTCACTTATACCAGCGAAAACAGTAAGCTTGATGGTAACATCGGCTATTCGGGTTATTACGTATTCCTTTCTGACTAATTGTATTATATCAAAATTCTCACCTTACATAGACGTTCTGTATTATTAACCGGTAAGTTATTAATGATAATATGATACTTATTTAAATTATATTTGCATATTTCTTATCTAAATATTACAATTATAAGACTCCCTGTTTGATAACTACCTACCTGTAGTTGCTAAGCTTATGTCATACTTAGGTTCATAGAGGCATTATAGGTATTACGTTACGAGTATAACATCTCACATGTCTCATCGCCAAGCTATACGTAATTAATTTCCTTAGCCTCAACGGTGATCGAACCACCTTCATTCCATCACATTCGATATGCTAGTATAGCTTCGTAATCAGTTAGTATAGTGTGGAATGGGAAGCTTGTAGGGATCGAACGGGACTGCATACTAATTATTCCGAATATTTCCACCCACGTACATTATCTGATACATTAATGTACCGACGTCTATTCCGTATCTGCAGAATCAAGCCCTCCCTGCCGCGTAGGATTCCTATTGGGCCTATCTTCCTAGTCGATCTCTAGTTATAACGTTGAGACTTTGTCCTTGTTCCTGCGATGGTTTAGGTATCTTAAACGGAAAATGCCGTCCGGTCGAGCTTTGTAACTGCGACAGTGATCGTGGTATGTTTCGCAGATCTCTGTTTCGTAATATCGTGTCAAATCCTTCCCAAAGCTTATATTGCAATCCTTGTTCCTATCCACGATTATACAGATGCGGCTTTTGCCACCTTGTCCTCATCCTCCGGTTCCTCCCATGCCGATGTCACCGGCCACGGCCACGGCCACAGTCTCAGCTTGCAACATGGATCTTTTGAAAATGTACCTGGTGTCACATTGGTGTGCCCGTCGCCCCGGCTTGCTATTCCGTATTATGGATTCTCAGCCTCTTTTTCAACTTAGCTAAGCTACTTACATGTCCAGATAGGTCGGGTTCGTGAGCACCCGGGCTCCCCGTTTAAGTTGGTGAGCCCATTGGGTCTTGGCGGGCTCTTCTATCATCAACCTTGGGCATATTAGTTCGCTCGATCCTAGATACTGTGAATCCTTCGCTTTTCCCCGTTCTCGGTAGGGGTATCATGTACGCCATTTCGGCACCCCCACGGCTATCGAAGCGCCAATACGGAATGCAAAGCTTGACACATTTGTTAGTTGCGTGGCTAACTTGATGTGACACCCGGTAGTTTGCATCTAAAGGACGAGCATCCCGGTTTTTATAGTGCTTACGCCCAATTCGTTCGAACGTAAATCGGAATACGGAGCGGGCCGGAGCCGTCTGGTAGTATAATGCTTAGCAGAGTACCTAAATAAGATATTTAGTTTAGGTATTAATTATTCCGTATATTATCTCAATTCTACACGTCAAATATATTGCTTACACAGAGTCATAAACACGAATCTATAATCCTGGTACTTGAATAGGAACACTGGGATAAAGACTTCACCATTGTCGAACTTTGAGATCAGCCTCAATTACGTTTATAACTTTTATTAAGCGGGGTGGGGATCACTCGAAGTCAATCCCTTTGGTTACAGGTATATGTGGATACTACCTCTTAATATTACTATGCATTGTAAGACGTGATCCTACGCTAAGCACCTGCATTATCGTCAAGTTTCGGTCAATGCTACTGGGCAGCGTACTGGGTAATGTAGAATCCACATCTTAGTTTCGTAAGCAAGTCTCATCCTTACGGCTTCCTACGCGCCGTAGTCGCATCATGTTTCCGTCAAGAGAAGGATGATAGACCGGCAAGATGTTACCGTCTTCCCCTCCTCGAGTATTTTAAAAGCCTTTACCTATCAGAGCATCAGGTCGGAAGAAACTAGAAACCACACTTCATATCGACGCAAAGATGACTCGTGTACTTCTCACTGGTGGATCAGGCTTTATCGCAGCTCACATTTTAGAGAGTCTGCTAGAGCATGGCTACTCCGTTGTGACTACTGTTCGATCCGCACAGAAAGGGCAACAAATCCTTAACTCACACAAGCAATATGGCAAAGATAAACTCGACTACGTCGTCGTCGAAGATATCGAGAAGCCTGGAGGTATGTTACTTCTTTCCCGAATAAGTACTATAGGCAATATACTGATATAGTATCGGATAGCCTTTGATTCGGCTGTAGTATCGGACCCACCGTTCGACGCAGCTGTTCATTGTGCTAGCCCCTATCACTTCAACGCCAAAACACGTGATGAAATTCATCAACTTATCAGCACGGCTATTAATGGTACGACTGGTATCCTTAAGGCCATCAAGGCCCATGCCCCCACGGTGAAGCGCGTGGTTATCACTTCTTCGTACGCGGCTATGGTCGACTACGGCAAGCCGTTGACACATGTCTACAGCGAAGTAGATTGGAACCCAATCACCGAGGAGCAAGCCTATTCAAGTGCCCCATTCGCTTACCTAGCAAGCAAGACCTTCTCCGAGAAGGCAGCCTGGGATTTTGTCAAGGATGAAAAGCCTGGTTTTGCCCTCACCACTATCAACCCACCCATGGTCTATGGCCCTGTCATTCACGCACTCTCCTCCCTTGACTCGATTAATACTAGCAATGCTCGGTTCGTGAGCCTACTCAGAGGAAGCCCCACAACCCCTTGCCCTCCTACAGTCAACTATCTCTTCGTGGACGTGCGAGACCTAGCCTTGGCGCACGTCCGAGCTTTGGAGAAACCGGAGGCAGCAGGCCAGCGTTTCCTAGTTACTGCAGGAAACTACAGCAATGCCGAAGCCGCTCAGATTATAGGCGAAGAATATCCCGAGTATAAGGACAAGATGCCAGTTGGCGAGGCCTTAAAGCCTGGCGAGAGACCCGCCACGGGGGTGAATGGGTACGACAACAGAAAGAGTATCGAGGTTCTTGGTTTGAAGTACAGGACATTCAAGGAATCCGTTGTGGGTGTTGTGGATAGCATCAAGGGGTTGCTATAAGATAGTTTTTGCAACGAATTGATGTACATAGATGTAGCCTGAATATTCTAAAATCTACGCCATACTGAACATATTTTAAATTTTAGATGCGATCATCTTGTTATGCATATCTTAGCTCGAAATAGTCAAGTGTATAACTTAGTAAGTAAATAAAAACGTGCTAGCATCACATCGGTGATAATAAGTTAAACTTCGGAGATAAATTGTGATAGAACTTGTAGTTTGAAGTGATATGTACGTCGTTTTAGACTTCGCATAAATGGAACAACCTTGGTGCACAGGGACGCTTGCGTGCAATTAGGCGTGCCTAGGCACTTATTAGGTGACTTATGTATTGTACGTGCATTATTTGTCATCTATCCGGACTCCCTGCCCCTGCCTAGTACTATAGGCTATGTGGGACATGGCTTTATTGAAGATCCCTACTAGCCTCATAAGCAAATCCCGGTAAGCCTCGTGTACTACCTGGGTATATGTATCATTGAAAGGTTTGCGTAAAGAAAATGCAACGATAATAAAGTAATAAAAGACGAAAAATAAATAATTCATTCATTACTTAATATATTATAAAGTGTACGATGAAGAGACAAATATATTATAAAGCCACATTATTTTATGAGTCGTGTTATCTGAAATAATTACCCAAAGTATCTAATGTAGTTCGAGCATCTCGGTATGACTCCTGCCACATAAATGGAGACAATGGTTCCTTTGAACAGGATTCGACTCCATTAGACCACTTATACAAACAAAACTTGCGTAATGCGGACAACTATACCCTTGATCTACTTCCTTATTCACTGATCAATGCTATGCCCTCGAGTGCTAAAAGGGAACAACAATAGATAAAATGTTATTGGCTTAGACAACAATGAGGCCTTCCTCACAAAACAAGGTATCCGCAGTTTATTGCCTTCTGATTGAACATATCCTAATCTTGAATTCATTAAGCAAAAATTGTGCTCTTCTAGTAGTCGAGGACATAGCCCTTTACCTTACCTAAGCTTTATTATCATGCTCTAGTTGGATACATGTCGCTTTAATGTAGTAAAATAAATGTTTCTTAGGTCTCCCTTACATCTCCATTTTTTATGGAGACTACTCGAAATATCCCTTATCTAACCTATGCAGATCTGAACATAGCCCTTATTTCTTAACCAACAGTCCAGGACCTACCAATATAACACGTGAGATAATAATGGCCGCACCACCCTACGAACGTTAGCAATCTGCATGTGGTTATTATTTGCTTCCGTTAGATATACTTACCACAAGCAGTGACACACCACCAAAGATCTTGAGACCAGAATAAGCGCCGTCCTGGGCAGTCACAATAGCTCCGGCGATAGGGCTGCCGAATAGGGCACCGAATGAGGAGAAAGCATACAATGTGCCAACTCGGAAGCCCAACTTCTGGATATCAGATATGGAGGCCACCAATGCGGGGATGATGGCCAGCGTTAATCCTGAAGCAAATCCGTACAGCACGGCAAAGACGATAATTGGAGCAACCGAGGCGGCTGGTAGCCACAGAGCAAGGGTGATGATTCCAGAGAAAAGTGTGAAGATGATGCAGACGTTGAAAACTCCATATACGTCTCCAAGATGAGCTGGGAAGATTCTTCCGAAAATACTTGCCGCATTAATGATTGGAACAAGATAGTTGGCGAGATCGGCCGACATGCCTGTTTCCTTCGCCTCAACAATAATGAAGTTGAACGGGAGGAAAGCACCGAAGTAGACGAAGAATGAACCGATAGCGAGAAGTAGGAACGGTAACTCGGTAAAAGGAACAAAATATTCCTTAATAGTAAAGGGCTTTCGAACAGGAGGGAGACGAGACTTGATCGCAATGTTGCCGAAGATCAAAAGTCCCAGGATTAAGAAGGCAACACTACGCATAGCCCATCCAAAGCCGACCTCGACAATCAAGTGTTGGACCATAATTGGAAGTACTACGCCGCCAAGACTAGATCCAGAGACCATAATACCGAATGCTAACGCTCGGTGTCTCTTGAACCAGGTTCCGGCCGCAGCAATAGCTAAGCGATGTTAACTACAGGTTCCGCCCTCGCGGTTATGCAGATATTACTCACTGGGATAAAATAGAAAACTGGTTCCAATTCCACTGCATATGGCCTGGGCAAGGAAGAATTGGTAGTACTCTTTAGATATCGAGATCATCATCATTCCCAAAACATGCAGAATGGATCCAAAAAGCAGCGGCCATCGTGGGCCATAGTTGTCAGCTACTTTGCCAGAAATTAAACCCTGTGAAACGATTAGCAATGGAGCAAACGAAAAGGGCGTGCTATGATGGTCCCACGAGGAAGAAGAGCATGAATGATTCTGCTGCTGGTATCCATGCTACGTCGCTAGGCGTATACGCTGCGAGTTGATTGGCTTGATAATAGTCCTGGAAAACACCAATACCTATTATCTTAGTCAGCGATATGTTATATTATATATTATATTAGATCTTAGTCTTCATAAGCATTGGCACCCTACAATTCACCCAACCAAAACTGGAGAAAACTGTACAGAATCCACCAGCAATGCAGAACCATGCCTCAAACCCTCCATCTGGGAACGCGTTTGGGTCAGGGCCAGAAGGAGGCGTGCTCTCGGCTTGCTCTGACGTCGGATCCGAAGTATATCCATTCTCGGGTGAGCCGTTCTCGAACTTTTCTGATTTGCGATCGCTCGAGTCGTCAAGCACAGTCGGGGCCTGAGACTCAATATCCGCGTTGGACTTCATCTTGACTGGCTATGGACAAGCAAAGCTAAGGGAAGAATTGAGGAATTAATTGTCGACAAAGTATGGAATTTCAAGAGTGACTCTTGTGTCATGTACTTATAATCGGTCAACAATTAGAAATATAATCCGTTATATATCCGATATCTCCAGACACCGACTCTAGTCCTCATTCGGAACCATCTTTCGTCAAAAGAATGCTTGGCGCAGATAAGTATACTAATCCCTATAGGGCATCATCTTTCGGTTTGAAGCCTTGGCGCACGGAAGAGCCGCATTGGCGCTGCAATATGCGGCAGATTATGGACTTACAGATTTAGTACGGAATATACATAGGTACATGCAAGGAAATATGTACCTAGAGCAGATCAATTAATACATGTAACATTCTGAAGCAGATAAGATTGGTCTTCTCAATAGGTTAAGAAGTAGGTTAGGTACCTAAGGTACTTTACCTGCTTAATATTTGATTAAATATGAACAATTGAAAATAACTTATACAATTGTTAACTACATATGATACAAATGGATTATAAAACAAAGTTCACAAGTTGCCACAACGTGGCATCACAAGGTCTATATGTACTTCTGACCCCTGTGCGCGTCTTGACGTTGTCAGATTATTAAGGTACTGTCAGCTTGCAGGAAGACTGATTGTCGAAAGGAATGTCATCCTGCACTGCAGTTTAGATGCATATAGATACCTGGATACCTACCTAGGTACCTAGGTATATAGGTAAGCAGCCAATCTCTTTGCATATATGTAACAGTTAGGTAGCTTAATTATTTACAGGTCACCTTACCCTGTACATACCTAGGGGTCCTATTAGTTGCAACACCATTCAACGCCACTTTTTTTTTTTTTTTTTTTTGAAACCCCACCCCTAATATCATACCACTACGATAACACACGATAAATCAGCCATCGTATGCATCTGCTAACAATTGATTTGTACATCTTAACTCCTTGTAGATTTCTAAAGTAAAACAATAGCCGTTAACCGCATCGACCATTTATCATCTAATGCCTTAATTATTACTTAACTCACTATGACTCGGTGCCTTATGAGATCTTCGAAATCTAGATTAACCGATTGCTATATTGGATGCATGTTTCGTCCTTACTCGTGAGTGGTCTTTATTTCAGCTATCGAATCGCCTTGTCGTTCCTAGCATATCAAGTAAGCATTTCCTATACATATGTCTTGGTATTGGGAAGATTGAAGAAGTTTCTAGATCTGTGGGGCGAGGAAAAACTGCAGTGTCCAATTAAGAAGATGTACGCTTTAGGTATCAAATTTAGATGCCAAGATACCGAGAAGAGGTCACTCAAGGTTGGTTGCAGGTACTCTGGTCTCAATGACAAGTTTTCTACATAATGTATTATATAATGCCCTGCAAGTAATGACCCATTGATAAAAGCGGTGCATTGTCTTATCTCACGGCATCATGAGGCGATGACTGACAAAAAGCATTTAGGCGCATGGCGAAGTTCATTGCGAAGGCCGAGATGAAGAACACAGCTTACAAATAAGCACGAAGTTATGGTTTGAATTAAAAGTATGAGCTTATTGACAGGTAGTTAGTATAACGAATTGAATGTAACCATAAAACGTCTAAACTTTGAAATTGATGTAGCTACCACCTATACTCACATAATATATCCTGAGTCTTTAGTAATGGCATTTTGCGGAATTCTCCCAAATAAAGCAGTCTTCACGTAATCTAAATACTACACGATGTATATTATATAAATACCTACTAAATATAACTATAAATCGGATATCAACTGAGAAACTTCTTTTCTTGGATTGCCTAGTTAACAGTTATTCCCTATCTGTGGTTGCAATAGAAGCATGTGTGTAGTATCCCAACTAGGACAATTACCGAGATGTTGGTCAAGATTCAACAGCATATCACGATCATTTACTCAATGAACGGCAGATATCGGTCAATAGATTGCCTCTCGAGAATCTCTACTATGATCTTACCAATGTAGTTCGTGGACAGGTGGAAGTGGAATCGGTCTTCCTGAGCCCCCTCCCTGCAGATTCACGAACTCAACCCCTTTCCCCCGATCTAGTATCATCGCCGTGAACGGCCTCGCCTCAAATGTGGACTGATCGTAAACTCGGCGGTATAAGAGTGCGCGCCGCCCGCCTGTGCGCTGGCTGAAAGACCTTGAGATGCTACCCGACCAATAAACACAGAGTGCGAGCTAGATCTCCTCCATAAGATTCTTATAAGATCTATTTTAGCTAGCATCTAGCTGTCAACCCGAATAAGATGACGGTATCGAAACATAAGACACGAAACCCCGGGTAGGCTATTTAATAAGACATGCTATACCAACTAAACCCTTTTTCGAGAGCAACTTATAAAGGGGTTGTACGGTCCTTGATATAGTGAACCGTTCCTCTGACTATAACTACTAAGATCGCTACTAGAATCACTCGCGACGCTGCTGTTATCATCGTTAATTTCCCCTAGACCTATTATGACATTGTCTTCGTGTAGGCCACCATTGTCAATGTCATCGATGATACTATTTCCGCACTGACTACGATCGTTGTCGTCCCCCTTCTTAATGTGATCCGGGAGAGCTGGGAGGTCTCCGCCCCAACCATTCAAGTTGTAGTCGATGACGTACTCGGAGTTGTCATCATCATATACTAAGTATGGGTATCGGTCTTGGTCGTCTTGGTTGTCTTGGCGTTGACTAAACCACAACTCCATCTCAAATGTCCCGATCCGAATAAATGCTTTGTGGTGAGACCCAGACTGATGCTTCTGCTGCAATATCAAGCCCTTCGACTCTCCATCGCCCCTGGTAACCTCCAGTAAGTAATGGCAATGGCGATAGCGCGATGCAGACACAAGAATGTGAAATTCTTCGGCGGATGCGTCACGGTACTCGCTATCAAGGTGCCAAGTGCAATTAAGAAATAATAGCACATATGGAACTATTTCATTACCATATTCGCTACTCTCGAATAGGAGCCGCACTTTTAACAAATGCCCCGATAGCAGAAGCCGAGCCTGCTGAACGTCGCCAAAAGGGTCTTCGGGATTGGCGAGTATTACATCGACGTCACGGACCTTTAAAAAGACATCGTACTCAGCATATGTAGTCGAAGCCCAGGCCCCAGGACCAGGTTGGGAAATTGGTGTTTTGGCGGTCTCTGACCAAGCTACCACGCTGCCACAGCAGATCGACGGGTAGATGGGCGCGCCAGTGGCCGGCGATGTAGTCTTGCGGACTACCGAAGTAAGAAGCGAACTGTTTCGGTATAGCAGAGAAGGCAGAAAATCTGGATGTGCAACTCCGGTCAGGAGATGTATGCTTTTCGGGGGACAAGAGGATTATAATAAACGAATCACTCACCTATCGCTCGAGTTCGTTAAATTCCGCAGGACGTAGTTATCACGTAGTCTGACCCATTCGTCGAGCGGTCTCTCAAATATCCAATAATTCCCCCCCATAACGGGATGCGCGAGGTTCTGGCCATCCTCGCCGACAAGAAGCACCATATTGCGGTAAGCCATATTAGACGGGGACGGCAGCATCTGCGTCGAATCCGTCAGCGCGCTCTTCTTCCATGTTCCAAATACAGAGTCTTCTAAACACTGCCAGCTCATCCCTGTGCGGCCAAAAGCCAGTACTCGTTTGGATAACAGATGTTCCTGCATTGGCACTGGTTGGTTCTCTTGTACTCATTATCGTCGCCCAGCAATAGCTTAGTGCCACATAACCATTGGCAGCACACTTGCAGTCCAGAAATGCTCCACCCACAAGTCGAAGTTGGCCGTCGCCGTCTTGGCCAACCTCGATTAGCCTAGTAGGCTTGGAGGCACTTTGCAGCGAGGACGCATCGCGCTGTCGGCATCTTCCGTAATTCGCGCGACATTTCGTTAGACACTCTCTTGCCCTGTCCCAGATCGCTTCATCAGTATACTTAGTTTCAACACCCGCGATGGTGGAAGGGAAATTACCCGAGCTGGGATCATCTGAAGGGATCTATCAGTTCGAGTCCGTCATGTTGCGCTATTGCTGACACTATTCCGCAGCTGTGACTCACCTGACGAAAAAGATCTGATGGTGAAAGTAGTATCGTCGTGTTGGATTCGGATATGAACTCTGTTATTTACGCTCGGGACGCCCAGGGGTTCGTCTCGACCGAGGCAAAGAACGAAACCCGGATCATAGGGGTATTTCAACGGTTCTAGATCCTCTGCGCATTGAAGAAACCCAGCGCTGGCAAATGTCGCATTCGCACTCGTCGAATTCCGTAGTAGCGTTGTCGAGGTCCAGCGTGAAGAGGTCTGAGATGTCTTTAAAGAAATCCTCGTCTTGCCACGGCGGGACGGGCCAGCGAAGAAGCCAAGGCTCGGTTTCCAAGAAGGCTGCCGCTGTCTGAATATGCGGCTTCGGATGCTGCCATCCTTGCGGATCAGTTACACGGTATATTTCAGCTAGGTTAATAGCTGTCTATACGTATGATAGGGAAAGAAGAAAGAGAAACGACCTTCCTCGGGTTACATACCGCCCTCGCCTTGGTTTATTGACTGCTTGTCCTCGGCAATAGTATATTCCATTGCCCTTGCGGGGTCTATTCGCGGGCGATTTTGAGAGTTTCCCTCATCGTTAGGGATTTTAATGACATCCATAATGAGCGGTATTCTTTCAAGCATTCGCTGACGGTGGTGTATTTTTTCAGCGAACATGCCGTATAACAATGCCCACGATTGCCGGTCATGTTCGGATGGCAACTACATGTCTTCGTACTTATCATCGTAATCATCTTTTCGGCCGAAGAATGATGGCATCGCTGTATCCTACCTAGGTAGAGATTGTATAGACTAAAATCTAGGGAATGCAGACATGATGTTCTTGTCTGACATACGCTTGACGGCGGAATAAATATGCAGCTGATGAAGGAGGGGTCAATTGGATGCCTGATCGGTACAGGTGCTCAGCTCAACTTGATACAGTAGGATTATTACGCTCCTGCATTGGCGTCGATGTGGCCAGCCGGGATAGGTAATCTTACACACAGGGATACTACAGAACGCCAAGTTATTCTGTTTATACCCCGGCTCAAAATATAGGACAAATCTTTTATATTATCAGAGTTCACCTTTCCCCCTTTAACCGTGAACCCAAGTACGATTATCGTGTCGAAAGAACACCAAGAGCTTTTTACTTACTTACCTACCTATGTACCTAGGTAGGCAACTGTTGAGCCGAGATGTAATTTGATACAGATAGAGATTAAGGTGACGGTGTTGGAGTTGTTTGTATCAAGGAATAAAAGGAGTAGCTTAACCTGTATACACCTACGTACTCTTGACTAAAATATTTCATATTGTACTTAACAACAGTCCCTCAATGTCTAGTCTTAAAAACTTAACATTTAAATATACTTGTTAACTACCTCCTGAGGTGCTTAAGTTGAAGTATGAACAACTGACTCTAGTTAAGACTGGGTTACCGTGATAATTGTATTCCTGGCGTATAGTGGCGAATCAAGGCCCTAGAGGTGTTTAGAAGCTGAAAATTCGATGAAGATTCAACCCTTCTCCAAGTTAGCAGGTTATCGTGATTCGATCATCATACTAAGATCGTAATTCACTTGCATTTTACCCCAAGAACTCCTATATTTTTTAAACAATTTTATAAGCCAAGGTTCTTCGGCGTCGCTCGCATCTCTTGTAGGGGTATACTAGTGCTAATTCGATGAATCGCAATTTTTGTACAAAGTAAAATTGGGCGAGACTCTACTCAAGTTCTATCTTGACCAGCCACCCAATGGCTCAGCAATGTCCGCAAATGTCATCATCGACAGTCCCCAACGTGTATTGGGGCCTTCCATCATGTGCATGTTCTGTATCCACAACCATTCCCGCTCGTGGCCCGGATGGAGCCGAAAATACTGTCGAGCGCTCCAAGATGGATAAGTTGTTGCGTGACCACCATATGTTCCCATTTCTATTCGATGGAAATACTCCATTGACTGACATACGTAATGCGCCATCCTTGTCCCCTCGTTTTGAATGTCTTGTATCGAGCGGCCAGTACTTATATTGGGTAATAGAGTGTCCCGGTTTGGAGATTCCGACGGGCTCGCCGCATCTATCACTGTGGCACCATCTTGGTGCAGGAGATCTTTGAGATCAATCTGCCGGCCTAGCCTTGCTTGAACAAGGTTATGTATTTGAATAACAGTACTATATAGCTGAGTACCGACCGACCAGCACATAACGACAGGGACTGCGACGCAGAGCGATTCAAACTCAAAACAGAACGGGAAGATCTTATCTGAAGGGTCGGCATCGGCCGGATTTACTGCGCGGCTTGGTACAGACCAGGATCGAGGAGTTGGCGAAGCTTTCCAGAATGCATCGTGCCAGTATTCCACAGACTCCACCATAGCTAATATTGACTGCGTAACCGCTGCCGATTCCCTTAGAAGAACACTGTGGTCGCTAATCAAAGGAAGAGCAACAGATCGTTCAAGAATGCTGGGGAAGTCTGCAATCATCCTATAAACCTCGTCAAGAGCTACGGTTAAGCCTGACTCGGTTACAATTTGTCGCCATATATCGTTTTCGAGAATTTGTGCTTGTCTCTTCGTCAGAGCTTCCAGGGTCTGCTAGATAGTTAGAAGAAAAACTGGAAGGCTTCCTTCCTTACACTTACGCAGACAATCCTCATACGCGAAAACAGATGCCGCCATGCTGGAGTACTCTTCATTTCCGGGTCACGCAGTCGAAGGATTTCTGCAATACCGCGTGCGTGGACACTCCAACCATTTTCTGCAGGACATACAAAGAGCTATAATATTTGTCAGCAATGCTGTGATCAAGAAGGAAGTGTGGTACTAAGAGACATAGTAGATCGTATCTAGGCTCAAAGACTAGGTAGTCTTGCTAGGGTACTTCAAGACATCCCCTATACGTACTTCACATGTCGATAGAACCACTATAGTTGCCAATGTCTCTTCTAGAAACCTCCTTTCCGAGTCGACTAAATCGGAGTAGAGATGCTGCAGGGCGGTGTTATACTGGTCAAGGCATTGATATAACGAAGGGCCTCCTGTACCAGTAACATGGAGCTGGGTGAGACAGAATGCGAAGAGGGCGGTGTCGAGTGATCTGCTAGGCTCATTGAGATCTGTTATATGGTAGACCCATGAAAAGCTCCCCTCACTAGAAACCGAGTGTTTTGGGAGATACATAGCTTCCAGCAGCTCGACAGCGTACATTCGAAACTCACGGCAATTGTGCGAAGACTTGGAGAACAGTTGGTGCAAGGTTGCTTCTGCTTTTGGATTAGGCGAAGCGCTTTTCGGCACCTCCTGCGCTCTGAGTCCCGACAATACCGACATCGCAGTAGTCGACGGACACGAAGGAGTCCGATTGACAAATATTAGATCTCGACCATAACCAGTACATTGTCGTTTTGATTTGATACACTTTAAGCAAAAGGGTCGTGTCATATCACACTACCAGGGGATGATGTCAGCAAAGTCTACCAATATAAATGCTAGCGAGTTTGGCAGAATGGTATAGATTAGAAGTTTATCCCTGGAATATCAAAGTAGGAATATCAAAAGTATCCAGATCGACACCCGTGTTGATTACGTCATGGGCTATTAATCGCGTACCTTCAATCGCTTCAGTCTGCAGGTGTTGCAAGCCTGCGACTTCCCTGCGACGCCAACCATGTGGAGCTTGATAATGCGAAATATAGCATAAGAGTATAAGGCAGTCAGTATAGGCGCTCAAGAATCGCCTGATTGCTAATTGTTAATAAGACGTATCGTTTATTTTGACACTATTCCGAGTGGATGATGAGGTGGTCTTCAGACGCAATATTCACGGCCCAAACTTTACCGTAAACTTAATATTAAGGTTAAACCGGTAAGAGCCGAACTGCATGAGACGGGAGCTAAATAAGGCTGAACCTTAATCCGCCCGGGAGTACTAGGCTAGATGAGTACTAGCGTATATCATTTCTTAAGTAATAATTCCCTTAGTTAAATGCATATACACATTGTAATGCATATTTGTATTGAATGATATTCCATAGCGATATTGTAGCTCGGAGCAACGCCTTGGCCGACTTGGCCCGGTATACGGAAGTGTACGGAAGTGTAAATCATCAAAAGTAGGTTTTCGATGGTAGTGATGACCGCTATGTGAGAACTGATCTCCCTTGGTATCTTTAATAAAGAATCTCCATGATTACGGTGGGTTCGGGACAAGAGGCCCTAATGATAAATTTGAAAGTTATATTTTCATCCCTTGGAATGATGCGACACCGGGGCCCGCTCCGCTTGAATTAACTTAGTTTTCTGCTCCCTAGTTACCTCAATATCTATTATGTGTTGAGATCATGGACTTTCTTGCCGAACTAGCGTTACCTACTAAGTAATGGGGTCATCTTTTTCAAATCGCGCAAGGGCTCTGATCTCATCGAAAGAGGCCAATTAAGTGTAGAAATAAGATAAAGTGGTAATTAATCGACAGTTTTATCACGGAAGACAGAGTTGCCAGTGGCCTCTGCTATGACTGCTTTGTTAGTTTAGGTAGTTGGAAACAAATGAGGGACGCTAAAGACACGAACTTCCTTTGTATTAATAACAATATAGGGTAAGTCAAAGCACCCTTACGGGGGCCACCTTAATAGGGACCACCTCAAAAATGCAACACGTTTACAATGAGGTTTATATACAAATTATTATATAATTTTATTAATTTTTAATTAATTAAAAAATAAAATTTATTATTTAAATCTTTATCTTTTTATAATTCTAAAATATTTACTCTTTTAACTTAATTACATTATGTTACAACAATAAATAACATTTTTAACAGCATATCCCTATGGTAAACGTTTAAAAAATATTTTATATTATAATATTATTTTACGGACTAAATATTAAACTGTAAAATATAAAATAATTATTTAAAGAAATGTTAAAAATTATTAAAGTATTAAAAAAAGGAATTAATTAATTAAGCCGTTATATTAAGTTATATTAATTATACGTTTTTTTATATTAATTTAAAGATATTATAAAAAAATTATTAATCTATAATTATTAACCTAATATCTTTAATAAATATTAATATATATAATTTTTATTTCATTATTTTAATATTAAATTAGTTAAGATTTATTTAATTAATTATAAACAAATTAACAAGGTTATAATTAATAATATTAATATTTTTTTTAACCGATTTAAAATTTTTAAGATTAAGAATATCCCGGTTAAATATACGTATAGCATTAATAAAATAAAGATTATAAAAAAGGTTAAAAATAATAAAATAATTATTGGTAAAATTTATAAAAAGTGTATTATAATTAAAGATTGTAGTAATAAAATTTAAATATTAATTATTAAATATGTTAGTAGCAACAGCTAATTTTTAAATTTCTTTATTATATATATAAATAAATATATATAATAATAATAATTTCCTAACGATAAAAACGTTAAATTTAAGGATTAAAAATTTATTATGTTTTTTAATGGTTGGATTAATAATAATATTACATTTAAATGGTTTTATAAGGTTTTTTTAAAAGAAACAAAATTATTAAATTATTAATAATAACGATTATTAATCCTTAACAGTTATAATAACCATACCATAATAGAATTTTTTAAGAATATTTTATAAATAAGGTTTATATTGAACAAGACTTAAACGTCTTGGCCTTGGATCAAGCCTTATTAGACCTGATATCAAGGACTTTTAAATAATGAAACTGATGAAAAAGAATGACTTGTATTAAAAGTGGATGATACTATGTAAAATGGGTGTGTGCGACCATAAATGGTACTTATACTAAGAATATGATCACATGATCAGGGTCAAGGTCACCTGATACACCAGCACCAGTTTAATATTATTTTTATCCTAACATATTTATTATATATTTTATAAATTATTAACGTGGGTATATTTTTATTAATAAAACAAAATTATTATTATAAGTCAAAGCACCTTTACGGGGGCCACCTTAATGGGGGCCACCTTAAAAACGCAACGCGTTTACGATGAGGTTTATATATAAATTATTATATAATTTTATTAGTTTTTAGTTAATTAAAAAATAAAATTTATTATTTAAATCTTTATTTTTTTACGATTCTAAAATGCCTATTTTTTCAGCTTAATTGTGTTGCGCTATAGCAATAAATAACGTTTTTAACGGTGCATCCTTGCGGCAAGCGTTTAAAAAATATTTTATATTACGATATTATCTTACGGACTGAATATTGGGCTGTAGAACACAAGATAACTATTTAAAGGAACGTTAGAAACTATTAAAATATTAAGAAAAAGAATTAACCGATTAGGTTATTATGTTAAGCTATATTAGCTATACGCTTCCCTTATATCGATTTAAAGATATTACGAGAAGATTATTAACCCATAATTATTGGCCCGATACCTTTAATAAACATTAATATATATAATTTTTATTTTATTATTTTAATATTAAATCGGTTAAGGCTTATTTAATCGATTATAAACAAATTAACGAGGTTATAACTAATAATATTAATATCTTTTTTGACCAACTCGAAGCCTCTAGGATTAAGAATATCCCGGTTAGGCATACGTATAGCGTTAACAAGATAGGGATTATGAAAAGGGTTAGGAATAACGGAATAATTATCGGCGAGGTTTATAAGAAACGTATCGTAATTAAAAACTGTAGTAATAAAACCTAGACGTCAATTATTAAGTGTGTTAGTGGCAACGGCCAATTTTTAAATCCCCTTATTATATATACAAGTAAATATGTATAATAACAGTGGTTTCCTAACAATGAGGACGTTAGATTTAAAGGCTGGAAGTTCACTACTGAACTGGTGCTGGTGTATCAGGTGACCTTGATCCTGATCATGTGATCATATTCTTAGTATAAGTACCATTTATGGTCGCACACACCCATTTTACATAGTATCATCCACTTTTAATACAAGTCATTCCCTTTCCTTCATCACCACCATTTAAAAGTCCTTGATATCAGGTCTAATAGGGCTTGATCCAAGGCTAAAACGTTTAAGTCTTGTTCACTACGTTTCCTAATGGCTGGACTAATAATAATATTGCACTTGAATAGTTTCGTAAGGTTTTTTTAAAAGAAACGAGGTTATTAAATCGTTAGCAATGGCGATTATTAATCCTCGACGGTTACGGTAGCCATACCACGATAAAATTCCTTTGGGAATATTTTATAAATAAGGTTTATGTTATCTTTATCCCGGCATATTCATTGTACGTTTTATAAGTTACTAACGTGGATGTATTTTTATTAATAAAACGAAGTTATTGTCGTAAACTTACTGAGGTATGCTAGTTATATTATATTTTTAATCCCGGTAAAAGGGAATTTATTACGGCTTATTAAATAGCACGAAAAAAATGTTTAATTAAATATAATATATTGGCTGGTTAGAAGGTTACAGGGATTTATTTTAAGGATTGGAATAAGTTATTAAATTACCGGTTTATGTTCCAAGAGGTTCCCGGTACTACCCCGGCCCCCCCGAGCCTTATTTCTAACCTAAAAAAGCTTAATTTTATCGAAAATATAGCCTTAATCCTTTTAGCAACGCTTTTAAATTCATAAAATATTAATATTTTAGTTAAAAAACTATTTAAGGTCGATATAACGTTTGCTAAACCCGCGGTAAGGTTTTTATTTAATAAAATCGGTAAAGCCTTTAATAAGGTTATTATAAAATTAGCCATAATAAAGGCCTACGCCGAGTATTTAGAAAAGGCATTAGTAAATACGAAGCTGTAAAAACGGCGTAAGGTATTACCTGACCCGAATTTAACGTTTGTAAATATTAAAGCTATTATAAAAGAGAAAGAGTAGTTAAAAGCTTAGGAATCAAGTGGTGCAGTTATAATCAACAATTTTAATACCAATTTGGAAAATAAAGCCTTATTAATTAAATCGATAATAGAGGATTGTATTATTATTAAAATATAATAAATTATAAATTAATTAAATTTAATTTAATTAAATAACGTTAAATTAAAGTTAAGGTATTTGTTTTAAAGGTTTAAAAATTTGAGGTGGCCCCCATTAAAATGGCCCCCGTAAGGGTGCTTTGACTTAAATTTATTAAAATATATTAATTATATTATATTTTTAATCTTGGTAAAAAAGAATTTATTACAACTTATTAAATAGTACAAAAAGAATATTTAACTAAATATAATATATTAGTTAGTTAAAAGGTTACAAGGATTTATTTTAAAGATTAAAATAAGTTATTAAATTATTGGTTTGTATTTCGAGAGGTTTCCAATATTATTCCAGCCTTTTTAAACCTTATTTCTAACTTAAAAAAGTTTAATTTTATTAAAAATATAACTTTAATCCCTTTAGCAACGCCTTTAAATTCATAAGATATTAATATTTTAATTAAAAAACTATTTAAGGTTAATATAACATTTATTAAATTTGTAATAAAATTTTTATTTAATAAAATTAATAAGACCTTTAATAAGATTATTATGAAATTAATTATAATAAAGGTTTATATCGAATATTTAAAAAAGGTATTAATAAATACAAAGCCACAAAAATAGCGTAAGATATTATTTAATCTAAATTTAACATTTATAAATATTAAAACTATTATGAAAAAGAAGGAGTAATTAAAGACCTAAAAATTAAGTAATACAATTATAATTAATAATTTCAATATTAATTTAAAAAATAAAGCCTTATTAATTAAGTCGATAGTAAAAGATTATATCGTTATTAAAATATAATAAATTATAAATTAATTAAATTTAATTTAATTAAATAACGTTGAATTAAAGTTAAGGTACTTATTTTAAAGGTCTAAAAATTTGAGGTGGCCCCCACTAGGGTGGCCCCTGTAAGGGTGCTTTGACTTATCGAGAGCCTTCATACTATCGTCAGTATTTATTTGACCACCGACGGGTATTGAGAGCCTCATGTATGCCTCTCATGACATACAATTTTCCAAATGAATTTTATAACCGTTGGTAAGAGGAGAGCCTATAGGTTGTTATAGCAAGACAATCCTAATGTCTTCGGTGATATCGCTAGCGATGACTAGTTTAGGAAACATACATAATACCATTGGTTATCATCAACAACGCCGATCGTGGCGATATTAATGATAATAGAGATGGTATGGTGCTGACGAAGCGTTCGTGGCGTATTTCTCATTGTAGATGCCCGTAATTACTACACAAAGGGTCTCATGATAACATCTTTGTACTTGGTAGGTATCATCATATCAAGCGTCGAAATCTTGTCGGTCCCCGCATTTTTTGCACGTGGTCAACATGGAGGCAATGATACTGGCGATCTTTCTGATGGTGATGGCTATAGGTTAGGTATGCTTGAGGGGGTTATGTAAAAATAAAAAATAATAAAAACTCAAACCGAATAGAGTCTCTAAATAGCTAATATTTACATCAGTATTGACTTATACTTAGTGGAAGGTTTAGTCAGTATCCTTCGTAATAAAATATCTTTAGATGAGACAGGATGAAATATTAGCCTGGGGGCTTATTGTCCAGTTTTCTTAACACATAGCCGAATACTAATCTGCCATAGCGGATTAATCCGAGGTTACCATAGGAGTCTTCCTTGATACTATAGTTCTAAGGTTGTTACGGCCGAAGGGCTATCCTGTATTAATCATCTAAGTTGGTGGTCTGTGCGATTACTGCATTGTTTTCGGAAATCTGCTTGTCCCTCGACCATATCTTGGCTTTGTGTTAAAAGAATACCTTCTCATATGGACTATGAATAGAAGGGTTTGAAAAGAAAAACAAAGAATGAATATTCCAACACTTTCTAAACGATGCACGGGTAAATTAAAAACTACAAGTTAAACAACTTTCTGAATATTGATGAGCGCTAATGTGTAATATGTATTATAGTAGTCGAGTTGAGGTTATTGTCGGCATCTTGAATGTCTAGGATTTGAGCCGCATTGCTCAAATTGCCCCTGATTAATCAATTACGCACTTCTGTGGCGCTTCTTCAACGGCCGGCCCTCTCCGACCCAGTGGAGAAGTGAGCCAAGAGAGAGGTTTTAGATGGTTGACGATGCCTTTTTTGGTATGACCTAGTCGTTCCTCCATAAGATGAACTTACATTCCAACGACTCTTTGTGTTAGCCCCACCCGCGGAATTATTTTCCTCGATGAACTTGAGCTTCATTATAACCATTCATCGGTCAACAACGGCCATGGTTACTTTCTTTGAGAGCTCTCTTTGTTGCTCTACTTGCGCGATGGGACGTTATGGTGTGTATTGGAACCCCCTATGTGGGGGTGCTTCGTTGTCTATTGAAGGGATTGAGAGATGTGTACGATGCTGCTCATCTTTAAAGGACCCTCCCCCGTGGAATGGGTTGCCTGTGGCTCGGATTCACTTGATGCTTCATACACATTCCTTCATACCATTCGCCTATTTTCACTTGTTGTTTTTGATGCCAGAGATGATCACCTTTTAGCCTCAGCAGCCTTATCGTGGCTTACATTATTTGCATACCTGTCGTTGCCGTGCCAGACTTCTCATGTTTTGTTGACTTCCATATCTCGAGATACAAGGGCACTGGTTGTGCCATCAAACCTCTTTCTTGAGAAAGCTTTCCACGTTTTCTTCAAGCTCCAATCATCAACATCTCTATTTTCCGTGTGAATACCTAATTTTGGAGCTGCGCTCCCAGCCTTTCGACGTTATGGCCTTCACGGCAGTGCACTATCCGACCGACAAAGACCAAAGCCAAGCACCTTATTGGCCTGAAAGTGAGGAGCTGGGGGTGGCAAGCGATAACAACTTCTTTGAACAGTTCCTTGCCTTTGATTCTTCAGAAACCTCGGCTCTAGGTGGTGGCAATGACTTACTTGCGAATCCGCCCAGTCCGTCTATCCTACTTGAGAACCTTGATGCTGACCTGTCCAATTCGTCGTCTACCGATCAGGACACACAACCTGGAAAGTCTCGAAGCGAAACGTCTGGCTCATCTATTTCGCTAGACTTTTCTTCGATACCCTCCTCTTTAGAGCAAAGCAAGTCAGTACCACTAGAGCTTGCTGCCCCTCTCATATCAGATCCTATCTTGTCCACCGGCTCGATTTCAGATTCAGAACTGCTTCGCTTGGAGGGCATTTCTCGACTCTCCTTAGAGTCGCCTAGAGGAAATGCTACAGCACCTCAAGGTTCACCTCTCGCAAACCAAGGTTCCCTAAGCCCACGTAAGCATAATCGCGTTTTGAACTCGGTCTGCTCCGCATTACGCCGAGCGACGCATTGGTCAAAGGCACATAAGCATCAAGGATCCCCGATGGAAGTAAGCACAGCAATGATGGGAGATTCATTAAAGACAGAAGCCTGTTACGATCTCCCAGTGGACTTTGATCTAAGCGGATTAAGTGAAGTCAAACTGGAAGAAACGTCCATTTCGAATAATCTACCCCTATCGCCGCCACTCACCGGTCGGATACCTGCCGATCATAACTCGGACGATATAATGAATTTCGTAAGCGGTCATTTCGATGACCCGTTCTGCGATGATGTGCTAGCTCCGCCTGCTACTATCGACTCCGCGGGTAAAGGACATGACATTGACTTGAATACTCCGATGGCAACCCCGGCGCTGGACGACGATATATTCTATCAACCGACACTGGATCTAATCGGTTCAAACGGAACCTCACTCCACCAGCAGAAGTCACAGCCCAAACTGCGGAGTACAAGCTCAGCAGAGTGGCCGATGGAGGGCATTCTTAGCAACGATAGTCAGAACTGCATTTGGCCTACATCATCTTCTCCAAGCGCAGGGCCGGCGTACGTTTCCGATAGTGGGGGCGGTATGTCAAGCCCGGGGTGGTGGGATACGCCACAACAGGCAAACGGTCACCGGCAGCATGGCGGTCGGAGCCATAGCCATAGCCATAGCCATATCAGCGGCTCAGTGCATAACAACGTATCACTCAATCTCTCCATGCATAACCAGCAGGCAGAGCTTCCATACGAATACGGCACTGGCGCAGATATATCGGGACTCATGATTCACATGCCGCAACCCCGGGCGCCACAAGCCGCAGTATTGAGTTCCAATATAAACGATTCACTCATAATGCCCTCACCGTCATCTGCCTACTATCATCATCCCCACTCTGGTGGCCGTCGAAGCTCATCAAGCTCATCGCAGTATCACCACGGGCACCACAGCGACCACCGCCGGCCACGACCTCGCGCACCCTCCTCTGGTGCCCGTCATTACGGTAGTAGTAGTAGTAGCCACTACGGCGGCCCGATGACTTCGCCACGCAAGGTATCCTCATCAGCAGCATGTTATACACTGCGTGAAGAATCGATGTCGCCGACGCCTCTCCCACGCCAACGGACCTCCTCTTCCTCTTCAAGTTCCTCTCTAGCTCTGCGCAAGCAGCGGTCATGGAGCCGGCAACACCGTAAGGGTGGCGAGCCACGAACGCCCAGCAGTGGCCGCGTGCGGTCGTCATCCTGCCGGTCGGCGGGTTACGACCATGGCGGCGGCGGCGGCGGTGGCGGCGGTAGCTTATCTATTGAGTTTTGCAACTACACGCCGAGCGACAAGAAGGTGTTAATGAATGGTGTGGCGCCGAGCGGGTCAAGTAAGACCAAAGCGCGGCGTGAGCGCGAGGCTCAAGAGAAGAATGAAAAGTACGTGGAGGCAATTCGTGCCGCGGGCGTCGACGTGGAAAAGTTGCGTCAGAACGGTTTCCTCTTCACCAAGTAGCCATTGAGCTGATTTACATTCGTGCTAGTGGGATGCCTGTCTAATAAGGAGGTTGAGAGAAACATAATAAGGGAGTCGCCATGTAAACCCTGGCGGACTTGGTCGGCTGGGATTGTTTACTCTTTACGTCGCTGCTTTCTTGTACTTGTGCGTGGTCGCACTTTGACTACCTAGTCTGGAAGCAAGCGGATAGGTATGTGAAAAGGAATTGGGTTCGGACAAAAGAACTGGTTTAATAGGCTAGGTACTTACCTCCTAACTGTTGAAGTGTACTAATGGCGATGAAGTATTCGTCGTGTATGAGTGCGGCATATCGCCGCCCTTCCCCCTATAGCGGGAACTTCACCCATCATCCCCCACCTCCTATTTACCTAATGTATAGCGGCTATATGGGCTGCAGGTATTTGTGTTAAGCTATTAAGTTGAACAAAGTGGGATATTATTCGTAATTGATCATGTCTTTTCGGTGTGAAAGCATATAAGATAGAATACGGTACGATTAAAATGAGATTTCTGTTTCATGTAACTACCTACCTATATAATGTATGAAGAATACGCTATTGATAAAATGGCAATTGGGCTACAGAATTGTTAGGGATGTCTGGTATCTTTGCTTTATTAGGATCACCCCATAATGCTGGTAGGATCTAACGTTGGTAATTCAAATTCTTTTAAGGCTAATATAAGATCCTATCGCTAAAGCACAACGTAGCTTCAGGTAAGTTAGACAAGTGATTGGGCGATTATCTCCTAACTTAGAGTGATAGAAGCGGTTCCGTTGCTTGTAGTAGATCCACTAGTGTATCCTTCTGTCGCGACAATCACTGTAAGGTTAAAAGTGTTAGTACTAATACTATCAAAGAAATATGAATCTTATTAGAAGCAGGGTATTCTCACTGTAGTCATGACCTCCTAGGTTAAGGCCGAGTTTAGACCATTGATCAAAGTGCTTTCCGGTGCTGATGGTTCCACCCACTCTTTGATCAGTGCGGACGGACCAATACTGCTGAAAGGTTGCCGTTCCAATGATAGAAGGCTTGTTCACACGGGTACTAGTGAATACTTCGTACGTTCCCTCGTCGATGGTGAAGTTTCCCTTGGAAGTCCAAGGCTCATTAGGGAGAAGATCTCCATGGGCATCCATAATGTAATACTCGATTAGTGGGTTGCGAGTCCAACCATATACGGCCAGGTAGCTCGGTCCCTTGGGCGCGTATGTGCCGGAGTATTTAACGGCTCTGGAAAATCATGTTAATACAGATACAATTACCATGGCACTTTATTAACACTTTCAAATGTTAGTAGATGACTCACCTGTTACCACCTGGGCTCCATCCCTTTCCACAGACGAAGCCGCTTGCGCCACCGCTGCTTTGCCAGTTTACGCTGTACGAACTACCGCCACCGTTGTTGCATTGAAATGTACCGCCACCCTCTGACCAGGAAGACCAGAAGTAACCACCTTGTCGAGTCTGGATTGCATTGCTGTCACTTCCATGCAAGAAGTCTCCAATTTGAGGGAGGAACCCCGAGGGCGCTGCGAAAGCCCCTGTGAACAGGGTGGCAGCCGTGAGAAGAAAGGAGGACAACATGGTGATAAACTTAGTACAGTTGAGGATCTCGTCGTTTTCAAATTATGGGATGATGGCTTGCTACTTATATACTTCTCATTACGGGAAGCTTTCATCGCTTCTCTGCATCTATACAGGAGATCGTGTTTAGCCTGAAAACCTCGTGAGCTTCTGGGATTAGTCTCGGGTAGAATGTGCAACTAAATTGATTATGCCGTACCTTATTACCAGAACCAATTGGGAATTTCCTCTCTGAGCTTGATATAAGAAACCAAAACTTATTTCTTGATGACCCGCATGATACTCCACAGTCAACTGCCAGATCCAGCCCCGGACAATCGGAATAGACCTGGGGTACAGGGTTCGAGACCAAGTAGACAATACCACCTTCTCCAGGTTAATATCCTGGTTCCTCAATCAATCCGGGGCAAAGTGATTTAACTGGTTGGCAGATTAATATAGCCGGTATGCTACGATGTATGCTGAAATGTCACACAAGACCACATTAAGCGCCTCAAAACGATCTCCAAGAATAGATACCTAAGTTGAAGGGAGAGAAAATTGAACACAACTTAGTATCATAGTATCGACCAAAGGGGCATATTGAAGCTCCCACACTCAGGGGTCATTAATCCTTGTGATGGTTTTTCTTGCAGTAAAGTGTTGTAGTTAGTGAATTGTTGGGGCTGAGGCGTGAATTGCAGGCAATAAATGGGGTTATGGGATGATCAAATTCAGGTTGAATATTGCCTTCTTAACTTACGGGGTAGATAGTCCGTCGTTGAGGGAGGGATGAATAGAGTTCGGCAACATAGTATCACTTATGGGCCCAGACTGTCGAGGTACATATAAAATATTTCGTAGACGGCACTATGACGGACAGCGGATAAAATAAATTAGGTACTCCTACAATCGATGAAGTAATTATTACTAGTAGAAATTGTGTTCTAATATAGGTACCTATGCATTCCAGGAACCTGGTCTGCTTAGCCAAATACATAAACTTGGGGACTAATGAATATCCTCGTTACCGAAACAAGACCAGCACTCCTGAGATACTACATATCGTTTATATTATATTCTCAGATCTCCATCGAGTCGTGTACATAAGCGTTTAATCAGCATTCAAATGATATTCACCGGCGGCCTACGGTTGATTTGAAGTGTACCTGCGTATATAGGTACCTTACTAGGTTACAAATGTTAAATTAGGCTTAGTATTAATATTTAAATATGTAGGGACCGATAGATTTATGTTGCCTATGTAATATAGAAGACTACCGAGGTATGGCCTAGAGACGGTCTGATAACCTTTGTGCGACTAAACATGGCCTATGATGTTAAACAACCATACTAAACTTGTGTTCTAGAAATGCCCCATGCTGCTGAACGTGTTGGAATACAAACGCTGTAAATTAGATAAATCCGCCACATATACTAACATATATTAGCCGCTATATGCCTTGGTATTAATGAAATCCAAAGCCCTTCAAGGAACAGTGTGAAGAAGGATACTAACTCCGGGACACTTGCTATTATACTTGAAAGCATGAATAATCTTCAAGCTAGTTATACTATGTACGCAAAGGTCGATACACTAAGGATAAAGACAAGAGCAATACGTAGCCAGTAAGGAGATGTACGTGGAGTCTCTCGTTTAGCGTCGTAGCCTTAGCAATAGCCGTTTTAACACCCTTGTCTTTGATTCTTTCTGCGGCACGGAAACTGGCGTCATTCTATGTTCTGATAGCTCAGATGTCCGTCTCATCCGTACTCTTACTGGCTCTATCGGCGGTACCAAGTTCCGTTGGTAGTAATACAATTCTTCTTCTATTGCAGTAAACATGTGGAAAGTGTTGCTGTAGGGTTGTCTACCGGGAATGGTGGTTAGGCGCGGTCGTGATTGTAACTCATCAGGGACTCGACCGATTACAAAGCCTGAGGTTTGTTCAATACATAACGTCGGCTTAAGTGACAGGAGCAAAATCTCCGCTCTCTGGTTTTTATCGCTAACATAGAGGCGCAACCCACAATGAGCTGCAAGCTCAGGGAAAGATTTATAAGATGGAATACTCTCAAAACTATTATAGCCGTCAAAGAGTTTAGAAAGTGCTTCGCTGAATGAATAAGTTGTCATGCCCCTCGTTTCCAAATAGCTGATAAGTGATTCGTTTATCTGATCTAGCTGTTGTGTTTCTGATATACCGAGGGACACCTCTATCTCGCGAGCGTAATAAATAGAAGCCAGGTACCAATTTCGTAGGTAAGGCTTTAGATATACTCTTGGAAGTAGATGGATTAAGGATTCGAATTGTCTAGCATTGGTCTCAAACAGCGTCTTTATGGGATTGAAACCTACTCCAGCAGCCTTGATGAGATTTTCATGGATACGCGGCTGACTGATAAAGTCGATAACCGTACGATGCAGGAAGCTAGCGGTGAAGTTAAACATGATAGGATCCTTTGGTCGCTCGATGATTTGTATCAAGTCCTTGCATTGCGCAATTAACTGCCTTTTCTTCGTCGTTATCACTTCCAGCTCCATCTCGTTCACTGCTGGCCATTCTAGAAGGAATGATTCTGGATCAAAAGGTAGTCCTTCTTCGTGGTCAAGAAAATAGAAGGAAATAAGAGTCATAGGAGTTCGAGCATGGGCCAATACAAGAAACACCCGGGCCGTCCGGGTTTTGTAGAAATTGTCAATAGAAGCCAGTATTCGGTCGAAAAAGTCTTCTAATTGTTGAGGCAAGTCATCCAGCCTGCGGTGCAGGTCTTTCATGCTGTCTGCATTGATAAGGCCTCTGATCATGGATTTGACGACTAGATAGACCCATAGAAACACCCCCTGAGCTCTTGTAGTAATTTTATCTACAAGGCCCCGGGCGGCATCCTCATCCCGGATGCTCAGTTGCTTGAATCTAGAATGAGATTCCAGATGATCTCGAACGTACGTCTCAATGTCAGACATCGTCAGATCCTGTAGATATAATTTCCAGGGATTTCCTTCGAAAGCGTCGATAAAATCAAGCCAAGGACGGCTAGCAACGCATAGCTTGATATTCCTCACCTTACCAAGGGACTTGATGATTTCTAGTAGTGAGGCATGCTCCCCGCTATATTCATCTAGGCCGTCGATGAAGATAAACAGACAGTCTGGACTTATCATGGAGGGGAGCAAAATCAATGCGTCAAGAAGCTCCTTAGTTGTCCACCTAAGCCCTATAGAGACTTCCCAATGGCGCAATGGCCTTCTATACTGTTCCGGGAATACCTGAGAAACTAGACTCGGGCATTCGAGCAAAATTTGAAAAAGCAGTGTGCGAAGTAGCCCTTCTTGTGACTGCTGCATTGGAGTGCCCGCACTCCAGAAGAAATGACACGCAACGTAAAGTTTCCGACTTCCAGCCCAGGTCCTGAGTCGAGCAGATAGTCGGGGGTGTTCGCGGATGTATTTCATTAGTGTTGACTTTCCAGAGCCGGCATTTCCAGTTATCCAGTAGATGGAAGCGTCTTCCGTTGTAAGCCAAGATTTTAAATTGGCAACGTCGCCATCAAAGACCCATTTATAAGTGTTTTTGTGTGCATCCAGAATAGCGTTTCGCCGCTCTTCAATTTGGCTAAACTCGAGGCTGTTGATGATTCTCTGAGTTTTCTGGAAGTCTAGCATCTGGGGATACCAAGAGTTAAACCCTCTTACAAGCTCTCCGAGCTGCTTCGAGGTACCTCTCCAGACTCTCTCGTCCCCTTCATCAAGGGATTCGGTAAACGTGAGACTGTCTATCTTCTCAGTGAGCTCTCCTAATTGGGCTTCGATGCGATTTTTATAAGCATGGTTGCTTTCAGTATATCCATTCAAGTTCTGCCTTATTTGCTCTTGATGATCCCTATCTTGGTAAGCCTTCTGTGATCAAGTTTCAATAAGGCCAAACTTACAAGAGTTTTAAGCTAATATGTAGCGTAATCTCGCTTCGAAAAGCCGCGAGTCGGCTGCTTAATGAATCCAGTTCGTCTTTCATTCTTAACTCCTTTAAGGTCGTAAATAGACGTTCAGTGCGTCTCCGTTTAGCTCTTCGAGCCTTAATATTGTCAAACTTTTGCTGGATCTCGTCTGCTATGCGTTTGCCATCCTCTGCTAGCATCTTGAGTTTAGGGTCACTTCCAAGAATATTTGAGTCTAATCGCTGTATCATCGGAACCGCGCCGATGAACTCCTGGACTATCTTTTCAAGGTCTGCATTTTCAGCCAACAAACTCTGTTGCTTAGTTGAAAGATATACGGTTTTCTCAATGGTTTGTCCGGCGATAACAACGAACTGCGCAATATTAGCGGCCAGGCCAAACGCAGCTAACGCTTCCATATTGATATTGGGAAAATATCAATAATTATCTCATAGTTATGTGAAAGTTCCATCTATAACATTGGCAATAAACGAACGTAAGGCTACCCGACGGTGAGAAGCTGAAGTAGGTACCCCGCTTATAATCATACGTGTGCTATATATTTGCTGTCATTCGTAGATACCGATTCACTGTTATTCGCGGATTACAGGTACATAGCCACCACGATAATTTAGTGCCTAAACTACCTACCTTTTAACTTATTTATTTATCCAATCCTATCTATAGCAGTATTCGGTGGCTGTCGCTAAGCCTCATACTCATCGTGACCGAAAAGAATAGAATACGACCTTAAGACATAGGTATTTGAACTTTTCAAATATTATTGGGCAATTTAGGTGTGGCTCGTATGAATTATATGGGTAATTTGATATTCAAGTTGAAAGTTTTGTTTATGCCTGCCTATTGTTTTCCCCAGTCGCTTTAAGCGCTGTCAGTATAATTGAATTAGATACCCGGGAGCATTATATTGCACAACCTTGAAAATAGTCTATGCGTACTTGTTCCTCTTATAAAGATGTTATATGACAATATAATAGCAAGTATGGAACCGAAAAATGGCGGCTGGAATTCTCAATTCTAGCCCTGTTAGTGGCAGCTCTACATGTACACTCAACCAAAATATCTTACCTTCACTCCTTACTCAACACCGTTAAACCAACCGAACACTTCTCCAATCCAGACTGCTCTCGTCGAAGAAATCAGGATAAGCAGCATCTAAATAAGGATGCTGTTCGAGTACAAGGGCACCAACTCGAGTCGCCGTGTTCTTATCCAACCACTCCACGACTAAGAGAAACCTCTCATGCGTGAATTCATTATTCCCCAAGAAATCACCGATTAGGAGACATGTCCAGGTACCGTCATCTAAGCGGTCGAGAAACTCCCTCGGCGTATTCGTGGGCTTTGCTATTCGATCGGGCACGCCGTGTCTATCGATAGTCCACAAGGCCCAGTCATTGGGATCGGCGACAACTGGATCGCTTTCTAGCGAATCTTCGTTATCCTCCTCGTCATCTTCGTCATCATTTTGAGTTTCTTCATTATTGCTATCGTCGTTGGTGTTGTGGTCATCATGCTGAGATTCACCCTCACTACCATTTCCGTTATTATCTTCATCATCCACACTACTACTATCGCTGTCATCCTCTTCGTCACCTGTGTTTTCCTCGCTTCCTCTATTAGACCTAATCACACGACCGTCACCAGGCTCTCTGACGTTAAACTGGAAAAGCGACGAAGGTACCACTCTGGCTTCGAAGCAGATGGAAAAGGGTGGCGCAATATCGGAATCTGTTGAACCGTGTTGCGCCAAGTACCCCGAAACGGGACGGGGCTCGTCCGTTGAGTGTTGAATGCACACATTACGCCACTTGGGGAAACATTCGTCTCTACTTCTCAGTATCCAAGCGCCCATCCACGCCATAGGTCCCTCCCAGCCGGTCCAAGTCCACGAGGGGAAATCTGGTCTGCGCCTAGGAGTACTGTCCCCTTCGTGGTGCCAGCAGAAAGATATCAAGAAATAATTATCCATGAGCTCGGTATCGCCCGCTGATAGTACATATGGGAGACCGAGGAGGTGAAGAGTAGCAGGCTCAAGTTTACTTAGCACCCGTGCAATCCCCGCGAAAGCATTCAGCGAATCTGAGTCGTGGCTTAGTGTGCGTGCTGTATACCGCTGAACCAAATGGCACCATTCTCTAATTCGAATTGCAACCAAGTAATCCCCATTTGACTTCTCTGTGCCTTCCTCACTAATGCTTGGGGGGATATCCGGTCTATCAGAGATAGTATTCCCTAAAGACTTGAACAGGCGGTTGCGCGCCGATTTCATACTTGACAAGTTGATATTCTCCGGATTGGGGATGAATTCAAGACCGCCTACCGATTCCATCCAAGTTGCGCAATGGCATTCAAAATACGCCTGGTGCTCTGTAAACACAAGACGTCGATTAGCCAGTAGTCCTTCTTGAAACGTCCACCCTCTTGTCCACCACCGAGAGTGCTCTTGTACATTCCAGCGGGGGTCAGGGCCAGTAGTGAAGATCGTGGAGGATTCAAGTTGTACAATTTCTTGTTGTAGGCGAGGCGTAGATCCAACCCCCGGCAACCCGTAGCGTTCGTCGGAGCCAGCCGCGGTGATAATGACTAGATCTGCTCCACGGTAGATCGCATCCATCTGCGAAATGTGAAAAGCTTTTTCTTCCACATTATTTTGATCGATACAATAGCGGTCTACCCAAAGATATCGTAACCCAAGCTGCTTTACTACTGTGGCAGCGTCTTTAACGGAGTTGGGAACGGAAGAGGGAAGCCGTGAAGAGGGACTTTCGTAGTTAGATTCTAAAGGCACCTCTACTGTCTCTTCCTGTCTCCAGAGGTAGCTCAGGGCTACCCATCGCATACCCGGCTCCGCCTTCACGATGGTCCAAGTCTCACAATCAATCAATTCCATCCCCGGCACAATCTCCACCGTGCTACAACATTGCTGCGCATGATTCTCCCTACAGAAATCTAACCATAGACGGGCCCGTTGATAATCAAATCGTCGGGGGACTACCTGGGGCCTAAAGAGACCCGGCTTAGGATGCTCAGCAAAGCAGAAAACATATCCCGCTGCACCCCGCCCGCACTCCCTAGAATGGTCCCCGAAACTAGCAAAGAAGCCGGTGGGAAGGGTAATAAGGATATGAAAGTCTTGATCGGGTCCCGGTTTCCTAAACCCCCAGGGCACATTTCTCGAGGAGGCGAACGCGTATAGCTCAAATTTGTCTGTAGTATCCTGTCCGGCCTGCATATCAGGGTCCGACCACTCCCCGTGATACCAGCATATCGTGGAACGCAGAATGCGGCAAAGCCTACATTCGGTGTTTAGCAAGCGCGCATACCGCGAAGCGTCCGTGTCGAGCAGAACACCGCACTTCCGGCCTATGGCCTCGCGGAGGTGGGCCGGCGGTACTGCCAAGGCTTTGCTGAAATCTATGGCCTTGCACTTGTCGCAGATAAATTCGCCCTGGGTGCTCGGTGGTGCTGGAGCGATTGAAGCTTGATAACTCTCGGCCATGGCCCAGATTTCCTCGACGAGAATGATATGAATTTCTGAAAGTATGATTTCATAATGGCCAGCTTACTCTTGTTGTCGGCGAGTGTTGTTGTTCATTAAGCGAACCTGTTGAATTGCCAGCTTCAGTTCGACCTTGGCAGGGGTCACTCAAGCGGGGGATAACACTGCCCCTATATCCATCAACCGATTGGAATCCTCTCTCAAGTCTCGCGTGCTTCCGGCTCGTAAAGCATTTATGGTTGATTTAATAGAAGTTGGTATTTACCTCAATTGTTTATTACGTACATTAGGTACTTATAAGTTATAAATGTATGTGCATTGTTATTGGAATCTAAAGTATTGCAGTATAAAACAATATCAGGTAGCCAATCATCTCCCCAATGCACAGAACTAAGCTGAGGGTCTCATGAGTCCATACTGGCCACCTGTAGAAAAGTTTCAGTTATGAGAGTCAAGCTTGGCTTCAAATAACAGATAACAAGAGATTAAATCACTATAACTACCTTGTTACAAACTTGCATAAGTTTATCAACTAAGTCATATTAGGTGCTTGTGCGTTTACGATGAGTGCTTCGATATTCATTTAGGCGGATATTAATACAATATTCTTGTAGGTGGTATACACCTCAGTTCCCAAGCATACCTACCATACTGGAAAAATGTGGTTTTGAGATATGATATTTTAGGGGTGGAATGATTATTGTACAGGGAATGCTTATTGATATGGGAATTGTTTTTTGATTGGCTAACCTAGTATGTATGTTGCAATATTATAAAAAACGAAAGTGTGGGTAATAAGGTTAAAAAACGAGTGCTTAGCACTAGTAGACTGGCCACCCACTAGGGCAACTAGCTCAATCAAAACACTCTCGCATTGGTGGGGTGTGATGGTGGGGTGTGATGGTGGGGTGTAATGGTGGGGCTAGGAGCCTGGGGTTCGAGTCCCAGGCATCCTAGCTTTTTAGCTTTTTAAGCCTTTTTTTTAAAGTCACATGACTTAAGTCCACTTATTCCAGCCAATCAAAGCCTTAGGTTCCAAGGAATCATTCTTTTATACGGAATTATTCTTTTCAAAAGAATCATAATCTCGCAAGATATGATATTTCCCATTTTAACCATTATTATGGGTAATATGATAATTTGCATAAGGAATCATTCTGAGTGGCCATATATTGCCGCTATGGTACCTACTAAACAACGCCCTATAACCCTTATCTACCCTAGAAAGGGGATTGCCATATTCAACTAGAATCACAAGTAAAACATACTATTCTCTAGCTTCGAATGGATCCTCACGTCCTGCTGAGAGGGTCCGGTACCCGCACCAGCTCCACTGGTACTCCCCGCTACTGAAGGCGCCGCTGAGTTGCTCGGGGAATCAAACACATTATGAAGATAATTCCGAGCACGCTCGCACAGGATATCAGCATAGTACGCAGGCGTACAGTAACTAACAGCCTTGGTAGCACGACCGAACACGTAGCACATGCTTTGTGTTAATTCCTGTAGTTCGTCGGCTATATTCTTCGTAGCGCCTGGCGTTTTAGACTTGCTACCCGTGGCGCCGTATCGTTGGCGAAAGATCTCATCAAGCACGACGAAATAATGCCCCGGTCGCGCTGTCCCCTGGAGCGCTGCATGTGCTTGTAAAAAGAAATCCCAGCTGCGGGCCTCGGTTACGCCGCGGTCTACAACAGTCCCCGGCTTAGTGTTGCCCGAGCGGTCTGCGTCGGCTTCTTTAGTTGGGTAGAAGCGTGTGTGATGACGCTTGCCAACTACAACCATGGTTAGACGTGGGAGCCCCTTTTTCTGGTCCGGAGCCGGATACGCCTCTGCACACGCAGCACGTAGCAGTGGTAGCTCCTCTTCGAGGAGCTTCTGATATTGCCCTTCAGAGACACCATCGCGATATACTAGAATGTTCTCTGGAAGCGTTGCATGTTTTCCCTTCTCACGCCATAGACGGAGGCGTGACTTGAGCATGTCTTTGAGGTCTTTCACCATCTCTTCTCGGCCCTTCTGGATACGCAGCATACCAGGCCATTGTCCGAGCTTGTTGTCGATGCTAGCTACCATACCAGCAACGCTTGGTGCTACCTTGCTTGAGCCTGGGGATGGATGGGTCACATCGATACCGACTACCATGGTCTTATTTTCGCCAATTATCCCCAGGTTGACAGGAGTGATAACCTGGTTGTCACCACCTAGTTTTAGGTTGACCTTCAGGGCCAGATTGCGAAAGTACTGATCTTGCCCCTGTGGCTTAGCAATCTTACTGCCGACACTACAGACGGTGTGGATACCATACTTGACGTCGCCGAGTTGTTTGATACGGTAGTACAGAGGAATAGGGGTTGCTGGTAGTATAATAAAAAGGAGGTTCAACGACGATGCTGCTTGTTTCATGAAGGTATCAAGCGCAGGATCATCGGTATCTCTTAAAGCAACTCGCTGTGCCGGAATCGGTGGCCTTGCAGCAATGCCAGTGTCCATTAGCACCAAGTGAAGCTTACCAAGAAGCTCCTTAAGATCAGCGGGCGTGAATGTCTGGACTCTCTGATATCCAGGCATGTCAACATACAGACAAGACCATTTCTCCAATACCGTGCCGGTATGGAACTTGAGGCTCGGGGAGTTACGGGGCACCATGTTCCAGCTACCAGCCATCATCTGGGCTTGCTGGTTCTGTTTATAGACAACTCTCGGCCCCTGGAGAACACGACCGTGGACGGTAACCAGGTCGGAAGATACAGAAATGCCGTATTGCTTCTGCGAGAAATATCCCAGTTAGCATACGAACAATACATGAACACAACAGCGACTTACCAGTAGAGGGTTGGTATCGGGAGACAGTCCCGCAGTCAGTCGGCCCTTTCCGACAATAGATAAAGCGTTATCTACAGGTTTGCGAACGGCAAACCGAATCATATTCTGGGTCTCGCCCGGATCAAGTTTTGCTTTAGCTGGCTGACCTGGTACAACATAGCAGACTTGGGCGGGTAGGTACGAGGGGTTTTCCCTATTCCCGACATTGACAACTGGTAAGTTTGGGTTGTCTATACGAATTCCATGTGCTATACAATTGTCAGTGGTGAATGCCTTGGCTACTTCAAACGGCCGATAACTTACACGAAAGGAAGTGGTCAAAAACAGATATGTACTTTCCGCCAGCTGCGCCAGGCTTGCCCTGAGGCTTCGGTGCCTTTCCACCTTTCTTCTTGCCTGTAGGTGTAGCGTCAGACGGTGGCTTCGAGGATGGATTTTCATCAAGCCAAAATTGAACGTCCTTTGCTCCGGCTCCAAACGCCTTCACGATAGGGGGGTGGGGGCTATTATAACCATCATTCCTGTTGGCAAGACCACAGATTGATTTGATTCGTTCAATAACTTTGCCGGACTTGTTCTTTCTTTCCTTCAGATGGGTGCTCTTGACCCTTATCTTCAGGAAGTCGTTCAACTTATAAAGGCCTCTTTGAGACCCGAATTTCATAATAAGCCGGTCCAGTGGGCCCTCAGGGTAGAAGGCGCCATGGCTTACATTGACGTTAACAAGGATGCGAGCTGTTGCCGCACGAACACTAGCGAAGAAACCACGCATAGCTACGAGACAACTACCGAGATCATAGGTATCGGATGTCTCGCTTAAAGAGAAAGTCTTGGACGAGCCGATTGTAGCAAGGTTCCCGGCAGATTTCGAGTAATGATTCAGGAAAATATTGATTCCTTGAATTGTGGGTAGCTTCTCATTATAATGAGCCGAAAAGTTGGTCGATGTGAGAAAGTCGGTTAACGCAGAAATCGATAGGACATTGGTAAATTGCATCTTGACAGTATACTGTTGAGCACCATCGCGAGGATCATCTTCATCTTCTCCTCGATATGTAACCACTATGTCCTCGTCTTCAAACTTCTGTCGAGAAATAAGTGTCGACTTAAAGTCTGTCACTATATCGTTCTTGAAGGGTGACAACTGGGTTGTTTCGAGAAGTAGGCGAATTATTTGAGCCTTCTTCCTACCCGCGGCAACAGGTTTTACTTCTGCTATGTCGTAACGGTAAAGTACCAGCTTTGGCGAAGCTGTAAGGGCGAAGTAGTTTGCCCATAGTACGACACCCGATCCTTTTGTTCCATAGTTAGGCCGACAAGGGAAATTGTCAGTAAGGCTAAGGTTTGAGAGGTTGATAGATGCTTTGCTAGTTTGAATGGCGTCTTCGACTCTCGTGACATTCTGATCCGGCGTTGGAATTCCATTTGAACCACTTTAGTTATATGAGTATATCGTATACGCCTTAAAGTAGTAGGGGCACTTACGGGTATACAGGAAGGCCCGAGCCTCCAGAACCGCCGCCGCCGCCGCCTTGGTATGACCCTCCACGACCACCTTGAAAACCACCACCGCCACCTTGGAACGAACCGCCACCACCTCCTTGAAATGGGCCACCTCGACCGTAAGATCCGCCTCCACCTCCACCTCTCCCTCTACCTCTGCCACCTCCGCCACCTCTGTCGCCTCTACCACGGCCAGACATAATAGGTGGTGATTGTTGCTGGGTGTGAGGAGAATCCTAGGCAAGGTAAGGTATAAGTGATGAGGAGGAGAAAGTTGGAAGGATTGAAAAGGTTAAGGTTGTCTGGGGTATGGAACTAAGGAACTAAGGAACTAAGGAACTAAAGGATTAAAATTATTAGAATTAGGAATGTTAGGCATTATTAAGGCAGGCAGTATGCTCGTTTGTTCTTGCTAGGCTTACTTTTTGCCATGCAGCTATGATGCAGCTACCTACCTAGGTACCTAACCTAGGTAGGTATGCAAGGCAAGTCCTTGAGGGGTTACACAGCATGGGTAGTGCGCTAACCCATTGGAATATAAGGTTCATAATATGATATATGACATAACCCTATAAGTACTTTGTATAAGTTAACCTACCTGCATGTAGATACCTTTTATACAGTATAGGTACCTATTTACCTACCTGATATATCAATCTTAAATTAACAAAACAATAATAAAATAAAGGACAATTGATACATATAATACCATTGATTGCTGTGAATTTCAATAAAAATAATACATAATACATAATACATAATACCCAGATGAGAACCTTATGATTGAGATAATACGGCTGTCCATGTAACACGTGATCATAAGCTCTTGCTGGCAGCGTTCCATTAATAGGTGTGATTTGGTACCTAAATGCATAAGATTACGGCTCTAAGACTTCAAATCCAATAGCATGCATGTACCTTTAGGATGTATCTAACCTAACCTACCAAATACAAGCCCAGGATTATTTGAATAACTCAGCCTACCTCTTATGCCAACTCACCAATTTACCAACTCGATCTCCTCCCTATTCTCAAATACAATTCACCTAATTAGCATCGCATTGGTCCTCTAGGAACCCTCTCCGCTGCCCGTCGCTCGAGCCAGTCTCTGACTTTGAGTGTAACGATTCTGGACTCTTCTCCCATATTTTTCGGTTAAGGGCAAATCGGAAGCGGTCAACCCTAAACATCCTCTCCAGCACAATCGTCTTCACCCGCACCACAGCCTCCCGTGAAAATGTGCCTCTCTGCCAGTCATACGAGCAAAGCACTGCTCGCTGCATCCCCCCTTCTTGTCCGCACACTATAAGAGCGGTGGGTGGTCGTACTGCATAAAACACTGTCGCTGTACGCGTGTATGTATCGATCAGCGTAAATGGCCTCTCCTCCCCATTGGTGTAATTCATCTTGTGTCTATTTGTGAGACTCGATGCAGGGGTGCTCTCTTTTGGCGGGAGAGCCTCGCACTCATCATACGCCGAGAGTTTGTGTTGCGATAACGTGCTTCCTGCGACACTCCACTTCAACCGTCCCTGGTTCAAGCCGAAGAGGTTACGTTCAACCCAGCCTAGGTTGGCTGGGACACCCTCGATACCAATGAACATGGCCTGGGTAGACCAAAACTCGCCGCGGTAGAGCTCAAAGATCATGTATGGGGCAAGAAAGAAGACAACTGCTCCCGGCACGAGAAAGACGATTCCTATAGCAAGGGTGACTTGCATACCCACTCCCAGCTCATCTAAACTAACGCCGGTGTAAGATGATGACTGCATTTGCGAAAGTGTAGCAGCGACAATTGCTACCATCAAGACACCACCGAACAGGTAAGCTGGCATTATACGAAGCACTACCTTCGCGAAGGTGCGAGCGGTTGTCGGTCTCTTGAAGAAGGCAACCTGATCCATACTATCCCACTGAATCGAGGCTCCAACCGCGCCATCTAATGTAACAGACTGGTCGTCGACAATACCAGCAACTTGACACCGCGGTTCGATATCCCAGAGTCGTACTCCAAAGGCATCTTCGATCTGGTACCACGGAGCATTTCGACGAAGTGGCTGCATGCATATGAGTCGTTCCAGTAGTGAATCATTGACGTTAGCTAGGGATAACCTGGCGAATGCCTCAAAGCTGGAATCCTTATCATTAGTTATTGGTCTTCGGCGCAGAAGCCCCATGAGAGCATATGCGATATCGCCCTCCCTGAATTTCTGCGTATTCCGTTCCGCTAAACATTCCAGACCGATGCTAACTAATTCTAAGGGGGATAGATGAATTGTTGATTCGAAATGGTCAACGAGCTCCCTCACACGATCAGCGTCTTTCCACACCGCCCGGGATGGAAAGTCGCGTTTGGCTAACTCTTCTGGTAACCCAGGTTTGCCGTAAAAGTACAACTTGATCCGGAACTCAGATGGACATAGTAAAATTTCCGGAAGGGTCCAAAGACGATTCCCATATGCCTGTAGCCACTTTATCGTGATGGCCTCACTGTATGTCTCTGGTGTGCCTTGAATTTTACTTTCGAGAGAGGGTCCGACGAGGATAACCATCGAATGTGCTGCTCGGACAATATCGCAAATTCGGTACACATCGTCGCTCTTGCTGTTAGCTCTGTTCTCTCCAGTAGCCCCTGACTGAGTATCGGCATCACGAATACACTCAAAGTCTACCCAAAAAGCCACCCTATTCGCTGAACGGGCGGCCTCGACTCCTTGTCTTAATAAAGCTTGCCGGTCTCTCTTCGCTATTGGTACAAGGTCTTCTCTTTGCTCTTCAGAAAGGCCCGTCCACCTTTTCGGATCGTGGATCTCTCCTTCGGAATCTACACAGAACTGATGCCGTGTATACGAAAGGAATACGAAACCATTATATGCGTGCTCTCCATGATCTCTAATCCAATCCGATACCTTGCAGGTCTTGAATTCGACGTCGCTCCGTTCATAGCCCTCTGTAACGAAGCATAAATACCTAGGTCCGAAGTGTCGGGGTAATAATGCGTCGCTATCGTCGCTAGTTGCACTAGGTTTTTCACGTGCAGTCGTTATCGGGCGAGAGATTGCTCTTGCTTCTATGTCTCTAGGTCTCTGCTGGTCGTTCTCCTCTTCTTCGAATTCATCCTTGTTTTGCCCTTCGTAGCGGTTTCGTGATACTCTCGGGTAACGCCAGTCTCGATACAGAATAGGGCCATAGAATCCCTGGTTCCTAAATTGGCCTTCGAGGCTCTGTGGTATGATGAGCTATACAATCGTTAACGCAAGTCCGAGATCAATTAACAGGTACCGCCCGAGGCCTTACCAACAACGCTAGGATGAGACAACATGGCAACCAAACAAGAAAAAGTAGAAAATCAGTCCCATCCGCAGCCATATCTCGTTTCTCGGTGCTCCCATCCTTATACATGAAGGAATACATCCAGCAAACTAGTCTCATGATAACTGGGATGCGTCGTGCCGGTTCTCCTTTAAAGCCCCAGTTTCTGCCCCCGGTAGGCACATGGCTATAGCCAACTGTGTTCTCAACGCCCTGCACAATTAATGGAGCCAATCTTCCATCCTCTGGGCGTAAGAAATGCTCTTGAACATCATGCTTGTCTTTGATTAATTTGTATCTTCCCAGGGCATCCTTATGGCGTAGAGTCTTGGCCAACATGTTGTAAAGCAAAAGCTGCTTGCGGATGAGGATCTCAAATATTCACTTTCCTGAGCTCTGTTAACCGATTATTGTAATACAAAAAAGTATAAAAATCATAAGCATTCTATTTTGCAAAGACTGGTTTGATTTCTATTGGGGCCGTACGTTCAAGCAACAGACTCAGGGGCTGAAAATAAGCAGATTTGCAGTTATATACAGACAGACGACCACCATCATAGTCTAGTATGTGATAACATATGACATTTCCCTCTCATGTCGAAACAGGTTTAGATTTAGGAGCAATTTCACGGCCCCGGCGAATATCCTGCTATGAATATACTTGAAGTACCTATACTAACAGACCTCAGCTGCGAAGCCTAAGTATCATTAGTAAATCCTTCGTGCACACTAGGAGGTAATAATATGCGTTTTTAACTAATACAATTGATGGAGCATACGCTGAGTAAATGGCGCACTCAATTGTATTATAGCTGCCTATTTACAATGCTACCACACATGGCCCCCAATCTTATGTGACCAGTCACGATCATCGATAGGACACAACTATCCTTACCTGTGATGACTTAGCGTGAATGGCTTGGACAAGGCTGTCGCATATTTCTAAGATTGTGTAGATAATACTATATCGCATGATACATAAGCAGCCACCATTATGCAAATGTAATGTTCCTAAATAAAGTATTGCATGGCTAGTTTTCCCATGCCTCGAAGGAAAACGCTTCATGAGGTATAGTTTCATGCCGCAGACAAGTCCTTAATTTCATAGCACACCTTGGTGAAAGGTCCATCTGGTCTTATCCCTCTGACGAAAACTAGCTAAAATCTCAGCCGTAGCGATTTAGGTAAATATCTTAAGATTGTTGTCGATGAACAGATGGTCCAATCGGACCGTTTCTCAGTCGCGAGGATGGCTGGTAAATATATGAAGCGAAATGGTTCGTGGCGGAATTGTACGCCGGAGAGTCGATCAATTTGTCGCTAATGATCATGATGGATTTAACACTGATGCTAATATTAGCACTATCATTCTCGCAGCTATCGTGAGATATGGAGGCTACAACGAACATGACAATAGTGAGGAAACAAGCCCATATGATGAGTTGTATCTCGCAAGTCCAGTTGATAGTATTCATTTTGAGAATTGCTATTAAGTCCATAATGCTGTACTGCCTTGATATTTTGGTGCTTGGTGATATTTGATATTACATGCTCAGTACCTCTTGAGGTTGTAATAGGTTAGGTACGGAACTTCAATAGGTTGTGCGGGGTAGAGGGATGTATTGGTTTATAGGGGATTGTCTCTTGCTTGTTATGCACTTAACCACAATATCATCATTTTCGATTTACCCCTGAATCCTTGAGAGATCACGACGCACGATCGATCAAGGTCGTGATACCCGAATAATTTTAAGGTTTTTCTTATACCAAAAAAGGGAAATAGCATTGTTGTGATGTAGCTGTACTAATAGCCTGCCCATCTGGAGGTACACCAGTGAATCTTTCGGGAACAACAAACTAAACAAAGCATCTTATACCCTTTTTCACATGAATACATCTCCATCAATTGGGTCTATCAAGTCCTTGAGTCATATCACGAGATTCTACCAAACTTAAGACATTAAGACAAAATGGCGAAGAGAAAACGTAAGAACAAACCTAGAAAAGATCCCGCCGTCGTTAATAAAGGCAAAAAAAGTACACTTAGCGAAAATACACCAAACGAAAATATGCCGGACGAAAATGCGCCTAATGAAAGTACATCTACCGGAAATATATCCAATGAAAACGAACCTCAAGAAAACGAACCCGAAGAAAAGATGTCCGAAGAAAAGACGTCCGAAGAAAGCACATCCAATAAAAAGGACCTTGATATCCAGGAATCTTTGGCGCTCATCAACAATAAAATAAACGAATTAGCCCTAAAGGAATGTTCCAAAAAGCCACAACCCAATGGGTTCTACAACAGATGGAAGCTTACCCTTCAATGGGGATTTTGTGTCGCAGAATTCTGTCTAGAGCGCGATGGATTGTTGGTGTGCAACAGTTGCAAAGCCGCTGCCTACTGCTGCAGGGACCATCAAATCAAAAGCTTTCACCTTCACAAGGGATATTGCTTCCCTGTAAGAGATGCACTAAAGCGCCTGGCCGAGGAGGAAGAAAAGCTACGGGCACATCCGGGCGATGACCACTTGCCTGCCAACCCCTTTGAGACGATCCGAGGTCGATTCTCGTCATATGAAGCTACATCTCCCTACTTAGATCAGCGTTGCAGGGCCTTGAGTTCGTTAGTAAATATTCGCGACGGCATAGCCGTCGAGGCCATGTTGCACCATTGTCTCGAGATGTTGAGGCTGGACAATCCGGACGAGCGATGCGTACGAAGCTAGGTGCCAGGACTCTATCTACGCCTAGGAAGGGACCAAGATGCTTACGACTTCGCGAAATGGTACACCCTTCCTTACCAGGAGGGCTTCAAATGGCCCAACTTTTCCGGTGAATTTCTTAGCTACCACGACGAGGACGTATTCGAGAGTCCTAACATATTTCTCGATAACCCGATCATTCTAAGCAACCTTATCTGCATCACGCAGCTGAAACTCAAACTCTTTCTAGACGTTCGTATGTTGGAGCGTGAAGCCAAGAAACACGGTAGCCCTGCCAGTTACGAGACAAAGATGGAGTGGGTGTGTAAGTATGCTGTGAGCGATATACTCTATAGACGACGAGACATTGTGGAGCGGGACGATTGGAGTAGCCTCAGGAAATCCCTAAGTGCACAGGTCACCCGGTTACGTGAGCGAGTTGACCAACGCAACTCACACTACTGGCCCGCCCTGGGGAACTGCGAGAAATTTCTTGATACCATTCCCGAATCCAATTATGATCCGGGCTCACCGGAAGAGGTCGTCGTCTTATTTTATTTCACGTGGAGGTCGTGGTATGAGTGCCCTCTTGCCCTGACTGCAGTCCGTGTATTTTCTTCTTTATGCCTCGACCAGTAGGCAATACCGTGTCAAGAGCTACAACGTTAGTAATTTGTCACACTACGATGGGCTGTTGGAGACTACGGCGCGAGAAGGTTTCTTTTTCTATCGTTGCTCCCTTTTGGGCATTATAGAGAGAGACATATAAACTGTAGAAGAGCATGTAGGCTATTAGCAAGGGATACTACCTAGATAATGATTAGAAAAAGAAAACGAGCGACTTGTCAGCGGTTGGAAATGAGAGAAAAGCGGGAAATGAAGCAGACTAATATTGCTATAAGACTAGTTGGCGATGATAAAAGATAGTTAGTTACAATAGGTAGGTATTAACAAAAATAATTTCCACCAGTCTCGCTGTTTCCCTTCCCACCAGGAACTGTACCATACTTGTTGAACCCCTTGCTTCTCGTACTATACCATAAGGAGCCTCGGCATTTTTACTATTATTATCCATGCGTTTATACCTATATCATAGATACAAATATATCCATTCTGCGTATACACGTCAAGAGCATTGTTTTTGAGGCTTAACTTGGTTATTGGATTATCACACGCGTACCTGGGAACCTCCTTTCATCCTCGATCCTCGGTGATAATCTCGGGCATCATCTCCTTTAGCAATGTAAGAAAGCTAGTACTGACGTCGCGCTCACTATCTAACGAGACCTTACCTGTTTCGGTCTGTGTTATCTGTTGTAGTCGAACACCTTGTCCGCGCCCAGACCACGCACATATCCGAAGTTCCGCGGCGAGCATGTAGCGAGGACGTCGAACCCGGCTGCTTTCGCCAACTGTACTGCGTTACTGCCGACGCCGGAAGCGCCGCCCCAGACCAGGACCGATTTCCCGGTTCTTGGGGCGCCGGGGGCTTTGGGGAGGGGAAGAGCGAGATACTTGGGTCCGAAGAGCGCGTGGCCGGCTGTAGCCAAGCAGAGCGGGAACACGGCGGCTTCGGCGAAGGATAGCGAGTCTGGGATCTTGACAGCTAGGGCGTGGTCTAGCACTACGTAGTCCTGGAACGCGCCGTTTTCAGGTTTGCTCAGGGACGGCTCGCCCATCGCGTATCCGAGGACACGGTCGCCGGCTTTGAAGCGCTGGGAACTGGGTCCCGAGCCTACGCGCTCGACGGTTCCGGCGATGTCCTGGCCTGGGATCAGGAGGTACTTCAAAATAAAATGGGAGGGGGTTATCCTGGAGAAAGGCGTCGACGGGGTTTAGACCCCAGGCGCGAACTTTTACAAGGACTTCATCCTGGGCGAGAGTGGAGGGAATTGGGGTCTCGCGGATAATACCTGGGACGCCGGTCTTGTCTTGCCAGAAGGAGCGGTTGGTGGTTGCAGACATTGTTATGGGTTGATGCTGAGATACAAAGGTAAGGTCGAAGTGCTGCTTAAATATAGTTGTAGCGAGACGCGATGAAAGAGATGTAAGTGTCATGTAAAACATTATATATTCTCGCCTGACAGCCTGCCTATAGAATAAACGATCAACATGGTTGTTTTACATTTTCGGAGTTTACAATGACCAGAATGAAATATATTATATGGGCTCTCAAGGTACAGATTGTAAAAGGCGGTTTAGAATGTTTCCGATGACAGCGGAGGTGAACTTTTCTCACGCACAATACGGACTTAACCGGCCATAGAGTCTGAGACACCGCAGTGTGCGGGAACTACATAGGTAATTTGTATATGCTTGTCTCTGATACATCATCTCGCACGATGGACTTGCAGATAAGATATCCGTTCTATGCTCTATCACCGGAGTGGCTTTGCAGACAAGCCATTTTAGTTACCTACCTAGGTTAGGTACCTAGGTTAGGTAGGTAAGTATGGATCTGCACATTAACAGGGAGGGATCACAATCACGACGATAGTCAACTAGCTAATCACAGATCAAAACATCGATATCACATAATTACATTTCTCAATTCACAATAGGCAACTCAAGTCAACCACCAAAACGCGGGTATATGGTATAATTCAACATATAAAGTACGTTCGATTTAGCTCAGGATATCACTCACTCACTCACGTCTTTGGTATCTCTCGCTCGACTGCCCCATAGCCAACCAAAAATCCGGTCCGATCAAACCAACCAGCCGCCGTGTCGGCTGCAACATTTGCTATACCCTGTGATGCCGTGCTTTTATGTCAAGCTCCTCGAAGAAACATGAAATGACCTATTGATCCTTTTCCTCCATCCTTCTCTATAGAAGATGAGATTGGATCATAATGTAACAATACCAAAATCCGAACGCCTGTGAAGGGGTAATTACTATATCTAGATTGCGGCGATCCAGCAGCCGCATATTATTAACCGTGCATTCATTCATTCACTCATGAATTTAGCTTCTGAAATCAACTCGAAATGGTGACGAGGGCATTACTACGCCAAAATATCTAATACGTTTTTAAAACGTCTCGGACTCTTGGCTGATAACGCTGGAAGGACTGGCTATCGTGCCAAATGTATCTACCAAAATAGTTAGTGGAATGAACTTTCAGTCATGAGAATACTGTAGAAGGTGCTTACCTCGCTTGCGTCGCCTCTCCTCTCCGTCGTCGCTACCCCGGCTAGGGGTCATAGCCCTAGGTCCGCTAGGTCTTCGAGCCGGAACTCCTAGAGCTCCGCTTAGGTTCCTATTCTCCGGCTTCGGACTGCTGGAATGATAACTTCCGGCGTGCGTGGCCGTAGCTGTACCATAGCCACTTTCGACGCTATGGAACGGCAAAGGACTGCCGCGTTTGTTTTGAAGTTTGTTTACCCTGTCGTGTTGAGCGGGCGATGAGCTTTCCAGTGGCTCTTTTGGAGGTCGCGGTGGTCCTAAAGGACTGGGCGATGCCATTTCTTGCTGCCAGTTATAGTCATCTCCATGACCAGAATTCAGGGCACTGTTGTCGCTATACCGATTGGTACTGTGCATAGGAAGCCTGTGGAGGGAGGTAGCCGAGCCAGCCCAGTCGGCTGACCCTGGAGACATCGCATTGTCATAATCTTGTGCCGAGGTCTCTAGAGCCGTTCTGAATCGCTCCGTTTGTCCTTGTCGTGGCTGTGGGTGTTGCAAATTTAGCGAGTTGCGATGAACCCTGTACTTGGGATCCTCAGGAGTGTAATAGGCAGCAGGCTCGGGATGATTATACGCAGCTGGCTGAGGTTGTTGCACATTGGTTGCGTCAGGCAGGTTCTCGCCTACAGATGGCGCGCGGAGTTCTTGTTCCGAGAAGCCCGAGTGTAGCTTATCCCCTCCATATACGCTTTGAGGTTGGAACTGATCGTAATTGGCCAAGTCCGAGCCAGATCGAGATGGAGGATGTCGTAGGAAGTCCTCGGGAGGGTCGTGCTTCTTGGAAGCCCCACTGCTACGGAAGACTCTCCCTATACTTGATGTCGTCGTCTCAGACCACCGCGAGATTTTAGGGAAGAGGCTGGACGAGCCCCGCGATTTATGCTTCTTGCTCTCTTCGGTTCGGGGTGTATTCTCGTTGCTCATCGAATAATTCTGCGCCTGAGATGCGGTCTGAGGCGGGGTTCCAAGAGGTACTGAACCGCCCCTGGACCTTTCGGAGCTAGGTGAGAGCATCCTTCCATGCATCTCGTATTGGCTTGGTGGCGGCATGGTGTGGTCATTGTACTCACCCTCGTCTTCGGGTACTGTGCTGATACGGTGGTCTGAAAATTTTCGCTCGCTAGCTAATCTGTTGGACGTCCCGCGAGACTGGGGTATCGATAAATGTCCCGACTGGCTTGCATGACTAGCCGTTGAGGTCCCGGCATGGCCTTCGGGTTCGTAGCCTCGATCTTGCTCATACTGAACATCTGGCTGGATACCCTCAATCGACTGTGCCCGAGTGCTTGTGCCTACGGGGCCGGCGGTCTGGTGCTTGAGGACGTTAACATCGTCAAGTAGCTGGTTGAGTAGATCCTCTATTCTGGTTAAATCATTAGCACCCTTGGAACTGAGTCCTTGAAGTGCACGTCGAAGGATGTTGCGCTTCTTAGTATTCACGTCCTCTGTACCAGCCTGAGAACCTCCTTGGATTGATCGCGCACTGCTGCCGGGGAAAGGTCGAGGTCCGCCTATGTGACGTTTGACTGTCTTCTCTGTATCCTCTTTGACCTCATCAACCACCCGATCCGCGTTGTCTACTAACATCCTCTTGAGGTCTTCGAAGGAGTTCCGCATTTCAGCCGCCGACCGAACTAATGTAACAAGTATCTCAGTATCTCGCGCACTTCGTTGCGCATCACGAACCATAAGCTACATACTAGTTAGTAAAATCTCTAGCATATTGGAGTCATACATACATGTTCCATTAAAGCAATGATGTCTTTCGATTGGATCCTGTCAATTCCAGTTCCAGTAGAGGGATCGTAAAGCGGTGTGCCCATTGCTTGGGACAGGCCTGCAAGCTGCCTCGTGTCTTTAGGTGCGTAAAATGGATCTTCAGATTCTCCATTCAACAATCTCACATCCTTACCCTGTATATTAGATACGTCGCGGATATCGTTCGGTGCTGCGGAGATGTAACCCTCATCGGCGCCAGGGATTCCCGGACTGCCTGTGTTGAAGCCGCCTCGGTAAACATCTGCACTAAAACCAGTTGCGCCAAGCATGTTCCCATCCAGGCCAGGAAGATTGGCAATCGGGCTGGTTCCCTCATAAGGGTTTGTAACTAGGGTGTCTCGTTTGCGGTCACAAGATGTCCTCTGCCACTCGTCATCCTGGTCCTGGCTGGGTTGTCGGCTGTGCGATGTAGCTAGAGCCCCTGCGGTTGCTAGGGTAGCTGCTGCTGCTGCCACGTCGTTCATTGCAAGATCGTGGTTGTTATATGGCCTGTTTGCTTTGGGTGTCACGGCACGATCGTAGGCGTATGATCTTTCGTGAGTTGGCGTTGACTGTTCCGGCCAATGTTCTCTAGTTCCGTCCTGTGATCCACCAAGTGGCCCATCCAAAATAGAGGCTTGGTCGTCGACATATCCGATCTCCGGCATAGGATCATTGAAATCTGGAATGCCGCTAGCTCCCATCTTCGGATGCTCATAATCTGAAAGTCGGTCGACGCTATGTCGGGGAGTAGCGTTAGGACGGTAATTATCCTTAGCTCGTTCCTTAAAGGACTGATTTTGCGCGCTACCCCTACTAGCAAATTCTTTGTTCTCGGCGGGGATCTGCTGGCCCTCATTTTGTTGCTTAAGGGCAAGAGCTCGCTGAAGGGCACCACTCGTGATAGCACTCTCCGAAGCAGTAGGGGAGTTGCGGTAGTTAGATCGAGCAACTTTTTGGCCGTATTCGTTGAGATCGTATTCTACAAATTCCCTAGAAGCAGTCGAAGGGTCACGTTCCTGGGATGCGGTCGGTGATTGGTCATGTTGCTGCTCAGCTTTTTCGTGACGGCTCTCTGTAGAGCGCTTAGTTGGGCTGATTCCCCTTGATTTTGCGGGCTCGTCATAAGAAATTTGGGAGTCGCGGTAGTCTTGTCTAAACCCCGTAGATCCACTCATGAGGGAAGGGTCGAGCTGTGAACCTTCGACCAATGATGCTACAGCAGATTCAGGGGGGAAGTTCTGGTGCACCATCTCAGCATTTCCTCCAACAGCATGAACCGCCCGTCCCGAAGTCACCCGGTCCAGTTCGCTATCCTCAGTGTATGTAGGGTCTCTATAGCCTACGCCTGAGCTCATCAGGCTACTAGCCTCATCAACAAACTCGCGGCCTCGAAGATTGCTCGGAACCGAACTAGGCGAGTGAAGATCACGTTCATACAGCGACTTCTCGGGAGACGAGAGCTCGCTAGCGGTATGTATAGTTCTTGAATCCCGGAGTCCATGGATATCGCTCTCTCCCTCCGTGAACCCAGATACGCTCTGGATCGGACTTAAACCACGCCGTTCCTGCTGGTACGGAACATAACGCAAAGGAGCCGGAACGTCCTGTGATCCATAGAAAGATTGCATGGGTGACGATTCCTCATCATACAGACCAGGTTCCGAGAGTTGACTGTTTTCATCATATTCGTCATCGTACCGATTCCCATATTCTTCATTCTTGTACTCCTCCTGATAGTCGGCATTGCCTTTGCGAGGGAGAGCTTTGAGGTCGCCATGGGAGACGTTGGCGTGTTGTGCACCCAGGCCCTGGATGTTGTGCATAGGAGACCTCGACGGCGAAGGGGTCTCTTGAATGGGTTCGACTGAAGCGATGCCTCTTGTGGCCTCCCTAACTGGAGTCATCTCTTCACTAGCAGAGTGGGGTCTATCTGTTTCCGCTGATAATATCGATGTTCGTGTCATATCGGATGGATTTATTTCGCTCTGAAGAGGCATAGGCGGCACTACCTTGTGCTCTGCTTCTTCATATCCATCTCCATATCTCTCATCAATATCGTGCTTAGGAGTGTCTGCGCGTCTCCTCCGCCGCTGTCTCTTTTCATCGCCTCTTGACCGGAGTGCAGCACCGGTAACTGCAGCGCCCAAGGCGGCATCGGCAATCTTATCATGGTCACGACGAGGTGTGAGCTCCTCATCTGGTATATCTTCCAGAACAGAGACTTGTTCAATGCTACTCTGAGGTGATAAATCATTTCTCGCTTCTCTATCACGGCGTTCCTTCGACTTCGTCGATTGGGCTGTGTCGGCGGACTTCCTTTTGTTCGGAACAGAGATCTCCTCGCGAGATACCGAGGTGAGACTTGAGAGCGACTCACGATCTTTAGGTCTCCGGGAGTCGCGTTGACTCCTCTCTCTCTTGATGGCATCTAACTCCGGTAGGATGAGCCGTCGGATAGCGTCCTCCACAGTTTCGAGGAGTTTCGGATTATTGATTGATACCTTAGAGGAGGAATGTGTATCATAAGAACGGTGGCTGGAGGTTATTTGCGATGAGAGCATGCTCGAATCGGCAACTGAGACAACGGATTCCTTATTACTCCCTTTGGACCTACGCCTCTCGTTTTCCTTGTCACCAGAGCTGCCTATTCTACTTTTCGACTTATGTCTTCGTTCAGGTTTGCTTGCCTTCTCAACTGCTTTTTGCATGACGCTCCGATCATGACTGGCGCTCCTGACCTTACGATGTGTCTTTTCCGAAAGGGTAGATTCATTCCTCACGGGGCTTTTTGAACGTTTCTCATTTTGTGTGAGCGAATTGCCGCCCGAGTTGCCGTCCAGAAAACTGTCAGAGGGAATGGCCGAGATATCGGACATATTGGGTGGTGGATAAGAAACCTTGCTATCAGCAGCGGGAATAAGAGGGCTTGATACTTTTCGCCGCCGATGATGGCTTCTCGGCTCTATCTCAACCTCAATCGGGTTCCGCGAGACATTGGACTCCTCAGTCGCCGATGCATAGGAGTGTAAACTCTTTACTTCTTCCGGGTCCGTCATATCTAGCTCACTCCGAGCGATATTCGAGCTTGCAGTTGGTTTCCTCGAAACTGACCTCTTTCTCGTACTCTTGGTCTCGGTGATCTGAATATGGTCGTTTCTGCCTCGAGTCTTAGAGGGAGTCAGACGGACACGGACGCTCGGCTTGCGCTCAGAGGTACCCGAACCGACAGTACTACTAGTCTTCCCGCCTTCGAAATATTCAATGAGCAGCGAAGTCTGTGAGCGATTCGGCCTATGGCTGCGGGTTTTGATTGTAACAGGTGTTCCGTCGTCGGGGAGTGAATAATGTGATCTGTCGTCGTCGGCAGGTCTAGAAACATCGGAGGGTGCAAGTTCGGTAGGTGTGGTAAGGGACTCGGTCTCGGTCGGGGCGGGTAACGGGGGAACACTGCTGGTGTCTATACTCACTCCCATTTTGCTGCCCGAGAATGCGACCAGTTGTCAAGGTATGCAGCCACGCCTCTGGTTGATTGGCCGCTTCCTCCTTTAACCAATCCTCTCCTTGCTGCGTTGTGTTTACCCCAGCTACTGGTCAAGCGGTGAACGGTAAACAATTGCGGTCGAGAGAGAGCTGAATGCGGACAGGGGTCCGCGACTAGGAAGAGCCGACGTTTTGCGCAAACATTGGCCCAAGTATAGGAGGCGAAAAGACACCGTGGGATCTATGTGTAATGTCAAGGTTAATATAGGGTAAACCAGTGGTGAGTGGTGAGTGGTCTATACAACGAGATCATACGAAAATCGAGGACGATATGATGATAGGAATAATGATAACAATTGGCTAATAGTGTTGTCGCAGAGAATAAATATTACGAATAGATAATATTCGATCCCAAGGGAAAGATAACAACATGAAAATGAAAGTGAAAATAAAATAAAATTGCAAAAGGCCGGATTCTGTTGTTTTTGGTAGTTGATAGTATGAGATGGGGATGGGGATGGGGATGGGGATGGAATAGAGACGGAAAAAATAAAAGCTTCAGTTCTTCTGTCGAATCCCAGCCCCCTCAATTGCAATTGCGCTTGAATTGGCGGCACAATCGAAACCCTGCAACTATGCGAATACGCGCGCAGAGGAACAATAACCCATGTCGGAATACAACCAAACCGAAGAATTGATAGATTTTATGAGACAACTCGATACATACTTTTCGAGGCACGTCAAAACATGCGATGTATGTGATGTAAATCGTTGTTCTGGAAGTTGAATAATACCCAAATGTAGGTATTATCTTACATCCCCTTTTATGGATTCTCGTCCGGTGCAGCAAAAATAAATGTGCTGGTTGGCCGACAAGAATATGCCTCTCTTTCTTGCAGGACGATGCGTGCAACCTTTCTCTCGTCCAATACAATCGATTATATATGTATGTACTGGACGTGTTTTTCCGATGCCACCAGGACTATCGTCAGACAGGTGCAGGCCTCGAGGCTCCCTCCTCGATTTAGCGGTAGAGGGTTACGAGTCGTGGGGTGGAGGGAGAAATGGGTAATGGGTGATAATAGGCTTATGAGGCTTTGTTATTATTTTAGAAGGAAAAAAAGAGCTTGAGAGAGGGGGGGGCTCTGCTAGGGAAACTTGCTGGGGTGGGAGTTTGATGCGTTGGCTTTGCTTGAGGAGACTGGCCAATAACATTACAGAAGACGGGTAGAAGACGGGGTGATGATAGAAGCTGACAGGCACGGTCCGGATACATACAAATGACATGGGATGACAAGGGAGGTCGGGGGGCGGAACTGCCCTAACAGATTAAAAGCCTTTACTGCTCCTCCTCCCCCTCAGCCCCTCTAACATTGAGGTACCTACCTACCCTCCTAGGTACCTGCGGCATGTGTATGTACCTTCCTGCTAAACACAGATTTACACCTGCAATCTTCCGTCAAATGATATTAATATATTAACATTATTCGTCCATCGTAATTAATCACATCAAGGCTTGATACGACCTTCTACTTTTTATTCAAGACCCAATTCAGCCAATACTAGTTAAAGAAACAGTAGTTATCATACATAATCTCTTTATCTTCATACGTGATTATCTACCTACCTACCTAAGTACCTAGTATATAATTTGATGTGGATGAACAAGAAGCTTAACCGATACAGCTTGGTTAGTTAAATATTCCAATCTCTTATAATTGATAAGTGGATATTGCGATAAAAAAATAAAAAAAAACCATCTACCAGAAACCCGATCCCGTTTGTAGCCCAATTTATTCTTTCCTTTTTCTATATTATTATTTACATTCGTCGACTCAAGCAGTTTAGTGAAGTCCAATAGAACGGACATGGTCCCGCAGAGTGGCTCTTGCGCCTCTTTGGCCGGGTGACGATCTGGTTTTACTGCGGCACGATGATGTGCACTCCACCTTGGATCCGGTTCCGCCTGGGCCACAACTTGGTCAACACCCTCGGCACACTGGGTCTTAATTGTCCACCATGCCTGACTAGTGATAAATCGAGTTACCTACTGACTGGCGCTCCGTGGTTCATCCTGTTTTTTTCCCGGTATGGGATGACGATCACATCGTGCTTTGCAGTGTTCCTACAGAGAGCCCTACCAGCTTACAGAGGTTGAATATAGTACTCACCGACTTCTTTTATATCCGAAAAAGGACCATAATACTGGTCCATGTACCTTACAGAGTTGTACTGGAAGCCGCTCTGCCCATTGGGACAATGTATAGACCTGGACTTGTAGCTAATCACAGCGCAAGATGCATAATCACACTGCCATCCGATCGTCCAAAGGCACGTAATACTACTTGAGTTCTCAGTACCTACAATCGTGCATATCCTTGGGGTCTACGGTCTACGGGATTGTCTTGCATCTGTCCAGTCGCCGCCTTGCGGGATAATTCATGTATAAACCCCAATGGGTCGGAATAAGTCAATGAGGCAGCTATTCCATTCAAGTTCAGTATAAAATACGGTAATACAGGCCTCAAATCACGGTATTCAACATCGTCACACCCACTCTACCACTTTACCTATCATTGACATCCATAGTATATAAGCCAGTAGATGTGGCGAATAAATGCGTGTCTTTCCCCTCCAACACTATTATGTAGAGCTGAGATTTGTTCTTACTACTTATGTCATTACTGCTGCCACACTCTTCCACAATATTACCTAGGTACCTTAAGTGGTTGCATGAAGCAAACATGCCATAGTACTTTAAGAGGTAGGCATACACGTACAACCAGAACGAGTTACGATGACTCTTGAACCATCTGTGCCACCCACCCAACCATCCTACCGAAGCATCTTACGATATGCATGTAGCCTTTCGCTTCGGCATGCAAGGAACGACGTTCTAGTAGAAGATAATATTATATTATATTGATCAAGATATATATGAAGTAAAAGTGAAATAAATTTTGGATTTCCAAGGGCAAGCCTGCCTCGTTCAAATACTCCCGCGCCCCTGCGTCAGACCGGCTTCTCGTTCCGATTGTGCATGTAACAGAACAATCAATTTGGGGGCTACACTTCGAGACATTCTCGAGGCTGAACTTTGGCTGGCTCATCTCACACGTATGGTGACACGGCACATGCGGGCAACCGTGTGCGTGTCACGTAGTTCTCCCGTTTGGGCATCCCGGAAGTCGGGTAGGTCTACGTATGTATAGGTATGATAATTATGAACAACATAAACAATATAGGAAAATGTACATAGGATGAAAGTCTAGATAAATACCTATAAATGCGATAGCGATGGTATTTTACTGGAAAGCGTAAAACTAGTATCTGATAACCAACGCGAATAGAAGAATATCCATAAAATTTGAATGCTCGAACAGAAGAAAGCGAATGGTGTAAAGGAATTACGTTAGTGAGGAGGAAATGATCCTTCCGCCGCATGTCTTATAATGCTTAATCAGAACCACTCTTCGCGGCTTTTTTCCCGTGGCCCGACCTCAACGCTGATTTGGACGGAGATATCCTGTCCTTCGGTGGTGACGAGAGGTACTCAGTCTTAGCGCCGCTCAGCAAATCTCTTACAACCGAGTTATTCAGGTAATGATTGGCGAGACCACCCCCAAGAACTGACTTGAGCATTTCTAACCGGGCCGACAAAGACCAGCTATCGATGGTGATGGTGATGTTCTGGATTCGGAATTTTTGCCGGTAACCGTACTCCCGATAGTCGTCATTGAAGTCTGCCCGGTTGCCTCCCGTGTGAGGGTTGCTTGCAAAGCGACGCGCAGTTGAGTATCCTGGGCCTTTTCCGTGCTCAAGGGAGGTTACGATACTGTTAAAGCTGCTGTGAAGCTGCCTTCTATCCCTCTTAGATATAGCCTTCGAGGACTCTCGAGTGAGGGCATTCAATCGCCGAAGGAGTCCATCCTGATCAAAGCGCAAGTTCCAGGTCTCGCCGCTCTCTTCCTCATATTCACGTGCAGCCTCCATAAGCAAAGCAATATTCGACCCAGCAGCGACTTGAACATCTACGTCGCTGCTTTCGAGCTGTTCCGTAAAGGCTTCTAGAGCCTGCGTACTCTGCTCTTCGAGGTCGTCAAGGCCGCTGGCAACAAATCCCCACATATTTAATGCTGCAGCAACAACTGGTCCATTGTCACCAGCTTCCAGAATGTGGCCATCACTTTCAATAATCTCAAGAAGAAACTCTAAAAGTTCTTCGGCTTCGGTTGCTGACCCTCCGCCGCACATTGTAGAGATGGCCATTGCCTTAATAGCAGCTACTTTGATCAACTCATCATCGTCGTCATAATTTGTATCCTGAGACACACTCTTCAACGTTGGGAAGACACGATCATGGATGCTCTCGTCCCCAGTCGTAAGGATGGTTATCATAAGAGCTCTCAGTGCCCATAGCACTCCATGGGAAGTTCTGCGGCCACGTATAGTCTTTAGTAGCATAGGAATAAGCTCATTCATCTGCGCATCAATTTCCTCGGTGCTGGGATGATGCCGAATTAGTTCAGTATATGCCGTTAGCTTTTCCTCGCGGTCTTGGCCACCGTCACGCTTCTGATCTAGCAAATCCACAATGCGATTGTGTAAGATTTCCGCCGGCGGCGTTGAGCCCAATTCCTCCCCATCCTCCGAGTTGATAATAGAACTAGCTAAGCTTTCGTTGTATTCATTATCGCTTGAATCTTCCTCCTCTGACGCATGGCGACTCGCAGCTCGTGAGGCAGCGCGCGAACTAGCTGGAGAAGGTTGAGCTGATTGTTGTCGCGAGCGCGCCTTTCTAGAAACAGTCTTGCCGCTCTCAAAAATCTTCTTGCGCAAATCATGCATTTCGGCGGTGTGCTCGGTGTAAATGTTGCGCTAATACGGTGATGTCGTTGGGGGTGGGTTGGTTGCCTATAAATATAGGAGCAGTAGAGCTCGTATCAAGTTTTAAATCCTCTTGTATGCGAACGATGAAACGATGGGTTTGTTTTCGACTTGAATTCCATGAGGATGGTTTTGAAACCTGCTACTGTGTGTGACGTGTAGGCTTTCCGGGGAGCCTTTGTATAGATAGTTGCGAAAAGTGTATTGTAAGAGTAGGTATGTTACAGCAGCTTGGTGCAACCGACAAACAATAAAGGACTGGTATAATAAATAACGGTACGGAAATGGGGCGGTGAATTAAAGGATTTCACCGGCGCACCAGGGGTTTGAACAAAATGACAAAAATACGTGTAGGTGTTTAAACGAATCAGTGGCAAAGTTGATGGAAAAGGAAAAGGAAAAGAAAATCAAAATTCTTATTTAAGCAGACACAAGAGCTCCGTACAACAAAACTAAGTAGAAAGCGCGCGTCATCCAGAAAGCAATAACTCTAAAAACCCAAGACACAACTCGTCATATGAACAGTCGATAAGTCGCGGGGTATTGATGTTCCCCAGTCTAATTAATTTACCGCCATTAAAGACATACATAGTAGTTGTAAAGTATCCCTTTGACCATTTAGTAGGACTTCTTCTATATAATAAAGCATGTATACTTCTGCGCTACTTGCATTAGCACGTGTCTATTCAATTAACTCAGAGCAAGGGTACATATTTCGGGATACCTCGGACAGTGTTAGAACCGGGCAGTTTGAACCTGCTTCCACTATTAGAAAGCATTGTCAAATATGTACCTATACCTAATCAATTTCATGGGAGTAGGGCTGAACATTTGTTGCCATCTTAACCGGACATCAATGGCTAAGCCTAATAAAAGGATTGAACTATTAATATGCAAATCCAAACCCTACTTGATGCCTTAGTTAAGGTACATATGTAGAAATCGGATGTTTGCTCTATTGTAAGTTACTGTATGTTAAGTACTTACCTACCTATTCAAGCCGCGCACCAGTTCAGCCTACCTAACATAGCATATGATTTGTGACGATATGTATTGTACTTTGTATGCATGCACTTTCCCATACCTTAAGTACCTTTAGCTCAACCCCGCCATTCCACTAATGTTAGTCCACCGGCCCCACTACATAGCTCAGCTCGTAATCCTTGCAATCTTTATCGTACCAGCATGTACGTCAGACAAGGGCTTTGATATACAATCGAGGGGTACCTTTCGCATTATGTGTTGTTTGAGTTAGGCATTGTGCGCAGTTGCCAGGGAAGCAAATATAATATGTTAAGGAATAAATAATAACAATTAGGTATATTGTGGTTTGATGATGTTTAAGGCATTGTCAAGAACCTCAGCCTCACCTCATGTACTACAGTACGTAGATGTGCTAGATCGAAGGTGGGGGACACGAAGCTGATAAGAGACTTATCAGGCTACCTACCGTACGTAGGTAGGTACTAAGTATGTACATAGTATTAGGCAGCCAGAGCCCCGCTCGAACTCGTCCGTGAAGCCCATGTAGGCTACTATTGGAACTTACCTAGGTAGGTACCTAGGTACATCATACATAGCTCCTCCTCCGTCTATGATCTGTAAATTATATCTCTCTAGATAAGCTGTGTTTACATGTATTTAGTCAAGAATATAATCAGCGCAAGAGGAACTAAAACAGTAACCTAATATTCCAAGTTCCATTTCTGTCTTTTAAAGTTTAACTATAGTAAGTTTATAGTGCTTGCTTATTACTTCCCCGCCCAACCGCACCTGCCCATAGGCACTTCCCCAAAGTAACTCTTGAATATTTGATGTAGGAACTACCAACCGAGTGCTACATTTTGCACTTTCGACCTTGTATAGGTACCAAGTAGGCACATGTAGGTATAGGTAGGCACTAAGCAGGCACCAAGTAGGCCAAGGTTCATTCGCTGTTCGACTCAGCGCACCGACACACCATTCTGACACACTTCCCCCTCCTACTCGCTCTTCTTATCATCTCCCATTCCATCCACTACTACTCTCGCTGCAGCTCTCAACGCAACTACCCGACATCAGGTCCCGCTATCTCGGTTCGTCTACTCAGTAAAATAGACTCTTCTAATAGTCTCTTCTATTAACGACCTTGTCTTCGTCGGGGTTGTAACAATTCCTATTGCATTCCTGAAAACCTCGGGTATCATTTTGATACTCAAGGTTTGGGAATAAATACTCCACTGTTGAGTAGCGAGTCTGAGCAAAATGGCGGCCGCAGACCACTTCAGCCGGAACGACGATGAAGGTAAGACGGGAACCCGCAGCCCAAACTCCAGAATGATCGAGTGTACCTTGATTGACCTATTCGTATAAATAGTCATTATCGTCACATTAGTCTGCCGACCTCATGGTTCTCATGTGTCTGCCTTCCCCAAACGTCAGTTTGTCCTTAGCAGCCAGAACCCATCTATCCGAATCGGCCGAGCCTCCAAGGTTCCTACAAAGGGTTTCGTTGCCTCTATAGATAACGCCTGGTTTGATAGTCCTGTCATGTCGCGGAATCATGCAGAACTCGTCCTCGACCTGGACAGCATCCCCAAGGTAAGCTTACCCGAGCAGCCTCTCTAGTAAACCTGGCCCCCGTGTTGCCTATGCTAATTGTATTATCAAGTCGGTGATCATCAAAGATATCGGATCACTTCACGGCACCTTCCATGTACCCCACGACGGAGTTGGGAAGGAGATGAGACTCGAACAACAGCGGCCTGTCAGGCTGTCAAACGGCGACTCCCTCCGTTTTGGAACCGACATATTCAGGGCCAAGGAAACATTTCCGCCGTATTCTGTCGAGTTTTATATGATAGGACAGGAACATGAGTCGTAAGTTTGCTGTTGCATTTGCATTTGCTTAATACTAACTCCTCGTATAGGCGCAGTCAGGATATACCGACTACTAATCAGTCTCCCAACCGAACCTTTACTATTCCATATGACGACCTCGATGATGAAGACGATGACGATGATAGCGTGATCGAGACATGTATGCCGCCCTCGCGAAAAACCAACGTTCAACGTGGCATCTCTATTGATCTTACCCAAGATGAAGACGACTCGGATGAGGACCATAACGTTGTTTCCAGCGCCACGGCCCTGAACCACTTTAACTCGGATATTATTGATCTGACATCGGAGCCTGATGAACATTCGGACCATGAAATTCATGCTCGGAGTCCTAGCCATTCTTCCGCATCCGTCACAGTAGAAGCACCAGCGATCCCGGCACTAGTAGCTGCATTTGCTGCTTGTAACTCCGAGTCGCTAGCAGGTATGGACCAGTCTGAGAAACCTATGGTGTTTGATGTTGAGCCCGATGCATCCTCCGATCATGACTCTAGCTTCCCACAAGATGAGGAAATGACCAGCGAGGATATCCATTTAACTGATTCCGAAGATGGTTCAATTCTTATCAGAGGGGACGACATGAGTAGCATGGACGGAGATTCCGACGGTGACGACTCGCCTGCTTCTGTATTTAATGATGACGTAGTCCGATCTGATAGCTGGGGGAGTGACAACGAAAGTAAGTCGATATGTTTTCGTTATACATTTTCGAATCATTCCACTGACGTCTCCTTCTCAGGTATCTTGCCATACTCGGAGTCTGATGATGATAGTTCCTCATCGGACGATGAGATGATGGATCCATTATCCAACTCGAGCTCACCAGCGCCCAGTTCGTCTCCCTTCTCATCACCTAACCCACCACTCCCGAACGGGTTACCCAACACAGATGCCTTTGCCGAATCGTCTAATACAGATGACCTCTTTGTGGCTCCATTCTTATTTACTACCTCTACGCAACAAGGGGCATCGGTTGTCCAACCGAGAGAACCAAGCCCATCTGATGCTGCTATGTTCAAGAGTCATCCCGTGCTTGACCGAACTGCAAGTATTTCTAGGGCACAGGTTTTAGGCGAGAAATCGGGCAAGCACGCATTTTTCGCGGCTAGGGAGAGTAATCGAATGAATCATTTGGATTGGAATTCTCCACCGCCTGTGTCTGCTATCCGAGAAACCTTGGGTGCTGATGCTGATCAGCATGTTACCGGCGTAGAATCTGATCATGCTTCTCACCCAGCTTTGCCAGTAGTTCGAGTTGATAACGACCAAAAGGGTTCAACAGGAGGAGCTGCTGACGTTAACAATGTGCCCGAACTTGCCCCCAGCGGTCCCACGACCATCCTCAGTGAAGAGCCAATTCCAGACTCTACATGGCAGCCATGGTCAGTATCTGGGGAGCGATTCCTCAACCATCCTCGAATTGAGGAGCTCCCTTCAAATTCCGAACGGCCTCAAAGTCCTGAGCTTGATATGACTAGCGCATATACTTTTCAACTAAGCAAGATTGCCAGTGAGAGCAGCGCTAGCTTTTCAAGCAAACCCAGGCGCGTCGAGATTCAAGATCTACTTACGCAGGAACCGAACGGGGATAACAACACATATGAAGACCCCCTTCCGCACATTTTTAGCGCGGCATCCTCTGCTCCACTGCCAACTAGTGAATCCGTACCGGAACCTAGCCTGAAGCGTTCCTTTGAAGATGCCTTTAGCGATGATGAAGACGTAATTGGATCGAATGAAGAATGTATCTCTCAGGAGAACGACAAATCCAAGTCTATGTTGCCGGGCAAGCGAAATCGGACTGGCTCAGTGACCAACGTTGAGTCAACCAAAGCTACTGCTCCCGAGACCCATGAACAAGGCGGCATTGAAGCTCAGCCTGCTACTATTCCTGCGCGGCAAGACAGCATCCAGCCGTCGAAGCGACGCCGCTTTGCCCAGGCAGCGGCCTATGTTGCCCTCGGCGGTGCAGCTGCATTCACTTACATGGTCTCTACTGCGCCTGTCCTCTAACGATATTAGGCAATCGGTGATTTATCGTCTATGTCAGTACACATTTTTCACTCTGGGGATTCCCATGGGCGATACCTTACGAGGTTTAAGTTACGTCTGGGAGCTGCAAGTGTTCTTAGTCCTAGGCATGTCATGAAAGGTGTAGATGAGTCCGGAAGCGGCGTTGTGGTTCTTTGTTTTAGGTGGATTAAGCTTAGCACATCTCATTGCATTTGTATGGTTGTTTGTAAAGGGATGAGCTGAGAGATGTCTAGGGAAGGCGAATCGAATGACACATTTGGCTTCCCGAGGTTAGGATAGGCTACTGTTTAGCTTGGCGTTTTCTCTTTGTTTAGCTATTGTGTGGACTCACATAGTTTCACTGAACGTCGGCATGTGTAAACTAGCAATACGTGTTGACTTTAACAATCCGTTTAGGGCATTCGTATGAATTCATTAATGACTACTTTCATTTTAACATGTTAAACGTGGTTGCTAGTGATATATTTAAAGATGTATCTTCAGATCCCCACATCCAAAACATTTCGTATTTCTCAAATTAACAAATCATTAAAGTAGACCTGTATGTATCCTTGTTATAGACAAGACATTGGGTACTAAATGTAGCTATACTACACTTGCCATATCGTTAACCGTTGTGATTCAAGATACTTCGGCAGCATCTAATAAATTAGAATCAACCAGTCCTCAAGGCAGACGCTATTATCTCACTGCTTGTAATTAAGCATAGCTGTACATTTTGAACCTAGATGTGACCGCAACCGGTTCACAAAAGCTCATTGTGTCGGTGTAACCTTTGTGCCAGCTTTTCTAGGACTTTCTTTCGTTCTCCTGACAAGACACGCACCTTTAAATACATGATCCTCACTTTCACGTACTTTGATAACTGGTTTATGATAATGATACTGAATTCTAGTAGTAGTACGAGGTTGGTGTATATTAGATGTAATTGTTGCCTTACAGCTATATGTACTTTATAGGTGAGGTTACAGTGTTTTATTTCTAATAATATTTCCTCGAATTTAGTTCTGTCTTATATTTTCTATCCCCGACCCAGGGGACCACCGAGTTCCGTTGTCTGTATATCCTAGTTCTATGATGGAAAACACAAGGATGACAAATCCGAGTAGCGAAATTGATAGAACAAAGTACACCCAAAACAGTGAGCTCCCTGGAAGGTAACTGGTATATGGGTTATTTTCAAGTTAGCTTCTGAAACTTATACTTCAAAGTTCCACCGTTTCAGGAGTGGAATGTATCCGGAGGGGATGTAGGATGGTATTACTTACTGTTAAATGTTAGTTATGAATGAAAGGACTTTAAAATATGTATCAAGAGCTAAGAGTGAGCGAGCTGAACTAGGAAGTTTTATACATACCGAATCTGCCATGCTGAAAATATAAGCTGTGAACGACAATGAGAGAAATATTATACCTAGGACCGTAAGGGCCTTAACACTTCTACTTTCGCGACCCGCTCTCTCTGCCTCCTGAAGCGATAGTTCTCCTGCCCTAACAGAAACGCGGTTGCCTGCGAGACTAGCTAAGGTGTCAATAGTACTACCTAACTCGTTTACACGCTTCTCGATTTGACGATAGCGGTGTAATAGGTGTTGAAAATCGATAGTTCTGTTAGTCCAGCTCTCGACGCGGCTGGTATCGGGGGATCGCGTAAGTGGCACGCCAAGCTGTAACATAGTTCCTTCTAGATCATCTTGGTATTCGGCAACCCGACGCTTCCATGATTGGACATCGCTCCAGAGTTCTTCAGCTGTAGCGACGCCGAAAGGTGTTAGATCACGTCTCCTTGACAGATGCCACAGTATTACTCCAGCGTTAGACTGTATGTATTCAGCTAAGTTAAGGAAGTGGCTGGCGATAATTTTCTCGACAAAGATGCGTAGGGATTTAGGATGAGTGATGTCTATTGTATCGGGGTGCTTTTGTAAATAGAATATTAATAAATCTACAGGTAGGGAGGATATAGGAGGTCCATACCGTGCTTTAATTTGATTTGATAGTGGCACGAAATCTATATATCCAGAGTTGAAACCACTTGTTATAACATCAAATCCCAATCGCCTGGTATGGTCTGTGAGAATCCGGCGGATAGGGGGGTCACATATAATAAGACCTGGCATTGTCAGCAACATAGTTTTATCAAGGCCTTACCTTAACATAGAGAGATATGAGGAATGGGGAAATACGTACATTTCCAGCCCCCGGCGTCGGTGGTTTTGCTCCAAAATGTACACTTACGCCTGCTAACGCCGACTTTTGACATCTCACCCATAAGCCTTGTCATAGCGACATGCCTCCCCGATGTGTCGCAGAGGCAGTGGAAACCGGTTGGTCATTGCGAAAGAACTAGCAGCAAGAGTAGAGGCATTGGTATACTCGGTAGAAGACTAACGGATCCATCCGGGCCGAACTGAAGTGCAAGAACTAGGACCTTGGCCCGACACCACGGCCTCCAAACTTTTGCTGGCGGTGGTGGTTTGTTTATAATGGACCTTTTCATCCGCGGGTCGCTCGCGCATAGTGATTTGATTAACTCTTCATAGCTCTCTGTTGTCATATTGTCGTAGGAGCCCGCATATCTTCTCGATTGATGTTGGTAGGTAACTACGAACTAACAATATCAGAAGCTAAGGAGGTAACTGGTCGAGGAACAACAGTTAGTTCACGATGTATCCATGGCTGTTGTAAGGCCACACTGTTGGCACTAACGACTAACATCATTATCAATAACGAATAAGGGTTTGAACCATAGATATATCCCATTGCTCATTTATCCTCTGTACGTAAAGAATGCTGCAAATGTGACCAGCACGTTTAAAATTTTATTAAAGCGTACATCATATTAGCTACTACGGCATGTTCCTCTTATAGCGATTGTTTCATATTGCGTATAAGTAATGTGTTTGTTGAGCTTAGAGAAAAAAAGAACCATATTATCCCTCATTAAATAAGAATTAATGAGTATGAAGTTACTGCTGTGTCGATCACACGCAAAAACAAGATATTACAACACCAACATCTAACCTTAGACGTCAATCGTTACTTAAACAAGTCTAGACTTAACCAAAAATTCAAATCTTTGACTTATATTTATATCTATCATATTTGAATAATCCCGTTGACATACCGCCCACATTAGATCGGCCGAGTGGGGCTACGCCGGCGCCGGAGAGAAACACTGGGCAGACTAGCCGCGGACAGCCGGCTAGCTAGGTAGTCTATCCAAAGGTCCGGATCGGTCAGACCGCCCCATACATGATATGACCAATATTTGGCATATTCTAGATCTATGCAGTTGCAGTTTGCTTTTATAAAAGTATACCTAGTTTTGTATTAACATAGCACCTCTAACCAATAACAACATCTTATTTATTTAATTTTTATGTTGTAATACTAAGGGTAGCACACGTGGTAGGATCGTGTGTTGATGTTGGATTCTAGCAAGGAAGAAAGGCCAAGAGCTAAGATAGGATCCGATATGCGGAAGTGGGTGTGAATAATCTTGATCTGAGTCTCTATTCACTACCTTGCTAAGACCTCCTACACCCGCACGGACAGCCGTGGACGTTCCGAGTTTCGAATCACAAGAGATACGGTATGTTCCGAGTATAGACGCTTCTGCGTTGGTCACTAGTAGTTCCGAAGCCACGAACGAGTGATATTGAATGTGCTTGAGATAGATCAGCGGTAAGAGTTGCAACGAATTCTGACTCGGGAACTTCCAGCCTTAGAGGAAATTAATCTGGGGCGGGTAACTGCAGGTGTATTATGCATGGCTAAGCTAATAAGAGATAGGGCTCGGGATAATATTTGGCGAAATACGAGTATATGACAGGTATATGATGGCATTATATATGAAGAAGACAAGCTCACAGACTAGAAGAAACACAATGGGAGATTTTATATAGAATCTGGTAATATATTTGACAAGTTGTCGATTAAAAGCATCTAGAAGTGTCAATAGATGACTAGGGTATACTATAGGGTCGCCGGATGCACGCTGCAGTGTTATATGAATGCGATAAGATCGCGTCTAGGGTTCGATCAAATCATCGGACGAATACTACTATTTTTGGCATAACCTAGTTGATCGACGTCACAGCTACATTAGCGGATCGGGATATCCGACACGTCATTTTGAATACTATACTGTATGCAAGATAAGTCCCATGAGAGCGCGGGCCGAGATCTTACCTCGCCATAACCTGTACACCCGAGGAAACCCGGCACGACATATCTACGTAAACATGGCGTCAAGACGTAGTCTTCGGAGAATCGGCAATACTCATAAACTACAATTTCCGGGGTCTTGGAAGCACAAGCCTCATCAGTAAACTACGTGGCTATCCCAGGTTTGCGGGGAGAGCAAGTTGTCAGCTGTGGCCCGGATACCCGCAGGTATAGAATGCTACATCGGATCGGTAGACCATCGGCCTGTCTGCTTGTCTGCCTGTCTGTCAGGGTAAATTACGAGGTATTTACCTAATCTGAAACAACGTTTGAGAGAGTTCGATGGGTTCCGATGGTCTGGATCCTTCATAGTAACAAGCGGGAAAGGGGCTGAGGTATGACGGCGGAAGCTTCTATTAATTCCCTGGCAAGAGCCAGACAGCAGGTGAAGAATGTTCCACGTATGGTCAAGAAAAGAGACTCTCGATTCGCTGATATTAGAAATCTCGTGTCACTATCGGGCCTTAAAGCTATAACACAGAGAGTATTACAAGTCTAAACTGTCGAGTACGGCAATAGAGAAATTGTCATATGATTGGAGACTGAATAGATAAGAGGATCTAATAGTAGAACTTATTTTATTTATTGTTTCTCAAGGGAAACCGGGTAGAGCCATGGCTATATCCTGTCACCGGATTTTTTTGCTACCCGATGTCCTTATGGCCAGTTTGAAGGCGCCATCGGGTAGGACCAGTGCCATTTAACGAGGCGGTGAGCCTCGAGGCTTGGAAGTTCCTTACCCACAGCCAAGCTTTCGGATCTTATAATGGCGTAATGGTGGCTTTTAAGGGTCTCATAAATCTTGCCGCAGACACCTTTTCATGTCCTCGAGGAAAAGGGGTCAACGATAATCCACTCATAAGCATACACACAGAAAGACAATAGCCTACCCATAAATTATAAGTCAAAATAATTCGACAATGGCACAGAAAGCGGATGCTACATACGGATACTATACCGGTGCATATGCTTTCGACGAGGACCGAGCTATATACGGCCTCGGGCCGAACCGTGACATGCCTTCCCTCTGTCCCAACTGCAAAGGCAACCCAAGAGAGTACGTAAATTTTATTGCAATAAAAGTGAATTGAAAGAAGGCTTAACTTGTTGGTATAGTCGAATCAATTGTGCTCACTGCGGCGCCACTGGTATGCTAGGTGTTCCGGGCATCAGCGCAGCTAGCAGCCAACGAGACAGAAACCACACAACCTCGTCTGGAGGGTCTAGCTCAGGACGTGGGAGCTCGAGAGGGGGGTCGTCCATATGCAGAGACTCTAAAAGATAAACATGCCGGCATGAGAGCTTTAGAAGGACTCAATGTCACACTACCTTACCGTCACCTCCATCGCTGGAAAATCGGCTGTATCTGTTTCTATAAGCTGGAGAGTCACCTGGGGTCCTCCCTGCTTTAGCTGGTATATGGTTTAGAGAGGAATAATTCTGTCTGCTTTCAGGGTGCTATTCGGGGCCTAATTAAGGAGACGATATACGGATGGAACAGGTTTCCACATCCGAGTCTGGGAATACTTTCATATTTATCTGACAAATCTATGCTGTTTATTTCTGATTTTAAGCTCATTAGAGAGCAATGTAATGTACTACTGATTCCTAAGAGAAAGCGAACTTTATCTAATATTTTTTCAGGTAGTTATGCTAATGAACGTGGTTAGAATTCTTTAATAACCCAATGTGTACCTAGGTATCGTTGTGAATTTTGGGACCGACATTGAATTGGATAGTGTGATTTTTAGTTAAGCATTGTAAATTGACACCTAGGATTGATTGATAGTTGGCTTTTGAAGAATGACTCGGCTCTTGAATCTAAATCTTAGGTACCTAAGGTAAACAAGCAACATGGCGATTTGATGACCCCTATTCTATTAGAGGTACTTTGTGAATGCCTCTCTTATTGCATAATCTAGTTTGCGTTAATTCTTTATACGTCCCAAAGCTGCATATCTTATCGATAAAGCTAGTACTACCATCTGCATTGACAATTGACAATTGACATCAGCTTCCGCGAACTTATCGTTAACCTTTTACACTTGATTCGATATCAACTTGGAATATCATATTTTATCCCCCAATCTTGTTACTATTTCGGCTGGCCTATCACTTTGATGGGCCACTGCTGAAGCTCTAATGTCTGTTATTCTTTGTACCGGTAGGCCCAATTCCCACCCCACCGCCACTGTTCTGCAACTCACCTGTCGATTAATATAGCTGGGTACGATCACACAATTAGGTATGCGCCTACGGCTCGGCCCGGCTATCTAGATGGAGATGGAGATCCTATAATTGATCCTATAATTGCATTGATAACTGACTAGCCCTATTCGAAAACATAAAGGTTCTGGGAGGCGCTATCAGGAATCTGCTCTCGAACAATTCAACATCCGGACTCGCAGGTGAATCGACTATGCATCTCGCCGGACAAGCGGTTCCTGGCAGCGGCCGGTCACCATACGGTTAAGCTCTACGATATCAAGTCGACGAATCCGAACCCTCTGCTTACCTTCGAAGGCCACACGGGAAACGTGACGGGAGTCGCGTTCCACTGCGAGGGGAAATGGATGGTGACGAGCTCTGAAGACGGCAGCGTCAAGATATGGGAGACGCGCTCCGGCACTATCCAGCGTAGCTACAATCACGGTTCTGCCGTAAACGATGTCGTTATACACCCTAATCAGGGCGAGATCATAAGCTGCGACAGGAGCGGCAGCGTCCGGGTTTGGGATCTTGCTGAGAATAACTGCTCTCATCAGCTCATCCCCGAGGAAGATGTCTCCGTCTCTAGCGTTACTGTCGCGAGTGACGGGTCTCTCCTCTGCGCTGCTAATAATGCTGTATGCCACTATACTACTTCTATACCCCATATACCCCTACTTTATACCCTCCCATCCTAACACCGTCATCCAGGGCAACGTCTTCGTCTGGCAACTAATCCAAACCTACGAACGCACGAATCTCCTCCCCGTAACGCACTTCTCCGCGCACAAGGAGTACATCACGCGAATCCTGCTCTCCCCCGACGTCAAAAAGCTCGCGACCTGCTCGGCAGACCACACGGCCAAGATCTGGGAAGTCACCAACGTGACTGGCACCTCGTCTGACGAGTCCTCTTCGTCGTCCCTCTCCAACGCCCCCGCGAACGGCATCAACGGCCACGACAAGCCCAAAAGCACCGGAGACGTCGCCGCCGGAGAGCCCAGACCGTATCCCCTGGAGGCGACGCTGACGGGCCACCAGCGCTGGGTCTGGGACTGCGCGTTCAGCGCCGATTCCGCCTACTTGGTTACCGCGTGCTCGGACCACTATGCGCGGTTGTGGGAGCTGCATAGTCAACAGGTTATTCGCCAGTATAACGGCCACCACCGCGGCGCCGTCTGCGTTGCTCTTAACGATTACTCCGAAGCGCGGTGATTGATTGATTGATTGATTGATAGGTCTGGCGAAGGGGACATGTTTCGTAGGCGTAGAAATGCCGAGTAGATAGATACATGAAGAGGAGGTGAAGGTGGAGGTGGAGCTGGTCTTTGGTACGAGCCTGTTTTTCTATATACCTAGGTATCCTCTGGCGTTGGAGTTTTACACGGGGCTCTTGCGGTTGGTTTTGTTATGCAGTTTTATTCTGACTTCTATTCGTATCTACTTGGTACGATATAACACTATTCTGTGACTTGTTCTAGATACCTAGGTGCTTACGAAATGTTCCGAACTGAATATTATTAGGTGGTGTGTGGGATGGGCTTTGCTTGAGGAATGGGAATAGCGGAGCAATTTGGCCGGAAGATATATCTTGCTTAATCTTATAGTCCTACCTTGGTGACCTATAGCGTCTGGCTTCATTTATATGGAATTGGCAGGCAAGAGCTGACTTTCAAACAAGTATACCTGTGAGTTAGGTATATAAAAGGTAGGTATTTATTATGTCTATATCGTATTAAAGCTTAGATTTAGTAATAACCACTTGATCCCCGGTATGCTAAAAAAAAGCAACCAACCGTCGGATGTCTAAGTCCGAGCCCATAATCCGTACACCAAAACGCCTTGCGATGTCCTTGCTCTTCCATCTGAACCAAACATTGCTTTTCCTTATCTACATCCTAGCCGAACACTACCACCCGTCTCCCCATCCGTCGTCGTCATCCGTTTCCTTAGGTTTCGTGTCAATCTTTTTTGCTACTACCTTCGCGGCTGGCTTGGAGGTGAGCGGCTTCTTGGCGGCGGTGGCGGCAGATGATTTGCCATTTGTCTTGGTAAGACCCTTGGGAAGGGGCTTGCTTCCGCCACCAGGTCCACTCTTCTTCGCTTGTGCCGCTAGCCATCCCGCAAAATCGGGCTCTGAGCCGTCGTCAAATGGCTTAGGTGACGCCGTCGGCTCTTTCTTCACGGGCTTCGTCGGCTCGCTGGACGCGTCGAAGAACGCGTTACCATCATCATCCATGTCACCCATATCACCCCAAGCGCCGCCTGCGTCATCCCTTACTGGTTCGGGATCCTTGAAATAAGCCTCGGCCGTAGAAGCAGACGAGTTTCGTGACAGAGGCGGTGCGGGCGATGGAGACTTAACAGCCTGGCGGTGGAGCGCAGAAGCCGAGGACGTCATTGACGGGACACGTCTATTGGGGTCAGGCTCGGGGGATACAGCTCGAGCATGTATGAGCGTTGCGGTTTGCATTTCGCCCGAGGCAGCCGACAACTTGTTGGTAAAGGATGAAATTGCCCACCCAGCCCAAGAAGATGCCTCACTCGGCTGCGGCGTACTCATTCGCGGACCGGCACCTTCAGTTGTCTGAGGCGGTGGTTGGACCGTATCAGGCATACCGTCCGCAGCCTTGCGAACCCTCTGCAAGTAAATTTCCAACGTCTTGTTGGCTTGATCTCGGACAAGTTTTTCCTTGTCGAGTAAGGATGGGCATATGGCCGGTAAAAGTCGTGCTGCGCAGTCTTCTTCGGTGAAATATTCGCCTGTGGCTGCAAGTGCTAGGAGCGCGGCGTTTCGAGCATGTACAAAGGGGTCTCGAAGCGATCGAGTAAATGCAGCAAGTAGAACCTTAGTCCGTGATGAAGCCCCAAGATTTTTAGCGATCTTGCCTAGACAAATTGTGGTGTTTGTCCGAATACCAGGCTGCTCATCGTTAGCCGTCTTGGCGAGTTGTTTTAGCAATTCGCCGTTGATTGTCCGGTCTGATAGCTTGGAGATGACGACGAGAACGGATTTTAGTGTCTGCTCTCGCACCACAGGTGCTACATCCGCGAAGCCAGATACCATGTTTGGGAAGATCTTATCATTGACCACCTTTTGGGATAGCCTGTCAATCATAACAGGTAGATTATCCAAGAGACAAACTCGTATGGCTCTGTCGGGATTGCCAAATAGTCTGACAACGACCGGTTGGACTCTCGACTCAAAATCTTCATTGGATAGCTTTGTAGATATCTTCATAACAACACCGAATGCTTTTGGCCCGCCTCCACCGAATTCAACCGACTTCAGTAGTTCGGGTAATACCTTCATCTTAAAGAACTCCTCAGGAAAATCGTCTGTAAGTTGGTCTAGATCATCTAAGAATTGTTCCTTTTCGGTTTCAGATTTGACACCGAGATTATCTATTCCCTCAGTCAACTTGATTAAAGGTGAGTCGAAGAAACTGCCAGATCGACGTCCTTGCTCTAAGAATGCTCCCACTGTAATTCTAGCCTTGGGGTTCGTATTGACAAGCCTCTTATAGCCCGCATGCATACTGGGCGGAATACTCTTAGTTTGTCCTGCTTGATCCGCACCCATGAAATCCCCATTGAACACCTCGAATATAGTAGTCCCAAAGTTGTAAGCATCGACAGCTGAGTGAGGACTTTTCTTGAGCGCATCCCAGCCTGAGCGCGCGAGCTCTGGTGGCGTGTATCTTGCGGCATCCGGCACTAGGCTTCCGTACGTGTAGACTACGGCATCGTCATCCTTCACATTACTCAATACCTCGAAACCGCCCAATTTCCATTCGCCACTCTCGGATGTGTATATCGATGCGACCCGAAGGCTACCATGGACAGAAGAGCCCTCGTCGTTAATGAACTTAACGGTGCGCGCAATGCTGTACAGCCCCCATTTGATAGTCTCGGGACTCAAGCTCTTTCTCTTAACATGCCACCTTAGAGGTACGACCCTTTCAGTCGCGATATATATGTATGAATCCGTCTCGACGGTGTCCAGGACCTTAATAACACCTGGATGGCGCATCGTGCGCAGTTTCTTGACGGCATTCTTCGCGAGGGGGAGTCGCGCCTTGTTCGAGGGTATATCGAAAGCAAATATGCTACAATTGGATCCATCGGCTCGTCTCGTGCCATTATATAGTGTCCAGATAGAGGCGTCTATATCAACCTTGTCGCCAAAGGAGTAAGGGAAAGGCGGCCCTTGGGAGATGGCGGACGCGACGGCGGATTTGAGGAAATCCATAGTACTATTTAATTTATTTCATGCGAAGGCGGAGAAAGTAGCAAGCCAATAAGACCGTTAAGGAGAAAGGGTCGCAGATCTAGAATGTGCAAATAATTTGTAAACACATGGAAATGCATGAATGCATGTTAACAAACAATGGATAATGGATAATGGATAATGGATAATGGATGGGTATTTTGGTAAAGTTATTTTGGTAAAGTTATTTTAGTAAAGTGTCCCCTATCTCCCTGTCTCCATGATGGCAGGATGGATGGCGCGCTTAGTGGGCCTGCAGGCGGCCCCGCACTAATCCTGACCGAGTCTAGCGTTGCAGCCGCTACCGCATCAAGGGTCAAGGGGTTCATATTGAATGTACTATGTACTTCGTATGTAAGTGAAATAAATCTTAAGAAAAATACTCCACTCATCATCATTAAGGAATAAACACCACTACGCAGCATTTTAAGCTGGTATAGGAACAGATAATTGAACAGATAATTGTGCTTTGATTTGATTTGGTTTGACAATGATCATATTTCTCACTAATGAGAATGCTTAATCATTTAATTATCATACTTATTGCTTCGAGGCTATCTTGAATCCTCCTGTCCTCTCACTCCAGAAGCCATCAGGGTCAACTTGAGATTGGACAGTCTGAGCCAACTGCAACTTTTCCGGCCTCAATCTGCCAAAGTAATCCTGTGGGTAGAAACAGTCGTTCATAAAAAGCGGCAGGTACACATCAGATGGGAGCACACCACCTTGCTGGTATCCCTTAACAATGCTCTGGAAACCACCATATGTAGCGCGCATCGTTATGTCAACCTGATCAAAGTCCAACTTGGAATAGAAGCTGTAGTCCAGCTCGACAATAATACGGTCGTGGTCATCATCTAGATCTAGCATATCTCCACCCTTGGATTTGGCAATCGTTGCTACTCCTCTTGGCATGGGTTGGAAAGCGATACTGGCAACGAGTCCTGGAACAAATTTGGTCGTATCGCTGACCTTCACCCAGTGGTCATAGATGGCCTGCATGACTTCGGGACCATACTCCTTGCTAGGCAATGGAATAGTTTCCGTTCCGATGGTATAGACACTGCCCTTCAGGACGGACCAGTTGTTCCCGCTGAGGAGGTCAGCATACCTCTGTGTCTTGCAGGTGTTGATGTTAGGCCCGATAGCGAGGAAGCTATCGAATACGCCTTGCGGTGGCTCGGGCCCGTTGTAGTAAAGAAACAAGACCCAGATGTCGATCAGTGTGCTCAGAGTTCTTTCAGACGTTACGATTATGCCAGCCTTCTTATCAGGGTAGTTTTCGGTAAAATTACGAACCGCAGCTAGGATAGCGGCGTTATTCTCTGGCGTGGCATCGAATTCAAGGTTGCCACCCCATATGTCGCCCTGAGGGTATGCTTGAAGCAGATACGACGTCACAATACCGAAGTTGTTCCCACCCCCTTTGAGAGCCATCCAGAGGTCAGGATGATTAGTCTCGCTAACAGTGACGATTGACGAATTTGCTAGTACCACCGTATATTCGAGAACCGAGTTAGCAGCCCAACCATATTCGGTGCTCATGAAGCTCAACCCGTCTGGACTCGGTCAGTATTCTAGTTGCAGCAAAAGGTTCTTCGGTCACTCTTACTCCCTACCAGATAACCTCCAACTCCCACATTTCCGATACGGCCACCAACGACAGTATAGCCAGTGGCGTCTAGCTGTTTGCCAACTTCATCCCATCGGTTACCGGGGCCAACTCTGACGGTCTCGGAGTCAGCGTTGAAAATGACCTCGTTAAGTCTCTTAGTCGAAATCAATGGTCCTCCGTCAACACTGGCAAAGTAGTTGTTGGGGTTGTGTCCTCCCGACTTGACAGCAAAGGTCTCGTTGTTTTTGCGAAGAATCGACACAATAGCAGCGACTTCCTCAGATGTTTCCGGCTCGAGGATGCATGTTGGCTTGAGGTCGCCGGAAAACGTCGACCAGTATTGACTCTGCTCCTTGTCGTATTCCAACGTTAATGCCTTGAGCATCGTGATGGAGGTTTGGGCTTCGACCGTCTGGCAAGTGTCTTGGGCAGCCACGGACGTCGCCAGGGCAACAGCCCATATTACGAATTTATTTAGAGTCATATATGCCATGTTGGATCCTATTTCTACCGTGCAGTTATTTGAAGGCGTCAAGGTTTGCCGGAGGCCTGCAAGTGCGATACGCGGATGCAAACGAGACTCCTCGCGACAGCTGAGGCTTCATCGCAAAATGCAGGAACTATGCGACTTTTATCTACAGCTCCTGCCGCCATCCCTACCCCTATAAAGTCCTCGGGCTATGTTACATCTTAAAGGGTATAGTATGTTTGCGTATGACGGCCCCCAAGTTGCAAGCAACGCATAGTTGCAGGACAATAGCCAATCTCGCTATCTGCACATATGCCACGTTATTTCGAAATAAGATCCGAATACGATAACTACCTACCTACCTAACCTAGGTATGTTTTGAACATGGTCCCGCACACCCTCAATAAGGGGTAATTATGACTTCTCTCGGCTCTAGGTGGATACATTATGTGGGGGAGGGATGTATGCATGTGAAGTGATGACAGACCAAGATCCGGGAACAACCCGTCGCATTTCCGGGGTCAATAGATCTCGTTTTCTCTCGGAGACGTCGGGGATTGTTCCAATATGTAATAGGTATCCGCTCGGGTCGCTAAGATATATGCTAGCTCACCAACGAAGCTAACGAGCTGACTTCCAGAATAGTCAAAGCAGGGGTGCTGATCACTATTTTCAGCAGATGCGTGAATTCAGGGCTGCACCTAAAATCCTTCAGTCCCCTTGGCACTCAGCCTGCCTCGAAAATTAATGGCCGGGTCTTGGTATTTGAACACTTAATATTAACATATATAATTTGACCAGTTTTAAAGGATAAAAATTACAAAAAGTACAATAGACAGTTAAAATGGCTAAATAACCTGTAAATATTTTTTTTTTCAATTTTTTATTTCGCATTACAATGCTTTTTGTTTGCATATAATATATGGTGTTGTTTTCAAAGGAAAATGCCAAGACCCGGCCATTAATTTTCGAGTCCGACTGGCACTGTACGTCAGTTGTTCCTACACCCTGTTAGAAATTACATCACATATTTTTAACTTGGGCACAAAACAAAAGGCCAATCGGAAGTTACCATCATGTATATATAATAAAAAACTGTTATCTTCACATGATGGATTTTGACTGCTGCGCGCGGCCAAACTACCAGAATAAGGAATGTAACTCGTTTGCAGCTGAACCGCTGCTCGTGATCGAGGAAGATACGGGAAAAGCGGCATAACCGCATGTTCCATCGAGCAAGCCTGATGTCCCCAGAATCTTGGAAATTGACACAAGAACAACCGAAAATTTTGGTTGACCTAGTTCCCTAAGCTCTACAGAACGATGAGGTTGCATAATGGTACCCATCTCGGTATGTATAGATTGGGGTAGTAGGTAGTAATCCGTAGCCTACATGAGGGCACCCCTGCGGTGCGCCACAATAGCCCGAGTTTACGGAGGTAATATAGTGCTGCCGGAGAATGGCGCGCTACGCGCGCCATTCTTCGGCAGCGGCACCTGGAAACATCGAATATCGACCTTTGCATATATATATAAAAGAAGCGTGTGAGATTCGAACCTAGGCTTAAAAGATATGTATTTTGAAAAAGATAAAAATAGAAACCTGGAAAAGCACGTGGGTAATTCTACTTATTTCGGGGATGCACCGAATCAAAACGCTTAAAAAGCGCCGCACGGACGAACTTCCTCTTTCGAAAAAAGGTCCCCAAGACAATATCCCTCGTAAACTCGGGCACTCGGGCACTATTGGATGCTAATGTTATTGGAGCGGTACAAGACATTCGCTTACAATTCTAACAGGCGTGATGTGGGCATTTCAAGATTTAATATCCCATCTCACAATGAAAGCCCTCTGAAATTGGTTAAAGAAAAAAAGAACACTTATACAACAGCAACAACCGTACTCATCGGCGAAGCTAAGTTGTCTATTTTTAGCCGTACTCGTCTATCCAGAGGCCCAAGATCTCCTAACCCGCAGCCAGTCTTTCGGTTTAGATAAGCTTAATTTGGGGGATGTTCCCAAGATCCGGAGTCAATCTTAGCCGTTCATTGGCCTATATGGGATTATAACGTGTAGTCACACGGGTATCAATTCAAAGCTCACGTGCTCATCATCAGCTTGACACTCATCCCCGGATAACCTTGGTACCCTCGGCTGGCTCCAGGATTAGCCATTGGCAGTCGATGTTTTCCTTGGTAAATCTGCTTATGATCTTCTCGGCAATCTGCTCGAAGTTGCTAGTAGCCAATGCTAAGATCGTAGGTCCAGCACCCGATAAGCAGACTCCTAACAACCCTTCCTGAGTGCTTGGCGACATGGACTCAACGATCTCGCCTAATCCAGGAATCAATGTCTGTCTGTACTGCTGGTGCAACTTGTCTTGCATGGCGAGATAGATGAGATCCGGATCCGGAGGTGATTGCCCTAACGCGACAGGCAGCAACGCTATTCGCTGCAGGTTGAAAGTCTGAAGCATGATCAATCAGTATGTCTATGGGGCAGGTGTCTCGGACAAAGACTTGTGACTTACAACATCCTGTCGTGGGTACTCTTTCGGGAGTACCTCTCGTGCCTTAGCTGTAGGCACCTGGAAATTGGGCACAATGGCGATAGCCTTGATCTCCTTGGACCAGGGGAACTTGATGTGGTGGCCAATACCGTGCGGAGGTTCCGGCGGTCGCTCACCCGTGTCAAGACCACCCGCTGGCGCAGGAAGTACTTCACTAAGTGGGATCTCGACACGCGCAACGTCCTCGGGCGTCAATGGCTTTAGGTACGTTCCTACAAATCCACCAAACAGAGCAGCACCCACGTTATCAGGATGGCGCTCTAGGGAAAGACACGGTAGGTTAGCTTCCTCATACTATAACATTTAACAGCAACCTAAAAAGAGAAGAAAATTCAGGCAAAAGATTAGCACCTGAGAACATCAGGTGTTAGAAGGAAGGCAAGTTATACCGATCATGAGACAGAAGTCAAAAAGCCGATCGTTGGTTAGATGATGCAGGCCTCCAACTTCCTTGCCTAGCATTACGCCGGCAACAACGGCGGCGCCAGAGGAGCCAAGACCACGACCCAGTGGGATGGGGTTGACGATGTGCACGTGGGTCTCAACAGGGAACGCTCGCTGGTCATGACACCGCAGAACATACAGCGCAACTCGAGTAATTAGGTTTGCGGACGGATCTAGGGGTACATCATCTGAATCTTCTCCTTGGCCCTCATACGTGATACGACAGTTAAGCGGCTCTTGAGACGAAGACTTGGTGCGATCGATGGTCACGCGCAGGTCAAGATAGATAGACAGGGCCAGGCCGATCACGTCGAAACCGGGTCCGATGTTGGCCGACGAGCACGGTGTCCGAATCGTGAAGGATTCCATGCTCGTTCCGTTTAAAAGAACCCTAGTGATCTACGTATAGATGATTTTGGGACCTTTGGCACAAAATGTCCGTGACCTAAAATTAGAGTCGTCTGATTCGGTGAAGGGAAAAGGGGACTTTGAAAAATAAAGAATTGAAAAGCCAATTAGGTAAGTTGGAAACAGGTAAGCTATCAGGAAATATTCAATGTTTACAATCTATAACTATCCCATAAGAAACTAAACTCAATGAGTCTGGCCTCGAAATCTTATTGCTGACCGAGTTTGGAATTTTTCAACTTTGTGCTAAGATCAGCCCCGATGACGGAGCTTGTGGTAGTGTAACCCGGATGTGGTCCGGCTGACGCAGGGCAGGGCGATTTCCAAAGGTGCAATTCCGTGATGGATCTACCTACCTAACCCTATCCTACTATCGCGGGGTAGCTATGTAACTGCCCTAATGAGGCGGCTTGAAGCTTGTGATTGGTCAATATTTGAATAATGATGGCATGTACCTCCCATTTATGTTTTATGTACTACATCTACGAAGTACTTACTATACCTACCTGCAGTTTAGGTAGGTAATGGTACCTACCTAGGTTAGGTAATTTATACTTCAGGTCGGTAATCCATTTTTATTCCCATTCTTATCCAAATCCAACTCGTGGTTTAGGATTAATACCTACATCTAATGGGTAACTCGTGTCGTATACGACGCATGACTAAATTACCTATATATAACAGTATTAACCCAGTTCCAAGCAATTAAAAACAAGGAATCCCAAAACACACCTGCATCTACCTCTCAATTTACCAACCGAAAGACTCGGTGTGCAACGTGATGATCTTGGCATCGCCAACAAGAACCTTCTTTTGAGCAGCTGACGCCGCATTTGCTAAATCCGTCCTTAAACTCTCTGGTCCGCAACCTAGAGTTAACTACATCAGTGTGTATCCTAACAACTCGTCGTTGCGAGTGGGACTTACCGAGAATAAACGACCGTTGCGCCGTGATTAAGGTCGGAAGCAGAGTAGGCAAATAGGGACGTTGGCTATGCACTTGTCCTAGCTTCGGGCTTACCGTCGCTGTACTCTTTTCGTTCGGCTTGCTGCTGATTACTCCATTATCGGAGTTTTTATCAGATTCTATGCTTGACGCCGCCGCCGTGCTTGAGTCTGTCACGAAAAAGTCTACTTGGATCAGATCCGGATGAGCAGTGATGAGTGGTTCTAACTCTTCCGTTATCCACTGTATTTGGCTGGCATATCGAACCATCCACACAAGGTGGATATTCTTGGTCACCGAAGTACCTTCAGTGATGCGCCTAGCCGCGTATTGAATCCACGGAAGGCATGCGGAAATCCCACTGCCTCCAGCGACGAAAATCAGCGATTCGTACAACGCGGGTACATCCTCAATAAGTCCACCGTACGGACCATCAATATGGATGGAAACAGAACGACTGCGATTTTCCGCGTCATCATGATTTATGACCGATGTAAGTAAATCAAGAGTCAGTCCGTGATGCGCGCGGACATAAAAGATCATGTCTTGGGTTTCCGAATCTACTTTCACACCCGGAGTATGAACTTTAGGTAAGTTCGCGATCGTGAAAGGATGGTTTTGTAGCAACGATAGGTGGGGCACTCGCAGCCAGCAGTGTTGACCAGGCCGCCATTGGAAGTCCAGGGGCGCAAGGATGGTCACCTTCGTCATACCGCCCGACAATTCTTCCAGCTTCGCCGGGAACCCTAGGAACCAGTTTCGGAAGATGCTGAATGTCTGCCACTTGTAGAAGAGGCGCACTAAACATGAGGCGAGCCAGATTGCAAGCGTCGAGTACAAATACACCCACGAGTCCTTCTCCTGCTTTGAATGCCAGAAGAGCAGACCAAGATACACTATGTACATGGGTATGTGCAGTCGGTAGAAAAAGTTGTAGAACCGATGGCGAATCCACGGAATGGACAACACGACAATTCCTACAAGTATACCCAGTGGTGGAGTTCCTGTATACTGTTCGGGAATTCGTGTCAGTCTTCACAGCATCCACACGGCAAAGAACCCGAATGGGCGGGAAATCACATACCTCCATGCCACCAGGTTTGTAATATTGTTTCCAGAGGGCCGCAGGTCCACCCTCTCTCAGGGGTTGGACGATGAAGGGCACCGTATGAACAATGCTCAGGAACAAGCACATGTACGATACCCAACGGTGGAAAATATTCAGCTTCTCATGGCTAATACCGGTAAGCATCGTGATGAAGTTGACCTTGCCAGCAAGGGCAACAATGATGGGTGTCAAAGCCTGCGCCATTAACCCAGTTCGGACAGCCAAAGGAGGAGAGCCATAGCCTCGTCGATCTCGATAGTAAGGGTGAACCAGGAAAGTCATTAGGAGGAGGAACAGAGAAGTCACGGCAATGAATAAAAATGCTCCGAGGGAAGGGAATCCGAAATAATCGGCCATGCGGCCTTTGAGGTGTCGATAGTTAACCACACGGAAGAGAGCGAGTACTTTACGAGTCTGCGTTAACTTTTCGGACCCGGGAACCCCTTGCCGAGCCCTACGGTTCCGGTTCAGACGATAGGCATAGACGAACATAGCAACGCCAATCACCGCCATGTAATACCAAGTCGTATAATGTCCATATTCATACTGGTGATCGTACGACACCGCTGCCTGCGAAGCCTTGTGGGCAGCCGCGAAAGCATCGCAAGCATCGCTATTACACCGCGGGTCAGAAAGAGGAAGCTTAGTGACATTCTCCGAGGGAGGGCTATCGCCCATAGGCATAGACATCGACCTTGCCATCATCTTGGTGAATCTTCCGGAGTCAAACGAGCCTACAATACCAATGAAGGATAAAATAGAAGTTCGACGCGATAATACGCTGCGCCTTCTGTGATGACTAGTTCATTTTGTATTTGCTTTTGGTTGCTAATCCATGCGGAATCATTTGAGCTGGTGTGGTGCCGGTTAATTAAGGCAAAATGTCTGTGAGCAAGTATTGGGAACCCAATTACCGTGCGACCAAACCACTCGTAACACACTACGACGCTATACTAAAATAGGGGAAATGGAAGAAAACAGCACAGCATCCTGAAGGACGTTAAACTCGGGTTACCATATGCCAAAATGTGGAGAGTGGTGTCTTGTTAAACTCGGAGTTGACTTACACTGGTGACGGCATGACGCTCACCGTTACGCATACGAATATGCGGGATGGAGTTTAGAGTCTTGCACAAAACTTAGTAGCAAGCGATACAACCGTATCGACAGTCTGAAAAACACAGGTTGGATATAATACTGTTGAAACGGTGAACATCAAGGTCCTCAAAGTGTACTATATTAGGTACTTTATATATTAAGCAGTGGAAGCGGGTTGTTGCCGTAAATAACATCGTGGTAGTTAAAGCTGGATCTCTTAAACGCCCAAAAGCACACGAGCCGTGACGGTCCAAATACCTAAACCAGCTCAAACGTGCTCACTCCTATTTTAAATCCCTGTCCTTGTCATTCAGCCGGTTCCGCATGGCACGCACCCTGAGGCGGCAGCTGAAGAACAAACTCGTTTGTCACTACCTATCCAATTCTGCATAAAATTTATATGGCTCTTGGCTTTATGTACTGAAAATATAATAAAGTAAGCGAAGCTTTTTTAATGGACGGCTACCCCCCAGTATCGCTGTCGGGATATATTGGAGATCCAGATGTCCGGGATTCTCGTCCCGTCCTGTATGCGACGCAGCAGGCGACACGTTAAGATGTCAGACTAACACTTGGTAACGTCGGAACTTGAACTTTCGCATTGGCTTATGGCGTAACTATCTTAATTAGAAAGGTTAGATAGGTTAGGTACCTAGGTATATTATTAATGGACGTGGATATATTGTTGATGGCTATGGCCATGCCATCCATACAGGCATAGCAAGTATCGCAAGTAGCGACAACATCTACGGACTTGACCATAGATATGAGTGGCGCTTCGACGGCAGAGGGCAAGCAAACGGATTCAGGCCAACGATATGGGAACAGGCGATTAGGGCGTCGTTTCACATGGTCCAATTCGCGGTGGCGTATTTCGTTATGTTGTGCGTTCTTGTCCCATGTTGCATTCCAGCGGACCTAAAACTGGTGAATCCGAAGACACCTCATGCTCACCTAACTAACTCAGATCGCAGACTCGCAATGTACTATAACGGCTACATAATCATATCCATCTTCGTCGGCGCTTACATTGGCGCATTTATCTTCCACTGGGAATATCTGGGCTGGGGGTATGCTGTGTGGTGGCTGGTCTCCGAATAATATTGCTAATCGCTTCGCTTCGCTTGGAAGATGTAGTGTGACGAACGAGAGTAAGGAGCCGACTGTGTGCTATGGGTAGTGTTACTATTCGGGTCTTTGGTGGCATGCTGTTGTATCACTATGTTGTTTTTGTGATACGGGAAGTTCGGGGGAGGTTCATGGGCCGAGGATGAGTTGGGCCCGGCGATAGAAGGGTAATTAAGGGGTTGGATAGACTAGAGTTGCATTTTCTTGTTATAAAGCGGCTTTATAGTATAAAACTAGTTGGGAGTCTCTTAATTTTGGTATTAAACAGCTGTATAACAATAATAATATAGTTAATTACCTGCCTTTATGGTAAAGATTCAACTACATTGTAGTTACTACAAGGGCTACCTATTCGCCGGTTGGCTATCTCCGCCTGGTTACTTGCCAAGCTATCGTGCTTCATTGGCTGAATATATGTTCGAATTGCGCTCTTAAAAATCCACTTCGAGAGTATCTTAGGATCTGTATTTGTATTAAGGAGAGAACATGTCTACAATAATAAAGGTAGAGTCTTGTGCCAGTTTAGGGGGTGTGTGCATTAGCATACTACCAGAACAAAGGATACTTTTAATATGTCTAACTACCTAGCTACTGACCTCTACAATCGCCTCACAAGACATATTATTTACTAGAGAATGGGATTGGCGGATTAAATTAATCTACCTATGTCCTTCCTAGTAGGTAGTTGATGTGCCGAATTGGTCTGACAATAAGAAAAACAACGCACAATGCTCATTTAGAAATCATTAATGAGAGGGCTGTGACCCTTTCAAGTCCAGCCGGGATCTAAGTAACTCGACATCTTTGGCCAACCGAGTCTGTCCAATGGATGTACATGACCTTATGTGTTAGTGTTCACTTTCTACCGCTATTTTTCTTACCCGATTGGATAAGCAACCCAAGGGCAGATTGCGCTGCTCGTTTACTAGCATCAGATGGCTTTGAGGATGACCCTGAATTGCCTTCAACCAGGGCCGTTAGGTAGGTTGTAGGCTTCGCGGGCTTTGGAAAACCTCCTAGTGCCTTTGATTTATTAAGACTGTTTACCATTATAGATATTTCAAAAGAAGTATCAAACTATGGCAAGGTAATGATAGAAATGGTGTTAATAAGGATGGCACTGGTGGAAGTGTTTAGCGAATAGAGAACCAATGACTACAGCTTACTTTGCAACACCGGTTTAAATAATATAGCGTTCCTATAGAGGCTCCTTAATAGTCAAGGTATCTTCAAGCGAGGCCCTAGCGATTGCTAGGAATTCACTACAGAATATGTGAGCCAGTAATTATACTGAATACCTCATAGGAACAATGAATTGTTCATAGAAACTACTTGTTTCCGATAGGATATTTCAATATAAAAAACCTGGTGTTTTCATTGTATCGCCTCGCATATTGCTGGAACAAGTCATTTGTTTCTGACATAGGCGTTGTAAACTCATGTTACCATAGCGAATATAGATATCGCAGGCTCCTACGTAACCATCCAATATAGCAATGAGTGATTAAATGATATAGTTAATTACGCCATACCATATCACAGATACACTCCTAAAAACCACTATGGATTCCAGGCCATGACCTCAACGGGTGGGAATTTCTCGTACCCCTTTCCGCTGACGAATGTATAATCCCAAGGTCCCTGCTTTCTGTCTTTTGCTAGTTTGAGAAACTCTTTAGCGTGGCCAATACCGCTCAAGTCACTGGTCACGTATGTACCATCAGCGTGCCTCTCGTCGAGATAATAAAATCTATAGAATCTCTTGTAAGTTATTTACTCGAGAGGTATCCGGTCGCATTCTGTCTCATTGTAATGGATTCACTTACTTATAGGGTTTGCTATCATACTCGGCCAGCGCCAAGTTCTGGATCATATGTGAGGTAGCACCTTTTTGAACTATAATGGAGTTAATAACGGCTCTTATTTAAATATTCCAAATAAATATATTTATATGACTTACTGGCAAAGCTCATGAAGCCCGGGAGAGCGATAGTGTTTAAACCATTACCCACAAATAGAAACGAGCCCCCGTCAGGGCCTAGACCATAAGGGCCAAGTTTTTCGAAGCTCCTAACCGCCTCCCGTGCTGCATAATAAGGGGAAGTGGTATTTATACTTAGGCCCCTTCGAAACTCTTCCAGTTCCATGTCAAATGGATTTTCTGGAGGGCTTGTGTGACCAGCGGCAGCTAGGAACATGTCAACATAGGGGGCGGGCTACGTCGGGGAAAGGGGCGACGGACAAATATAAATAACAACACTGGGCGCACCAAGGTCGGCGCTTACTTTCTCAAATAGAGTCGGCACTGTCTCTGGCTTCGAAGCATCAAATGCGTAGTACGGATACTTGGAATCTAACTTTTGGGTTCTAGATGCCACGGCAACTTGGTACCCGGCGGCTAAGAAGGTTTCGGCTGCGGCCTTACCGGTGTTGAGACCGGCCCCGATGATTAGAACGGTTGGCATGGTAAATGTGGAAAAAAATGTATAGCAAGTATAGAGTTGTATGAAGATAAGATTCTTGTGAAGTGAGCTTGTTGAAAAGAATTCATCGCGAAAGTTATATACCTTACTTACCGGCCAAATTAGTCGACTCATACGTCCGTGGCCGGCGGATCAGTATGTATAGGAGGTATGGATATGGATATGTAATTAGCGCCATGGCGACTTTGGCCGACCAAAGTGACATCTTACCTATGCGTTACAAATCTCACCACCCGGCGATATTGTATTTATCACGATAAAGACCGATGACATGAAATTGGCAAGATTTAAGTTTTTCATGTCCAATATATAATATACTTGGAGATCTTTGGGATATAATTTTTAACAACTTAGAAAGGGACAAAAAAAGCTACAATTATAAGTGAGGTTTGACTACATTAATACAGCTTAAACCAAGCTAGAAATGTAGGGTTTCATACTTTATCTAGTGAATCAAACTTACTATAAAGCAAACCTCCATACATTTTTAGATATTATTTAGCTATACGGTTTGGATTCACTTTAGACTGGCATATTTAAAGTACCTGATAACGTTCCATATGCTGTACCTAACTAGTACTAATGATGATTATCTAGCTTTATACATAGTGTGGTGGCCATCTATTAAATAAAGGGCATAGGGGCCAATTAATGGAAGTAGTGTATGATTGACCCTGATAAAGCCAGCAGTCTTCTTTTATAATTTGGGTATGCATAAAAAGACTCCCCAAGTGCGCTCCTTGGCAGGAATGGTGGCGATCCTGGTGTAAATGTTAGTTTTACAGCAGCGTTGAAAGGCATATCGTGCCGTTGATTCATACCAAAACTGCAGTGGTGTTGTTGTGCAGTGTCAATCCTTCAAGTTAACACTGCCCCATGCCGCTATACTACGCCTCACCGGTGTAGGGCCTCAAATGTTATAAGCAATCGACAAAGGGTTCAAGTATCTGATCCAAAACTAAGTTGAGTTATGTCTAACTACTGACCGATATATACCTAAGTTTGTTGAAAACGCCTCTATGCGTGCGCCCTAATCCAGTACTGATAACTCCGTGAACACATGATTCAACTTGCTACTTTCTTAGCGATGATGATACCTTCTCTGGTTTCTTCTTCGTAGAACACAATATCTTTGACTTCTATGCCTACCTCAGCTAGTAGTTGCTTCCAATGTGCCTCAGTTCTCGCTTCGGCGTTGAGCATTGCGAGCATGGTCAAGTCCAATTGTGTCTCATATCTGTGAGCACCACGATCTGGCAGTATAATTTCGTCGATGAGCAGCAATGAGTCTTGATCCATAGCATCTCGGACGTAGCTGAGGACCGACCGGGAGTATCTGTCCGGCCAGTCTTAACGTGAGGGGGACAAGTTTGTTAGCTGACGGTATACTATAAAAGGGGGGGCTATGTCGTAAGGGGCGGGCGGTTATGGACTTACTTCGTAGAACACTTCTGAAATAATACGATGCCGCACCTACGTCAGAATAGTTAGCCAAGCTATCCCATCTTCAAGGGGCAGTTTATGCTAATGATAACCTACCCTTAATGGGCTGGCCTTCGAGGAAGTTGATGCCCAGCTTTTCAATGCCAGGTTCGAGTTCTGCGTTGGCTACCACCTCTTCGAGATCCTCTAGGATGATTGTTCCTTTGAGGTTTGGTACTCGCTTCTTGAAAGCCTAGTCCTCGTATCAGTTCAATTCTAGTTGTCCACTAGGGATGAACTCACTTTGCATTGATGGCCAATACCGCCTCCAATATCCACGAAGGATACCCCTTTCTCTTCACCACCTTCCTTCCGGGAGGTCACTTTCTTGAACGCATCGGTGATTTCGTTTATGACCTCCGGGCGATCTAGCCATGTCCTCACGCCTGTCCGATGGGAGCCCATAAAGACGTTGAAATGCTTAGCATTTTCCGGGCGGGTTTTCAACCAGTCGAAGAAGGTGTCTTCCTCAGGGCTCACCCTATTCCCAAGCGCAAAGGCTGTCTCATTTTTTGCATCGGGAGGGTTGTATGCATGAAGCCGGAGAAAAGTAGGAAGATTGACCATGGAAACAAAGCAATTATCGACCCTAATTAAGGAAGAAGTCAATATTAGCTGCTTATTGTGGCGTTTGGGCTGCATAAATGAGAGCTCGAATAGCTTACATAGATGCGACCCCTGCACTCTGTCCGTTTCCTGATAGGTTGTTTCCAAAATGGCTTGCAGTCCAAAGTCCAGTATTAACTTCACGAATCATGCTCAGAGATGCCAGGTATCTCAAGATGCGAGCTAACAATTTCCTATCAGGATTTTTACCTGACTTCTCCGCAAGCTCCTCTGTTGTTAAGGGTATGGGTGATTCCTTGAGAATATTAAATATCTTGAGGTCTACAGCGATCCGAGCTGTAGGGGTTTCAAGAGCCTTTAGTCAACTTTGTTAGATGCTAGTAAAAAATGAGAGTAGTGTTACAGTTCACAAGGAATAAGTGAGCTCACGTTGTATAGAATCCGTTGGCAAGCTTCCTCGGGTGTTTCTAATTCGGGGACGAGTTTCTGAATCACCAGGAGGAGTCTCTTCCGAAGATGATCCTCCGATAGGACATCGGAGGTTATACTAGAGGGGTGAGAGGCTAACTTCTCAAGGAATACCACAGTTGACTCTAATGAAACCGTCATATTGAATGTGGATCTTTCTTCGGACTCAAGCTGTTGTCAGTGAAGATTTTATAGTCCGTGGCTACCTAACTAAAGGAGAAATGATGCAATCTCCACTTGTTGATGCTTTCCTGAACAGGTGTAGGTACCCTAAGTTTCTGGATGATAGATGAGTTCCAAGGGAGTTTTTATAAGACAGAGAAGATATATGAATTATGAATCTTGTTACTACACCATGTTTAATTCCTCGGCGCCGCTGATGGGTATACATGCCGACCGGAAGCTCGCGCCTATCGCACCGATACTTTGATAGAAACTGTCGGCACCGAGAGGATTTCAAAACGAGCTTGGCCGTGGTAAAAGCCGGGGTAATCCGTAAGCGTTCCATGGTTGAAGATTTCTTGGAAACGTTCCTAGCGGGTCAGTGGGGTTAGGGGAATAGGTAGACTGATCCATAATGACGAGAGATACGTATAGAGGAGCCTCATTACTCACTGTAGCCCTTTATGTTACCATGTATCTCGCAGTATTAAAAGCACATGTGACAACCTTAGCGAGTATGGTTACGTATGGTTAGATCAAGGTTGCATTCTCACTGCATAAAGGGTTGACGAGTTGGCTTACTCAGATGGTACCTAAATAATGCCAACTGGCTGGATATTGCGGCAGAGGATACGCCAGATTCAGTTGGAGGGTTCGCTTTGGCTACGATCATGGAGATCATTGTTAAAACGAAGATACCTACCTACCTGCCTAGGTACCTCTTATACATAATACGAATATGTATATCCATTGCTTATATTCTAACCTGTATTCTTAAACATAGGTAGGCTTCAGAATAAATGGAAGGTTCTCGTATGAAATAACCTGAGAGGATTACTTATAGTACTGTAGCTAGAGTGCACATATTCCAGGATAGATGCAGGTTGGTTTTGTTATAATAGATTTAGGCGCTCTGGTATGTACCTGCCCTCATACACTACTACATTCTCGCCTAGTTGAGACACTCCCCCCTATGCAGGCATTCCTTTTCTTTTCTGTTCTTTTATTTTTTTTCGAGAGAAGGATCTAACATCAACGTCCTGAATATAAGACAAATAAATGCATCGACTTGATGATAAAAATTCTTCAAGTATCTTCAACTTCATTACGTCTAAATAGCGGGGCGATATTGGATATTAAAATGTAAATAAATCTTTAAAAGCAATGGCGTCTTTGGCAAAACGTTCCTATCAAATATTCCTTTGCTACGGTTAGCACAATGTCATATGTTTATAGAATTAAAATAAAATAAACGATTTTAATACTCACAAGCATTAATGAGGTGTGCACAATCTATTTAATCTTAATTAAGCATAACTAGCCCAAATTATAATAAACAATGCTTAAAAAAGAACGTATTCCTTCTGGGGCTAACATTTAAGATCGTATTTCATTTTATGATCTCGTGGTTGAGACCCGAAATTCTCGTTCGGTAAATACCGTATGCATGACCGACGCCCTGTTCGCTTTTTCTCAAACGAATCAGTTCAACTACATGTATAGATGGTAATCCGTTCCGGTGAAATCCCGGTATGGGTGCTCGGTCCCGAAGAGTTGCGCTATCAGAAATTCTGCAGGATGACAACAGATAGGACTATAAGCCAATACTGATATTTCACGACCATACTAAATGCGCTTGGATCCTCTTGAAGATTAAAGCGGGAATGTAGCGCATATATGTGCCAAGAGTATCGCCAACCTGGTTGTACCTAGAATTTGACGAATAGTTGAACTATCCTGTGGTTACACGTTAAGTAGATACCTAGCTACCTATAAGGACACACCTTCAATCCGTGCTGCTTCATCATCATGTGAGAGTTGCTCTACCAGTCACCTTGACCTGTACATATTAAATGCTAAGCTCGTCATAAGATACAGTAGGTATTGGGATTCGAGTCCAATGCGGTCAACCTGCGAAGCCGGAATCACCTCCGCGGGAGAACTGTACGCCAGACATACTTGGTAAGTTTTAAAATATTATTGCTAGAAATTTTAACATCTTAGCATTGCTTCAACATGTCAATTAAATACTTATACATAGCAAGAACCGCCAACTGCTCCTTTTTAGCCATGATATATTACACATATAGAACGCCGTTACCAATATTAACTAGATACAAAAAAGAGACCTCGCTGATATTATCGTTATAACTTGGTGTCCCATATTACCACAAACTATCCACAAGAGTTTATATTTCACTACGGGCTTAACTGGCCCCAATCCGAGAAAGAATACACGATCATCACACTCAACGATTTATGGTGGTATTATATTAGACAGCATGCGTTATTGTGCCGGTGCTTATTACTGCTTATATCACGCGCCACGACGATCGAAGATCTCTGTAAGCAGTCGTAAAGACATGGTACGTTGACAGTCCCTCTCAAGCAGTCAGTACGGGACCGAGGGATAATGGGTCAAGAATGGTGATATATAATATCGAGGGCTTATAGAAACGCTTTCCACCGAACTTTGCATTCGGCTTATGGATCCCAAGCCAAGTATCATATCCTACTTCACTGTTATCAAACCAAAAAACGGTCTGACTCAGGTTTTTCCTTGGGCGCTGCTGGGCGCTGCAGGTGGTTCCATCTCCGTTATAAGAAGGAGTGTTCAACAGGTTTTCTCCTGATCAAGTCGGCTATCTGGCGCCGGCACTAACCAGGTAGAGTAATGCTATAGACAGGTAGGGCTGGGGATAGGAAGTGGAAGATCTCGAATGTCAGGCGAAACCATGGCTCTGTCCCCCCTTGAACGATGTACTCTAGACGTCTGATTAGCGCCATTGATGCGCTCGTTGTAGCTACATAGGTAGCTATAGCCCTAATAGACGTAAATATTACCATCACCATCATCATCATATTGAAGAAGACTTAGAAGTCTTGGTCTTGGATCAAGCCTTATTAGACCTGATATCAAGGACTTTTAGATGATGATGATATAATGAATGAAAAGGAAAAGGAATGACTTGTATTAAAAGTGGATAATACTATGTAAAATGGGTGTGTGCGACCATAAATGGTACTTATACTAAGAATATGATCACATGATCAGGGTCAAAGTCACCTGATACCCCAGCACCAGTTCAATATCCTACTTGCCGTCTCTAGAAAAGTTGCTACGCTTACCTACATCTTCATCACATTGCCCCCATTTTATTCAAACATTCATCATCATAACAGAAAAACCTCATCTATTCTTATATATCATGCGTAAATCTTACGTTCGCTATCAGCTCATCCAGTTCCTCCTCGTACGAATAGCGGGCTCTATTAAGCCCTGTAGGCTTAAGTTTCTCGTTTATGCTGTGCAGTGAGGCGTGGACTTCACTAAATAAAGGTATCAACTAATTACTGTTTGTTTAAGATAGCTACAGGGTGGTCAAGTAGCCTTGTAAGGCTGATGAACGAGGCTTGTGAATGCACTCTTTCAGGGGTTAGCCAATACCTAGCCTAGATACACAATAATCATTGATATTACACATGTCTTATTAGGGGATACTGATACAGTTCAACCATGCTTTTATCGTTCGAAATTGAAAGTTAGTAGATAATCGTTCAATTATTCTTGAATATCACAATTTCCTTACGCGGCGAGGATGCTAGCTCAGGAATCTACCTCATGTCTTCTTCTATAAAAACTAGGCCAGTTTCATTCAATATCAAGTAGAATAAGCTAGGACCTGATTGTATCACAATTTTGTATCGTTCATAACATGGAGTTAACTTCTATTATACTATCCCCATCGCAATTCATATGTCTATTTCGTAAATATAACTGTCCATGGCGCCAGTCCATAAGATCAATGCTGATACTTGTATTCTGGTACTCTATCTGAGAAGTCGATTGGTTCCGGAACTGCGCCCTCCCGAATCTGCCCCTTGAGTGACTCGCGACTATAGTAAATATGCCTCAGAACCCACCACAAACAGAATGAAATACATATCGCACCAAGGCTCCATGCATGACCTAGAGTAAAAGCCGGCGCCATCGTCTGTGGGTATATCTGACCCGAGATGATTCCACCTAGATTTCCTAAAGCCAAAGCAAGCCCAACTGAGGCAGCTCGCTTACCATCAGGTGCGGTATTAGTAGAGAGCCAAGCTACATTTGCACCACCCATGGTCCATGCGCAAGTTGCGATGAGGAAGCATGCAAAATACTTCACTCCGACAGAAAGGTGGTCACCGCCAAGAAGCATAGAATACCCTACCGCTCCAAGCGGTGCGCAAATGATACACGCTAGGAACCGTCGCGAGAAACGATCAGACAAGTATCCGCACACACCATAGACGATGGAGCCCCAAGCGAAGACAGGGATGCTGAGGTATTGAGATTGTTCGACACTGAAGTTGAAGCCAAACCGTAGAATAATTGGCAGGAAGACACTGAACCCGTATAATATTGTGAGGCACATGACCTGGATGATAGCATGTACCCAAGTCTTAACATCTTTGATGGCCATCATAAACTCGGTACGGGTATAGTGTCCTTGTCCTCCGCTGTAAGCTTCGGTGATTTCTGCTCTCTTTCGCATGACAGCTCGGTCGTCCTCGTTAAGGAAGTAGGCTGTAGTATAAGACGATGGGATTATGAAGTAGCAAACAGCAGCAACGGCGACGGTTACTGAGCCTTCGATGATATATAACCTGGTAAACCATCTTCAGTATAAGCCCACGCGTTTCATTTAATTAGGGCCTACCATCTCCATCCCGGATATCCAGCTGCTCCATTCATGAATAGAATGCCGTAAGCGATCAAACCACTGAAGGCACTTGAAATAGCCGCGGCGACTAGACACGCATATTAGCTCACACGCCGCGAACTAAAGGGCATATTTACTCTAGTAAAAACATGCTGAAAAGATAACTGATCCTTAATCCAATCTCATCTCTCTTATACCAATTTGCCAACATAAGGGTCAAGCTGGGCATCAAGAATCCTTCGAACATCCCCATCAACAAACGACACGCAACAAGATCCCCGAAATTCTTGGCGAAACCATTTCCCAAGCAGCAAAGTCCCCAGCACGCCGCAGCCGCCGGAATTACGCGATTGAAGCCCACCCGCTTCACGATCAGCGCAGCTGGGAACTCTGACAGAATATATAGCGGGTAAAAAAGCGATACGGCGGTATTAAGCTGCGTGCCCACGAGATTCAGGTCAGTAGTCATGCCCTGTGTCGCTGCAAATCCAATGTTACCCCTATCCAAGAAAGATATGAGTTGCAGTACGACGAGGATCGGGCAGACGTAAAGGTCGAGCTTTGCGACGACGCGCGCCTCACGCTTCTTGAAATCGGCATCCTCGGCATCCTCAGCAAGCGTTGCAGTTTCGACCTGTTGAGCCTGCGAATCAAGCTCCGGCTTCGCGGGAAGATCCTCGGACTCACAGTGGACAGTCATGGTGTTAAATCTCGATACATGAACTTGACGGAGAGCTGTCGACAGAGCTAAGCTTCGACAGAAAGGAAATACTTGGCTACCTATATACTGCATGCAAAATGATTCAAGCTACCCCGATGTCCCATCTGGCCTGGTCGGCAGTAAGTTTAATTCCACAGCCTGTCGGCATTTCCCCAATCCAACCTTTGCAGCGCGCCAAGGTTGTATATGCGACCCAATGTTTATACCCCTGACACTCGCCAAAAGAGACAATTTTAACATTTTGAAAACCTACGTGTATATGATAAGCCGTACGTACCGATGTGCTCTATCCAGTCTTGCCAAATCCTTTCAAGTCAACATGATACTATCTTATTAGGTACCTGGTTTACATAGATAAATCATATTATTTATCGCCAAGGGGTAGCAATACGGCGTCGTCTTTAATTCATGAGGCATCAAGCCTGCTTTGTCACGATCCCGACCCCGCAAACAAGATTAACATCAAAGCGAGTACCTTTTATTAAGCCGCTTCTCAGCGCTATCAATTCTCGCGATACTTTACTAAACTAAAGCCCAGTCCAGCAGTGCAGACCGATTACCCCAAGTCACCATCCTCAATTCATGTGGCTGATATCAAAAACACCAGGCCCCCTTTATAGGTTTTTAGTAAATTTGTACAAACCTCTCCCATCTAGCTTTAGATCATGATGGAGCAGTATCATTTGGTTAATTATATCAGTCCATATTTCACCATCCTTGGTTGGTTGTAGGTCATTGAATGCAGATGCAACTTCATTGAGTACTTGTTCAGTATGAGATAACTCAATTACAAGATTCCGCATAGACTGTAGAGCGCGTTCGTGTTTTGCCTCTTCAACAGTCCTTGCGTTTCTGTTCTTTTCCGGAGGCGGATAAGAAGCATGCGAAGTTCGTGGGGTTCGCGAACCCGGATACGAAGTCTCGCTCATGTACGTCGAATCCTCAAAAGTTGCATTTTTCAGATTATCTCTATGGAACTTCTGTTGAGGCATCTTTAGGAAGGGATGGTTTGTCTGTTCAAACTTGGAATCCTCCGATTTTATACTTGGATCAATCGAATATCGCCTATATTTAAATACATTATGTTCGGACTCGGTTGAGCTTGACCTAGGAGAATTAGATATTAGCTATTTCGGTGATGTGAATATAAACTGAAATGTATAACCAACTGACTTTATATCAGGTTCAAATAATCCATCGATTTCCATTTTATCGGCGGTTCTCTTCAGTTTTCTCATAGCCTTTGCCTTGATCAAGTGGTACACACTCTCTCCATACTTATTTCTTATATCATTATACCCGTGAAGATCAAGCTGGAAAAGCAACGGCTCGATATCGACGTCTTTGAAATCGGGGCCGACAGCCTTCAAGAATTCTATGAAGATTCTATTCTGGTAATTATCCCATGAGAACCGTAGACTAGAAACCAATTCTATGGCTTTAGTAGTTTCCCACACGAGGGAACTAGGTGTACGAGTTGAAGCAACATCCGTTTTCCCGGAATAGGAGATATTGGCGTATCTCGAGGACATGGTTACAAAAAGAATTTTGTCAGTGCTTTAAATGGAAGTATACGGTTTCGGTAAATATGATGCGATGAATTTTATGAATCTCCTGATGTTGGAAGATTGGGGAGCGCAAACTATTTTATACATAAACCATCCATAGAGTAAGACTAGGCCCGAACAGACGACCTGCACAGGGAATTATAGAATAAATGAGATGGTCAATCTATATCAGAGGTTCTTGGAGTTGGTTCTGGAACTGATATCGACAAAATGTTTAAGACTCTTCTTGGTGGCAAGGCATAGGAACAAGCCATCAAATAAGTGGTTGAATATATTTAGTTCTAGGCTAACTATGCTAGAAACTAATATTCTTCTAAAAAGACGATAAGTTTTGAGAAAAGAGTAAAGTAGTTGCCTCTTGAACGAGATACATTTGAAAGACTACTACCAAATCGAACTTACATGACAATAACCAGTATAGCTTCTTATGGAGATAGATTAGCCTGATAAATGCATATAAGTGTTTAGAAGACCGAGTAATCCGTAAAGATGGCCAATCAAAGAAGTAAGACTGAGATCCGATTAATGAATCTTACGGAGGACTGTGCGGTAAGAGAACGAGTAAAAGAACGAATGAGAATAACAAAGTCTAGAATAAATGCTCCACATCAATTTTATTCCCCATGTGTCGGTTTTCTTTCAGCTTTCTTAGAAGTTCAAGTTACAACTACAATGACAATTCAAGGCTACTATTGGCTGTTATTCAAAGATCTAAACCCTTAGGTACCTAAGAATACCTAGGATATCAAACCCCATATGGCACCCCGCGCAATCAAGTCTAAGGTAAAATCGGGTTGTCAAACCTGCAAGTGAGTTAGTTTCCGATGTAGCCATGGTTATGTTGTTTAGCCGCGTTGTTAACTCTACCAAAGAACCCGAAAGGTCAAATGCGACGAAGGCAAGCCCGTATGTTTCCGATGTTATTCCACAGGTCGCGTCTGCGAAGGCTACGGAGTATGGGGCGGAGGTGGTAATGATTACGGCCGCCGTCCCATCGGCTCCAGTCGCAAAAGCCTAACGTGTTTCTACACGCCAACGCTGGTGGAAACGGTGAGCAACGAGGAGACCAGATATCTCGAGTGGTTTACATACCGAAGTGTCTTGAAGCTTCCCGGGGTTTTTAGTTTTCAATTTTGGGACAGGCTCGTATTCCAAGCCGCTTCGAGCGAGCCAGCCGTTTTACATGCCATTCTCGCCCTGAGCTCAGCCCACAGGAAAGAAGGACTTTGTTTCGATACCTCGCCAGATGTCGCTCCGGATAAGCAGGAACATTTTACATTGGAACACTATACCAAAGCAATAGCCCATCTCCAGCCGCATTTTACTTCTAGAAGTAACCGGTCAATCCGTGTTGCACTTATCACATGTCTGATGTTTGTTACAATGGAATATCTCCGAGGTCATTTAAAGACTGGCTACGATCATCTCCAAAACGGGTTGAAACTTCTGAACGAGTTCCAGGCCCGCTCAAGCGCCATAGATAAATACAGTCTATTCCGGGAACCGTGTTGCGATTCGGCGGATGCCTGGATCATCCAAGCCTTCATTAGGCTTGACGTGCAGGCAAAGTTTCAGTGTCAAGGGTCGCAGTTCTTGAACATTACCCAGGAGGATTGTTCGTCAAATATTCCGGCCACCCCGCTGATATTCCAATCCGCCAATCAAGCAAGACAGCATCTTGACCGAATACTCAGCCAGATATTCTACCTGAACTATGAATGCCGTCACCAAGTACAGCCGTTAGATAATTTAGACCATCGGAGTCTCCCTTCTAGGCAGCGGCGTCTCCAAGCCAAACTTGATTCGTGGTACGACGCATTTAAAGCATCTAGAGCAAGCCTCGTAACCAGCAAGATCACACACAGCACCATAGCCTATATAATATTACGAATATATTACATGATCGCCGAGATCATGATCGATACTTGTCTCCGGCCAGAAGACCAGATGAGATATGATGCTCATACGAAATCGTTTAAGACCATTCTGGACCAGCTCAACTACATACGGAGTCTTTCGCTTTCCCCACAACTAGCCACAGTAATTCATTTTTCGGATACGTCCAGCTCGATAACCGATCTGGGTGCTATCCCCGCGCTTTATTATATAGCTCTCAAATGTCGGGTACACGCTATTAGACACGATACCCTTGTTTTCTTACGTTCGATAACCCATAAAGAAGGGATCTGGAGTTCGCACCTAGCAGCACGAATGATTGAAGAAGTGATAAATATTGAAGAGGGTGACTTCCACGCTCATTCTAATAATACGGTCAAAGCAGTACTTCCCGAGTCGCGTCGACTACACGATATTGAAGTACAGCTACCTGATGGCTATGAAGGAACAGCCATGTTGCAGTGTAAACGGAGATTCGACGACTCTAACTGGGAGGTGATTACTAGAGAACTCGCATACGATATGAAGACTGGAAGTTGGGTAAGTAAACCGGGGAGAACATGAAATTCGATTGCTGGCCAATGAGAATATTTATTCTTCATTCAACCGGGATAGATGCGAGCTTGATGGGACTTGTGATTTGTCCTATCAGTGCGACCCAAAGCTCCAAGCCAGCTTATATTCATGCTTCCGTTTATGCGCCTCTCAATATGCGCCTCTCAACTGTATAAAAACCAAGTACCCTAATCTGCATTATTATCATAACTTTCCCGCATGGCAACTCTCCGCCTACTCTACTGTCTTGGTTGAAGAGATCTACCCCTCATTCTTCGAGCAAGCTTGCTTCTGAATACAAACAGCTTTCGTAGCAACTACGATTAATTCGACCTCAGCTGGCCCAGGTTAACTTCACTACGACATCATCATAGATATCATCATAGATATCATCATACTTGCCTATTTCTACACATTCCTAATTGATAAGTGACAATGCCACAACCCATGGACACGGTCTAGTTCTAGACCGTGACCATGGCAGTTGTCCGGAATTGGCTGACCCCGGGCCTCTTCCGTTCCATTGCGGGCGGTACACAGCCTTTGCCCCCGGCACACTCGGCAGGCAACCTATGTAGGAAGCTTGTAAATTACCCCTGCCGCACATCACTCTAACTTGGTAGCCAATTAAGGACAATCACCCGACAAGCCATCATTTATTCTGACATTACCTTAATACAAACAGTTATTATAGCCTTATTATGGATCGGTTTGTAAGCGCACAAATACATGCGCCATACGCCGAGAGGGGTAATACGCAAGATTGAGTTGACAGGTTGACAGGATCTCACCGCTCCCGAGGGCACGGGAGGCTATTGCCGGTACGAAATCAAGGAAGATTGTTACCGTGATCGTGGGATTTGACCCATGTGAAATGGCGCCAGTCCCAAGCGAATGCCCGACGTACTGCCATGCCATCAAGTGATATATTAGGTCCACTTGATTAGCAATTGCTTACGCGGTTATATTGTGAGAGTATTAACGTCAGCTTTGGATGTGAATGTATGTCTTGCGGCAACACAATGGGGCAGTTTTTCTATTTCGAGTAAGTCCTTGGCAGCTGTCACGATCTAGAACGGACCCCATCTAAGTATATATGAGCGCATGGATAACTTGATTATTCATTAATGGGCCTCCTCTCCTCACATTCTAGTTAATATCTATTACTATCGATACAGCAACTATGAAGTTCACAGTTTATACGGCTTTCTGCGCTCTAGTCGCCACCACCGCAGCTCTCCCGCAAGACATCTCCGGCTCGGGGCAGATTTACGTCATTAACAGCACCGACTTTCAGAATGCCTCGCCCGCCGATAGCATCGGGTGTCTAAACGCGCAGGGCGGCTTTTCCGAGTCGGACTGTGCGACCTTTACTAGGCTCGACACTTATCCCAACACACTCTCTACCAGTTCCGGCAACTGCACGTTCAGTGACTCTACGCAGCCGGCCAACACCGACAGCGTGTACGGCTCGAGGTCATACTCCTACTTTTGTCGGGAAGATTACGCATCTTCAGTTACAGATTCTCTATATACCATCAATGTTCGTTATGCTCCTCCTATACTAGACGCTTAACAAGGGCCAAGGCACTGACGTTGCTAGGGATTCAACTACGCGTTCCTGTGCCACGGGGATAGGAACTGCTTCTATGATGTTAAGACTATCCCCAGTGATAGTACCATCGCACCTGTCTGGGAGTATGTATGGGGATCTCAGCAGACGGGGATTCCCGAGGGACATACCCAAGTGATGTGGTACTGGAATAAAAACTCCTAGTCCGGCGTCAGTGCTACGTCGGGCAGAACTGATGGGTAGCCAAGATTACGGGGCCTGCATTATGCAGCTATCCGGGATATCTAATGCGGAGTCAAGTTAGGAATTGAATTCTTTCTTTCTTTCTTTCTTTCTTGAGGTGGTATTAAGTTGGTAAAAGCGTGTGTTTAATGGCCTGGTATTCCTGTGTAACAGCGAATTGTTGTTACAAGCTCCTTAGTCGTATTCTATCTTGGCGTGAGACTACATTCACTTTATAACTCAACACTCCGTACCTTAAGAAAGAGGCTCGATAATGATAGCTAAAGTATATTGACTTAGAAGGTACCTAATTCAAAATATCGACCTACATTCTACCTTAGGTACGTAATCCAAGCTTGTTGAAAAAGAGGGACCAGAAGAGGGGGTTGTAAGACAATAAAAGCAGTAATATAACAACCAGGTTTAGAGGTAGTTAAAGGTTTAAGAAAGCATTAACCTAACCTAGTTATGTCATTTACCTAACTGGGATGGTGTTTTCTTAGAATAGGTACCAGGTACATACCTATTCGATTCTCTAGTAACGGCTTGTAGTTAGGACTCCCGAGTTGATTCGTTACCCCTGCCTTAGATATCTGCTCCCCCGTATTCCAGCAAGGGGCTAGCTATCACTTACACTATGTCGGCATTATCATGGATATAAAGCGTAATTTACTGCTAGCACACTTGGGGATAAGAGTTCAATGCTCATATTATTAACCCTCACTTAACCAGTTAATAAACACCTCACTCTCAGTTCACTCACTCAGCTCCCCCCTTGGCACCCTAAAAATCGGATACTCATCTCCCACCTGCACCGGGACAAGATTAAACCGCACATACGAATCAACGTTCTCCGGCTCGAGCGCAACGAACGCTAGCGCGGCATTTTTCTGCCGGCTACTGACCCGGAAGCTTCCCGGCGGAAGCACAAGCACCTCTTTCTGCACGGGCTTCGTCGTCACTGTGACTTGCACCGCGCCCTCGTAGTACCCCCTTGCGACCGATGCTGATGTGATTGTGAGCGCTTCGGCTGGGCCGCGATATCCGTCTTTGAGGGTCTCGACGACGACCCCGGAGTCGCGAAGGCGGGATGCTAGTTCGGACCATGTTCGTGGGATGAGGTATGCTTCGGGGCGGGTACGTGTTTGGTTTGCGGTTGTGGGTGTCGTGCTGAGGAAGGTCACGGGGACTTGCGTAAGCTGCCCGTCGGTACGGTTGATGAAGGTAATGTTGCGGTTCGTCGGGTTGGGGTAGTCTGTTAGTACGATAGGATCATCACTGTGGATGAACTTGTCTATAGCACCCTCGACCTATTAACATTAGGTACCTAGTTAATATTGAGCCTACCTCGATTTGCCTCGATTTGCCTTGATTTGCCTCTGAATACACATCAACTTTAGCGATCAAGAGAAAAGAGACTTACCGTCCGATACACCTCCTCAAAATTCTCCACCGCAATATCCAATATCCCCCCAACCATACTCAGCGCCGTAGAAACTCTCCTCTGAAAATGCTGATCCGCAAGCCTAATCCCCCTAACTTCACACAGAATCGTCACGCTCTGCGTCAGTGCATAATTATTCCTCCCGCTCTTCGCATCGCTCCCCGCCTCATCGAGCACGATATCCGATCCCGTAGACGCTCCCGTGAAATACGGTTCCCATCGGAACCCCTTCTGCACCAGACGCTGCCCGACACCTGCCGAGAAGAGCACCTCCGAGATGTTCCGGATGTCGGGGTGAGTGTTGAGGTTCTTGCCCGCGGCGATGAGCGCGTCCATCCCGTGCTTATATATCCCGCCGCTGCCGGAGGGCTGGGTCCCTGTGAACTCGTGCATGTCGACTGTGATGTGCGGCGCGAAGGAACTAAGGAGACGCTTATGGCCTCTGGATATTTCTCGGAAGAGCTTCGTATGCTCGCGGTTCGGATCTAAGTTGCTTGCCAGGGCGCGTTGGAAGTATGCGACTCCGTCCGGGTTATACCGGGGCAGCAACGTGATATCCAAACGCTCGAGAAGTCGTTCCCTCCAGTTGTAATTTGCATCCAGCTTGCCTAGCAGCGCAAGCACTGCCTGGTCTCCCGCGGGCTCATTTCCATGCACGCCTCCCTGGATCCAGACGCGGAGTTTTGGCTCCTTGGTTCTTTTCGAGGATGGGCTTGACAGAACGACGTAGGGGAACGCGCGTCCCTCCTCGGAGGTGAAATCTGCAACCTTATATTGCACCCAGTCATTCCGCTCCGCTATTGAGCGCAGAAATATGTCTGGGTTACTTCGTCAGTATAATGGTTAAATGGGAAATATTTGGACGCCTATAAAGACTTCTGTTCATCGTGTACATACCAAGTGTCGCATCATCGGTCGGGCCATCCGTACCATTAGTGAACCCCGGCAAGATGCTCCCTAGGTCCGTAAACGCCGGTGAGAACAGCGTCTCATTGGTGTTAGGGAAGTTTGCTGCTACAAGCTCCTCATCTTTCTCGACTGGGGCGTGGTTCTCGCCATAGCTAACTGCGGCAACAAAAGGACTACATAAAAACAAGAGCGTCTGGAATAGCGTCCAGCGCTCGAGCGCCAAGGGACTCATCTTAGAAGGGCGCTTACAGTGCTTAAGAAGGTAGCATACGAGCCTCTCTTTCATACCAATAGGTAGATAATCAAGGGTAGTTAGCAAGCCTACACCTTTAAAATTATTATCTCAACTAACCTAGGTACCTTAGGTAGGTAGTTATAATATTTCAAAAAGCGAATGCTATTTCATATGCAGGTGCACGACCACTCGGACATGGTTACAATTTAGCATAGCGTAGATGAAAAGACATCCGATAAGGCAGTATCCATTGACGTATAATGGCGATGCCAAGAGAACGTAGTAATTATCCTGGCTCGGTGAGGCAGGTCAAGTGTTCTCATGTGGGGGATGAGAGGGGAGCCTCTAAAGCGTAACCACAATTAGTGACGAAAGCTTTGCGAGAAATACCATCTAGAGAATCATGTTGCTTAGAAACCTATTGTTCTCTGGTCCTTATTTTCAGCACTCGTAGAGATAGCCCCAAATGGAAATCTAGCTAAGTTAATAGAGGTCGACTTGCTAACATTAAATACTAAAACGAGACCCTATCCTCACTTGCTGCTAAACTCCTCCTATGCATTCATCATTGCCATAAGCAATAAGCAAGTGTCAACCCGTGCTTCATCAACCATGCTTCGTTTCCCTGAACCTCATTCATATTATCACTGCCATCATCATACATTATCGTCAATCTGTCATATCACATCCGCAGCATGAATGTCATTCACACAATACCTCGCACTTACGTAACACACCTGGGAGGCAGCAAGGTCCATCGTGAACCTTGCTACTGCATTGACTTTTTGTTATGTAAACCACACCCCTTTCCACGCCGATACCTCTATGTGGATAGACACTTCCCTAAGACCGTAGAAAGAACGGAAACAAAACAAAAAACCGCAGAAGCAGAACCCCTTAAAATGCTCCCAGAGATGCAAAGGCTTCTCTCTTTCCTTCTATAAAAGCAGAAGAAACAAATGTGATATTTTCATCATTTCCATAAACCTCGTATACGGCTCTTCGTTGGACTCCGACGGGCTGGTATTCGCCCATATAAACCATTTATGTACTTTAGTATCTATATCTAAGTCATCGATAGATGAGGCGATACTATATGCTTTATTTCTGCTTCCCCTCACTCGGCGGCCGGCTTCTCTTTGGCCTTCCTGACCCGGACACTGATGAGGAAGATGAGGAAACGCTTCCGGTGCGCGTGCCGTTAGACTCCGGCGGCGAGATCCTCCTTGCAGATCGAGTAAACTCATCCGTAGTGCTTCCAATATTTTCTTTATTTGATATCATCCCTTCGCTCCGGGAACCAATTGAGAGAGCGCTGAGACTAGGCCGCGGTGCATACAGGCCTGAGTTTCTTGGTAATCTGCTCTTTCCACCGGAAGAACCACCACCAGATTGAATATCGCTCAGTCTACGAGGAGAACTGATAGGAATACCCGAGATACCGTCTTTGCTTCTAGGGCGGTATGCAACAGGATCCCGTTCTTGAGCCAGTGATACACCTGAGCGCTTAGGACTCGATGCTACTTCGATAAATGCGCCGGATTGGGACTGACGAGACGCATGTGTTGGTGTAAGGGGTACTGGAGATGCGGAATGGAGGGATGGAGGCGTATATATGCGTCTCCCAGACCGTACACGATTTGACCCGGTTGATGCCGTTGAAGCAGATAGGGGCGGGACGAGTTGATCCGAATTAGGATCTATATGGGAAACTACAAGATCGGATGCTAGGTTTCGCACAAGCACGGCAGAGTCCTTCTCGGCCAGGATTTTGATTGAGTCAAGTAAGTGTCGAAGCTGCTTATCTTTCAGATTCGTAAAGTAATCGGTTTCTCGTGCTTCTAGTATATTTCGAACAAGACGAAGAAGATTTAGGCGTACGACGGCCTTCTTCTGCGAGAGTTTCTGTTCAATTCCCGCATACATTTCCGATTTGCCCAAGGACGCGGCTAAAGATGGTGATAATCGGAGGAGCTTTAATAGGGGCTCTAAAAGGTTGGGATCAAACGCATTCGTCTTTTGGGTATTGAAGCAAGATAGGATTGCCTCGGGAAATTGGCAGTTCAGGAGATGGCTCTCGACTTTTGCCGTCTCCTCTTGCAACCTTTGAACTCGTTAGTACATTCCCAACATTCGCTAAAATCTGAGAGTTGCCTACCAAGCATAAATAGCATCTAATGCCGTGACCTGCCAGTACTGATCCGATATGAGCGAGACATAGAAGTCAAGGCCTTTATTTTGCCATAAGAATCGCCGCCCCTTACTTCCCGAATGGGCCATATCGCATAGGATCGGTAATGCAAATTCCTTTGGAGGCCGATCTGTTTTCATAATCTTTAATAATAAGGGGATTATTCCATTTACAGCAGCGTATTCTTGACGGTCCTTGCTTAAGCGACAGAGATTGAACATCGTATTGAGCACTTGATTAGAGATCTCGCGGAAATGGGGATGTCCTCTTTTCATACTACTACTGAGCAACTCAATGAGAAAATCAATGGCGTCCGCGGAATGGAGAGCATCGAGGGTTGTTGAGAGCATAGATAGGTTCTTAATGAACTTTAGCATCGTAATTTGATGTGCAGGTGTCATGCGTCGAAGATCCTTCAGAACACCTAGTTGTGTGTCAGCGTAAACTACCAGCACTAACTCGGAAAGGCTTACTCTTCAACACTTGTCGGTCAGCCACCATCTCTTTGACAAAGTTTTCGGCTTGGGAGAACAAGTAGAATATGTTGACGATACGTCCTTCGATTAGTTCCGCCAATTCGTTCTCGACGTCTTCGTCAAGAACGCGGTGAAGTACAAGGGCAAGCGGGTCGAGGATTTTGCTTCTCGAGAATATTCGGCAAAAGTCGTTTTTCGGAGTAGGTCCCTAGTAAAAGCGTCAATAGAAAGTATATATAACATGGTCGATGGTAACAAACTTGAAGCTCGAAGACGTTCCAAACACCATTCACACCAATAAGCACCAAGTCTCTCGCGCTATCATAATCCTCATCTAAGAATTCGACGAGGACGTTGAGACCACCAGCGCTGACAAACATCTGCAGTGTAAGGGTGGATGTTTGATACATCTGTCTTACAAAAGCCGCAGCTTCTAACCGAATCTCGTTCGAGTATTGCCGAGCTGCAAACTTGGTGATAATCGGGATCCCGCCAACAAAACATAGGTTCTCCTGCAGTTCTACGTCATCCAGGATAATCTAGCAAATGGTCAGTTAAAGGAAACGTTGCACATAAATCCTGGTCGTACGCACTGTATTGACAACTTGCAATAATTGTAGGATCAATTGCTGTCTGCTCTTCATGGTACCCAGGTCGAGAATCTCAAGAATTGGTAGTAATCCATGAGCGCTGATAATTAGGGTTTTAACTTCAGTATTTTCCCAAAGTAATCCCAGCTGGAGTTGGTTGTTAGTGCTGTAGCTATAGATCAAAGGAAAAGATACTGTCAGATACTAACCAGATCCTCTGAAAGTTCGAGTAACTTGTCCTCGCCCTCGGTCGTTTTGAGAGAGCGGACAAGTTCTTCGATCTTCTCAGCAAGTCTAGCGTGGCGGTCACGCGCGATATTAGCTTCCAAGTCCATTTCATCCCAGTCTGGATCCATAGACGCGAATGGATCGTCCTCGTCCTCGTCATCACCTAACCAAGAGTTGTTAGAAAGTCGGGACAACACCATAAGATTCCCGTCCTCGGAACCTCGGTCACTTTCCTCCTTCTCGGTCAAGTTATCAGCAAGGCCAAATATATCAGAGAAGTCTTCGTCTTCTTCGTCCTCCGCAAACTTTTGGATTTCAATAGATGATTTAGACCTTTGAAACGGTCTGTCGGGAAGAGCCGAAGGTCGCGCTGAAGCTGGTCTCCTTATGCTAGTCACGGGCGACTGCATGGACCGCGGCAAACTGGTGAGATCCGAGGGGTGAAATAATTGGGGGGCATCAGGCTGCAAGCTTGGTGAGCGACGGGGTAGAATGGGGGGACTATGGCTGAATAAATATACGTACCTTCTTGGATAGGCCCAATCGTTGGTTGAAGACACTTTCGTTGTCGTCAAAGATATCTGAATAGTCCTCTGTCGTCTGTTCCCTGTATAATAAATCGGGCCGGGAAGGTAATTCGAATTTATTACTGAGTTGACTTTTTGTTTGAGACTTTTGCCTCTGATGACTACTTCCTGTTCGCTTGCGAGGGGATGCTTTCGGTGGCTGCGGTTTTTGTTCCGCTATCTTCTCAATCTTCTCTGGGAACTTCCAATTGGGACGAATTGTCCTCTCCTGTGGATCCTCTTCTTGAACTGATTGTAGCTTATGTATCGTTGTTAGAAGGTCCCCATCAAAATCGTTCTCCCAGGTGGTAGAAAAATCGCGCGAGTTGTCAATAGACGCAAAAGCTTTCAGACGGTCAGCCGAAAGCATACCACCGAAGTGATCCTGAGGCTTGACATGAGGGAGTCTTAGGGCACTGGGTGAAATTGCAGTTGCAAAATCGTCATCCCAGTTATCGTCATCTGAAGAAAGTGTAAGTTACCAAGTGGCCTAGTTAATAGATTTACCGAACTATGCACAAATACGTACCCGCAAGTTCAGGAGAACGGAAGTCCTCGGCAGTGGGTCTTGGTTTTAATGCAAAGGGTGCCTTTGCTGGAGTGGGTACATTAGATCTAGGCTGCTCTTGGGATGAGAATCGTGAAGTTTGAAGACCGTGGTGAAAAGGGAATGCCGAATCGGACCCTGCTGAAACTCTAAGATTGGTTTCGGAAGAGGTGAGTGCTTTATTCCACTGCTTGACCTCTTCGACGGCTTGACTGAAATTTCCTGGGGCTTTGGCTACAGGCGCATCACTCCGTCGACAGCCTACAATCCAGTTGTGCTTCAGTAGTTTCCTTGCGGAAACACGTAGGTTGGGATCTTTCTGGAAGCATTGAATTAGAAAATCACGCGCAGCCTAATCCACAGTCAGTCTCAACTCTTAGGAACACAAGGCCAACACCGTGGCAGGACTACAGACCGAAGATACGCCCTCGGGAAGTGGCGGATGGTCATCGTTAACAATAGCAAACAGAGCAGGCATAGCTTGTAGATGGTGATACGGAGGTTTACCAGATAATAGCTCGATAACGGTGCATCCCAAGCTCCAGATATCAGAGGCCGGCGTGGCACCGGATAGCTCAATTATCTCAGGAGCCATCCAGTATGGCGTTCCCACTACTTGAGCTTCTTTATCAGGTCCAGCGACTGTGCTGGTAGACACACCGAAATCTGCGAGCTTTACTTTACCATCCTTGGTTGTCAGGATGTTGGCTCCCTTGATATCCCTATGTATCACACCTTGATCATGTAGATACTGAAGACCTTGGAGAACCTGGGTCATATAAACCCCAACTAGATTCTCCGGGAATTTCCCATACGCCTTGCATATCGAATGTAAAGATCCATTTTCGCAATACCTGGCATCGGTCAGCATCCGAAACACCACCCTACCGGATCCAGGGAGGTGACCTACTCTAATATAATATTGAGACAGTCCGTGGATTTGACAAACCCAATATACTTGACAATATTGTCATGCTAGAAGTTGTTAGAGTACAGAGTAGAGTCATAATCTTACCGTCAGAAAATAGGGGTCACTTACGTTTAAGTTTTTCAAGAGGTCGATTTCAGCCTACATCACATCAGCTCAGCCCGGCCCCTATTAAGTAAATATTGCTATGATACTGACATACCTCGATCATTCGGAGCTCGCTCTTTGGCAAATTCACCAATTTGATTTGCTTAACAGCAACAGCTTCACCAGTACCCCAATGGATTGCCTTGTATACAGAGCCGAATGCTCCCTTGCCTAGACATTCTCCTAGTCGCTATAACGAACCCAGTCAGCCTAATGTAAAGTACGTGCAACCCTACTCTTGAGGTATAGACGATGCACGTACGTAGTCTCTCAACCCCGGATCTTGCAAAGCTGCATCGCGCCTGCTAGCCTCCTTTCTCGGAGTATTGGGAGTCCTATCATGCCTGCTTGCTATTACGGCGGCCTTTCCGTTTGCAGGACTGTAACGTCGGTCGCTCGAGGAGGAACCATTGGAGGGGTGAGGGGCGTGTCCGGAGCTAGGCGCCATGACCAAGCGGTCTACACGTTATTCCCCTCTAGTTGACGTAAAAAGAACCGTCTGTCGAGATCTATAGAGAGAGAAATGTGTTAAGAAGTGGCACACGTCGTCGGCGGTGCAGACCCAAGTTACTTTTCACATTCCAGCTAAACACTATGCTCTTCCACCAACATTAGGATGATATACTCTCGAAGCACGGACCAGTCGATCGTTGGGCAAGTATCGGACTCGGCAGCAGTCGAACTATTATTTACTTAAAAGGGAGAGGGCGGTTGGATCAGGTCAGGTCAGGTTGGACTAGACCAGGTCGAGGTCGGGGGTTAACTAGGGCTGAGAAGCTTCGTTGCCATAAAATTCCCCAAAATTTTGGATTCCCAATGTGGGGGAGAAAGAGAAGTGCATGTGTTGTATTTGTGGTATTTGTGCGGGAAAGAATTTAGGCGCCCAATGATAGCTTCAGGTTACTTTTCCTTGCTGTTCCTGGAATGTTTCAAGAGGATCCAGCTTAATTGGCTAAGCACTTTATAGAGTAGTTCGACATCGGTCTAGTACCGATTCGGTACTGGTTTAATACTGGTTTAGTACTGGCTTAGTACTGGTTTGGTGCTAATAAATTGATTGTTGTGCCTTCCGGGATAAGGTGCATTCAGGCACAGCTGGAAGAGCCACTTTACTGGTTCGGCGGGGAATTAGAACAAGCGGCTACTGCAGGTTGCCATGAGACAAAAAGCCCCAGTAACGAAATAGGTTAACGCCAACTCGGCTACTAACCCCGTGTGGTATCAACTAACCTACCTGTATCAACCAACTACCTTGACATCTAAGTAGGACTGTTAGTAGGAAAAGTGTGTAATACCAAATAGAGAACATGACACACATAGACACGTACCTAAGGTATGTATAAGCTTTACAGCTCATAGAAAAGCATTGAATTCTCTAATCAAGTGTACAATGCTGTAAAAGATAAGACAGCTCTCATAATTCTTGGGCTACGTATAAGCTGCCACGATCAAACCCTTACTCCCATATCGTAATAAGCTTAGTTACAACCTGTAGCTTCTTCGTCCCCCCTGCTTCCTTTCCTTGGTCTCGATGGACACATAACACCCTTCATACAAGTATAATACAACGCCAACCATATAACTTCAGGCTTGCTCTGCTTAAGCAAAGTCCATCAATGTCCACACGCCATGACGCATATCCTTTTATTTTCCTGCAACGCCAAAGTCCAGGCCAAAGATAAAAACATAATGCAAACCTTTAAACCCCTATTTTCTCTTGTCCCCTTCACGGGCTGGGATCGTACATCGTTCTAGGAAATCCCTAATATCCCTCTGTTCTTTTCAAAATTCAAAGGGGCCATCCCAACGACATTGAACGGCTGAGGCCAGCTTGTTCCCACCATTCGTCAGGGATATCCTGTCTAGATGCAAGCCCGCTGACAATCCGATGCATACCAGAAAGCCATTCGGGATCGTCAGATGAAAGCCCTGTGCCAGAGAATGTGTCAGCAGCAACTGCTGCATATGATCGTCTACCATGAGGTGTCGGCCGCCTAGAACGGTCCGTGCCTTGGACATCAGCACCACTATCTTCAGCGGTGGGTTCTGGCTCTCCGACAGGGTCGCAAGGGGGTTCAACCTCTTCGGTCGGACTAGTAATAGAGGTGCGAGATGAAGGAACAGTAGGATTCAGAGACGCTATAGTCGAAGCTGTAGTAGAAGCAAACGAGGAACCAACACTAGGTGGGTGAGGGTCGACGGTTAAAGTCGACTGTAGGATAGACCAAACCCCATCCCCCTCCGGGCTTAAACTGCGGTCTCGATCGCCCAATCCATCGACATACCTAACTCGATTTGCTCGACGTTGATCGACACCAGATCGGCGTCGACGGTCGCTCATCTCTCGCAATGCCGTATGAATGTGATGATCCATGCTTGAAGCAGGATCAGTAATATTACCAGGTGCACGGTCCTGTGTTGGTTCAAACTCTCGATCTTCTTCTCGGAGGTGTCCAAAGCGATCTACAAAGCGATTTATTCTCGTTGTAGGCGAAATTATTCGCCGAGGGCGATTTCGATAAAAATCTTCTATAGATCTAGGCTCCCAGTCATCGGAATCGGCTGGAGATGTACCATTGTCACCTCTGTTAGAGCGAACGGTTCGAGCAGGTTGATTATTTCCAAACCGGGTAGAATTAGGGACCTCCTCTTCCTCAAGGCCAGGGAGTTCATCATCATCGTCATCTTCATCATCAGAAGCATCTAAGGCATGGGTATGATCTTCCCGAAGGAGGTGGGGAGCATAGACAAGGCGACCAGGGCGAACAGGGTGGAAGAAAGCAGCTAGGTCGATAGGAACCTCAGAATCCGGAGCGCGTAGTGCCTGTGATGTGGTAACGACGCGAAAGGGATTAGAAGCAGTCTCGTGAACAGCAGCTGGACCATTGAGGCTTAATTCGTCTTCGGCGTTATTGGCTTGCTGGGACATGAGCATGTTAAGACGCTGAGCTCGAATCTCACGTAGTTGACGGCGCCGGTCAGTGTTCCTAGAGCTACTGGCGCGACGCGGTGAAGTTGAGCGGCGAATCGGAGATCGGCCAGTTGCGGGATCAGTAGAGGATTTCGGCGCTGTTTTGGCGCGAGAGCCGGACTCGTCAGGCTCAACCCATAATCTAATAGTGAAAAGAATTAGCAAGAAATGCAATATTAGGGAGTTTATGAATACAAACAAGGTATGAATAAAGAAAAGTGAGGTAGAGCTATAATACAAATAGGTAATAAAAACGTCATAGGTGTTGTTTGTGATAATACAAGTAGCTATAGGTGAACGCGTTGTGACAATAGACTTACGGTAGACCCATTTTTGGTATTAGCTGATGCGCGTATGGCAAGAGGGAAGTAAATTAACAGGCAAGTCAAGATAGGATAAACCTGAGTTGTGGGTGAAGCTGAGAAGCAGCCAAATGGATGTAGTAGATGCAAAAGGGTATTGAAGGGCGAAAATATAAAGGTGAAAAGGCTGTCGCGTCGTCAGCAACGAGTATACCAACATGTACAAAGTACTAGGTTAATTCAAAAGGAATTTGTAATGAGGTAGAATGGAAAGTTGATCCGAAATCAAAAACGGGGAATTGATGGAATATGAATGATGCGCGACGATGCACAATTTTGGGAAACGTCGATTACAACGGGAAGGTGCAAGGTTAACGTTCACTTCCTTCGTGGGGTCGACGGGTTGACGGGTTGACGGTCTTGTGGAGTGAAAACAAAAAGAGGACTGGGAAAGTTGAAAGAATGCCCCGGGTTGCCTTTGGTTGTCAAGAAACGGGAGATGCGACGGTTGCTCTCCGATCCTTAAGTGGACAGTGCTCTCTACCTAGTGCGTTACCTAGTGCGTTAGTGCGTTAGTTCATGCGAGCAATCTAAGCCTATCGTATGTAGTTGCCGGGGGATGATAAATTATCTTATATGAGTACAGGTGAAACACTATATCTCTATACTATATTTGAAGTATCTCACTAACTCTATTAACTTTAAGAGGCATATAGGTACCTAGGTATACCTACCTATAGGTACGTCCATACTTTATATTGCTACGCTACCGACTTTAACCCCTGCTATCGATACCAATAAACATGCCAAGCATGTGTCTACAATGATAAAAATATCAAAATCGATAGGCTGAGACTTGCCCACTCTGTTGCGCTGTTAACTTCAAATCTCAGTCATCACTCTCACCATATCTACATATACGATCGATACTACCTACGGCATATGCTCATATCTCAAAGTGTTTTTACTCTGCAATAGATATTATAGATATTTTAGACATGTTAGGCGATTTACTTCGCCCAAGGTTTTACTCTTGATCTAATTACATGCCAAGCCAACCTCTCTGCCTCGTCAACACCCAGCATCATGGTGACCCTTGGGTTAGCACGAATTAGCGCTCTGGTCAAGTCGACGCCACAGACATGGAAAGCCATCCATGTTGCTGGAACGAACGGCAAGGGTTCGATATGCGCATACCTAACTGCCATGTTGCGCGCCAATCAGATCTCATGTGGTAGATTTACCTCGCCTCATCTCATAAACCCTCGGGATTGTATCACTATTAATGATAGCATCGTGTCTGAGAGCAAGTTCAGGTACTTCGAGGATTTAGTCAAGAGGAGAAACACGGAGCAGAAGATTGGCGCTAGTGAGTTCGAGCTTCTCACGGCTACGGCCTTTGAGATATTCGAATCCGAGAAGGTCGAGTTTGGCATAATCGAAGTAGGGTTAGGCGGAACTCTTGATGCTACGAACGTATTAAAACACAAGTGTGTCACCGTCATTTCCAAAATAGGCCTCGACCACCAATCGTTTCTGGGCAATACCATTGAGGAGATTGCTCGTCAAAAGGCAGGAATCATGAGGAAAGATGTCCCTTGTGTTGTTGATGGCAGCAACTCGAAGTCTGTTCTAGATGCTCTACAGAAACATGCTGAAGAGACAGGTAACAGCATTATTTTTGCAGATGCCAAGTCCAATGAGCTCGTGAACAAGTTACGAGATTTCCTCGAACCACATCAACAACAAAATCTGGCATGTGTATATGAAGCTTTCAGATTGGCATTTCCGCAGCATGCTGTCTCCACGGAGAGCCTCGCCTCTGCTGCCCGGAATGTAGTATGGCCAGGCAGGTTGCAGTGGGTGAGCATTGAAAAGGTTACAAATAGAAAGGGTAATATTTTACTTGATGGGGCTCATAACCCTCAGTCCGCGGAAGCACTCTCCGGCTTTGTTCAAAAACACCTACGGTCCCAAAACAAACCAGTCACCTGGGTACTTGCCGCCACTCGAGGAAAAGACGTATCAGAAATGCTAAAACTGATGCTACGCGATGGTGATTCCATAGCAGCAGTCGAGTTCGGCCCTGTTGATCAGATGCCCTGGGTCCAGCCCACAAGTTCGACAGATCTACTTGACACCGCGAGCAAATGTGGCGTTGCGATTTCGTCACAGTTCGACGCATCTGCAAATGTACGCTCAGCTCTCGAGTGGGCAAGCCAGACCGCGAACGAAGGGCCGCTTGTTATTGCAGGAAGCCTCTATCTAGTGTCTGACATATTCAAGCAGCTCAGATCCACTGAACTGTAGAAGTGACTATAATATCCAGAAGTCAATAACCACATTATAACACTCCAACGATCTCTTGTTAACTTCCAGCTTATCCCAAAGCCGAGGCGTCAATGCGGCAAATCAAGCAAATATGATGAATGGCTCAACTTGGAGAATTAATCCCTCGATTAAATTCTAGGACATTTAGGAGGTCTAGGATGATACCTATGCGAAATTTACAATGATCTATCTTATCAGAGACGTTGTAAACTACAATTCGTTAACCTAGGTACATGGTGAAATTACAGTCAAAAATGGGGACGATCAACTCTTCCCCAACTCTCAGATTATTTACCGGCTAGTAAAAGAAAGAAGAAGAAAAACTAGCCCTGTTCAAGGGGCGATTCAAGATATTGACCGTTCTTGGCTCATACCCTAACCAGTCGATCGAGTGTTTGATAATGATTCTTAAGAGGTAAGTTCCACGATGCATTTTACAGTGAGTTCAAGTGAGATCTTATAATTGCATAGCATAGCATGTATGCACATAGCCGGCCAAATTACCCATCAAAACACCAAATCCTAACGCCATCTTCCTCGACTTCAGCTCGAATAACGAATATACAATTACCATAAGCCACACGATGTCTCCAAGCCCGCCCGAACATTTAATCATCGTATGCTGCCATGGAATCTGGCTTGGTGGTCCCGCGCGAGGCTATGACGAAAATGAATGGCTCATCGCCGCATTTCAAAAAGGCGAAACACCAACTTTCATTGAGCATATCAAGACTGGGCTACAGGCCTTGAAAGAGAACCAGAATTCCATTTTAATGTTTTCCGGGTGAGCTTGTTTTAAATTATTAAATCTAAGCATAGCCATCCCATAGTCTCAGAAACTCATAGTTTGACGTACACTATTTATCGCATCAGTCTCACCGAGGGGTTGTATTCCTCAATTATATATATCTACCTACATAGTTCAGCCTAATTAGAAAAGCGAATCTGATGCTGACTTCTTGCTTATTTAGCGGGCCTACAAGAAAGGAAACTCGCCTATCCGAAGCTCGCAGTTATGCGAATCTCGCTATCGCCAATGATTTCTTCGGTATTCTCACCGAAGATGAAACTGTAGACAGGTTGCACAGCGAAGAGCGAGCATTGGATTCTTATTGCAACGTCTTATTCTCGCTCACCAAGTTCTGGTCTGGCTACGGGGCATGGCCGGCAACGATTACAATAGTTAGCCACGCTTTTAAACGCGAGCGTCTGGTCGACTGCCATTGTGGTGCTATTGGATTTCCTCTAAACCGGATTAGTTTTGTCGGCGTGGATCCGCCTGGTATGGTCGATGGAATAAACGAGGCTGCTATCAAAGGTATCGTTGAAGCTATTACCCAATGGAAAGAGGATCCTCATGGTAAAGGCGAGCTTCTTGCTGGTAAGCGTAGGAAAAGAAACCCGTGGAACGTACCCCAGACACTCTTCCTTAATGAAGACGATCGGATTCGCAGTGGCTTACAGTCAACTTCGACCAGGGAGGGAGAGGAACATCTCCTCGAAGAAGTCGCCCATCCATGGTCTCAACATATTTGCGCTTAAGTTTCAAAGTCAGCCTATATTCATAACTCAACTAAATCTTAGAAGGGATATTCTCCTAATTATTAGCTAAAGCTACGCTATCAAGAATAAACCGTACGGCATCCTTTCTCATTTCAGCGCTGAATTCGTGTCCGGCAGTCGGATAAACATTATCCTCTACGTAAACTCCGCCGTCTTTATACCAGCTATCGGTCGCAGTCTTGAAGAATCGGATGAATGGTTCACTCATGCTGTATGGTACGAGTTTATCCGCCCCTCCGGACAGAATCTGGAATCTCTTGCCGGAAACTCTAGACTCGAGTAGGGGACGCAGCCTCTGCTGCTGTTCCGTTGTGGTAGGCAGCGCGATCTCACCGGTTCCAAACAAGATACCCTTGGGGTCATATTTCTTGCAGGCATTTACTAGAGCATCTGGAAAGTCCTTGCTACCGATGAAAGAAGCACCATACCCTGACTCGTTAAATGTCTGTAGCTGTGATAGTCGCGCGCGGTCTTTCAAGAGAACTGCTAATGGTCAGTATTAATGCCACGATATTTACTTCACCTTCTAGCGAATATCCTATTCCCGTTTTATTCGACTGGAGTTGGGGTTTACACTTACCCATATAATCGGGACATCCGATCACTATGACCCCCGCCGTAACTCGAGGGTCCGCGAACAAGAGCTGCCACGCACTATGGCCCCCTAAGCTGATACCAAGAACGATATTGTGGTCAATACGCCTTCTCCCGCCGTTACTTAGCGTATGATCGTTGCCGCCGAAAAGGTGGCTCTCAAGTAGATCCATCAAATTCATCGTGTCCATGACGGTACCCGTAACGAGGCCGAACATGTCTTGGGCGCTACGTAGATGCGAGAGTTAGCGAATCTTGATCTAAAAGATCACATACATTTCCAAGCGGTAAAATCCAATAATACTGCCGAAATCATCTCCAATTCCCTGGTGTCACGTACTGGGTCTCATTCCCGTCAACCCATGACTCGTTCGCTCGCTTGTCAACGAGTCGCGAACCGTGATTTCTTTGGTCAAGCGCGACGGCGATTAAACCGCGCGTAGGCTCCGACTTCTCGTGGTAAGCGGAGAGAAACCGGTTTGCGAAAGGGGTCATATCCTCTTTTTTTCGCAGCCGTCCGTGGTGCAGCCATAGACACGACACCTTGGCTGCGGTTACGGGCAGTTCCGTCAACCCGTAGACGTCGACTTGCAGGCCCGAGACCGTCAGCGTAACGCGCGAGACACTCGGGACGGCGCCCGGGGCCGGGTTGTTTGTCTCGGCCATTTCTTCGAAGTATTATTTAATAGGATTGAGTCCGGCTGCGGTGGAGGTGGTTGATTAAGAGGTAAACTACCTAAGTAAAGGAAAGGCGTCTCGATTATTAATACCTAGGTAGGTACTATTTATTTCGTGGGGGAGTTTATTTATTTTTATTTAGCTAATGATGGCAGCGTTACTAATCGGCACCTACCTTCATCGCTGGATTAGCGCCTGCGTAACTGCGTAGGTAACGAGGACAACGGAAGGCATCAACGCGTCGGATCCGGAGTTGCCTATTTAATCTCCGAAGGCGTAATTACATAACTGAGACATCACCTATTTACACTTAGATACCTAACCTAGGTACCTTACATATCATCGCTCTGCTCTTATTTGATACCTGGTACATATGTAAGTAAGCCACGGTATTTACATTTTGAATAGCTATTTCAACAGTCTAGCCTATCTAACGGACCCAACCATCCATTTTTCGTGATTAGTGCCAACAAGCCATTACCCGATGGACCTTTTTACACCAAGACTCACAGCTTCAGCTCTTCCTCCTCCAACGCATCGATCAGCGTCTGCCACTTAGCCCACTCGGCATCGCCACCGGGGATGCCGCCGAACAGGGGCAGTCGCGTGCCGTCGGGATCACCCAGCTTGCGCAGCCTGCTGGTAGCTTCTTTGATGCCGACGGTGCCAAACTTTCCAATCAGCTCCTCCACCGAACTTAGCTTGAACTGCAGGAGGCGGCGCTGGCGGACCTCGTCGTCTGTGGGCTGGTTCTTCACCGACAGGTCGTACAGGCGCACCACGCTCTTGGGGAAGAAGCCCGCACAGCCGTCGATGGCACCGGCAGCGCCGATGGTCACGACGGGGAGTAACTGCTGGCCTAGCCCTGTGAAAGTGGCGAACTTGGAGTGGTCAATGGAGGGGTTGGATGCGATTTGCGCGTGATACGATACGTCGCCGTGCGAGAGCTTGCAGCCGACGATGTTGGGATGCTTAGCTAGAGCTTCGAACGTAGCCGGCACGACTTTGACGTTGTTTGAGACCCCCGGGTAGTGGTATCTATTTACCGGAACCCCCCCTCTATTAGTATCTACATCTCCCAATGCTTGTCAATTATAGCCGAGGGAAGAAAACTCACATTAAGATGGGTATAGGGCTCCGGTCAGCCACCGCAGTGAACCACCTGATGATACCCTCCTGCGTGCTGGCGCCGGCGAAGTATCCCGGCACTAGAGTTAAACCGTACTGCGCGCCGGCTTCCTTCGCGCCTTTCAGCTGCTCAACCGTCTCCTCGATGTTCTGTGTAGCAGTGCCGGCGATGATGGGGTAGTCCTTGAAGCCCTCGTTTTCAAACGCTTGCCTAACACCGGACAGGACCTCGAAGCGCTCCTTGTTCGTGAGATGTATCGCTTCTCCCGTGCTACCCAGGATCACCAACCCCCTAATTCCAGCTCGCGCCAGATACAGGGAGTGCGCAACCTGCGTTTCAACGTCGACCGGCGCCGCAACCGGGTTATAGTTGGCCGCCTTCTTGCTCACGAAGAAGGTCGGCACGGGGACGTATATTCCATGTGGGGGAGGGGCAGCCATTTTTGTGGATTCGAGCTTTGCGTATACCGAGTAGGTTAGGTTAAGTCTTTGTCTAACGAGATTATTCCTTCGCCAAGTTATAATCACACCTTGAGATTTTTGTTAATTGCTTTGACTTCTTTATATAAACTTGCTTGGTACTACTCTATCAACTACCACGGCCGACACTCGCTCCTATAAATTAGACGAATGACGCGGGGTCAAGTTAGCATTGCCATGACGCGCCGGCAGTTCGGTAGAGTCTATAGCGATCGGCTTTTTCGGGCGAGCGAATGGGGTTCGAGTATAGCTCTCAAGGCCCCCTTTCTAGTCTTCCGTCATCCACAGGCCGACTAGTGTCATTGGATATAATTGGCTATAACAATACGGGGTTGTCTATACCTGCAGACCTATCATTGCTTTACACTTCTCCGATGTTTTGAATAGTCTTAGTAATAGTAATGTTTATATTTCGTTATATGTTACTAACCCAGTGATTACTTAACACCTTTAGATAGTGCGTCGAAATGGATATCTGTTATATTTTATGCTGTCTGCCTGGACTAAACCTGATAATCCCACTAAGATCCCTGCTAGTTCTCACTTCATGGACTCGGTCGGCTGTTGAATGTCTGAATGCGTCCTTAACATGCCACCATCCGGAATCTCAAATTGTTTACCTAACCTACCTAGGTATTTATGAATTTATGAGAACTGTTCTTTGTTTACCTGTCATGTAGAGAGAGAAATGACCATCCGCTTAGAAGTCTAGACCGTTGATCCTAAAGCTGTAACCTAGGGTATTTCCAGTTTCCGCCCCCAATGCGAAATACATTGGGTCATAGCTTTTGCTTAACGGTGAGAAAATTAGGCATCCTTTTAACCTAGTTGTTGAATAGGAGTATTTTAAGGTTGAATAATTCTATTCTACTTCTTCGGAAGTTCTCTACTTTTCTTTCTTATAATTCGTTATCTTAACATTCGTCTTGGCAGCATAGCCGCCCAGTATTAGTGATATTATCACTCAGTTACAAATCTCAAATTTCTCTTTAAACACATCTCAGCCAATCATTTGCGCGTAGGCCATTTCATTACAAACACGGCCCAAGATGTATAACCTACCCGTCAAAACATCCTACGAGTCCAATGATATCCCCATCCCGGAAGAATTCCTAAGGTCGGAGCCGCACGATGCACAGCCTATCGCTTTCAAAAAGATAGACTTCGCTGATACCGTGCTGACGGAGTACAAGGGCCTGTACGCTGTGGTGCTGGACCATGTTATCAGCCCATCCGAGTGCGCCAAGCTCATCGAGCTGGCCGAAGCCAGTGTGCCCTCCAAGAACAAAAACAAGATAAACGGGTCTCCCTGGGCACCTGCGCTCGTCAATGTTGGTGGTGGATACGAGGCCGAGGTATTAGACTACCGCAACAGCGACCGCATCATCTGGGACCAGCAGGATGTCGTCGACCGTCTTTGGGCACGTCTAGAGCAAGTCCCAGAGATTAAAGACACGCTCCTCACGTCTGAGCAGCCAAAGGGAACGGTGTGGGACTTCCAGCGCCTCAACAAGCGCATGCGCTTTCTGAAATACGGCCAGGGCCAGTTTTTCAGGCCGCATTGCGACTCCCCTTACGGCCAGACTGAAGATGGGAAATCGGTGCTCACGCATTATACCGTGCACTTATACCTGAACGACTCGAAGCAGGAGGTTGGAGACGCGGCTGATCTAGTCGGCGGCGCGACGTCCTTCCTCTCGCCTAACCAAAAGCGGAAACATGATGTGAATCCTAAAGCTGGCCGGGTCCTAATCTTTCAGCACCGGAGGCTGTACCATGCGGGGGATGATGTCTTGGATGGGATCAAGTATACGATGAGGACGGATATCATGTATACTATACGGGATTCGGAGATCGTGAATACCAGCTAGAACGTTGTCGCGCCCTCAGTTTTCTTCCGAGACGCTCTGCCTATAGTCAGTAGCAATGGTTGAGAATATATTTTATTCCACATGGCCAAATATCTATGTGTTTTAATATGTCTAGATCTGTATGTTAGAATGTTAGCTAGAAGTAGAGTGTTCAGATGATGACGACTTACACAATGTCCTATGTAAAATGTGTTTTCATTTCCAGTAATCTAAATTCCAAAATAAAATAGGCAAGCCTCTTTGGGGAACGAAAAAAAGGGAAAAAAAGAAGAAGAAAAAAAGGCCGTTGTTGAACCGCCCCCGCCATCCGCCAAACTGTGGTGTGTTCTCACAAATATGAGGTGGTGAGGTTAAGTTACAACATGGCAAACCGCCCCTCCGTGGTCTAGGCTTCCGGTAATTGGAAAGAGAGGCTTTACCAATAGACCATCAGCTGCACAGAGCGGGTGTTTCTCGTTGAAGACCCATCTGTTGTTTGGATATATGAGGCATCCAGTTGCAGCCTGAGTCACTGGGTAACCTCGCAGTTCCAGCTGGCGGGAGTGCCAACGCGAATGATACCGCACATCATATCACGGCCATGTCACGACCATATCTCCTTAATAGACCGAATCACCTTGCAATTCGCCTTGTGCCCTAATTCGCCCCAGCCCTGGACCTGACAAGCCTTGCTGCAGTACGCAACAACGCCACATCCCGTACATCGCATTAGCGGATGTTTTCCCTCACCCTCTCCCCCCCCCTCCGCCTCTTCCTTACCGCACGCCGCGCACCTCTTCCCCCGCCCAGCCGCCTCAATTCCATCCAGAATCGCCCCTATTTCAAAAACTTGTTCCAAGCTGGCGGGCAAAAGTCGAACACCAGCTCCCTCCCCCAGTGGCACGCGGACGATAGCCTTTTTTCCCTCGCCGCGGTCCGTGCGCGTCGCGCGCGGCACAACTAGCGTGTGACCCTTCCGGAAGCGCACGCCGCCCTGTCCGAGACCGCGATGGTCGCCGTCCTCAAAGGTGACGGCGAACTCTACTCCGCTCCGGTCCCGGACGATCACCGTGGGTTTGGTGATCGTCATGTCCTCCTTGATCTGTGCCAGCAGGAACCAGTCTGTTGTTGGCGCGGGGGGAGTTGATGAAGATGGCAGTTCGTTGAATGACGGGAAGATAGCTGGGTCGGCGAATAAAGGCATTTTGATCTTATGGGTATATCCTACCGCTCTTTTCGCTTACTTTTCTGTTTATTCTTATTTTCTAAAAAGAGATGAAAGACGGAAGAGAGGGTCTTTCGGTTTCGTGCTTTAGTTGTCTTGGCGCCGTGGAGATTAATCCACTAAATTATTTGACGACTTACAAGGAGGTGTGTAAGAATAGGCATACCTTGATATAAAATATTAACTACCTCTAATAGCGTTATGCTTCATTACACACACTTCCCTTGTACTATCTATTAAGTTAGGGGGAAATAGTTCTTCTTTCTTAAAATACCTAACCGTTTTTTCGAATATTAAAAGACGGAAGTTTTGAATGGAGTTTCCTTGTTTATGCACCTTGTAAAGCCCAGGCATAGCTTGAGGATTTTATAACTCATATATGGGCAATAATCATCAATATCTTTGATTGTTTGCTCGGCGGGGATTGGTTCGCCACTTATCACTTATGCAAGTTAGGTGGCAGTGCCTCTTGGAATGGTGTGATGGCACAGCCTCGTAGCTAAATCACTCCGGTCCTTACTTTCTTCGTCTTCTTCGTCTTTTTGTAACGCCTATATCGTCTTCTCTAGAATATCTGTAAAATAAAGAACTCGACTTGTCATCGAGAATGTCGTCAGAAAGCTCAGTTGGCTTTGCTTTTCAAGCGGATGTCGCCAATACTGGCTCTCTACTCCACTTACTGACGGGTAAAGCCCTCAAAGCTCTGAGCGACGGCGGAGTCGATTTCTACTCCATAACTGTCGCTATTACTCTCGGCAAAGACTTCGAGGTCCGAAATTCCTTAGGAAACACTGTCCCCGCACATGTCAAGTCTAAACGTGGTATCCAATCCGTTTTATCGAAAGTTTTGAGCATTGGATGGGGCCAGCCGGAGCTTGCAATTGCAATGACAAAGACCAAAGCGGGTGTGAATGCTCTTCTCCTGATTGATGCTCTGGCATGTGGATCTACATACTACCAAGCTGCTGAATGCTTTTCAAGCCTCCTCTCCCTACGAGGCTGTGAAGCTGACAAGTTGCCTAATGTCGACGTACTGAAACATATGATCGGCTATCTCGCCCCCTTTCTTCTCGGCCTAGGCTTTTCAAGAGTTGTCGCACATATTACAACGACTGCAACGCGTGCGATAAGATTGAACCATTCTAGAGATTCTAAACTTTTTGACCACCTTACAAGATCTGGGGACGCGTCAAGTGTTGCGGGCGCTATAAATCAATTGATGCTTACCTCGGGAAGGAAAGAGAGTTGTTATATGCCTACACGGTACGCCCTTATGCCCTGCTGATAATAGGGGTGGTTCTTTTAGTTTGCTAACTCTGCTCTTTCAAGCATGAGGGGTGCTTGGCTTTCCGCATTCGCAAGCCATGTACTTGGAATGGCAGTCGAGTTACGTCTCGACGATGCCATCATATGGGAAAGTGCAGGAAGCAACGGGACTGCTATTTTTGAACTGGGGGAGTATCAAGCCGAGGACTCCCACTTCCAGGCCATTGTAGGCCAGAGGATTACAATAATCGAATTACCAGATCCCGAAAACCAGGATTCGATGCTTGATAACTGCCTCCCGATCGATATGATTTTTGCATCAGTGATTGCTCATGAGCCAGATATTGACATCTCACTCCAGCAAGATATCCAGCGAGCGATATGTCGGTTTAGCTTCAAAATACTAAGATCACTCCAAGAACGGGCTCACAAAGTTGAAAATACACGGTTTTACACGAATTTCAAAGTAGCTGGGGCACTTAGAGAAACGCTTAATGCCTTTGGATTCCAGAACTCTATTATAGATTCCGTTGAGAATCAACCGCCTGCGGAGGAGATACCAACCAATATGCTAAATGCACTAGACTGGCAAGGCATACAGTCACTAGGTCCTGAGGCATACGATAAGCTGAGAAATGCTTGTGGGAGGCATGGAGATGACACTACGGGCGATAGCATCCATTCGCCGAACCGTAGTAGATGCCGTCGATTATGTGGTTACGTTAACCGCCTAATTGTTGGATTTACGTCTTCTGTATTGCTTCTGTAAGTTAGCATCCGTAACAAATTTCCTTTCTCAACACCCCTCCTCTTCCTACCCCGCCGATATCTTTTTCTTATACCCGTGATGTTTTCATTTATGGACCAAATTTCAGACTCGTTCGCAAATGATTGCTTGACAAGGATTTAACCTAACTACCGGCTATCTGCTATATAGATCACAGTGCCGATTTGATGCCAGCCAACTCAGTATTTACCCGGACGTTCTTTTGGATGATATTAGGAACCAGAAAAACATAAATGGTATACCCTACAGCTATTTACTAGAGGGGGATTATTTGAAGTCTATACTCTTGTTGGTAGACCACGACACAGAAAGAGGGCGTGGATTAATTCGCCCTTTCATCCTGGGAATTTCAGGTAAAAGCTTTACAGTTTGCCATACCTCTATACTGAGCTACGACTGTTTCGACAACCAGGGTCGCTTCCTAACTATATTGCCTGGTCGTGCATCAGTAGCAGGTGCCTTTAGGTCCGAAATAGTAGAGAAATACGCAGGTGATATGGGTGCAGAGTATTTAAAAGTTCCCGTTTCAACTCTACTCGCACCAGGGCTATCTCTCATGCCACACCATGCTCCCCCAGAAGGTAGTATATTCATGGGCGTGTCCTTTGACGAAAATGTAATTTTTTCGGATTTCAAAGTTAGAGACGGCGAGACTTTTGCGAGAGGCATATCCATCAAGAGTTGCACCAAAAAAATGTTAGACGCACAGAGTGTGAGTTGCCCGCATGAGCCTACATCGGAATTACAGGTGCAAAAGGAACAAAATTTAGCAGTTGTTGGATTCGGAGCCCTGAACAGCAGTAAAGGCAGAAATCAGGACATCATACAGCTAGTGGCTTTACATGGAAATAAACTTGAACAGCTTCTTACATTTGGGATGATCGAGTCAGACATGGATGCTCGCTATATGGGGTTCATTTTCCAACATATGGCATGTCTAAAGTGCTGCATTTCAACTGCGAAGAACGAGGGTAAGGAGATTGTAATCATGGGTGGATAAGAAGGCTATTTAGCATTATGATATTCCTTAGATTTACGACTACTACCTAATATAGAACATACCCTCGATTTCACGAGGCCGCCGGCGAAGATTTGGAGTACACGTAGATTTCAAGTGAGGAAACTTTGCTGGAAGATAATTCTGTGAATATCCTACATTGTGACGAGGCAGTCAACGGGTATATGTCACTACAATATACTAAAATCAAAGTAACCGCCGGCACAGAGAAGCTAAATGCTTGATATATTGGATACAGCCGACATCCATACACGCAATAGGTATTTAGAAGAAAAATGTTGTGCTGGGTAAGATTCGAGGATATAAACGCTGAATAATACATGTAGATATATGTAAAAGTACCCCTATTCAATCCCGTGTTAGCTCAAAATTTCAAAAATATGTTCTTCTAGCTTCAAAGCCTCGGAGTATTATTTCTGGACATCAACGTCTCTGTTTCTAGGCCACTTGAGATGTTAACGTTAACAAGGCAAACAACCTTTTGATAATTTTGTATAGTTGGACACACCTAACTATAACCGTGAGGATGTAAATACCTAGGTTAACAGGTAGGTTAATGGAGTTCAATACTGAATCTAAAGCTAGGATAATGATCAAATATCACAATAATCATAAAACCCACCGCTTTTCAGTCTCTAAAGCCACTCAAGGTACCTAACGTAGCTCATCCTACCCGGGACGCACTATAATTGACTCCCTACCATCATCCCAACCGTCCCATTTCCCCCCTCTTGTCCACTCGTCCACCGTCAAATCTTATAAACGATCTTCTTTCCCGTAACCCGTCCCTGCCGCAGTTCATCCAGCCCCTCGAGAATATGGTCCAAACCACCGTCCCGAACGTCCACCGGGTGCGGCTTAACCTTACCCTGGGCGATCAGCTCGCCCGCCAGCTTCCAGAACTTGGTGCCGAACTCGAGGTCCGCGGGGTTCGCCGTGAACGTGTGTCCGAACTTGAAGAACGTCTCCCCGGTCGCCGTGTACGCCACGGTCTGGAGCTTGGCGACGTCGTCGCGGGGGAAGTTCTCGACCGTCAACAGCGAGCTGTACTTGCCGCCCTTGGAACTAAGCGCCTGCGCCGAGATCTCGGGCGCGGAGCCCACCGAGATGCAGTCGAACACGTACTCGAGGCTGTCGTTGGTGAAGGCGCGGATGTCCGCGCCCACGGTCGGCGACTTGTAGTCGAAGGTCGCGTCTGCGCCAAGGCTCTTGAGCAGATCGAAGTTGTGGGGCGAGGATGTCGTGATGACCTGCAGACCGGATAATTTCGCGAACTGGACTGCTAGCGTTCCAGTTGCAGTGCTACCCCCGTAGATAAGAACCGGGAAGGGCTTCTTAGCCGGCTCGGTGGGCCAAGGGAGGCCTAGTGATTGGTAGAGGCCTTGGCCGACTGTGCTGATGCCCACGCCCAGCGTCGACGCCTGTTCCATCGTGATGGTGTCGGGGACCTTGATGGCAAGGGCGGCTTTTGCCACGATGTGCTCGGCGAAGGCGCCGTCTTCTGCGTTGCTCGCATTGGCGCCGGAGACGAAGCCAGCGATCTTGTCGCCGACTTTGAAATTTGCGACGTCGGGTCCTAATTCCTCGACGATACCTGAGTAGTCGCAACCAACCAGGCTGCCGGCAATTCCAACACCGTCGATGTGCTTCCAGTCGGTAGGGTTTAGAGCAACAGCTACCGTCTTAACCTTGACGTAGCCGGGGCGCACTTTGGGAATAGGAGCGTCGGTTACGACCTTCCCGACGTTTCCCTCCTGGATAATAAGAGCTTTCTGAGTTGCAGCCATTTTCTATTATGTGATTGGTATTATTCTAGTGTAAGTGTATGTTGTATGTTGTATGTCGTATGTGGTGTGTCGTATGTCGTATATGAGATGTCGAGTAGTGTCGAGTGGCTTTAATAGTGTGATGTAGTCCGCGGCAGCTCTTCTCAAGTGTTCTATTCTGTTCTGTTCTTAAATATATGCGATATGTTAAGAAGCTGTCCACATTTAATATGTAACGTCTCGACCCCTCGACCCCTCCTTATGACAAAGCTATCGCGATATTCTCTGCAATGTATGGCATGCACAGTAGTGAACCAATCAAATTTGGATTGGCATTTACGCAGTCTATGACTATTTTAGGAGATAATGTTATGTCCGACTTCATTAGTAACAGGGTTAATATACTTCCGATTACAAATTATGTTGTCTCCCGATTGTGTTGGAGTAAGTGGCTATCCAATTAACTTGAGTCGTGATATTGGCAAGCTGTTTATATAAAATACTTGTATCAGTCGATTAACCACCATCATGCAGGAGAATCCTACGAGCCTCATGCAAGACGAATTTCTAGCGAATGGAATGGTCTACTTTTTCTTTAGTGCTGACTATTGATATGTTAGTATATTTGAATAGAGTATATTTCAACTACTTCTAAATCAAATAAGTCTTTGAGTCGAATTAAAATCAAAATCACATGATATTCTCAATATTATTAGTTATTCTTAATCAAGTTTTATTGCCTATTCATGAGTTACTTTGATTCAATAGCGGAGTTAAACGGAGTTGGTATTCTCAATATTCTCAAATCAAGCATATCGGGATAAAGACGTCACCATTTATTGTGGACATTCGCAGCATCTGGCGCTGAAAATACTAACCCTAGTTTACCGAAGACTTAATAGGCATTTCCAATTAAAACCTATAATTCTCCTAAGAAAAACATGAATTATTGATGCGAAGTCGAGTAGACTACTCTTGATCATGGCGATATCGCCTAGCGCCAACTGCGCCGCAGCAACTTTGGCCTAACACGCCTCAATTATGAATAATCATATTTAGCACACCGACGACTGCTAAGACCGACAAGCCAAAATAACTAGAAGATAACTAACCTCCAATTACTAGGTATATATAATTGGCGATAATGCAATTCATCCTCATGATTGCTTATCAAGCTGTAGACTCGGGGCTGTCGGGTTCTAGATGAGACGTCTAGAATGAAGGATACCTTCAGTATAACCATAGGCTCCCATAGTTGGCTTAGAGTTCCTCGCGGAACAACAATGTCGTTTCCTTGCTTCTTGCTATCATTCCTATGATAGAATCCTGAGAGCCTCTAATTAACACGTGAAACTCAATCCAAATTAGCCGTAGTTCAAGTCAGTAAGGTATAGAAAGCATCGCATCTAATAACTTTTGCTAGAAGCCAGTCTGAAGTAGATCTCGACTAATATTCCCTCTTATGATAACTCGATCGTGGCCGGCGGCTTGCTGGTCGTGTTGTAAAATACACAGCTTATGCCATCGACTTCGTTCACAATTCGTGTGGATACGTTCATGAGGAAGTCCATGTCGAACTTGTAAGCCTCGGCACTCATGAAGTCCTTGGTCGTAACTGCACGCAGTAAGCAGAGGTATCCTTCGTAGCGCTTATCGCCCTTTTGGAATATTAGCAAAGAGAATAAGAGGGAAATAGATCTTTGGGTTTCTCACCATAACTCCTACAGCCTTGTTTGTGTCAAGACCAGCATAAGCTTGGCTGATCTCGTTGTAGATACCTGCCTCCTTAATCATACTAATGAAGATCTTGAGCAGTATCAGCATCTATAAGCCCCACGTGTAAGCAGGCCGTATTTATCTAAACTTACGTTGTCTGCTTTCCTTGCAATCTCGACTCGCTCTGGGGTGACCTCACCGAGAATTCGGATAGCAATACCAGGGCCAGGGAACGGCTAAAAGGCATTTAAGCAGTTGTTCAGGTGAACTGGATTCCAGAGTGACCTACATGTCTCATGACGAGTTCTTCGTTGACGCCCAACTCACGACCTAGGGCTCTAACTTCACTGTTTTTTTGGTGTTAATACCTCATCAAACCCGTTTGCGACTATTATGCAATTAAAACTGCATCCAGGACACTTACTCCTTAAATAACTCCCTAAAAGGCTACAACTAATTAGCCAATATTTATATTCAGCAAAAGAATATCTTACCTCGATAAGCTTGAGACCTTGACCGTCCATCATTCGTTGCGGCAGACCACCAACATTGTGATGCGTCTATTAATTTGAAAGTCAATTTTAAACTTCTAATTAGGTAAAATGATTGGTAGGATGTACCTTAATAGTCGCTGAAGGGCCCTTGAAGGAGATTGATTCGATGACATCCTGCATAGAGAAAAGTGTTAGAGAGCAGATTCGCTGGTAATTCGGTACGCATTAGAAGTATTCTTACGGGGTATAGAGTGCCTTGGAGAAACCATTCAACTTTTCCGGCGTTTGGCGTGTTCTCTGCGGCCTTCTCAATCTTAATTGCCTCCTCTTCGAAAATGTCGATGAAAGTGTTGCCGATGATTTTTCGCTTTTGCTCCGGATCTAATACACCTTTCAATTTGGAAAGGAAGTTTTGCGAGGCATCTATAACCGTCAAGTTGATTCCAAGATGCTCGCCAAGTGCTTCTTTCACTAGCTGGCATTCATTGAGACGCATCACACCATTGTCCACCAGTACGGCGTGAAACCTATCGCCAATTGCTAGTTTCACTATAGGGGCGTTGTTAGTAACCATAATCCTGATAAAATGGGCAAAAAGGTGGCATGCCGCAATCATCATTTATAACAAAGACAAGAAATAATATGGCATTGATATGGCATCGACTTACTTAACTTTGCAGCAACTGTCGAGTCCACACCACCTGAGACGGCGCCGATCACCTGGCCGTTACCCACGAGTTTACGGATTCGAGCAACCTCCTTGTCGAGGAAGTCTGTCATCGTCCAATTTTGATTAACAGCGCAAATGCCGACTGCAAAGTTCTTGAGAAGCTCGGTACCACGAGGGGTATGTGTAACTTCAGGATGAAACTGTATACCAAAGATGGGTTTGCTCTCATGTGCGATACTAGCGTACGGAGAGTTTTTAGTGGTAGCTATGGTGACGAAGCCATCCGGGAGTTGACTCAATTTATCACCATGGCTCATCCAGCTGCCATTTGTTAGTAGGACTCTCCATCTATTTGATAGACGTACGTCTATTGAACGCCAAATGCTAATATACTCACACTCTCATACCCGCATCTCCATACATGCCTTCGAATAATCGGTCAACTTGATTGTTGTGATGCTGTGGTATGAGATCCTGATTGATCATGGTATTAGAACACTAAATTTAATGATCGAAAGGCAGAAGGGAGTTGTACCGCTTGTCCGTATTCTCTCTTGGTTCCGGCAACGACATTGTCCTTGCTCGAGTTCCAAGCAATTTCTTGAAGACCGTAGCATATGCCTAGGATGGGGACTCCCAGATCGATAAAGGCCGAGTCAACATGAGGCGCATCATTGTCATAAACTGAAAATGGTCCACCAGATAGAATAATTCCCTTGGGTTTCCAACTTAATTCTGAGAGCTTCGTAGTGCACCTATTTGGGGTATTATTATTAGTCTTATGAGATTGAGATATTTTCTCATTTTCAATAAGAAAAAAACCACGTACGGGAGCATCTCGCTGTAGACGTTCAATTCTCGAAGTCGTCGAGTGATAAGATGCGTGAACTGGGACCCGAAGTCCAGCACCAAGATAGTGTCGTAGGCATTGTGAGGAGCCTCGGCCTGCTCAATCTCGGCCGACATCTTGATTATTTGATATTATACGCAAGAAAGTATCTATTTTCGAGTTCTGGTATGGTCTTGGTTTGACTTGTGACGCTGAGGTAAGTATTTGTTCAAGTATTTGTTCGACTAATACTTGAAAAAAAAAAAAATGGCCGCGCAGAGGGGTTTGAATTTCTTATCTTTCTTATCAGTCCTGAAATGGTTTAGTGAGGGGTAAATTATTATCTTTGCCAGTACTTCGTACATAGGTAGCTATGTACGCAGACACACGATTTGATTGCATGTGTTGCCAAGTTCCACGTGATCTCAGCTTGGCAAGTAACTCGGTACATAGTTGATGGTTAAAATTCGTTATACGACTATCACCTATACAGGGGCAGATTCCCTATTTTCGAAATCCTCTCTTAAGGTCTCGGAACAATCTTATGAATTCAGCTTCATTACCTAAATAAACGTCCGTTTCATTCTTGGCATGATTACACATGTCCAAGCTACCCCTGAGACAAGCCTTCCTAGCATTATACCTAAACCACCTTGGCCAAAGGTGATTCGTGGTCCAAAATTAAGTAACAAAGTCAAAAGCCAATTCCCATCCACGGGAGAACGCTCACTGACAACCGCTGTAAACGCCTCATACCCTTGTGGTCGTGCTACATATTTCTCTTTCCATCCTAGACGCCGCCATATATGCCCTACTCGAATGGGATCCTCGAAGTGCCGTTATAACCGTCTATCGGTCCTCAAAATGATATTGGTGGCGAGATCGCCTCGTGTTCGTTCGCGATAGCGATGGTAGATAACATCCATCATACTCCGATACTCATCCACCCAAACGTCCCAACCGCAGAAGCCAGAACTAGGGCGGTTAGAATACCAGCACCTGCTCTGTCTCCTGTTGTTATTGGCGCTGGCGTGCGCATAAACGAGTCGCTTCCCGCTCCGGCATTCGGATCGCCTTCGCTCGTACCGCCGGATGCCATCGTCACTGGTGATTTAGCCTTTCCGACCAAGAGAGACGAAACAGCTCCCAGAACATTCATTGTCTGGCCAGCACCGACACTATTATCGAATGTGCCACTTGCCCACCCGAACCCGCAGGTCTTCCCGGCTGGCGGCCCAGTACACTGCTTTACGGCAGCCTGGGCCGAGTCCTTTAAAACCGGTAGTACTTTCTCGGCCGTGAACGGGGCGATCTGCGTCATAGTTGTCATCCATCGGTGTAAGTAACCCTTGAAGCTCAACATATCTGTTGTGCAGGTCATGTGATCTTCGCATGCGATCTCATAGGCAACATTGTTTTTGAAGAAGTCGCGAATCGTTGCATCTAAGAGTCCACTAAGTCGCTGTTCCCATTTCGAGTCTCCACCAGTCTAGAGACATGTTAGTATCGGTATTAAGGGGAAATCACGGATAGTTCGTACGTAGTTGTACATATGCGCCGCCCCTAAAAGATAGACAGCGTTATTGTATGAGAATTGGGCCTTGTTGATATCAGTACAGTTAGTCTCAACATGGGCGCCATCGTATATCCTGTAGTCGCTATCCATCAAGCCAATACTCTGGACCCAGTCCCAAGTTTTCTCTGCCCAATCGGCGTATGTTTCGTTATTCAGATAACGTGCTAAGCGGGCGCCAAGATTGAAGAAGCAGCCGTTGGCGATACC